ATATCCAAGATTTGATGTTGTGGAACGATGTGTACTGTGACACTTACATTCCAACTCAAAGCATAGCAGCAACAAAAGGTTGTTGTTTAAAAAATGTCGAGAAGCAAAATTGGAATTACAGACGAGGATTTTTACGGTGAAGAAGATGAACACTCGGAGGATGAAATCATGTTGGTACAAGATGATGACCAAGCCCTTGCGAGCAATGCCATGATGAATGAAGAATCGGAGGAAGAATCACCTCTTGATGAAAGGCTTGATTTATTTAAAAAGCCTGAATATCGGGATGATGATAGTACGATGCAAGATGATCATGGCTTCATATTTTCAAAGGCAATGATGCATGATTATATCGGACATACCATTCAACAAATTTGTGTGTTGTTTCATAATAATAAGATTCCAGCAATCACTTCAAATATCTATTCTCGAAAACAATCAAATTTTACAGAATTAATTTTGGCCATTTCTGTTCGGAATACTGTGAGGTTTTATTCATTAATTCACAATAGAGACCAGATGAATGTTAAGGAAATTTCTGATGAAAACAACCACACAAAAACACTAGTTCTAGAGAGCAACGTCAAATTCATGAAGTCATTTGACAATACTTTGATCGTTTGCGATGAAAAGGGAATTATTCATGTACTCAAATTTCAAGTTAATAGCCTACAACAAGAAAAGGAAGATAGCTTGTTCTGGCCAGAACATGAACTTGAAATATTTCGTCCATTCAACCCATTTCAATGTTTGCAGGCAAATTCTGAATGCAACTATGAACTCTTAAGCTTTGATTCTGAAGTTTTATCGGAAGGAGAAGCAATTACATTGTCTTTAGCTATGGGGACAAGCAATGGTCAACTACTCTATGTTACTCTTTCATCCAAGTCTGGATCACAATTTGAGGTACTGAAACAACAGAAATATCAACACAAATCCATGTTGCCAATTTTAGGCGTTACATTTGCCATCAAGAATATGATCACGGTGGAGATTCCAACCTTAATTTACTATAGAACTTTGAATTGTGTTTTCTCTATTGACATGAACAACTTGGACTCTCAAAAAGATTCTACCCTAATCATCAGAGCTAAGGAGATTATTACCTATCTATCTGTTCATCCTCTTCAACCAAATCATATTATTCTTGGATTAAGCAATGGATTCTTGGTTGGAAAGGATCCCAATACTACATGGGAAAAGACTGTATCCAATACAGCCATTAAGGTTATTCAGTTTGACGAGCAACAGAAAGGCGTTGTGGTTGGTGATGAACAAGGTTATGTTTATAGAATTGAGGATTTGGCAACCGCACGTCACGACCAAACATCTAAACGTTCCGAAGCAAGTACTTCTATTGGAACTGTCTTGGATAATATTGATGGTCACGACATTTCTTACATACAAGCATTATCTGAGAATGAATGGTTTGTAGTGAGTCCAAATGGAAGAATCAACTTGGTAATGAATTAAAGCAATGATGGTCCAAAGAACCACTTTTCTCCACATGAATTCACACCGATGGCTGCTCATCCTTAACAGCGGGGTGAGATTGCTTAGCTGTATCATTTTCAGCCTCTGTGGGCACCACACGGTTTTTCTCTTCAGCAGCAACACTCGTGTCCTTCTTTGCCAAACCTTTTGTTTTTGTGAGCTCTAACAGTTGTTTCTTTGCCAACACTCTGGGTGAGGTTTCTTTCAGAAGGAAAATCGTCAAGAGCAACCCAATGAATGAAATACCTGCAAATATATATGAGGGAACTGCTTGGTTGGTAGCTGTTACAAGTGGAATGAAAAATAACGAAATGATGATCGAAAAGAACCACAAACACATGATGGAAATGGATGTACCTAAAATCACCACCTTTTCATGCTCACCATTAAATACTTCGTGAGCTAACATGTACACTAAGGAACCAAGACCAACATTAAATCCAATCAGGAAAATGGCAATAAAAACAAGTGCTAAGACTATCTTTTCTGTAGATCCATTTGGAGCGAATTGGAAAACAAATCCAATGGCTAAATTGGTCAAAATTGAAATGACCAGTCCAAAGATTGTAATGCTTTTTCTTCCAAATCGATCTACTAGAAAGATGCAAGGGATAATAGTCATAATTTGCCAAATGGCCACCCCCATGGATGCCAATTGTTGGTAAAGAGGTGAAGTCACACCAGCAGATTCTAATAAGGAAGGAATAAATAATGTTGCACTTTGAATACCTGTCCATTCCAAACTTCCACAATAAAAGCATGCCAATATTGTTGAAATAATAACTTTGGAGAAGAATAATCGTTTGAGCGCCTGAAGGAACGACATAGGCTTTGCTCCTTCCTTGTTGTTGTTGGTTTTTGGCTCTTCCTTATTCTTGAGCGTTGGTTGCTCACTTGCGGTGGTTGTAGCTGTTGGTTTTTCATTTTGGGTCTTGAGCTCCACATCACTCTTGTCATTGGTATGTTGTTGCTGGTGTTGAACGGTGGCTCCCATGATAAACTGAGGAGACTCTGGCAAAACGAACACAAGCAGAATGAATAAGGAAATTGAAAATAAATTCCCTAAAGCATGAACGGCTCTCCATTGTTCAGAAGTAAATAAGAAAATAGCTCCAAATGCATATCCGAAAGCCACACCAGAGGCCACTCCAACATTGTACATGGCACCCAATACGCCTTGATATTTGGGAAAGGGCATCAATTCAGCCATATAAACGGAACACACTGAAGTTGAAATGGCAGCACCAAAACCCATGATACATCTGAAAACAATCAATGAAGCATAAGAATTTGAAGCACTTGCACCAATACATCCAATTGAAAAGATCACACAACACAAAATCATGCATAATTTACGACCTAAATAACTCGCCGTAATCATAGTGCAAAAACATCCTACCATGCCTCCAATGAAAATGCTTGAGGCGAATAATCCTTGCAGCAAGGAATTGCCCAGATCAAAGGGCTTTTGGCTGTTGTTGGAGTCTGAGGTTGTCAAGTTTTGATTCACCTCAACGACAGATCCAACGTTCGTCGTTGTTGACTGCAACCAAAGAGCGAAATCTGAAATTTTGGTTTGACCTACCAAAGGGCTGACCACAAATTTCGGTTTGATCATTTCATCAAAAACAATATCTCGAAAGCTCACACCCTTTTGATGGAAGACATGTGATCACAACAACGCGATCATGGATCGTAACACAACATGAACGGGATCACAAATACTTACTGTGGTGGTGGCATTACCGTTATTATTATTGGAAGAAGGAAAGAAAGCCAAAGTGGCTGAATTTAAAGAGCCTCCAATGGTTCCAAGCGAGTAGCCAAACACAAGTCCTCCCAAAATGTTGCAAATGATGAGAAGAATGGAAAGAAAAACTCTCTTGGATTTGCTAAATATTTCAATAATAATTAGGATTTTAAAAACCAATATAATTATTCAAATTCAGAGGATATATATTCATTGATTCAAAATTAATTTACAGAAAATAGGAATTTATCATCATTTTGTAGAAAACAAATGAAACCGACGTAAATTCATGAAACTGAGGTTCAACCATACTTACATGAAATTTTGGTATCGTTCAATAATCGGAAGCCTGTAGAATGCTTTAATAGGATTGTAATTCTTGTTGTAACTAGTCATCATGTACCTCTAGAGAGTTATGTAGTACTCTTTTCACTATTTTGATTCAAGAAAAAGATGCAAATATGGTCGCATGAGACTCTAAACGGCAAGAGTGCGCGCTCTTTTAAAGCCGACTCGATAGGGGTATAAGCACACGGAGCTTGTCATTCGGAGAATAGCGGCTGCCATTGATTTTATTATGATTAAGAAAATATTAGAAAACGAATTAATAACACATGTGAGTACACGCAAAGAAGAAATGTACAGAGGAAGTGGAAAAATCCTAATATTTTCCCTCAAGAAAATGTTGCATGCCGACAGCAAATACACAAGACACCCATTTTCCAAAGTATAGTACCAAATAATCTACTGCTTGGGCAATTGAGTGGGTGCAGAGTCTGCAACAGCATTCGGATTACACTGACATGCTGCTGCGACTTGAGCCTGTGGTTCGACCATAGCAGCCGAAGCAGAAACGACTGCCACTACGACTTCCCTTACATCATTCATTTCTATACTGGATTTGGTTTCGGATGTGGTCTCAGATTTCTGAGGAGAAAGGCTGGTAGTAGTACTACTGCTAGCAGTTGTTTCGTCTTGCTTTCTTTTAGACAATACATAGGGAGATGTTTCTTTCAATAAGAAGATGGTCACCAACAAGCCTATAAATGAAATTCCAGAAAAGACAAACCATGGAACTGCTTGACTTGTAACCTGTATAACAGGAATGAAGAATAGTGCCAAAATGATTGAGAAGCTCCACAATACCATGGTAGCAATCGATGTACCCAAAACCACTACTTGTTCATGCTCACCATTGAATACTTCATGATCCAATATGAACGTTAATGAACCAATTCCAATGTTGAAACCAATGAGATAGAGTGCAATGAATACTAAGGCTAAAACTATTCTCTCAGTGGAACCCTCGGGAGCAAATTGAAAGATGAAACCTTCTGCTAAATTTGTGAGAGTAGATACAGTGAACTTGAATCATGATCATGAATATAATTTTGCGGCACATCAATTGTCTTACTTACTCCGAATATTAGAATTGTCTTTCTTCCAAATCGGTCCACAAGAAATATGAATGGAATAATGGTAATGACTTCCCAAACGAATACTCCAAAAGCAACAAGTTGTTGAGCAAGGCCATCCTTCACGCCAGCAGATTCCAATAAGGAAGGAATGAATAAGGTAGCACTTTGAATACCAGTCCATTCAATAGCAAAACAATAGAAGCTTGAAATGAACATGGCAATGACAACTTTTGAACAAAACAATCTCCTTAAGGCTGCAAGGAAGGACATGCGAGACTTCAATGTTCCGCTTTCTAGTGATTCACTTGTACTAGAGAGTGATGTTGTTGTGATAGTCGAAGCGGTCGTAGTGGTTGGAGAATGATTGCGAGCTTGATTTTCTGAGGTCATGTCTCTCTCCTTCTTCAACACGCCAGGATCTATTGATGAAGTGCCGCTGCTTTCGTAAGCTTTAATTTCGCTTTGATCGAGCATAGAGCTACCACTTTCTACAAACATTGGTGATTCTGGAATGATGAGAACAAGAGTTAAAAGCAAGATGGAGCAAATATTTCCCAATGAATGAACAGCTCTCCATTGTTCAGAAGTAAATAAGAAAATAGCTCCAAATGCATATCCCAATGCAGATCCAGAAGCAATGCCCATATTGTACATGGCACCCAAAACACCTTGATATTTTGCAAATGGCATCAATTCAGCCATATAAACGGAACACACTGAAGTTGAAATGGCAGCACCAAAACCCATGATACATCTGAAAACAATCAATGAAGCATAAGAATTTGAAGCACTTGCACCAATACATCCAATTGAAAAGATCATGCAACACAAAATCATGCATAATTTACGACCTAAATAATTTCCAATGAGAATGACAAAGACAGCACCAATCAAACCTCCAATGAAAATACTTGAGGCATACAGACCTTGAAGTAAGGAATTTCCTAAATCGAAAGGACTTGTTGGTACAGAGGGATTATTACCAGCAGCGTGAACCACCGCTGGGCTCAAGTTTTCAACAAATGTCTGCACAACGGATGGAAAGAACGAATGAATATTTTCCTAGGTGGCGATTGAACATGAGTGTGATGAACGTAAATATATAATTTCTTGCAAACCTACCATTGTGAATTTGAGATTAGGTTTAATAGTAGTAGCATCCAATGTTGTGAATTGTTGATTCAAACTTGTAGAGTTGTTGTTCGAAGTTGCGGAATTAGTCATCAATAGCCCACTAATAGCAGACTGCAATGCCGCGCCAACCGTTCCTATGTCATATTGTGTAGTGTCATGATGATTGATTCACAATATAAAAGGTGCCTTACCTTGAGCGTAGCCGTACATGAGGCCTCCCATCAAGTTGGTCAATACGAGACACATTGCCAAAAAGACACGCTTTGACTTGCTGATCAGACACGATGCGAAGGTGAATTGCATGTAGTGGTTGGTGCGATCATTGGTTAATTGCCAAGTTGAGAAAACATATTTGTACGTTGGAAAATAATGAGAGAAAAATTCAAACACAATTTCCGTATTGCACAATACTCACACAAAACTCTCATACTTTTCTACAATACTCAGCTTGTAGAAACGTTTAATTGGATTCTTAAATTTCATATTGCTTCATTCCACTATGACTCTTTTTTAATTAAATTGATTCGTGATGGCGTCACGCGATAGTAAGCAGTTGGCAGCAGTGATAGACAAGACTTGTTGTCTGCGGCCTGAAGTTCAGTTTCATTGTTTTGGTTTGAAACCTAATTGACTCCTTGTCAATTACAGGAGCTCTTTTCACAACAAAAATATTTTTCTTTCCAAGAATGGTCATTTAAAGTCTTTAATACTGACAGCAAAGGACAAAACCGAAATTAAAAGTGGGATTTAAGAATGATGGTAGATGCCTCTCCATCACTAAGATTAGCTTTTTTTCGAATCCTGTTAGTTAACAATAAAGTGAATTTAGTAACAACAGATGTGCTCTATGACGTCATGAATGGAAGAGCACTAAGGTTGTACTAATCTCCTTGCAAAATGTTGCGTTCCAAAGAGAACCATTTTGTGAATTTCACAAAATTTTGAAGGAGTGTGCTCTCTTCTTCGTATAAATGTGTTATTCCAATCTGATTTTATTGCACAACATGTTCGAATTCTTTCATTTCAACAGCAGTTGTTGGCTCCCCATTGTCTTGATTCTTGTACATGTCAGAAGCAACATCCACTTCCAAAGCAGTATTCATTGTTGATGGAGGAGTCGGATGATTCTTCTGTTCTTCTGTTTTCAATTCCTTCTTGGCGTCTTCCTTTGCTTTTCGTTTTGCCAACACCAACGGTGAGGTCTCTTTCAACAAAAAGATACTCAACAACAAACCAATGAATGAAAATCCAGCGAATATGAACCATGGTACTGCTTGATTGGTCACACTGACCACTGGTATAAAGAATAAACTTAAAATAATTGAAAAGATCCACAGACACATGGTGGCCATCGACGTTCCTAAAACAATCACTCTCTCATGCTCTCCGTTAAATACTTCATGAGCTAAAATGAAAGTGAGAGAACCCAAACCAATGTTGAAACCGATCAGATAGATGGCCATGAATACAAGAGCGAGAACAATCTTTTCAGTAGAACCATCGGTGGCAAATTGGAATATAAAACCTTCTGCTAAATCTGTCAGTAATGAAACAGTTAGCTAATGTTATGATTCAACCACATGTAGAAAAATGAATCACGTCTGAGTTTTTGTAACCGTATGAAATGACTTCAACTTACTCCAAAAAGTAGAATGGTCTTTCTTCCAAATCGATCGACTAAGAAAATAATTGGAATAATAGTCAATACTTGCCAAACATTAATTGCAAAGGAACATAAGAGTTGATAGAGTGGTTCTTTCACACCAGCAGATTCTAATAGGGAGGGTGTGAATAGTGTAGCGCTTTGAATTCCTTTTGTTACAAGTTGAGTATTCGAATTTCCATAAGTTAATAATGAATTAATATTTCAGAATTGTGAAAATAAAAATCCAAAATGAATTGACCTACCTGTCCATTCAATTGCAAAACAGTAATAACTTGCAAGGATTGTTGAAATAACAATTTTGGAGCAAAATAATCTCTTCAAAACTGCCAATAGTGGCATTTTCTTTGATTGTTCCTCTGAACCTTCTTTGGACTGGTTGTCCGATGCAGTTGCTACATGAACATTGGAAACAGTCGTTGATGTTGTGGTCGTAGAGGTCACAGGTGCTGAGCTCGTACTGGTCGTGACAGCCTGGAAACCTCTCTCTTTTTCCTTTTTAAGTAATACTGGGTCTGCCAAATCTGCTTGTTGACTATCTGAAATAATATTCAATGGTCCAATCATCATGGTATTCTTATTTTCTTGACCTCCCACGGAAATTCCTTCCGCATTAGTACTATTACTGGAATTTCCACTTCCAATAAACATGGGTGATTCTGGAATGCAAAACACAACCACCACTAACAACAGTAAGGAAAATAAATTTCCAAAAGCGTGAACTGCCCGCCATTGTTCACTCTGTACGTTGGCTCCCGTAAAAATTGCACCAATGACATAGGCTGCCGATAAACCAGAAGCAATGCCCATATTGTACATGGAACCCAAGACACCTTGATATTTGGGAAAAGGCATTAATTCAGCGACATATACTGAACTCACCGAAGTTGAAATGGCAGCACCAAAACCCATGATACATCTGAAAACAATCAATGAAGCATAAGAATTTGAAGCACATGCACCAATACATCCAATTGAAAAAATCACGCAACACAAAATCATACATAATTTACGACCTAAATAATTTCCCAGGAGCATGATGAACATGGCTCCTCCGAAACCTCCAATGAAAATACTTGAGGCGAATAAGCCTTGAAGTAAGGAATTTCCTAAATCAAAAGTTGTAGAGGTGGTCGTATTCGAGGTATTCGAGGTAGTAGTAGCAGTGGTCATGAGAGGTGAGATCTCATTATGGAGGTCATGGATCGGGTGTGTATGGTAGTCGTGGGGAGTATTTAAAATACTGGTTGAGATTCCAGGTCTAGTACTACTAATACTTCTGTGAGTCCAAGTGGTAGCCTTCTTGGATGCGTAATTCTGTTTTTGGAAAGTGATTCTTTGACGGAGAGTGTCACGAGGAGCCTCTTTCTTCTCGACGGTGACCGGGATCAGATGGGTCGTTGGGAGGGAGGTCGTGTTCGTTATCGTTGTTGAATTGGTGCTGGAAAATGCAGCACTTGCCGATGAAAATGCTGCTCCAATGGAACCCAATGCATACCCATAAACAATGCCAGCTAAAAGGTTGGTGAATATCAGAAGAAAAGATAACACCACTCTCTTGGATTTTCTATATTTACAAACACGAGAACGTGATTGTGAAATAACAGAGTTCATTGGTTGTTGTTGTTGCGACAAGACACATTGTGTGAAAGTTTCAACAGGATATACACTTACAAGTAATTTTCATACTTTTGGATCCAACTGAGTTGATAGAAAGATTGAATGGGATTTCTCATGTGAGATGAAGCTGTGACCTGGTTCAAATGAATAATTGTTGTGAGTGTGATGTGCAGTTGTTGTTGTTGGCCTGAGTGCAGCTTGCAATTTTTTTGAAATGTGTTGTTTGTGTGACTTCGGCAGACACCGTTTCTTCAAACGCATTTTCCCAAAACAAAAAATGATCCTCTACCCTCGCTATCATCGTGAAAATAGTAATCAACGACAAACGCATCATCAAATTTACTATTCTGATACGAATGAATGCAATAATTATGGAAAATACAAACTTGATACAACGAATGATCGACGAATAAAAACAGTGCTGCATTATGATGACGAGGTAGATGAATATTATTTGTTTCACGAAAATCAAGAACCCGAAGATTTGATGCAATTATTGAATGAACTAGACTGCTATCGATGTTATAATGATGTAGAAAATGCTATCAAATGTATTTATGAATGCATTCGACGATATCCCGATTATTTCTATCTGTATTACAAAGCAAGCTTTTTATATAAATCAATGAAGAGTCAAATGATAGAAACTACAAGATTTTGTAAAATGGCAATACATATTTGCTTGAAACAACGAAACAGATTCTGGAATTTATTACTGCAAGGATTTCTCTTAGAGTTAGAGGACAAGTATTTGGATGCTTTAAATTTATATGAGAAGGCTAAAAAATACAAAACTAAATATACCAATCATGAGTCAGACTTGTTATTCCGAATTGCGATGGTCAAAGGAGATCTTCATCAAATTCAAGAAAGCATTGATTACTTTCTGCAAGCATTTCATTTGCAAAACCAATGCAATCCTACAAACATGTATTATCTTGGAATGTGCTATAACAATATAGGATGGTGTTACAGACAACTCAATGACGACGTAAACTCTCTTAAGTACTATGAAATGGCAATGAATATGTGTGAGGTCTCTCTTTTTTACACGAACAAAATCAAAGCACTTAAGGTTTCCTCTAAATATTCAGAAGCAATTGAATGCTGCCACAAGGCATTAGAACTAACTAAAAATCCCAAGACAAGATGTGAAATTTATTGTGAATTGGGTTATCTGTATCACATTCAAAGAAAGGACAATCTATCGATAGAGGCGTTTGAGCATGCCCTAAAGTCTTTTGATAAGTTTTTTTTTCCGTATGTGATGGTTGCCTCAAAACGACTGAACTTGTCTCAACATCCAATAGAATTACTCAACGAAGGAATAACAAAGTGTGATGATGGGCTCAGTGAGTTAGTGACAATGAGGATGCACATCCATCGTTTCAATGGAGACAAGACTGCTGCTGCACAAGATTCAAGAAAATTAATACAAATTTCTAGAGGCCTGATGTCAAGAATTCATTGAGCCAGGACTATTGTTTGGTGATAGTTAATTAGTGAACTTCTTGTTAGGGAAACGTATTATGTACATATAATTTATTCGTATCCAAAACTGATCTCTGCAGCTCCAATTTGCTTTGCCAACATGTCTCGTTCTCGTTTCATTCTTTCAAGATAAATGGTAAGCTTATCTGCTCTAATGTGTAAATCTTTTTTGTGATTCAATAATTCTTCTTCCTTTTTCAACAGTAACTTGATTTTACCTTCCATTTCTTGATTTCGTCGTGTTAATTGTTCCACTATGGAAGTCATATCGTACAATTCCTTTTCTTTCTTTTCTTTCATTTTACTAAATTCTTCCTTCCAGTATAAATGTTCCTTTTGATGTTTAAGAGTTAGTTGTTGGATTGTGTTTTGAGACTTATTGTATTCATCAAGAGCGATCTGCAACTTTTTCTTCATATCTCGAGTATCATTGGAGGACAGTTCTTGGTGTGACCTTAATGTATCTCTGAGAGATCTTTCGATTTCTTCTTTTTCAAATTTTACGTTTTGACATTGTTGTTCTAGACGGCTAATATGCTCGTTTAACCGTAAATTGATCTGCCGCTGCTCTTCTGCTTCCGATTCCATGGAAATGAATCGCTTCTGCATTTCATTGTACTTGGCATTAAGTTGTTCTCTCTCTTGCTCCCATTGTTGTTGAGTTCTCTTTTGTGAATTTCTCAATCTTTCATATTGCCTCTCTGATTCATCTCTTTCATTCGTAAGTTGAGTTATTTGGTGGTTTAAATCATTAATGACAAATGGAGAATTAAGCTGTTCGGTTTCTGCTGCTTTTATGACCTTTGCAAGTTCATCCTCACACGTTCTTCCGTAATCAAAAGTTTTGATATACAATTTCTTCAATGACAAGTACTTACTTCTTTTCTCTCTTCAGTCGATCCAAGTCTGATTTCAAATGACCATTTTCAAACTGCACTTGTTTCAATTGATCCTCCAGTGCTTGTAGAGATTCGTTGTGTTTCTCTTGGAAATGAGAGGACATTCTCTTGTAACGATCTGTGTAGTCTTGTGTAAGTTTTTTCATTTTCTCCTCTAACCTCTCAATTTCTTGTTCCTTATTTTTTGCGGCTGTTTTCACACTATCTCTCTCAAGCTTGGTGGTTTCTAATAATTCCATTGTCTCCTTTACCTTTTGAAGAGCTTCAAATTCACTTTGTTGATGAGCGACTATTCGTTGTTCCATTTGGCCAAGCTCTAATAGCACTTTACTTTTTTCTTCTTTCAAGTCATCAATTTCTCTAAGGGAGATGGAGTATCGTTCTCGAATTTCTTTACAAAATATTTCTTGTTTTTACACAACCTATTTTGTTGACACTTACCATTCATTTCAATGTCCTTGATATTAATCGTTTTCTCCGTTTGATAGAGACGTTTTCGTTCATGTTGGAGATCATCAATAATACATTTATGCTTCTCTAGTTCATCGTCTAATAATTTACATCTTTGATTACTGGCACTGAGAGCTCGTTCTAAATCAGCCATCTCGTGTTCAAGTTGTTTCACTCGTCTTGTGTCTCGTTTTAAATCTTCTTTTTCTTTTTGCAGAGATGCAATTTTCTTTTTCGCACTTTCTAACATTAATTTCACTCGGTCAGAGTCTCCTGGTACAAAAGGATTAGATTCTGAAAAGGATCTTCTATTTTCATTTCTTAAACGGTCGATTTCGTTTTGCAGCTCTCGTTGCTCCTCGAGCAATAATTTATTTTCTCGGTCTAAGAGCTCGACTCGTTGTTGCAATTCATCCCATTCTTCGGAAGGAATATTGAATGGAATAACAGAATTTTGTTCATTGTTTTTCGAAATTTGTTTTTCAATTAAATTCTTTAGATTTTGTTGAAGTTCTTCGTTTTCCGTTGACACGGATTTAACCTCTGCGTTCAGTGACTCTATTTTTTCTTTGTAAAGTTTGATTTCATTTGACAATTCCATGATTCGATGATCATACGAAACTAATAGAGGATTCATATGTTGAGAATCAAAAAACCATGGTGCAATAATGATAGACTCAGAATGTTCTGCTGCAATTGGTGGATACTTGACTTGATATCTTGCAAGCTCGTCACTCAATCGTTGAACTATTTCATTCAGTCCTTACATAATATTCATAGTAACCAAACACTTACCAACATCCTTTAAATAATCGATTTGAACTTCCAACTCGTTAATTTTTGTTTTCCATGACAACACATCCGGTGTTGATTGAATTTCGCGGAAAGGATCGTCGGTTCGGTTTGAGGGTACCACTAGATCCTTATGAGTTCTCTCCACTTCTTTCATATCGGCTGTACTTCTAGAAAACGGGAAATGTTTTTGATCTCTCTCCAGTTGAGGTCCTCCAATAATCGGAGAGGCTGAGAGGGACATTAAATTACCTCCCAAACCTTTGAGTGATGATCTCTCGGTCGTAAGAAAGGATGTCATTTTTTTTTAATGAAACATTTTTGGCGCCAAAATGAATCATTCGTAAAGAAATGCATAACGTATCATGATATGGATGATTTATGGCCTACAAGAATCCATCACCAATTTCAACTTGTTCTCATGGACTTGTTGTTCCATCTCTGAAAGAATTGAATTCTTACTAAAATCAATATTCAATAATTTCACATTCACGTCGGTCACAGTTTCAAATTCTTCATCCATTTCAATTTGTAATTGATACGTAAATGTATAGAGTGGTTGTAATTGCATATTAATTACTTGTTCAATTCTTTCATGAATAATGAGTGGTCGTTCATGATGAGAATTGGTATAAATTTTTACAATCCAATTTCTTCCTCTAAAATCTTTGAACATAATTCCCATATCGAGAAGAGCTGGTCGTATTTGATTTAAACCTTCGAAAAGTGCAGTTTGTGAACACAATTTCAAGACATGAACGACTGGAGAATTTTCACCAAATGTTTCTTTCAGGAAAATGGAAAAGGATTCAAAATTTTGAATATTCAATGCAAGATTCGAAGAAGAAGAAGAAGGAGATGACTCATCGTCAAGTAAAGCATGTGGATTCAATGTTCGATTCCGCACATGATTCAACGCTCGAATGAGCATTAAGGTTGATTTTCTCTTTTTTTGAAAAGTGACCATTCGATGATATTCTTCTAGAGTTAATTGTTGTTGAGTTTGAAATTCCATGGGTGTTGTTTCTATTGCTGTTTCTGTTGCTGTTGCTGTTGATGTTGTGTTTGTTCGATCATGAGATTCAAATCGATTTGTAATTGAATCTTGATGATCATCCACACCACCACCACCACTACTACTTGCATCTCTTGAATCCACAATCAGCCTGAAATGAGATTCACTCATATTCTGTTGTTGTTGTTGTCCATGTAAAAGATCACTCATATTCTGTTGTTGTTGTCCATTCATTTCCATAGACATGATAGGTTCATCATGTCCATTCATCCTCATCATCGTCATGCTACCATTCATGAAAGGAGTCGAATCTGAATGACAAGAAAACGAGGACAAGACATCTTCATCGGAAAGAGATGAATGATAATGTTCACTTCCAATATTCACACATTTTGATAAATCTGCTAAAAATCTACAACAAATCATGTTAATATCATTGACATCTTTGGAATCTAATTTTAAATGATTGGAATTCACACGAATGGTTTCATTTTCCAATAATGAAAATAACTCGGAATGATTAAAATAGAGAATGGTTTTTTTCACAAGTCGTGGTAAATCCTTAGCAATGGCACTCTTAATTAAAATACCTTCTCGATCCTGAATACATGATTTGATCATACCTTCCTTAATGAGTTGTAAATTAATTTTCTTGAGAGGGTGTGAATGTTTAGAAGTTGTTGGTGGTGTTGTGATTGTTGTTGTTGTTGGTGTTGTGATTATTGGTGTGATTGGTGTGATTGGTGTTGTTGTTGAACCGTTTTGATGACTCGTATTGAAATGAGACTTGTTCAATAATGGTGTGGTAGCATCTCCTTTTTCCAAGGAGAAATGGAAAGATGGTTCTTGTTCTGTTCTCTTCTTCTTTTGTCGATAGATATAAATGGAAATGACAATCACTGAGACAAGTGTAATGAATAAACAAATACCACCCAAAGTAGAGGTTAATATAATGATCAAGACATCACTGTTGGAGATCTGTGTCGTCGATGTGGTTGGTTCTTCTTTTTTTTGTGTTCCATCATCATCATGACTTGTTGTTGTTGTTGAATCGGAATTGAACAAGTGACGAGTAAAGAGTGTTGGAGAAGCATGTGCAAATATAAAGAAATGACTCATCGTTGTGTATGCTCCAAGAGGACTAGTAGTTAGGTCATCATTTGTATGTTGGTTGTTATTGTTATTGTTGTTGTTATTGTTGTTATTATTGTTGTTCACATGTGAAATACAATGACAGAATGACCATATTTGTATAAATAAGAGTAGAAATGTCAACACTAGTGCCACTCCTACTATTGGTAGAGGTATATTATTTTGTACAGAACAATTTGTCGTATGTCTTTTGTGTGAATTCATTCGAGTGGTTGTTGTTGATGTCGACGTTATGGAGGATGTTGTAATTTTGTTGTCGGAAAATTGATATTGACTTGAATGTAAATTGTTATTATTGTTATTGATGAAGATTCCTAGGAGTGGAGTTAATCGTGTCGTATGAGCAAAAAACATAAAAGTTTGAAATAATCTACTTGTCAATTTTGACAGTCGGTTATCAATATTGACCATTGTTGTTGTTGTTGTTGTAATAACAATAATTTTCGACGTGAATTTAAATTTGCCTAGGGATGATGATGAATCTATGAGTCTAATACTCGCAACGCAATAATATCTTTTCAAAATACACTCTTATGTGACACACTTTTGATGGTCTCACTCAATCAATAGCAACAAATTGAGAGAGCGTTTTAGCGACAATTTTTCGAGGATCGGTTGATTTTTTGAGCGTTTCCACTCTTGCCTCTCTGACACCACAAAACTTGGCATTTGGAGAATAGTATTCAAACGTATGCGAATGAATGGTTTATTGTGTGTACGTGATGATGAGTGTCTTTCATTCTCGAGAGTCTCACCACCTCACTCTTTAAAACTCATCTCCACCCATAGCACCTGCTTCAAACAAGACATCTTCCTCTCGAATCGCTCCTAGGACTTCATCATCATTTCCTTCCATGAAGGTGGTACTACTAGATGCTTCATTCTCTTCTTCATCATCATTCTCTTCATCCACCATCATGCTGTTGGAATACTTCCTAGTCTTGGAATCATGATGTTGTTGGCTCGTCGTTTCACCTGCAATCCATTTCCAATCAATGACTGATGGTAATCGAAGTAATTCTCTGATAAACATGGTTGCATACGTGGATGAATCTAGAGAGAAGGAAAGAATGGCTGCCTTTTTCATCTTTTTCATTTCATTATTATTATTACTAATACTATTACTACTAGTATTACTACCACTAGCACTACCACTAGAACTACTTGAACTAGTATTAGAAGAACTACTACCACTACCACTAGAACTAGCACTTGAACTACCACCACTCTTCAATACTTTCAACTTGTCATAATCAGTTTCTACTAATCGTCGACAAGTCTTTTCATCTTGTTCACTATATTCTCTAAATTCATATTCAATATTTTGAGCTTTTTGAATCATGAAACGATAGGCTCCATAGGTTTTAAATTGAGAGACATGAATTTTAAAATCTTCTTCTTGAATACCTCCATGCTGTTTCATAAAGTCCATATAGGTTTGTTTGTTGACAAATTCTGTCGAAGGATATTGAATATCAATACCTGGAATGGTCATGACCACATCATCGATGGAATAGCGTTGCGCTTGTTCTTCACTTTCAATTCTCACAATTGGAGATTCAAAAGTTAATTTCGTATCAAATCCACCTCGTAACACATCGTGTCGAGAAATGACCAAATCTCCACACACGACTTGTAAACCATATTTTTCAATACGACATGAAACCATATGATTATACACATAGGATTGATACGAATGAATGTACATGCTTAGTAAATTCAATGGTAATGCTTGAATGGCAGTCAAATGATCTCGATCATGAGTTTTCATATAGGAACATAACATGATCTTTTCAGTATGATTACGAGATCGAGGTAATGCATCATAACATTCACGTGAAGTAATTTTACCATCGAGAAAATCTTGAAGAGTTTGATTGGAACGTTTGTCTTTGGAAGATTGAGTACTTGAATAAAAGATACATCTTGCTAATTCTTTCCAATCACATTTCAATAAATGTTGTCCTAATAAATACGTTGGACAATCACTGTGATAAATGTTTTTCACACTATTGTAAGTAATACCAAAACGTTGCATTCCGAAATAATTAATAAATCCATATCGATTCAATTGATCAATTCTTTCTTTAAATATTTCTTCAATAGATTTTTGAGATCGAATAGTAGAATCTACTATGGTTGTTTTGAGACTTGTCAAAGAATCTTTGGAATGACTCGTTGAAGAATCTGTTGTTGGAGTGGAAGGGTCATTCATTATTGAAGTGTCCAAGTTGGTGGATGGTTGTTCATTCATGTTCTGTTGTTGAGAAGAAGTCATTTCTGGAAATTTCAAATCTCTCAATACCAATGTAAAACGATTACCACTCAAATCACCCAATCGTAATGGATTTTCAACATATTCAAAATTTCCAACTCGAACAACTTTGTGTTTAAATCGATGATTCACTTGAGAGAGTTTTTCAGCACTAATTTGATAACCAGTTACGAGTTGAGTGGTAATTCCTCTCTTGTCTTTGGTTCCTGCAATTTGGAAATTCTTTTGTTTCAATTTTAAAATTCTTCCAATTTCTCCTAGAATTTCTGTAGTTTCACTATTTTCCTTATAGAGAACAAATTGAATGTAACTAGGTCGATCTTTAGGCCATGCAAATTGTCTTGGATCAAAATAGGACTCACCAGTTGCCAATGATGGTGTTTCATTCTTTTTTGCTCCTTTTCTTTTTTGTCTCTTTTTGGACTTGCTATTATTTTGATTATTCAAAAACAAAGTTTGTAATGTAAAACTATGAAATTGATATCTCAATCGAATGTGTTGTTCATTATCTTTGGTGAGGGTATCTGAAACGAGAGCATGTGAAAAATAAGTTGAAATAATTTTGTGAATATTGGATCGAACAGTCTTGTCATTTTCCTTAATCAAAAGAGTTGGAACATCACTTTCTTCAATTTTCTTTCTCTGTTTTGCAATTTCTTCTAATTTTTTTTCAGTTTCATTTTGACTCGCTAAGAATGCTTCAAAGGATGAAGTAGTTTCGGAATGAGTGAAAATTTTCTTCAATTCTTCAATTCCTTTCAATTCATTTTCTTTCTTTTCTTCCTCAGTGAGTGATAAATCTTTGGAACGTTTGTCTTTGATGTGATCTGGAATGTTAGTATCTGTCAAGTAAATAACCTTTCCATTTCTATCAATTTCATGAACAATAAAATCACTATATTTTTGTTTCATGATACCAGTGAAGGGAGGAAGAGTGAGGTCGAGGTTGGGATGAATGGCAATGTCCACATATTTGGATACGCCAACCGAAGATTCTTCTTCAGAGAATGGAGAAAGTGGATTCTTGTCGACCAGAACATGTTGTTGCTTCTCCGAAGATGAGGAATCCTCATGGTCGAGTTTTACTTTTTTACTATGGTCTTCTTCAACGGCGGTTCTTCTATTCGACGAGGACGCTTCTTCAATTTGTCGTTTCATTCTAATGATGATGACCACAAGGTATGAAATATTTTTTTTTTGATTGTGCATCAATTTACAGGTTCATTGTTTTATTTGCAGTTGTCCGTGTTACCACCAAGAAGCAAATTCTAGAACAAAAAATCACGATGAATTCAAAGAACCATACAGAACCAACATCAGCAACAACAACCTCTGGTTCGAAACCAACATTTCTCGGAAAGAAATTCAATCCCGTGAAAGCCTCATCAAAATATCATCAAACTCTTCCAAGAGATTCATTTTCGAAACGAATTTTCAACAAGGTCAACGAATTATGGAAGACACCAATCGGAAAGAGAATAGTCATATTTGGAGCCATGGCAATGGCATCTTTCGCGTTCGTGTTAGCACCAACGATGAAAAAAGTCATTGCACATGGTAATGAAGATGAATTGGATAATACCACCACGAAACAAGAGGATCATCCTAATGAATAATTACTCATCATAATATATTCAAAAAAGAAGAGGAGAGTAATCATCCAACAACATCCAACTTAATGATAGAATTAATGATATTTAATAATTTCACACAATGTCTCAACATTTTTACTTTTCATGATTTCGATGAACTCCATCCCAAACGTCTGGAGGTGATACAATATAATGGGCACATCGATCCATCATGGTTTGAGTTGCCTTATCCGTTGGATCTAATGGAACACATTTGGTTTTAAATGAAGTTAATGCTTTTGTAAACTGTCCTGCTAAATATTCATTCAATGCATCCTCATAGGGTTGAACAAGTTTGATCCTGTGTTCATAATTGGATCTCGATTTCTGATCGGAAATGAGTTCATACACGGTACATCCTACGCTTTTACCCTTCACTGAAACAGTATCAATCTTTCTGAAAATGAATTCTTTCTGAACATCGGGTTTGGAAGCAACAACTTCACTCACAAGTACTTCTGTTGCATAACTCTTGTTGAGAGATTCTAAACGAGAAGCCAAGTTGACATTATCACCAATGGCTTTGAATATTGGTGAGAATGTCATCAAGATGTATACACACAGATGATACGTTGAATCACACAGATGATAATATGTCCATCACACACACACACACACTCACTCGCACTCACACACATGTGGATTACCAACTACCTACCAGTATATTGAATCCTCCAAATGGATCCTAAATTTCCAATCACACAAGAACCAGAATGCAAACCAATTCTACACTTGAATTGAGCTCTCCCTTTTTCTTGCCACTTCTCTCTGAGAGCTTTCATTCGAATTTGACATTTAAATGCTGCAGTGCAAGCTCGTAGCTGACTATCTTCAAGATATGAAGGAGCTCCCCAGAATGCCATCACAGCTAAAACAAGTCACTTGGATTACTACTACTTTTACCACACACTTACCATCACCTTTACAACGTTCAATATATATCATGAACACCATTCAACCAAACATGAAACAAATCATTTGAAGGATTCTGAATGTGAATTCACAATGTACATACCTATATACTTATCCAATGTACCACCAGTGTTAATGATTTCTTCAGTCATGACATGAAAGTATTCTCCTAATTGCTTGATGAGAATGATAGGAGCCAATTGTTCACTATATTTTGTGAAATCTTCAACATCTGAGAATAGTAATGTGATGTTATCGAATTCTGCTCCTCCTAATTTGATATCAATTCCTCGTTCAACCATTTCCACAATCAATTGCTTTGGAACAAATCTCAAGAATGATCTTAGAGTTGTTTTCATTTTGCTAAAAGCTTCAGACAAGACATTAATTTCTCTAATTTTGGATTTCCACACATTTCCTTTCTGAACTTCCAACTTTGAAATGGCCTTACTTTCATTGGCAAAAAAGAGTAATGGCTTTGAAATGGCAGAGGAAATATAAAAGACAAAGATGACAGTGACTATGGCTGCCATAATACTCACACCAATGTTGAGACATGCAAGAAGTACCATATTACCATTGAAATCTGAGATTGGAAATGACATGCATTTTCATGATCGTATTATTTAGGTGAAGAATTATTTCAGTGAACCATGCATACAAAATGAATCAATTTTTTAACTCTCAATAACATACCTATTTCAGGAGCTGATATAAAAACAATCCATTGCATGTTGAGATTTAGAGAAGCAGTCACAACGTCATACGAGAGAATATACAGATTTGAATTGTAAACATATCTCATGACTCTCCTCTTTTTTTCCAAAATTTCAGCTTTTGTAGAAGGAATTTGTGAAATGAGAATATCCTTGAGAAACACATTCGGTATCTCCTCAGCATTGGGAATTCTGAACCCATTTTCTTCATCTCCCAATACCAACACACTATAATCCTTGTAAGCAACCAATCTCTTTCGTAATTCACCAGTTTCCAAGTTTTCACTAATTTCCATGATTGCTGCAAATCCATTAGCAGACACTTGAAATGATTTTACAAAGGTTGCCAACTCTCGAATGACAACATTCACACTCGTGACTCCCAAATACACAGATGAATTCAGCTTGGAATAGAGATTTTCTTGAAAGCATACATAAACCTTCTCTTCAATATTGGATCCTTGAAGTTGAACATTGATGGGTACCAATGCATATGGATAACGAAGAGACAATTGATAATACTCATCGCCACGAGGATCCCAATTGTCATAGGGCAAATTCGTTTCTTTCATGGAAAGCACTCCATTGTCGGTAAGATTGTACAAGGTTGCAATGGTCGTGTTCTCATCTGGATGAGTCAGCATGTACAATTCTTGAGTGGCATCATAGTTTTTCAAACGAAGATCCATGGCACCACTTGTCTTCTCATCCATGACGAGAGAGGAACTGTTAAAAGAAGCTGCCGTATTCACATAATAATATTCTCCATTCGTAGGAGTGAAATCTACCAAGAAAATGGCATCCTTATTATGTCTGTGAACCAATGAGAGGGATTTAAACATGTTGGCATAGTTTTGAGGACCATGAAAGTAATCATCGGTATCGTGCTGTGTATAATAATAATCTAGAATCAACTGTTTTTGAATCTTGGTGAGCCTTTTGCAGACATTCAAGAAATCTGAGACGTAGCTATCGGCTCGAGATAAAGCCTCGATCACAACACCTTCTTCCACATTGACCGATGAAAAAACAGAAAAGGATATGGAAAGAATCAACAAAATCAGTACGGGAGTTAATGTAAGGATGATCATGGCGGTAAGGAGAGAAGTTCGAAAGCTAAATGATATTCGTGGATGAAAAACACTTGCTGAAACAGTTGAAGATGATGAGTCATAAAGATCAGCAAGTGGATTGGTCTGAGTCTCTTTAAAAGTAATACTTGAAATTAAATTGATGGGTTCTCGACCAGGAGATGAAGGCATATTTTGCTCTGATGTTGGTACATGGCTGATTTGACCTGCAGCCTCTGATGTAGAATAGAAGGATTCCGACGAGGTGGAATATCTCCTAACTTGTACCTGTGGATGTACTCGTGACATTCAAGATGATGATGATGATATGTTAATCAAGGCTAAGGTAGTAGTGTTGTAGTGGGCCGTGATTAAGCGCTTTTTTTAACGAACGACCTGTTGAGGGTTGTTGTTGGTTGCCAGTCTTCAATACTATATTAGGATGTTGAAATTGCTGTGCTTTATTTACAGTTGTTGGAGTTGACGAATGAATGCGAAAAAGTAGGATAATCGGGGATTTTGTGCCAGTTGAGATTGTTCCATTAAGGAATTGGCTAGCTTTAAGAGAGGCTGACTGAATGGACTACCCAATCCATACAAGCCGATCAAGAACTGACTCATCACTTCCTGTTGATGTTCCATTTGATTGTTGGCGAACAAAATTTCGATCGTCTTAATCACATGGGGTATCATGGTTTTGACAACTTCCTTTCTGAGAACTGAGCAAAATTTCACGAGCAATTGAGAGGCCATTTCACACAACTCTTCATCAACTAAACCCACATAGAAGTGATTTTGGAGTTGATCATAAATTGTGAGCCACTCGGATGGCAGAGTATCTTTGAAGACTTTCTCTTCTTCCTCTTCAGAAACCTCAATTTGAGCCACCGAAACACATGCATTCAGAACATCATAATGTTCAATTTCCAAGTGGTCCAGCTGTACTGTTCTCTTTGCAAGCGTTTTTCCAACAGTTAAACTGTCCCAGCTGAATGGAATGCTCATGATTGGGAATTTGTGTTGGCTATTACCAACTTGTAACAATTCTACATGATTCGAAGGCTGTTCCAAAAGGGAAACTCGCTCCTCTTCACTCAACGAGAACAAGATATCAAGGTATAACTCCGAAAAGTGAGTTTCATACTTCTTCAAGTGAGGAGATATATAAGACAAGACAATGTGTTTGAGAGTGGAATTCAATTCCTTATGCAAGATTGTACTCAATAGTTGAACACTAGCCTCCTCATACTCCTTGATGCAATCGATCATGTAGAGCTTTCCAACTTCAGTTAAACATTTGGATCCAAGAACCACAAGTTGAGCTGTAACTTCCCACCAACTGTCGTTCAATTGAGGCTCAATACTTTGAGACCACAAATTTTGCATGACAAATAATAAAGGCTGATTTCGAGATGAAATCTCTTCAGAGTTAGTTGGGATTGCAGGTATGGATTTTTCATCTTTTTCAAAAACCACATCGTCAAAGGAAAGAAGTGTATGAATAATTCCAAGACTTGAAGCTCGTACTTTTGGAGATGGATGACTCAACCCAGAGACTGCTACAGTCATGTATAACTCAAAAAGAGGAATTTGCTCCTCGGAAAGAACAGGACCTGAAGAACCTGCATTGATGGTTAACAAGGACGACTCCATCTTCACCAGCAATGCCATCACGTGCACAATTAAGCTAGAATCCATCTGACCGCATTTCTCTTGAATTTTCAGGAGGGTGTTTCTGTGTGAATGAATATCAGATTTACAAAAACTGTAAATGACGTTCAATACTTCCTCTCTCTTTGTGGGCTGCGAAGCAACAATTTCCAGACACTTTTGGAGTCCAAAATCTTCAAAAACATCCCACGAAGAATCAGGATCCTTTGACGTGAGCTCTAAACCTACTGCTTTCAAAACAGAAACAACACATTCGAACGCATGCGTTTGGCATGCTTCTTTCATGCAAGGAACAAACAGATTCATGAATTTCCAAAATTCTTTTGGTTGGAACGACATTACTTCTGCATAATTGGCAACTCGCTCTTTGATGGCTAAAAACAACGATTCAAGAAAATCGATGGGAAGCTGGTCAATTTTGGCAACAATTGATTGCATTGGGTTCGTTCGGTCTAGGTTGAAGAGGTCCTTCCACTCTTCATTAGATTCTTCAACCAGAGAAACTGCCAAATCATTCAAGTCCTCCATGACACTGTTAAAACCAGATGTCAGTCCTTTTTGTTGAACAACACTGTGGTGGCTATGACTTCGTTGGCTTTGATGGGAAGATTTAGATCTGTTTGTGCTTGAAGACTTGCTGTCTCGTGTAATTTCCAAGGATGGAATGGCATAATTATCTTCCTTGGTCTCAGTGTTTGGTTCCTTTGCTTGTGCAATTTGATTTCTCTTCAAACTCACAAAACTAGAAGGAACAGCTCGGCCATCATCTTTGTGGCTTTTTGACAAGGTAGGTTTAGCAAAATTTGGAATATTTGGTATCACTGGAGGTCTAACTGGTTTTGCTTTTTTGATTCTAATGAGTTAAAAAGAAATTATATTTTGTAAGTTCTTCCTGCTAAATACTCACGTTTTGTCGGTAAGAAATGAGTAAACCTCTTCCAGTACTTGATTTAACGAATTTGGTCTACAAGCAATAAGATCGTCGATAACTTTCCGCGAAATATTTACAGCATGTTTCCTAAAGAATTTTTCGAGTTGCTGCCAATTATCAAGTTTTGCTTTTACACCAACTCCGACGTCAAAGCTATGCATTTCAACTTCGTTTGGATAATATCTGGAGATCATTTCAGCGACTAAAAATCCATTTGAAAAATCTCGTCTCATATTCTTGATCGAGTATGACAGATCAAGAGACTGCATCCATTTCAATATTTCTCTTGGGACGCTCATTGTTGATGAAACTGATTTAGTGCGTTAATTTTTTTTGTTGTAGTTCAAAGCGGAAATGTGTATTTGGCGCCAAAAAGTTTCGTTAGAGATGTATATTTAACAATAAATAAAAAATTAACGAAATGCTTCACTCTTCCAACTTGCGATCGTCCTTGCTTGGTCCGAACACCACCACAGACACCAACAAGGAGAACATTACACCTCTCATTGCTGCTAAAAAGATACATTCATCATCCACCACACAACCTCTCAAGAAGAAAATCGCACACCAACCATCAGAAGCTCCTCTCAAGTCAGCAAAACAAAAATTCGATGTTTCACAACAACAAAACAAAAGAACCTTCTCTGAAGCGCTCAAATCTACTTCTAATACTCAACGTAATCATGTACACAATACTATCAATCTCTCTACTCGATCCACAAATAGTCCTTCCAAGAAGCACATGAAATTTTCTGTATTTGATGATTCGATTCAGTCATTGACATCTTTCAAACAGACAAAGCCACAACAACAACAGCAACAACAATTTGAATCATCCAAACCCCAACAACCTTTCAGAGCACAGAGCACGTGTGTTGTTGATTCTGCTGTCCATATTGACTTGGTCGATGAAGAAACGATTATCGCTCCCTATGAACAACAGATTAAGAAATTACAAGAAGAAATTCAAATATTACAAAATGATCGATCGTATTATCAGTTACTCTATCGAACTCTGGCAACACAGAGTGAACAAGATTCGAATCATCCTTCACGACCTTTGAATCAGACGACCCAAGACAACCAACCTTCCGACTCGGAGTTATCATTAAGAAAACAAGTGTCATCCCTCACCAAAACAGCCTCTCTCCTCCGAAAGCGTATTTCCATGCTGACCATGGAGAAGCAAGCCTTGCAAGAAGAAATGCAACTTCATAGAGAAGGTGAAAAAGTGTTGAGAGAATTAGTACAACAAGAATCTGAAAAACAATTGACTCAACTTTCATTTGAGATTGAGTGTTTGCATCAAGAGAGAAAAGACATGATCAAGAAACATGAAATGGAAGTGAAACAATTGGAAGAAATTGGAAGAACAAATCAAAGAACAATATGAACAACAATTACTCGACTTGACCAAGAAATACTCGTCTTCATGCCTGGCCAGTACGAACGTCGAATAAATGTGTGTCAAGCAATTACATGCCTGGCCAGTACGAACGAATAAATGTGTCAAGAACAACAACCTTCAAAATAAAAACATGGAGTCATCAAAAAAAAATGTTTTTTAAGCGTACGATTGTTGCTGCTTCGAATCCGAACAACAACTCGCCTTCCAACAACAATAATACTACTAACAACACAACGACGCAACCTGCAAATGATCGTGGTGGACCTATTTATAATTTTGATCATACATGGAAACATTTGAAAGAAGGAATTAACAAGCTCGTAGAATTCCTCGATTCCAATCTAACCAAACCATTTAATTATACGGAGCATATCTCACTCTATAGGTATGTTTCGTGTTATTATGAAATAATTTTGAAATAATAATAATAATGATAATGTGTGTAATGATGATGATGACACGCCTTTCCATTACATGGACATTTACACAACACGGAATGAATGGTTCATTCACAAAATCATGTAACAAAATCATTTACTACACCATATATTCATCAATATATTCTCTGAATTCACTGATCTTGACCATATATGATCATTCATATATACACACATCATCTTTACATCAAAAATATACACACATCAAAAATATACACACATCAAATATACACACATCAAAAATATACACACTACACCTAAATCCATGGACTATCTATTCATTCAGTGATGTCTACAATTTATGTACTCAAAGAGTAGATACTGGTGATCCCTTTCTCCATGCAGCTGAATTACTCTATGACAAACATCGAAAATGTGTTTCCGAATATTTAAAACAAAAAGTCATTCCTTCTCTCAAAGAAAAACAAGGTCAAATACTACTCACAGAATCTATCAAGAGATGGAAAGATCATCAATTAATCATCAAATACTTGTTGAAAATATTTCACTATTTGGATCGATTCTACACCAAAAACAATGGAAAAGATTCCTTGCGTGAAGTCGCTCTCGATTTATATTTTGAAAAAGTTTATATGAAAATTAAAACAGATTTAGCACAAGCCATTTATGATAAAATTCAAAATGAAAGAGATGGTGAAATTATAGATCGATCCATTCTCAAAGATGGAATTGCAATCTTCATTGAAATGGCACAAGAAAATAGACCATTAACCTATGAAGAGGATTTTGAAAAGAAATTGTTACAAGAAACTGAATTATATTACAATAGACAAAGTTCAAAATGGATTGAAGAAATGAATTGTGTTGATTATATGAAGAAAGTAGAAGAGAGAATAGCAAGTGAAGAACGAAGATGTTTAACTTATTTGGCACCTCAAACTAAACCCAAATTGATGTCTGTTGTATATGATGAATTAATTAGAAAACATCAAATGACCATGATCAATATGGAAAATTGTGGAATGATTTCATTGTTGCAAACCATGGCAAAGGAAGATTTGAGTCGAATGTTTAAATTTTTTGAAACGATTCAAAATGTGAAACCAATGGCAGACAAGTTAGAGACTTACATTCGAGAAGAAGGCATCAAATTGTTAGAGTCTTTTGCAAGTAAGAGTGTTATTGATGTGAAGGGTTATGTTGAAGGGTAAGTTCATGTTTTATATATACATGTAGATATTCAACCAACATGAAATGATGGAATAACAATTTTTATCATCTATTCAGATTATTACAATTACATGATACATTTTTGAAATTGGTCAATGTTGAATTCAAAAAGAATGCTCTATTTTTGGAAGCCATGCATAATGCATTTGTCTATTTTGTGAATATGGATTTAGTATTATCGAATACTACTACTACAAATACTACAAATACTACAAATACTACAAATACTACCAACACTACAAATACTACAAGTGGTAGTAATAGTCAAATAAGTGCTCCACAACCCACTTCCAGTGATCCCTTCTCTTCTTCATCACTTCTAGTCTCTACCAATCGATCCTCAGGTGCTGAATTAATCTCTTCCTATTGTGATATTGTGATGAGAGAAATAGACAAGTATGATGAACTCAAAATTGATGAACTTTTTGAAAACATTGTTCGTCTCTTTGGTTATTTGAGAGATAAGGATTGTTTTGTAGAATTCTATCGAAGACAATTAAGTAAGAGATTAATTGTTTCATATCACAGCAAAACTAGTTCCTCACGAAGACTCTCTTCAGATTATGATTCTGAACGATTGTTGATATCAAAACTTAAAATCAAAATGGGAGCACAATTTACTTCCAAATTAGAAGGAATGATCAAAGATAAGACTCTCTCTGAAGAACTTGCTACAGCCTTCTCTGAATATTTAAAGAATAAGAGTCTAACATTACCATTAGATTTTACACCACAAATATTAACCACTGGATTTTGGCCAACACTCAAATCAGATCCAATGAATCTCTCGGAAGAATTTACAAAATGTGTGAATGTATTTAAAGATTTTTATGATTCAAGAACAGAGAGTCGATCATTGAAATGGATTCATTCTTTAGGTATGTATGATTTGGGGTGTGTTATTCTTGAAAGAGTTTGTATGAATTTTATTCAACTGTTTATATGAATTTTATTCAAAATGCTTGTATGGATTTTATTCAACTGTTTATATGAATTTTATTCAACTGTTTATATGAATTTTATTCAAAATACTTGTATGGATTTCATGATCTTGGTATATATTTTATGTAAAACAATGATTCTTGGTATATATATTTGATTGTAAAATAATTCTTGGGATAATCATGAATGAATGCATCATTTTCGTAACAACATTAGGTACCTGTCAAATATTAGCAAGATTTATGAATGGTGATCGAGATATCATGCTCAATCAATATCAAGCCATGATTTTACTGTTATTTAACAATTCCAGTGAATTGAATACTTTACAAATTCAAGAATCACTTCAATTACCACTCGCAGAGATCAAGAAGAATATCATGGCATTATGTGCTTCTAAAAACGCTAACATTTTACTCAAGACTGGAAATGCCAAGACTGTTTCCAATGAAGATGTTTTTAGTGTCAATGTTAATTTCACTTCCAATAATAGAAGAATCAAAGTACCAAATCTTGTCATCAAGATGGATGTCAAAGAGAGAGAAGATGTCGATCGAACCACTCAAGAAGATCGTAAACATGCCATTGAGGCTGCAATTGTTCGTATTATGAAATCAAGAAAACAATTGGATCATCAAAATTTGGTATTAGAAACAATCAAACAACTCTCTTCACATTTTTCACCTGATCCCAAAATTATCAAGAAGAGAATTGAAGATTTAATTTCAAGAGATTATTTAGAAAGAGATTCTTCAAAAGCAAATGTCTATCGTTATTTGGCATAAAGTTGGTTGAATTCAAAGGTGAAAGAGCTTCTTCATTTGATGTGTCAAGCTGTTGAGTGTGTTTTTGTCGTGTCTGCTTGTTTAATATCAAATTGAATTGCAATTCCAGCAAAAATATACCCGTTCCAGAATATTACGGATTATGTGTTTTACAGTGTTACCAGCGTTGAGAGTACGCTTGAATCGAAATTGATTCCCATATCCGTTCAAAGGTACCTTTGAAACAGGCAGAAAATAGTACAAATTTCAACATTGCTTTTGAAAAAAAACTTCACAACAAAATGTCCGTAACCAAAGCCTTGATGAGCAGCAGCCTTGTTGCCGCTCTCTCCTTCGCGATGATGATGACGCTGCTTGCCTCACAGGTCGTAGAAGCCAATGAACAAGCCATGACTGCTTCACCAATTATTCTCAATTCTGGTGGGCAGACGGTTAGTGGCTCCGTTTCCTCTGGTACCTGGCAATATTATGTGATTTATGTAGATCCATTGAGCTCAATGACTGTTACTTTGAAATCATCCAATCAAATCTCTCTCTATATGAAGAGTAATTCTCAACCAACATCTTATAATTATGATTATGTTTTAATGTATTCGGGCGAACAAAAATCAATTCTCACTCTCAAGAATCAAACCTCTAACGTTCCATATTATTTCGGAGTTTATGGAAGAGGCTCTTTCTCAAATTCTTTTTCTTTTGATGTGAGTGTCACGACTGTGGAAGGCTTGGCTAATTGGATCATTGGTCTTATTGTGGCTGGTGTGATCATTGTGCTCGTGTGTTCAATTTTGAGTGTGTTGATTCCAGTACTTGTGTGTTGCGGTGTTTTGACTTGTTGTGGATTTGGTGCTGCAGCTGCTGCCAGTTCAAGTGGTGGTAGTAGTGGTGGCGCTACTCGTTATCATCACGTTCACAATAATGTGGTCTATACAGATACTCAACCTATTTTGCAACAACAACAACCTCCTCAATATTATCAACAACCACAACAATTTTAACAAATTTCATTGAATCCATGGATTGAACACGAAGAATTTCTGCTGAAATTTCAAATAAAATCCAAACTTGAAAGCACTAGTCTCCTTCCAAACATTTGTTTACAATCATTGTTGTGTAAAAACATTTATAAAGGAACTATTTGTTGTGGTATCGACGGTGATGGTCGTCGAGTCACAGAGTTTGTTACAAAAATTGAAAAGTGGTTTTGGAAATTTGCACGAGTAGATATATGCTCAAAGAGAAATATTGCGCGAGTTCAATCATTGGCATGAAGGTTTACATGATCAAACAATCCTTCTTCTTTTTATCACCTTTTGATCCCTTTCCGCCCTTTCTTGTACCATTACCACCACTACCATTACCTCCACTGGATGATTCCAATTCCTTTTTAGCTAACAAATTCTGATAATGTGCCTCAATGACACATTCAAATACTTCAGCAAGTCCTTGCATGGTCTTGGCTGAACACTCTCTATAAAAAGCTGCACCAATTTCCACTTTCATTTGTTCACCTTCCTTCTCCGTGTAGGGTGCTGTTGCTTTTTGTGAGAGTTTTTTTCGAAGTTCAGGATCATCTCTCAAATCAATTTTAGTTCCAACCAATACAATGGGTGTATCTGGACATGATTGTTTCAATTCTGGAATCCATTTCGATTTCACATTTTCTAATGAGCTTGGATTTACAACACTAAAACACACCAGAAATACATTTGTATCAGGATAGGAGAGTGGTCTTAATTGATCATATTCTAATTATTGAAAGATGTCATGGTGTAATTAGTGTGGTCATTACGTGATTTCGAGGTGTGTACACCATGGAGTGAGTGTCACATTCATGATGTGCATCGCCCAGCCGCACACGCACACACACATCCAGTCATTCCATCGTTTTTTATGTGTTCGTTCCATCAATGATGAATCACAATTTACAAAATATGATACACCACCAATGATTTGAGTGTTCATTTTGAACAATAACATACCTTCTTGACCCGCTGTATCCCACAGAGCGAGTGATACTGTGTGGCCTTTAAATTCCACATTGCTACTATAATTGTCACAAATGGTTGGAATGTATTCTATGAGTGTCATGAAGAGATGGATTTCATGAATCATGATCATTTCAATTTACATATGTAATTTGAAAATGTATATATATTTATAAAAACACTCACCATCTGGAAATTCATTGTTACTGTATGATAACAATAGACCTATTGTTTTAGTAGTAGTATCAACGTTGAAGAGGAATGACAAGGATGTTGTTGTCATTTAAAAAAGTAGAGTAGTATCAGTAGTAGCAGTCCAGAAGTGGTTAAAAGCAAGTGAAATGGAGAAGTGAGACATTCATTCGTTCAGTATCATTACAATTTAAATTTCCAATTCATTGTCCAAATCAATGATTGTTTCACAAGGTTGTTGATTTGATTTGGAAAGAGAGTGTTACAACCATAAGTATATTATGATTATTGGTTGAATCATTCGCACATACACATACACACATCATTACGTAATGATGATGATAATATGGTTGGCAGTCACATCACACAAGAATGACCAATTATTATGATCAGAATCATTAATGATTTCAAAATTAATTTCGTTACAACAACAACACTCATCTTCCTAATGGAAAGTACTTACATGTTTTACCGACAGCACCATCACCAACGACTACACATTTGATTTGATCATAGTTGCCTTCTTCTTGTGAATCATCGTCTGTCATTTTTATAATGGTAGAGGAGGAGTGTTGTAATGATGATGAGAATGGTATTGATAATATTATTTGATAATAATATTGGAAATGATGATTTGAATCTGTATGTACACACAAGGTATGATGATGGCAGCACCAGAACGATGAGAGAGAATTTGGCCAATATTTTTTTTACAGCTACAGTTGACAGGTGATGTGATAGGTGTTTTCCATGTTCTGTTGAGCAGTTAGATCCATGACTCTGATGGTGCAAACACATTCGGTTCTTGTTGTTGTGAAGAGGTTTTTATTGAAAAGATTGATTTAGAAATCATCACATTCATCCCAATACACGGACATGTCATGAAAAATTTTGCTGCACACAGCGTTGTGGTTGTTATTGTTGTTCGACAATGAGAAACAAAAAACTCGTTGTCGCTGATGATGTCACTGTGTGATTGTTCTTCTTTGCAGCAGCAGCACAACACGAATTCAAAAAAATGGCTCCTTCTCAACACAAAACTCTTCTTCCACTCTATCAACAATTAAGACAAGCCATTGATGAAGAAGATGAAGATGTTATTCATTCCACTCTCGAAAAGTGTATGTAAATTTGAGATGAAATTTCTTGTAAACATTCGGATGTACTTTTAAATATGAACAAAACAACCCATTCGAATGATAATCACTGACTGCATCATCACTACCATCACTACTATCACTCTTATAAAATCATTCTAGTACTCTCTTCCGATAAGAATTTATCCTCCAATGGTATCAATGAATTAAAACAATGTAAAACTATTAATCTCATTCAAAGAGGAGAATTTCAAAAAGCATTAGACTCGATTGGTAATAATTCTCTCAAAGCCTCTCTTCCAAAGATTTATTGTTTGTATCGTTTGAATCGAAGCGAAGAGGCTTTGAAAGAAATTTCAAAATTAGAACCATCGAATGATACGTTGTTGTTACATTTAAAGGCTCAAATTGTAAGTAGTATACGATGTGGAATGTCCAAATTGTAAGATTCATTTGTTTGATACAATCATTGATACTTCTCTCATCTTTCATTGATACAATCATTGATATATTTCTCTCATCTTTCATTGATACAATCATTGATACTTCTCTCATCTTTCATTGATACAACCATTGATATATTTCTCTCTTCGTGATACAACCATTGATATATTTCTCTCATCTTTCATTGATACAATCATTGATATATTTCTCTCATCGAATCTCAACACGTGTTTCATTCAACGACATTTACAGTACTATCGTATGGGAAGTTACAATGAATCTTCACAAATCTATGAATCCATTCTTTTCAAGGAATATCCCAATGCATCGAATAACTCTGTCACTATTGATAATGATGAATTACTCACCAACATGAGTGCCTCTTTCACCATGAATGGTAATTACCAAAAAGGTATATCCATTACCAAACAATCGGATCATAATACTCATGAATTAGCTTACAATGCAGCATGTGCATCCATTGGATTAAAAGATTATGAACAAGCTGCCAAGTATTTAGAATTTTCAAAGAAATTATGTAAAGAAGAGGATCAAAATGAATTAGCATCCATTATGGTTCAATTAGCATTTGTGAGATATTTGAATGGACAAGTCGAAGAATCTAAAAATATGTTTGAACAAGTGTTTAAAAACAATTCATCCAAAGATAGTGTGGCATGTGCTGTTGCAGCCAATAACTTGGTTGCTATTCAATCAAATCCATCTTTGAATCCATCTCTATCATCCAATGATGTGTTAGATGCTCAAAAGAAATTGAAATATGCCTATCAAGATAAATTACAAGGAAAATTAACAACTCAACAGATTAAGGGAGTTACTTTGAATAATGCACTCTTATTACTTCAAATGGGAAAGTATGAAGAATGTGAAAAGGTTGTACAATCAGAATTGATGACTCAAGATCAAGAATTACCTACATTGATTCTTTCCTATATTTACTTGAAACAAAAGAAATTGAAAGAATCTATTCAAATATTAGAAGAATATTTAAAAGACAAGAATCCATCCGATACTGTTCAATTAGCTCTTGCTCAATACTATTTACAACAAGGAACACCAGAGTACTACAAGGAATGTATTCGAGTATTGAATCAATCTAAATTTAGAAATCAGAAAGGAGTTGAAAGTTTATTAATTGCTCTCTATATGAAATTGGAAGATGTGGATTCTGCTATGGATCTCTTTCAGAAATCTCTTACCATACTAGTACCATCGTTGTCGTTGTCGTCGACCACAACAACCACCACGACAACTACGAGCAGTTCTACTAGTACCAACCAACACACCATTGAAATGGCTACTGAATTGGCACGTTTACAAGTGGCACACAAAAAGTACAAGGAAGCAGCCTCTACCTATGAAATGTTAACCAAAATTGATCCTTCGAATGTTCAACATTTGGCAGGTCTTATCGATGCCATGTCCTATTATGATATTGATGCTGCTGAGAAGTATGCCAAGAATTTACCGGTCAATGAAAAATCTCTATCATCCGTTGTACACACATCATCCATAGAAGAATTGGAAAAGACAAGTTCAGTGAGCATGTTCTCATCATTGAAATCCACCAATGATTCCTCTTCTTTAATCATTCATTCCATTTCATCATCCTCAAGTCAGATCACACAGAGACAATCCAATGCTCTTCAAAAATCAGATGAAAAGAAGAAACGAAAGAAGAGAAGAAACAAATTACCAATTAGAATTGCACAAGATACAAGAGAATTTAAATCAAGATGGGAATCCAAGAAGAAGCAAGTGGTCAAGACTGGAACTGGATTTGGTCATCAAGGCTCCTCAGACGTTGAAGCTCAGAAAGCAGTGTTGCACAAGAAGGGTCAAAAGACAATATTAACACCTGAACAAGCTGGATTGAAGAGTGCTAGTAGTAGTTCTAGTGGCACCAAGAAGAAGAAAAAGTAAATGTTAAAAAACTGTTGAAATGATCATTTAGTTGTTGTTGTGAGATGGATTATTATTATTGTTCAATTTGAGATCCCAACAAAGCTCATGTCGCCTCACCAAATCTTCAATAAAAAAAATGAGTCGATCCGTTTTGGAATTTCAACTTCGTCTCTTTGATGAATATGTTCAACAAGTGGAGATCTCAACAACAACACAGGAAGGAATGAACAATTCCACAAGTAATGTGGATGACACTGATCACATGATCGGAGGTGAAGCAAACACTCACGAGGAGAAACAAGAAAAGAAGAACACAAAGAAACAACTCCGAAAAAAAAGAGATGAAAAGAAACATGCCAAAGAATCACTTTCTGACAAGGTGAAAAAAGATTCAACAAAGAAATTAAATATTTATAAAGAAAATGTTAAAATTATGAAAAGAAAGAGAAAACAATTATTGGCAAACAAACAATCACAATTATTGGAATTACTTACAAAGAAGTGAATGAAGAGTCTCAATGGTGACCTCATAAATTTTTACATTGAAGAGTTTTGACCTCATAAATTTTTACATTGACTTTTGGAAGATTTCAATTTTGACCTCATAAATTTTACATTATTACAAATGGTATTATAGATCTTTATTTCAATCTTGATAAATCATCTCTACTAATGTGTAATATTCCACCTTTCCATTTACCAACTAATCCACCTTTACCATACTTGGATTTCATTTGAGCTTGACCTACTTCATTCGGTGCTCCATATTTGGCATTGAATTTTCTTGATTCATTTTGTTTACGTTGTTGTTCCATGAGACGTTTCTTTCGAATTTGTTTTTTATCTAAAATTCCATTTCTTATCATTTCTCTCGTTTCTTGTCTTTCTAATTCTTTTTCATGTTTCTTTTGATCTTTAAATTCTCTATAATTGATATATTGAGGTTTAGATGATTTAGTCTCGTCATGATCTTTTCCTACAAGTCTATATTCTTCTTGCATCATTCTTTGAATTTTTAATTTAGATTGATCATCTATGAGATGAGGTTGAATCAATGATGTTTTTAATGTCGCTGTTGTTGAAGATGACGATTCATCCTTCTTGTGATGTGTTTGATGATAAACAAATTTCTTCATTTCAAATGTTAATTGATCCATTTCTTTTTGAATTTCATTCTTTCTTGAAATGTATCTATTATTTTCAATATCAAATGCATCTCCTTGTCTTGTTTGTTTCAAATCTAAACTCTGTTCTTTTAATTCATTCATAAATTGTAAATGTTTTTGTTTTTTTAATTCTTTTTTTTGAGAAATGGTCCATGCAAGTGGAGATTCTTTTCCATCCAATGAAGAATGAGAATTTTGATTGAAATTCTGTATTTTTGATTCCAATGATTGAACATTGACCATATTGGTAAATTTCATTACTTTTAAAGGTGTTGACGGTATGGTAATTGGTAATTTCTTTTTAGAAGTGTTGTTGTCATGATTCATGTGTGATGATGATGTTGATGATGATGAAGAATGAATGGTGGTATTATAGAGTGATGAATGTGATGATTGTACACGAGTACTACTACTACTACTTGGAGTAGTATCGGAATGAACTGTTAATGACGACGATGAGGACGAAGATGAGGACGAAGATGATGATGATGGATTCATTCTTCGTAACTTGGCAATCTTTTGAGCCAATAGTGAATGATTCTTTGAAGAGAGTGAGGATGATGGTGGTGGCATGATAATTTTTATCAATGGAATTGTGGTGTGCTTCAACAATTTCTTTGAGAGTGCATTCACCCACACACACACACACGAACGCATAAAAAAATGTCTGGACAATCACATCACCACACAACCACAACAACCACAACAACCACAACTACCAACACCACCATGGACTCTCAAACAACTTCTCAAACAACACTAAAACCCGAAGAGGCTCAAAGTTTTGAAGAATTAATTTCATTTTGTGAACATGAAAAATCAGAAATTCAAATCACTGCACTCTCTCATCTACTCTCCATCTTTAAAAATCATTTACAATATATCAAGTATTTGAAATATCATTCTCGATTAATGGAAAAGTGTATGAAAATACTAGTGACATTGATTGAGAACAGTATGTTACCAACGAGTCGACCATCGAGAGAGATTCAAACATGTAAATTAGCTTTATCATGTCTCATTATTCTATCTCAAGATGAAAGTACTCTCTTATTGAATGAAATGGTCAAGAATAATATTATTGAAATTTTAACAAGACCATTGGATCATTTTAAATCCACCAATGATGTTCCATGTACATCATCCAATACAACACAAAATACAAGTACCATCATGGAATATGTGTTATTATTACTCAGTAATTTGACATCATGTTCAGAACAAGCAAGATTGAAATTTCTTCAAATGGATGGAAATTTGAAATCTATAAGACTTGATCAATTGAAAATTAATAAGAAGGATGATAGGAATGATGATGATGAGAAGGATGATAGGAATGATGATGAGAAGGATGATTCTGACTCTGATTCAACTTCTGACTCTGATTCAACCAGTAGTAGTAGTAGCAGTGATGAAGATGATAACACTCCTCGAGATGAAATTATTAGAAAATTATTGAATTATTTCATGAATCATAGACAACAAACACTCTCCAATCAATATTCGATATCTCTTCAATACTCTTATTTAATACCAACCATATTAGCTAATTTAGCTGTCAATGATCATGCCAAACATGCAATGACAACCATAGTATCATCATCATGTTCACATTTACATACTCTTTTATTTCATAATAGAAATATTAACTTATTCCAAAGTCATGTGGATATTCATGAAGATCAATGTATGAGAAGAAGAGCCATACTCTCTCTATTGAAGAATTGTTTATTTGATAAAAAGAATATTCGATCCATTCTATTGTATCAAACGACTCGTCAAGTTGAAAATTCTAATAAGAATTCTACTATTACTCGTGAGAATTCATCTACAAGTAATCATTCGATTCATGAGAATTCATCTACAAGTAATCATTCGATTCATGAGAATTCATCTACAAGTAATCATCATGAAAAGAATATCATGATGGATGAAAACTCTTCAACCATTCAAGTCATGGATTTAATTCTCTATCAATTAACACCCAATCTATTTCCTTCATATATTCAAAAAGTTGCTGCTGAATGTTTGATATTAATCACACAGACACCATTTGGATTAGAATATTTATCAAGTAAGAAGAAGGATTATTTACAAAAGATTAAGGAATTGAAAAAGGGTTCGAATCGTTTGGATACAACAACAACTAGTAGTAGTAGTAGTAGTAGTAGTGGTAGTAGTAGTAGTAGTGGTAATAGTAGTAGTAGTCATTATCAACTTTTAGATCAAGTCATTCAAAGTGTTGAAAATAGAAACATGATTCGACCAGGATCATTGGTGAGAGTGGATGAGAATGGTCAAATGGTGAACATGTCAGCCACTCTATCTGAAACAAACATGGAGAATAATTCAACAACAACACCTTCTTCTTCTTCCCTCTCCGAAGCAGCAGCTCATGAAAAAACCAATGAATTCTCCTCTCAAGAAACCTCATCAGAAACACAATTCAATGATTTAGATTAACAACAACAACAAATACAAAAAAACATCAGCAACAACAAACTTGATCAAGACAGCTGTGTGTACGACAGTAGCACACGATCCTGTGTTGTACGCACACATCTAATAAAGATCATTACATACTATTGGTGAGAACAAGAGACCTTTTTCGGTTTGCTTTTGCTTTGTAAAACTTGGTTTCACGGAATTGCAAAAAAAAAATATTCAACAACAAATGTCCAGACCAAAAGTCTTCTTTGATATTACCATTGGAAACAACCCAGCAGGTAGAGTTGTGATGGAATTGTTCAACGATGTAGTTCCAAAGACTGCTGAGAACTTTAGAGCCTTGTGCACTGGTGAGAAGGGATTCGGATACAAGGGATCTATCTTCCATAGAGGTATGTATGAAAGTTTTGAGTGTGTGTGTGTTGAATGATCATCATCCTTTCATCAATTGTAACCACCACAACAATTATCTTGTACCATTCTACAATGCCAAACCACTTTGCTTTGACTCGATGAAAATACATGAATTTTGTTAATATGGCTTAATTCTGAAAATAGTCATCAAGCAATTCATGATTCAAGGAGGTGACTTTACCAACTTCAATGGTACTGGTGGTAAGTCCATCTACGGAACCAAATTCGAAGATGAGAACTTTAAGATCAAGCACACTGAGCCTGGTTTGTTGTCTATGGCCAATGCTGGTAAGAACACCAACGGTTCTCAATTCTTCATTACCACTGTTCCATGCCCATGGTTGGATGGTAAGCACGTTGTCTTTGGAAAGGTTGTTGAAGGAATGGAAATTGTTACTCAAATTGAGAACTCAAAGACCAACCCAAATGATAAACCACTCCAAGAAGTTAAGGTTGCTGATTGTGGTCAATTGTAAATGATTTCGATGCAATAAATTGTTTGACATCGTTGTCTCCACATGATAATGTTATTCATCGACGATGTAGTATGAATGTTGCAAAATGCAAAACCCAAGTTAAAGCATTTCACTGCCATAGTCTTCATATTCTAATAAAATGTTTTGATAAAACTGAAACGGAGGATCGTTTTGATAAAACACATCTCTAAGCATTTGACAAAGTGGCGAACAGCACCACATAAAGGACTAACTACGTTCAGACCAACAACTATTCATTTTCTTTCAAAGAGTTAGTAATTCTCACACCATAGAGGTAACTTGTTTCTGATGATACTCCACATCTCTTGGCCATGTAGAAAATGAATCATGTGCACAAACCAAAATCTCAATACGGAAAGAGAAACGACGTATTTTAGGAGATATGCAAAAGAGCTAACAACTATCTTTAAGTGTAAAACAGGACTATACTACAGTGTTATTATAGTCAACTACATCTTGACATTAATCACATAAGATATCATCAAAATAATGAATTACTGTTATATCAAAATAAATCTTATATTCATTCCAATATAATACTTTCTACATTTTAACCCTTTTGACTGCAGTTACCAATGATATACACCACTGTCGAATATAATAACAACAGTTACATAACTTCGGATTACATGCATCTGGTAAGTGTTGGGCTGCTTCTAATAATAGACTCTATGCGGCACCAGTACTGATGTATCTCGCTGCTTTTGCGGAAGGAAGCCAAACGATTCATGCAACTTGTTTTCAGTTATTAATCGATGCAATAGGAGGTGGTACTTTTGAAAACAGTAAATACCTCTTCCCAACATGTGATAACCAAAAGTTAACGAGTGGAAGTGTAACATAGGCAGTGAACAACGAATTTATTCACAAACAGAACTTGCAAAAAACATCACAGTTTAACAGCTGTGTACAAAAACAAAACATGGTTAAAAAATTTAGTGAGTGTGGCTGTAAATGTTAGCGATACTGAACAAGATCGATCAAAAGAAAATGTATCTGGTGTTGGGTTGGTGTTGATGGTATTGATGGAGGTAGAGTAGTACAGATAATGATAGTTGAAGTGAATGGATAGAATTTTGATGATGTTTTGTGGAATATATCTGTGTTCTAGAGTTGCAGCTTAACCAAGACTATTTACGCAAGTACAGTAACCATTGATATATTTGATCCCAGCGGTACATTTACATAAGGAGGTTCAACAAGGCATTTCAATCCTGAAACATCAGCATAGCTTGCGACAAAACGCTCGTCATCAACATCCAGCTGCCCATAAGATCTAATTGCTTGAAGAAGGGCACCGTTGAATTTTGAAGAGAAGAAACGTGCAATGAAGAACCAACACTGTTGGATTCAAGATTGAAACTGGCAGCCACTGTGCCATTTATTTTGAACTTTCAAACATTGGATTGACTTGACTGAGCAATGATTTGTTGAGCTCTTGGGGATTGCAACACGTTTGCTCTGGGTGAGTGTAATTCAATTTCAATGACTTCATTCTTTTCATCTTTCAAGTTTCCATAATAGCTAAAGTTGGTGTCAAAACTTGCCTCATCCATCATGTCAAAATAACTATTTTCATAAGCATAATCTTTCATTTCAGCATCTTGTTGAATTCTCTTAGACAATCTCTTTTCATTCAATGATGATATTGGTTGCAAACCTGTCATGGTCAATCGTTGTTGTGGTCTTGATCGTTGCAAAGAAGATGATGCAAACGTCGAATTTGAATATCGACCATGAGACTTATCCTCATATGAAAGTGCATATAAATTTCTCCTCATCCAAATCAATTTCCTTACGAGTGGAGTGAGGAATAACAATGCACACACACCCAACACACCCACTCCATTCACCACATACAAAACAATACTTTGTGTTTGTTCAGAGAGAATCCAAGAATCTCCAAACTCATTACCAAGATCATTCATTCTCAATAAATAATATCCAAATAATACATTAAATGTTAACAATAAATGAATGATACCACTGGAAAGAGAATCACTCAATTCAGCATAGGGTCTCAACACCATACAATACAATCCCATTAAGAATAACAATCCACTGGCAATAGGTGCTTGAATCCATGTATGAGTATTTAAAAAAGAGGAAATGACACACAATACAATTCTCTCCATCATGTACAAGACGTGTTGATATCGAAACATGTGTTGAAACCAAGCAAGGATTCTAGAAAGGATCATGGAATGACGAGGAATCATTCGAGAAAGTATCATGGAATGACGAGGAATACCTCGATGAAGATTTAAAGATTCCATCCAAACACTCATACCCCATGTGCCTTCTTGTCGAATGGTTTTCACATATTTTCTCTCTAATAAACGTTCATCTTTGTGAATGGATTTCAATAAGAGTTTACGTTCTTCTTTTGAAATGGAATCTTGAATGGTTGTACATAATGTACCATTGGTCGTAGTAGTAGCATTGGTAGTGTTTTGAATGGTCGTATGAATAGTAGTAACATTGGTATTCGCAACAACATGTTGAGAGGATGGTTCATTGGTACTAGTGTTTTGAATGGGTGTTGCATGTTCATCAGTGTGGCGATGATGTAATGCTCCTGAATTGGTATTACCATGTTGAGCACAATGACCACTACTATGACTATTATTGCTTGAATTCTTCTTCTTCTTTTCCAATCGATCCTTCTTGATCCAATTGGTATATTGAATCTTTTTTGAATGCAATAACCTTTCATCTTGTTTCAAAGATTGGATCCACTTGTTTGAATTTCTATGAATTAAAATCATGAAGAAGAGTGGAAGGAATAGACAATATAAAATACCAAATCCAATCGATACCCAATACATGATTGGATATAAGAGTGGATTATAGAATGAGAGTGGACATGTTTCATCTTTGTAGATTCGAAGTGTGTTGTTCATTACTGTTCCATTATTCATTACTGTAGTAGAATTCAAAGTAGTTGTTGTAGAATTATTCAAAATACTACTACTTTGAATTCTTGTATTCAAAATACTACTACTACTACTAATACTACTACTACTTGTGGTATTATACTCTCCAATATAATCAATCCATGTACTCTTATGTTTCATAGTTGCAATGGTAATGAAATCTTGTTGACATTCAAAAGTAGCTATAATATCTCTCAATGCAATGAAATAAAAGAATGTAAATAATAAAAAGAGTACACGTTGTCTTGATTTAAGTAAGTAAGAGTAAAAGAATGAATAGTTTTGGTATTTCAATCGAAATAGTATCATGTAAATCAAGAACATGATCCATAAAGAAATGATGAGAATGAGAATCACACCTAACACAATCCAAACATCAGTAACGTTGGGTGCTTTACCTTGTAGAATACTGCAGCAGGTTCATGCATTCATTCATCCATTCATTCATTCATCCCAAGTATACAACACACATTGAACAGAACACATTGAAAAGAACCAATCATTCAAAAAACATACCTCTGATAGGACTGTGGAAATACAGTCAATGCTAATAATGTTCCAATCACTACTAGAATAATGGTCATCAAAACACTTGAAAGTAATGTATATCCCAATTTCTTTACAAATAATAATTTCAATCGATCAAACGATGGATTCCATAACAATAATACTAAAAATAGTAATGGTAACATCATTTCAATAGAATATTTAAAATAATAATTATTCACATGAAAGGTATTCCACAACAAATCAATACTTCCAATACTTAATACAACCCATTTCACAACCATTGTAAAATATTGTGGCCATGGAATGGTAAAAGAGAAACATATTGCAAATAATTGTAATGAAAATAGGATCATTTCAATTCTATTTAAAAATCCTTCAAATACATCTCCCATTTGATTTCTAATATTTAATAATTGTCTGTAGTATTGAATAATAGAAATATTATCAAAATTATCTTGAATAAATTTAAAAGGTACAAGTGCATCATATGGATCATTTAAAAAGAGATGAGATCTCTTATCAGTCGTTAATAGACTAGTTGATCCATGTTGTGAAGGTACTATTGGAGCATCAATGGTTTGAGGTTCAATGATTGGAATGGGATGAGCGAAGGTAACAACAGAGGAGTTTTTGAGTCTTTTTGACGTATGGTCATGACTACCATTAGTGGACTCAATAATATTCATCCTTGGAGTGTTGGTTGTTCGTTTTTCATCATCCGAAATCATCCTTCCTGAAATCATACTTGTATTCTTGACTTGAGAGAGTAAGGCATTCGTTGCTGCTTCCTTCTTGATTTGTGCGAGAATACTCTTCTTGACCGTTGAATACGTCAATACAGGTCGAATCATGGAGAGTGAAGTATCCAATGAAGATGAATATTTTCGATCCATTAAATCTCTTAATTTAGAAATTTCAACACTGATATGAATCTTTTCATTGGAATGTACTGGACTTCCATCCACTTGTTCCAATGTTCTCACATGGCTCAATAATAAAAATCTATAATCTTGTATTGGAATTTGAATAGAAGAGAAATGAATAGATTTTGGTCCAATTAAATCAAATTGTGAAGTATTGGTGAGAGTGTTGGGTGAAGATAATGATGGCGACCGTGTACATGCCTTGTTAGAGGATGATGTTAACGGCGGTGGAGTGATAGCCTTATTGGAGGATGATTGGACCTTTGAATCTGTGAGGATGGCAGTCTCATCATGACGTGTTGTTATTGATGAGGTTTGGTTCACCATGACACTGGCACTCTGTCTATTCATATTTCCCACCTTTGTCGTATTCTTTGAATCATATAATGTTACGAGACAACTCAATGCTAACAAGACTGTCCAAAATTGTGCATTCGATTCAATTCCAATCTCAATTACAATATCTGAAAGTGAATTGGGTGATAATTGATAATTATTTTCCAAATATTGAATCGCTAATAATTGAGATTTTGAGAGAGGAAAAGGATTCATTACATCATCAACACTCACTAATAATCGAAGTGTTGAAAATACTCGAACATGATATTCGAATGGTTCCAAAAAGATGTCTTTACCACATCTCTGCAAGTATAACACTCTCAAAGAATGACATTCTCCAATGACATTCAATACACCATCTTGTTCACTCGTTGATAGATCATTATCTCTCAAATCCAAGTAATGCAATTTTCGTAACGTTTTGAATATTCTTCGATCCAATTGTTTAATAGAATTTCCTCTCAAATCTAAATGTATTAAATTTTGGTATTTTGAAAGGATGTCAAAGTTCAATAAAATCAATCCTTTGAAATTCAGTGTAATACTTGTTGTGGTATTTGCTTGCAATTCACTATATTTAGATTCATTGAGAATTAATTCTAATCGAATGGTCTCTAATTCATGAATTGTAACTTGTTTGGATATTGATTCACATCTCTCACTCACACTCACATAGAGACCATCTAACATAAATGACCATTTTGGATTTTTAGATGATTTCAATAATGAAATTAATTTTCTTCTTGAAGCAATATATTCGCTTGAACATTCAACAATGGATGGATTCACTAATAGAACTTGTTCCATGTCATTCAATGAAACATTTAGACCTGGAGAAATGGCTTGATTTTCTGTCGTGTGTGCAATGAGAGTACGATCCTTCTGCTTCATCTTGAAACATGGATTATAAATTAAATAGAGTTGATGAAGAGTGTTCATCTTTTCATCAATAAATTTAGAAATAGTCTCTAAATGTTCAATACAATTATGTTGAAGATCTAATTGTTCAATTGGAGTGTGATAGAGACCACTACCATTAAATGCATCATCATCCAAGAGATTATTTCGTAGAGATAGCTTCTTTAAATTCACAAAGTTCGTAAAATCGACATGTACTAGTTTGGAATTGGACAAGTCTAATGAAACAATGGTGTGAGACTGAACTTGGATTTGAGAAATATCAAATTCTTGAATGGATTGAATATATTTCATAAATAGGCTATGATGGAATCGAAAGAGTTTCTTATTATTGGAGATTTCAATGTGGTCATTGTTGTATGGCCAATAGTTCATAATTTCATCAATGGTAATTTCTTTTTCATCAATTTCCCAAAATGGACAGTAAATATTTGCTAATCGAGGTGTTCTAGAGATGATGGCTTGTCTGACTTGTTGTTCAGTCATTTTTGGATAATTAGCATCGTCATTCTCATCAGGTGGACTATAAACACCTAAACACTCTAAAAATACATTTTGATTCACAATGAAAATTAAATCTTCCAAATCTGTGAGTTTGTTATTTCTCACATCAAGTACTCGTAAATATCTCAATGATAAAATTCCACTGCATGATTTGGATAATCTCTCACAGAATTGATTTCCACGAAGTAATAACTTTTCAACACGAGGCAATTTGGAGAGAAAATCTCCCAACACGCTAATACCAGATTCATTCAAATTAATTTCAGTGATTGAGAGTGGATCTTTCTTATTGTATCCTTTTTCTTCAATGATTCGTTGTAATCTAGATTCAAAGGACATGTCTATAGGTGATAAGGAACGTGATACTTTTTCTTCCCAAATCATTTGTCTTTCTTGACTTGTAATTTTAGTATTGAATATTACTAATTTAGGATTGACTATTGTGATGGTTAGAAATGTATTGTATTAGAAAAATGTATTGTATTAGAAATGTGATGGTTAGAAATGTATTTGTATTAGAAATGGTTGTATTAGAAAATGATTAGTTGAATTTGTACTTGAACACATTACTTACCATCAAAATCAGTTAAATTCAATTCTTTCAATATCTTAATCTTGTAATTTTTAACCTTTTCAATTTCTGGATTTCCATGGATAGAGATCATTTCCAAATCAGTCATTCGGTTAATGATATTCACAATATCAGCGAGTTTGTTAGAAATGTTATTATATCCTAAATCTAAATATTTGATGGCACAACATTTTTGTAAACCAATGTCCAACACATTATTAATCATATTATGAGATAAATCTAATAGTGTCAAATTAACGAATGGAGATAAATCAGTACCAACATCCTTCAATCCACATTCTCTTAAATATAATTTTGTAATTCTTTGAGGATCATACAATTTTCCAGGTACAATATCTCTATAGGAAAGTTTCACCTTGTCTGTGAATGGATTTGTTACGACTTGCAAGATGATACTCAAATGATATCTATATTTGAGTTCTTCAATTTCTGACAAATCTCGTAACTCTTTAATCACTCGAGATCTCTCAACAACATCAATTCTAATATTATCTAATACAAGTAATTTGTCATTCTTATCTAACAGTATTTTGAGAATGGAAAATCTTCTCACAAATTCTGTACTTTCAGAGTGAGGATTTAAAATCATCATGGAAGATGAATTGTGTAAAGATGGATCCATCTTGTGAGGTGAGCGAGAGTGTTGATTCATTTTGAGTCTAGAAGGAGAATGAAATTCACTACCACCAGTGGTCACCACACTGATCGAACTGTTCATGGATTGATTCAAGGTACTGTCATTTCCACCGCTACTTGTATATAATACTTGTGTTAAATCTGTTGCCAATGAAACGTGAATGAGAGATGATAACTTTCCGAGTGCTTGAGTGACTTCATCTCTATTTAATTTTGGATTTCCTGAAACATCAATAAATCTCAAATTCTTCAATTTCTCCAACCCAATAATTTTCAATAAATTATTTCCATGTAAATCAATATATTCAAGAGACACAAAGTAATTCAAATCTGCCAATGTTAAATGGCAATCTGTTAAAACGAGTTTGGTAACTATGGACATGAATTGACCATTACATAACTTTCTCAATTGATGATGTCCATAATGATTAATGAGATTGTAATTCCATCTCAATCGTCTCAAATCATCATCAGTTACAGATGGAGAGTATTTCTTGATGGCCTTTAATCGATGATCAATCGTAATAATGGTATCATCTAATTCTAATAACCCAACATTTCTATTATTTCCTTTTAAGTTAATCGTTAGAAAAACAACCAAGTACCAAATTCGATCCGAGTCGTCTGAGGAGGAATTCTCTTCTCCATTCGTTGTTGAACTAGCAGAGGTCGATGGTGTTTTTGGAAATGGATTTTCACAAATCCATAAATATCTCAATGAAGGAATATAGGTCAGTACATTCAATTCCAATTCATTTGAAAGATGGTTATAATTTACATTGAATTCTTTCAACTTGTCCAACCTCTCTAATCCACATCCAACAAGTGTTTTCAATTGATTATTGGATACATCTAATTTACATAAATTAACCATACTCCCAACATGTATTTCAGAGAGTTTAGCATTGGAAAGAGACAATACAGTAATACTCTCAGGTTGCCATGATTCCAGTTGTAATGATTCGCACAAGTTGTTCATTCTTTCATCCCATCTTAGGAATGAAAATGTGCTCTTACTAGTCTCACTTCCATACAAATCGTTGCAAGTCTCTTTTTCTCCAAATAAAACAGTTTGTCCATTGAATGAAATGATTCTTGGACAATTTCCAATGAGAATTTGTCTATAATTTGGAATCTTTTCTAATGGATTGTCCATAACCACTAAATGTTCAAGAAATGGTGATTCTTTTAACATGGGTGTCATTTGATCACAGGATGCAATGAGATTAAATCGTACATCTAACACTCTGAGAAGAGGTAATTTAATACCCACAAGAGAATCGAGATACATGTTTCTCATCACTAGAACACTGCAATATTGAAAGGAAGAAATCTGAATCATGAAATATGGTTTGAGAAAATGATCATCATTACAAATAATACTTACTCGTTGATGAAATTTCTCTGTTTTCACTCGAATATTCTCCAATACAATCTTTTGAATATTCAATGGTACTGCATTGTATAAATCTTCAGGTCTATTCAGAGTCTCTATGGGCATGAATTGATCAAATCGTTTTAATGGTGGCAAATGAGGCACGTATTTAGATGGGACAAATAATTTGAATCTTGTCTTTTCATCGTTCATTCGAATTTGATTGTACTTGTGCAAATCCACATGCTTGGGATGAAGTCCTGATTGAGGCTCGGTTTTAAATCTTGGTGGATCAGGAATAAATTGATAAATATCCTTTGGAGTTACTGTTCGGGAGAGGACATTTGAAAAATCACATTGAATGTCATTGAATCGTAAAAAATCACATTGAAAGAATAGAATGTCATTAATATTTGTACATCACGTGTGATCATCTCATTCGTTGAAATACAATCACCAAGACAAACTTACAACTCAAAGTAAGTGTAACGGGAGGTGGAATTTGTTTCACCATCTCAAATATTTCCTTAAATTTAATATTGGCTGATACTTGCTTTAATTTCAACCGTTTGCACCTAAAGTAATCCACTCCATCTCGACTAGTGCCAGACTTGTACGAGGTCATACCATCATCGCTCACAGGTGATATATATTTTGCATTAAAGTTGGTCATACATTGTTCTTCCTCACGAAATGTAATACCATCATTTTGCAGATGTGTTTCATCTAAACCATTCTGAACCGAATTGTATTGAACAGTTGATGAAGGACTAGGTGGGAAGAGGGATGAGGTATTGCGTAAAGACATTGGAGAAACGTTGGAATCTGTCGTCGTTATATCATGATTCAAGTAATCATCACCGCTGCTGTCGGTACTAGAAGGCGGAGAGCTGATACTAAGATTGAGCAAGTTATTGTTATTGGAACGGTGAACCCTCTTCCTATCTTGAGGCTGATCACTACTGTGCGCATGAGCCGTTGGAGTGGTGGGAGGATGGCTCAGTGGTGAAGAGAGGCCATTATTGAGGAACATTTTTTAGAAGCCTTAACCCAGAGTAGCGCGTTTTGGACATCCATTCGATTTGGAATCTAATTGTATTGTTTGTTGGGTCAAGTACCATGTTCACCGACGATCGGTACTCAGAAAAGTATTTTGGATATCAATTTCGGCTGATGTATACACACCATACAGAACAGAACTAGCAACATTGATTTAGAAACACTTCTAACAATGTACATCAAAACACTTCGGAAAGTTGTTCGATATCCTGCTTCAAGATGTGTCATCACAGGGTTCATCACTGAGGTCGGTTCGAGCTGTGTTTGAAAATTTTTTTTTTAAAATCATCCCAAATCCAACATAAAATGTCATCAACCAATTCCACGACAACAACAACACCACCACAAGCCATGTCTCCTTCAAACACAACTGCCACAACAAGCACACCTTCGGAACAAGCAACTAACAACAATGATAACAACAACAACACCTCTCTATACACCAACACACTTCGAATGGTTCTTCCCTATTATTATAAAGCAAGTCAACACATTCGATATTATTTACCCTATCCCTCTGAATTTGGAGCCACTCGAATCACTTCCAACCTGTGGCTAGGAGATCTCTCCGATGCCATGAATGTTCCTCAGCTCAATAAGAATTCCATCACTCACATCGTTACATGTGTCAAGTCGTTGAAACCATTCTATCCCGAAGAAGGATTTACTTATTTAAATTTACATTTATTTGATCAAGACGATGAACATATTGGTGATACCATCTTTGAAGAATCCTTTGAATATATTGATCAAGCCATTCAAAAAGGTAACCATGTACTTGTGCATTGCATGAAAGGAAGATCAAGAAGTGCATCCATTGTCATTGCCTATTTGATGAGAAAGAATGGATGGACGTATCAAGAGACTTTGAAAATGGTTCAACAAAAGAGATCCATTGTCCAACCCAATGTAGGATTTGAGAGACAATTATTGGAATTGGAAAGGAAATTATTGTCTTCTTCATCCAATAACATCAACAAGACATCATCCTCTCAATAACTTGTTGCATTCCCAAAAAAACTCCTCACTCACTTGTTATATAACCTAAATATTGTATTTTTGAAATGAAATTTTACTACTTTCTGCAGTTGTCTTGCTGTGTTTCTGATTTTGATTCTATTCCATTTCACCAAAGTTTTCTTCTGCAGCAGCAGCACGTAATAACATTTGAAACAAAACGAACTCACACCAAAAATAACCTACACGCGTTAGCATGCCACAAAACCACTCGACCTCTTCGAGCCAATCACAACAACAGCTGCTCCCTCCTCCTCTCCATCCAACATTAACAGCAGCATTAACCAATCTTTCTCAACAACCCCAACCACGTATTTCATTCTCTCCCATGGGTAATTTATTCGGATCCGAAGAGGACGATGCACTCAATCGTGAACAATTGTTTTTAAATTCAGGACTTCTTTCGAATTTAGCCTATGTTCAACGATGTTTTGATCAACAATATTATTTATATCCAATTAATATTGAAGATGTTGTAAGTACTAGTATTTTCAACACCAATATTATTAAATCACATTATTTCAACGGCTCAATGACATTATTCTCATACGACTCTCCTTTTTCAAAATATATTTCCCTGTCACACACCAGTTCAAAAAGAATGCTCTTCATCATGCTTGTAAATGGGGTAATACTCATATTGTGAAATACTTGATATCAAAAGGAATATCTATTAATGCTAAAGATTCTAATGGAAATACTCCACTACATTTATCTTGTGAAGAAGGATATTTAGAAATTGTAAAATTATTAATCTCACATCCCTCAATTAAAATTTATTTGAAAAATAAGGATTTTCAAACACCAAGACGAAAGGCACAAGTTGCAGGACATGATTGTGTCTTGTCATTGATTGATAAATTTATGGGAAATGTAAATGTATGTATTCAAATCCTTGTATGGGCACTTTATGTGTGGATTTTATGTGTTTTATTTTCATGTGATTGATTTTCTCTAATGTACATTCAAATGTTTGAAATGCATTTCTCTCAATGATCATTCTCACATACACACACATATTGAAATAGTTAATGAAAGATAATTTAAAGAATCAAGTCATTGATCGTGATGCATACTATTCCAATTACAAACTCAGTGATATTGATGTCTTGATCACATCAAAGTATTGATATGAGTAGATGATGTCATATACAAGAATAAGAAATAAGATTACTAGTATTAACAATGTATACAAGAGTACAATGTGTACTAGCCACTAGTGGAATGATATTTATTGAATCATCTCCCTATTCAGAGGTGATACTTCCATCGTAGTGAAATGATATTGAATCATCTCCATGTGCTGACGTGTTCAACAGAATTGGAAGCTACACATTGTTTGTGGAAATTGTATGCATCTCTCAAATGTGGATTCTAGAATCTTGTCACGGGTATAGCCTTAACCATGGCACAGAAACACATGATTCTCCACTGACTGGCGCACACACTTGGTTGAAGTGATCACGACGAGTTTATACATTGCATTGGTACTCATACTTTGCATGCACATTGGCGCCACTCACATACATGTATTTACATGGCAATTTCTAGATGAAAGACGATGAAAGATGGATCCATCATTGGCCATATACCTCCAATTTGATAGACCCGCTTTCGATGTTACAAAACTTTAATGCTCAATGATGTATGATTCATTCACACAAAGCGCTTACATGATTGTCAATTACAACGATCATACAACAACAATAATACAGAGAGATTTGCATTGAATCAATAGACTCATACACATTCACTTGATTCGTTCTGATGCCTCCCACTCTCTGTGTAATTTCACATTCGCGCGCTGTTGAAACAACAACGACGAGCCTTATGAGCGGCAGTTGTTCTTACAACAATTTCACAACACAAAAAAACAACTCTACAACTTCTCATTGTGAATCATTGGCCATCCCTCTTCGGGCATACAACAAGTTCATTGCACTCGCAACAACCAACCACACAGACTTTGACCACGCACACACACACGGAAACGTTCTACATACACACACACACTCTCGCCAACATCATGAAGAAGGTCATCCTTGATAAAGTTCGATGTCCATCACCTACCACTAATTGTACCACGACTCTCTTGCATACCTCTGGTGAAATTTTGCCATTCCCATCCTCCTCTGCTAACTCGATTGCTACCTCCTCTTCCTCACCTTTGGCATGCTCTCCAACGTCGACCACAACGGATGGCTCTGCAACAAGCCTTAATGCGCTCATGCTGACAAGCCTTTCAACTTCGGGAGGAGCCGTTGCACTTTCTGAGCCCGCCAATTCTCTAACTGCTTCTACGAATATGTTACCACTTCCAATTCCTATTGCCACGAGTCATAAGTCATCATCCTCTCCAACTACATCAAGTACAACACCAGTACTACCAACCATGAACAATACAACAACTGTTCTCTTAATGCAAGGATCATCGATGGATATCATGAACGAAGAATCAAGCCTTACTTTGGACAAGCAACGTAAAAGAAAAATCTACAAGAGAGCTCATTCCAGTTCTGTAACTTCGCATCCAAGCAATCCAACCGTCATTAGTATTCATCTCTCTCCTACGAGTAAGGGAATTGAAGAGGAATTACCTCAGGACATGTCCGACGAAGTCGATGAGGCTCGTGATGCCTCCTCCTCTCATGATGAAAAAGATGCTGATTTTGTATTGGATCATGTGGATGAGACCGATGATGAGGAAGATGAGGATGAAGATGAAGAATTGGAATTAATGATGGATGAAGAGGATGAAGAATATTCACGTCCTAAGGCTAAAAAGCAAACTAAGAAAAAGAAGGCTAGTACGACGACTGCTCACTCGACCAACAAGCGAGGCTCCTCCAAGAAGAAATCTCCTTCATCTCCGACGAGTACTTGCTCTACAACCACAACTAGTATTGATGCATTGGATGCTCATCAACAAACACAAACCATGTGTTGTCTTAAAGGATGTGATCATCCCATTAGCAATCGTTTGAGATTCTCATTGAGAGTGTGTAGTGAAGATGATTTCAAGAGTGATTATGTGCAAAGAGGTTTTAATTGGGTATGCAATTATCACTACTTTCATGATTTGTACTTGTACAAGAAGAATCAAAAGGGAGATTCCAACTCGACCAATCGAAAGAAAAAGGCTTCAAAGAAGAAGTCAAACACATCGAGTACAAGCACAGCGAATACAGCAGTGGTTGAGACCTCAAGTAATAATACAGCGAGTATGATAGCTCCAACAACAAGCAACAATACTGGTGAAGTGAACTCGAGTGCTCTCTTGCAAATTGTGTCAGCCTCTCTCCAAGCCAATACTACCATTGCTACGAACACTCACAATAACATGGAATTGAGTCAACTCTTACAACCATCACTCGCTCCTGCACTCACTGAATCCTCACAAGATTCCTCAATGACTAAGAGAAAGAGATCAAGCTCCAATGCATCTTCTCCAAGTAAGAAGAAGAAGCAACAATCGGTTGGTGGTGCTGTATTGAACACTTCAACGAATATTTCACTCTCCACCAGTGCACCTGCAATTACAGTGTCCTCAACCATTCTTTCCATGTCCCCTGCAACATCACAAAAGACAATTTCACCAACCAAACAGGAACGAAAGAGATCTAAATCTTCTCCAAAGAAGCCTCTGAAGATTGATGTTTCTGCAAACACTCTTCAAGTACCAACGAACAATATGTTTGTGCAACCATCACCTGTGCACACTGATGATGTGATTGCACTCATTAACTTTGTATCTCATGCAAATCAATAATATATATATATATTTTCTTTATCAATGTAATGTCTCTAGAATCTTGAACGCTGTGTCAAAAAAATGACATTTTTTACAAATAATTCTTGACTATGGATTCAAATTGTGTTGCAGTCACCGAGTTTGCAAAGTTCTTAATGTAATTAATTCCATTATCTTCAGCATTGGCTAATTCTGGTTCAATAGGTATAGAACCCAAGTATTGAATATTATATTCAGAACATAATTTTTTTCCACCTCCAGATCCAAAGATAAATGTAATTTCTTTGCAGCAGGGACATACATATCCACTCATATTCTCAATAATACCTTTGATGGGAATGTTCAACTTTCTGCAAAATGTAATCTCTCTGCTCACGTCCACGGTACTCACTTGTTGGGGAGTGGTGATAATGATAGCATAAATATTTGTGGAAATATGAATGGAAGAAGAAGTGTTTTGATCCTGTTGCTGTTGCTCTTGTGTGACAATAAATGACAAATCTCTTAAAATCTCACACAATGTAATATGCTCATCGCTTGTACCTGGTGGAGTATCAATGATCAAATAATCCAAATCGCCCCAATTAACATCTTCAATAAATTGTCTGATCATGGCATTCTTTTTTGGTCCTCTCCAAATCACTGCATCATCTTTATTCTTCAATAAAAATCCAATAGACATACATTTCACATTAGGTGCTGATGGAACTTGTACAGGCAACCATCCAACCGTGTTACTAGAAGTATTTGTGGATTGAACAATTTCACATCCAGCTAAGCCTAAAATACCAGGTACCGATGGACCACAAATATCAACGTCTAAAATACCAATTTGTTTATCGGGATGTAACGATGCAAGTGTGAGTGCCAATTGACATGATGTTGTGCTTTTCCCGACACCTCCTTTGCCTGATAGTACAAGAATCACGTTTTTAATGTGACTGAATCGTTCTTGAATTAGAGCAGAAGAAGTAGACATTTTTTGAAATATTTTCAGCAGCAAAATGGAGTGCGTGGTGCGGCAGCACTCGAGTGCCCGCTTATTACAAGTTTGACTTGGTCCAAGAAATAAATCTATGAAGATTTTGTAACGGAATTAAAATCCTGATTGTATGGCTGGATCTTCTTAAGAATAGGGAGAAGCCTTATTATTGAACAGTTATGTTCGAGTGAATATGCAGTGGTGATTTAAACCTATTTTTATGTGTGTACCTCAATATTAAGGTATACCATTATTACTCATTAAAAAGTTGGAATGTCATGACTTCTTTTGAAGATTTTTCAACTTCTTTTAACGTCTTATACTCGTCAGTAATGACAAATCTCGAATAGGTGTCCATCAAATTGTAAATGACATCATTATTTAAGGCGTCAATACCTTCACGGATGGCTTGTCTCAAATTCATCATATCCTCTCTACTCAATGTATCATCATGATTGATGACATTCAATAACTTGGTTTCCAATAATTTGTATGCAGTTAAAAACTGTCTTCTCGCGAGAGAGCTAATATTAACAGCCATTTCAGAGTCCTGATTCAAGTGTTGATGTTGCCATCGATTCAATTCTTGAATTAGGCTGGTCCATGCTTCATCATTTCGATCCATACTATTTCTGTTACTAGTAGAGATTGAAGATGCGTCCTCATTATTGTTGCTGTTTGTGAGGCCATTGGAGGTCCACAAGTACTGAAATTGATGTTTGGTATTCTCAATTCTCATCCATAACATGTAATTCTCTAAGGACATTTCGAGTTTGGCAAATTGACGAAAGAGTTTGATGAGGTGCTTGTTCTTTAAGAGATTATACACATCAAATTGCTCAGCAAGTGCCTCCAAATCATTGTTATTTCTTCTTACTGCTGTGGTGGTTGTAGTCGTCGAGTAGCTTGCTGATGAGGAAGAAGAGGGACAAGCCTTTTTCTTTCTATATTCAGTGATGAGAGCCCACACGACAGAGAAGCCTCCAAAACCAATCATAAAGCACAATGTCATTAATACTTCAAAGATAAAGCCAATGGCATCGAGCAAGTCAGTAAATGTTGTTGTTGCCGAGGTTGTTGTTGTTGCTGAACTCTGTTCATGAACACTCAAATATCGTGTACTCACTGTAGCAAATCCTAAACCATAAGAAATCACAAAGAATAACATTCCTGCTAAGAAGAAGATGGCTTCAGGTCTGAACATGAGTTTGTCATTTGAAAATAAGACATGGAATACTTTCTGAACTTTGTGTTGGTTGAGAAGTGAGGCTAGCACGACTTGGTGCTGAGAACGACCATGTGGTGGTTGAGCCTTTTTTTCGGTAAGACTCGTTGTAACCGTTGTGGTTGTGGTTGTTGTTGTAGTAGTAGCGACTGTCGTAGTACTTATTCCAGTCGTTGAAGTCAATGTAACTTCCTCTTCAGCACCACTACGACCATGACGACTCAAAGCAACAAGAGGAGGAGAGGAGTTGGTTGATGATGATGACGATACCATTGGAGAGGCAATTGTTGTCTTATCCAGATTACTAGTCGTATCCTCATTCAATAATAAACGTTCAACTTCGTTCAATTCTTCAGAAATATCCACCCATTCATCTCTCAATTGTCGACAATGTCGATCTAAATAAAAATCCAAACCATACACTGCAATAATGATGGCAGTCATGACGAGCATGAAAATGAAGAGAGAAATGGTGGTAGAGAGTGTGAATTGAGTATCTGTGAGAATGGTTGTTGTTGTTGTAACCACCATAGGACCACCACCACCATTCATGTTGTTGTTGTTCTCAGTACCACCAACAAATGATGATCTTAGAATGATAAAAATCATAAAGTAGAGTGCAATGAACACACCAATGGCAATACTTGACACGACCAAAACACGTTGTTTCTTCAATACAATGAAATATCGAATGAGATTGAAACTGAGATTCTTACCATTCTGATGATGACCATCATGATGAGATGCACTACTTGGATTGTTGTTATTATTATTATTACCATGACTATTCCTAATAATATTCACATGGGTTGAAGAATGATGATCAGAATGGTGAACATTATGAACATGACTCAATGAAGAAGAAACGTGCATCATCCATTCATAAAAATATCGATGAATAATAAATCGAATGGACATGATCAAATAACACCAAATAGCAATGGCACGAAATGAAGTTGCAATCATGGCACAAATATGTGTCAATAGAATGGTACTTGTTGTAGTATTCATAGTATTCATAGCACTCGTACGATCATTGGATGCTAATAAAATACTCTTTGAAATAATTCCAATAAATACATTCTCAACCAATAATGAAATTAATGCCAAATAAGGAGTAATAAAACGAGATTTCACAGGTTGAGATTTTCTCAACACCATCAATAGGATCAAAATGATCACCATCATGCATACAAATATAGAACTGAATATCATGTGTGCAATGGCAAGACTCGATTGAATGGGTCGTTCTTGTAATGGAATGTTCACATATTCCACAAATGCAGAGAATCGAGTGGTATGATGACATGAACATGTGATTGTGGATGAATTGAGTCGTGTATCGATGGTTGTCATATGACATCCATCACTTTGCCATTTCATAAACGTTTCATTATAATATTTACATGAATAGATTGGTTTCAACAAGTATCCTCCTTCATGCCATGTTTCATTTCTTTTTTCAATATAAAAAGTTAAATTAAAGGGTGTTGATAAATGAGTGAGTGGTGAATACGATCCATCATGTTGAGAGAGTGGTCTCAGTTGTAAAATTTGTGTCATTGGAATGAAAGATTGATAATAATTCCATGTATCATGATGAGATTGATAGATATTCCATAAATCATGATGAGATTGATAGATATTCCATGTATCATGATGATGATGAGATTGAACATGACTTGAAATATTCGAGTATTCAGTATGATCATACTTGATGACACCAAAGGATAATTGAGAAAGAGAAGGTTCTTGTTGTAATGTGGGTAATGAAAGAGAATAATAAGAATTGGTATCATGATTGAGGTTATCATGATGAGGATCGACTACTCGATAATCTTTTGTGACATTTGTGGCATTATGTTGCAAGACAATCATGACTTGAAAATGTTGAGAATTCACTCTCAAGATGGATGATGTACCACTCAATGTTGTTGTTGTTGTGGTATTGATATTGGCCAATGTTAGTAATGATAATGAATTTTCAACAGAGGTGGCAATTTGACTCGTAGTTAATAGGGGTGGTGTTGATGGTGGTGTTGTTGTTGATGTTAATGATGTTGATTGATTCTTTTCTTGTTTCATTAATTGAACCAAATTCGAAGCAGTTTCAATGATATTCAATGCAATGGAATGAATCTCAGGTTGTTGTTGTTGATGAACATTCCTAACCACCATCAAATCTTGTAATAAAGCATTGGAATACGTATTAAGAGTTTCATGAACGGTATATTTCGATTGAGAGGTCATGTACTCGGAATGTTCACTCTGTGTCATGGTCCTTAACGTCTTGGTCATTTCAATACCTTCCTCGATTGAAGCACTTTTCGAACGATTGTGTAATGATTGAGTAATGGCACTCACGAGAAGAGTCTTTTCATTCGTGGTGTATGGTTGTTGTTGTTGTTCATGTTCATGTTCTTGATTCAATACGTGTTGGGTCATTTCATAAATGTCTCGAATGGAAAGTTTGGAAATGAATTCTTGTTGTTGTTTCTGATTGATGGACAATACTACTTGTTGAATGGAAATGAGTGTGAAAAGATTATTTTGAATATGTGATCCACATTCCAAATCATATTTCGAATCCATGATCGAGACATGTAATGCATAGGTACCAAGTGGTAATTCCTGGATGGAATGATTCAATAGGACTGAGAGTAAATTAAATGTGGAATGAGTCAAATTAAATTCAATAATGGTTAATAGTGGTGGTGTTGATGTTGTTGGTGTTGGTGTTGTTGTTGTTGGTGTTGATAATGTTGATGTTGTTGTTAAAGGAGAAGGTGAATGTGCATTCAATTCTTCTTCCATCACACTTGTTGAATTTTTCATTTGAATCAATCGAAAGTGATATTTCAATCGATCCATCCTACCACTTTTCTGATCATAATATGTATTGAAATGAGAATTCTCATCATTCACATGAATGGAAATCCATGTTGAATTCAAAGAGGATGAAGTGTTGAGAATATTTTGAGCCAATGTCGTGATTTGAATCCTTGAAGAATTGATCAATACCACTCCACAATCATAACCCGTATAACCACTCTTACAGACACACACATTATCATTGGTACAATTTCCTTGTAAATTGGAACATGCTTTACCATTCAAATGAGTTTCACCAAAACATGTAAACGCAAATTGACATTGTTGACCATAAAATCCAACATGACATTGACAAGTGTTTTTAGAGAGACAAATTCCATGTCCATTGCATACATTGAGAGTATCATTGGCAGAAATACCAAAACATTTGTGAGTATCTTCTGGATCATCATGATAGAATTGACATTGTTGACCTTCATAATTGGGATAACATTGACAAGTATTTTTGGCAATGCATTGTCCATTTCCATTACAGACATGAACAGTATCATTCGATTCAATACCGAAACACTTGTTAGCATCAGGGTCATGATAGAATTGACATTGCTGACCAGTGTAATTGGCATTGCATTGACATGTATTTTTGGCAATACATTGACCATGTCCATTACATACATTGGCAGTATCATTCGATTCAATACCAAAACACTTGTTAGCATCAGGGTCATGATAGAATTGACATTGTTGTCCCTCATAATTGGAATAACACTCACAAGTATTCTTTGCGACACATTGTCCATTTCCACTGCACACATTGAGAGTATCATTGGCAGGAATTCCAAAACATTTTTGAGCCTCAGGATCAGTCATCAAGTCTTGACATTGCTGACCAGTATAATTGGCATTACATTGACATGTATTCTTGGCAATGCATTGACCATGTCCATTACACACATTGGCAGTATCATTCGATTCAATTCCAAAACACTTGTTAGCATCTGGATCATCGGGAGGAAATTGACATTTTTGTCCAGTATAACCATCCGTACAGACACATGTGTTCTGAGCCACACATGTACCATGTCCACTACATACATCTGGTTCTGTGGGTTCTTTACCATAACACTTGTTATTGGCTGTCGCATCTTGAACAAGACTCGAACGAGAAGAATGGACCATGTCCACAGGTGGTTGAATCTTGTCATCCTTGTCATCATCATGATGTAATGGTTCGTTCATACAATCATTTAAACATGATGACGACGGTGATGATAATGAAGGATGATTCCAATGTTGAGGAGGTATCTCATGAGAATTCATCACTTCTTGTGCATGTACCATCATCATCATGATCGATTGAGAATGAGGCCATGAAAGAATTATTCTTGATGATCCTTCTGATGCCCTGAAGAATCCCAATAACTCACATCGATGAGTGTCTATTGAGAATAGACAATTTAGAGAAATTAGAAATAGTACAAGGAAAAAGAAGAATCTAAAAGTAGAGTGATGGGAGTGTCTGCTCAGACAAGAGTGAGTTGTAGTAGTCGTTGTGGTAGTAGTGAGAATATTGTGGGGCAGTAGTGAGAGGAAGGAAGAAGAGATGTTTTTATCATCCGATGAGACATTATAGTGGTTAAAGTTATTGTTGAAATCATGACAAGAAGAAAGTGTTGTTGTTGTTGTGAGGGTATGATGATGGCGGTTAGTGGTTGAATGGTGTGGTAGGGTGTTGTTGTCATGATTCAGATTGGTATATTGGTGGTGTCGTTCTTGTAGTGTTGTTTGTTGGTAATGACTGTGATGACCATGACACTCATGAGACCTGGATGTTGCTGTAGAGGTCATGTTGATGGGAAATTGTTGCTGCATAGCAGCAGTATTGTTGTTGTTGATAAGAGTGTCAGACAAGATAACATGACGGGATATCTCCTCATCATCATGATCACAACAGATGTCGTGTCCTATGCTCGTGTGCGCTTCTTGGCTTGGTGAATGCTGCCGGTTGTTTTGCTTGGCTGTTGTTGAGGAAGGATTAGAAACTGAGCTTTGCTTCATTTTTATTCAAAGCTTGAAAGTTGACAACACCTGTGGGTGAGCTACCAATTTGGACCTGGCAGCACTTCACGGGCCAACCTTGCAATTAAATTGAGTATGTTGTTTGCAAGTGTCAAAAAAGTTTACTACTGCTCGTTAATTTTCATATTGAAATGCTTCTCAACTTGCTCTTTCAACTTGGTACTAAATTCTAATTGTTCTTGTTGTGATGAGAAAATATCCAAATCCAAATGAGGACTGATGAGATAATCTTCCTTCTTGTAAGGTCTGTTGGTCAGTTTCTTCTTGCTCAGAATACCAAATGCAACAACACAATCACGGAGTGAACTCTTTTCAACACTCTCAAGAATTAAGTGTTGTGATGATGGTGATGAGGATGATGAAATTAATTGTTGAACAGCATTGAAAGCAAGAGTACCAAGTACTGGAGATGATGATCTTTCCGAGTTGACTCTTCTCAAATATTCATTGTTCATTTCATCCAAAGACTTTCCAGAAGTAATCTTTTGGTAATCCATTTGCAACAATTTAGAAAGTGAATCTGTTGAATTTGGATCGGACTTGACAATGGTATTGATGGTAGTCAAGTATTGCATTTTCAAAAAGTGTACTCTGTAGTCCAATGGAGATAATTCAAGAGCCTTCTTCAAAGCCTTGCTAACCAACAAGTACTTTTTGCTCTTCAAATAAATGGTCATTGCATAGATTTGTGTAACGACTTCGTTTGCATGATATTCTTCTAATTGTTTCAAATATTTGGTACATTCATCAAATAAATTCAACTTGGTGGTAATGTAGAGACCATTCAAATCTTCATCCTTTCTCAAATCAATATTTTGGAAATTAGAAGTATATGTAGCATTAATTGTACCATATTCAGTTGCACTATCGAATGGAATATTATTTTCTAATTCTTTCTTTCTCAATAACAATAAATAAATGTTAAGCAAACCACAAATGGCATGGAAATAATAGTGTTGAGCATACAACTTTTCAAAATATCTCATCATTTCAATGTAAGATCGCATGGTCACTTTTCTGGCACAGTAAGTATGGAAATCAAATTGATCTTCATAAATTTCCATAAAGTGTTGAACCACATAGTAATACTGACGAGCAGCAAGAGCAACTTCTCCTTTTCTAAAGTGAGCATCTGCACATTCATTTTCAAACCACATGCATTGCATATCATGAACATTGTTACGATGATAAATGGCAGAGTCTTCAATAGGAATGAGATTGGAATCAGCTTTCTCTTCCTTGTGTTCTTCCTTTTTCACTGCTTCATTGCCATCTTCCTTTGTTTCTTCCTTTTTCACCTCATTAACGTCTTTATCTTCACCTTTTTCTAAATGTTGTTGTTGTTTCAACCTTTCTTGCTTCTTTGCGTTGGCATCTTTTGGATGTTTGGCAAAAATACTAATAAGATCATCAGCCTTGATAATTTCATTATGTCTCATCCAGTACTTGGTTGCTTTGGTATTGAGATAACGATCGGAGAGATCCATTTTACGTGCTTGTTCCATACACAATGCAGCTTGTTCAGTATTAAATACGTGTTTGTAAAATTTGGCTTTCAACATGTATGACTCTACAAGAGTTGGTGTATGATCAATAGCTTGATTAATGTAATCAAGAGCCTTATTGTAATCTTGAATGGCATCAAAATGTTGTGATAGATAGACCAAAATCCACAACAATACTGATGGATCCTTAGAAGAAGAATTAGATTGCTCGGTTTGCAATCTTTCCATCATGACCTTTTCAATGATTGAAATTTTGTGAGATTGTTTCTGATAGATAATCTTCAGTGTCTTGAAAAGAGATGGAATGGTCTTGAACAAGTATGGCTCAACAAAGTTAATCAAATGTTCTCTAAATGTGTCTGATGCTCCCGTGTTATTGTATGGAGGTGCCAGCAAAAGAATAATCATTTTCATCACAGGAGATTTTTCTCTGTATTCTTTCAATGATTCATCTGTCGTGTACATTTGGTACAATTTGGCAGCAATTTCTTCGTTGAGTTTTCTTGTTTGTTCATTCTGACGATCATCGAGAAGGAATCTATTTTCTTCTGTTGAAAATCCACATGCTAATTGATACTTTCCATAGTAGGCATAATTCTCAGAGTTTGTCTTTAGTAATTGTAAATAAATCTTCTTGGCATTTTCTAATTGATTCAATTTGAGATAACATTCTCCTAATCTTTCCAGTACAGAAATTTGGTCAGCCAAAAATGGAGAGTTTTTGATCAAAGTGTCCACACAGTCCTTGTATTGACCATTCTCAAACTGTAATTGAGCCAAGTAAAGTAACATTTCTGATTTTTCAAATTTGTATGTCTTGGACTCTCTATGAGCTTGATCAAAGACAGCAGACAAGAATTTGTCTACAGTTTGAATAGCTCCTGCTAAATGTCCATGTAAATGTTGAGCAACAGCATAACCAATCCAAAAGGCGCTAATTCCAGGCTTCAACTCTAACAACTTTTTCCTACTTTCAAGAGCTCCCTTGTAATCTCTTGCATGAATTTGAGCATTACTTAATTCACGCCAAGCTTGAAGTTCGTTGACTGGATTAAATTTCATAGAGTTCTGGAAACAAGTAATGGCTTGAGAATATTTAAAATCATCCTTGCACATAAGTCCATAGACGTGCCAACAAATAAATGATTTGTTGTTTACAAGCTCCAAAGCTCTCTTTACAGCATTGTAGCAGTCCTTCTTGTACGTCTTGTCAATAATCATTAATTCTTGTTGCTGAGAGGCATTGCTAGCAGAAGCATTGTAATAAAAACCTGTATTGAAATGAGGTTGTTTGTTAATCTCTTGTTCTTTGATATATCTAGTCAATAAAGCCTTCATAGCCAGAGTATCTCCGTGTTGTGGATGGTCTCTGAGAATACTATCGGCAATAGATATAGCTGTTTGATATTGTTTTTCTTCATAGGATTTAATCATATTACGGAATAAACCCTCTGCTTTTGATGAGAGTTGCTGTTGAGGTGCTGTAGTACTGGCTGATGATGAGGCTTGAGCATGGGATGCCGTGGTTGTGGCTGATGAAGCCTTTGCTGGTGTGGTCTGGGTGCCTCTCTTTTTCGTCATTTTTTTTCCATCAATAAATTTTTTTATTTAAAAAACTCAATTCACATCACTCTATTCCGAAAAACAAGACAACAACACAATTTCATCATTTCTTTACTGAAGAACAACAGTTTTTGTGCTAGTATTTATTTCAATATATAGAATTTAATTATTACTAGTTGTCAAATCATTGAATAACTCAAAATTCTCGTGTCGTATAAAACAATGATTCAAAACTCATCATCACTTCCCAGCACTTGTTTCAAACTTTCAAATGTTCCCACAATCAATCAATACGAAATTGGACTTCCAACTGGATGCGAAGCCACTGCTCTTGCACAAGCTCTTCACTATTTCGGTCTCCATGTTTCACCCGTTCAAATTGCAACCATGTTAAAAAAGGAACCTTTCATGTTTCAATTAACAAAGAACACGAGTGAGGACCATCATAAGAATTTGGATGACGCGACCACTAGTAGCAGTAGTAGTGGTGGTGGTGGTGGTGAAACTTTGGTCTATGGAGGTAATCCAAAGAGAGCCTTTGTTGGAAATCCATTCAGTGCTTTGGAAGGAATGGGGTAAGTCAAATCCAATTTTGTTTTTTCAATGCCCAATGTCTAAATGGAAAGCATTCAAACTCTCTTCTGTTCATACCCATGATGGAATGATGACTTGAATTGTTGATGAATTGAACGATGAAATATCATGATAGAGTGTATGATGAGCCATTGATTGAACTTGTGAATTGCTTTTTCATTCCCATCCTCAACAAGCTCAATACTTTATCCAAAAAAGTCAAAGGTGTGAAACGATTCTCTTCTTCATCATTGACTCACAAGACTATAGATTTTGAATCCATTCTTGAATACATGTATACTCATCAAGTACCTGTAGTAATATGGTGTACATTAAAGATGAGAGAATCGTTTCACAATTCACATGAAACATGGTTTGATTATTTAAATAAGGATCATGTGATTCAATGGAAGAGTCCTGAACATTGTGTAACATTGATTGGTTTTGATATAGACATTAATAGTAGTAGTAGTAGTAGCACGAATGAACAAGTCGTAATTGTTAATGATCCAGATTGTGGATGTGAAATGAGATACAATCGAAAATTATTTGAACAACGATTTATGGAAATGGGAGGTATGGCATTTTCTTTTGAAACATGTGAGCCATGAAATGTGGTGTTCATGATTTAAATTCCGTAGAGAGGGTCATGATGTCCTGTATTGAAAGACTCATTTACAACTTTTCACTCTCTTCAAATAAATGCAAGAATTTACACATGACATGAATAGGTGCTTGCTCTTCTATAAAATGATGATTCATTCCATGGAAATGACCATCTCTTGCTCCATTCTTATTGGAATGATAACAATTCTCACAGAGAATATATTGGAGACAGTTATTGCATGAATATCGAAATCTTCCAGTAAATGCTAATCGTCGACATGAAGTACATTCTGAATTGTAATGAATCATTTTAGAAGGTTGAGTGAGCGCATGTTGCAAGAGGACTTTAAGATCTTTCCGAGTGGTACTTTCTTGAATCTCTTCATGATCCAATACATGTGCTAGTTTCAAATATTTTACACAATGTGTGATGGAAGCTAATTGAGGATCATGCCTAGTACTATGATGAGAATGTTCTTTTTCAACACTACAGTTGGTATTATCCAATACTATTCTACTGTCAGTACTGTTATTGCTATTATTAATAGTATTAAGGATACCGCTACTACTACTATTGCTACTTCTCCCTATGGTATCATCATTGTACTCTCTATTCTCTTCACCATTCTCACCATTCTCTTCTTTATGAACATATTTCAATCCTGAATAACCACAATAGTACATGAGACCTAGTAACATGAGAACTTCCTTATCATGCTTGTTTACTCCTTCCAACAAGTAGTTCATGGCATGTTTATCATTTCTTTCCATTCCATAGAGTCCAAACAAGTACATGAATGCCAATTCTCTTAAGGCACATGTGTAACGACGGGAAGCACACTCTCTCAAATAGGCAAGTCCTCGTTCCTTTAGTTGTGGTGATACACAATTTTCATGTAATGAACTGTCCACATCACTACTACCATGATCCGTAACCGAATACTGACCAGTAGTGCTACTGTTGTTATTAAAACTACTACCACCACTCGTTGCATACTGATCCTTATTATTAGTACCACTATCAATATCACTACTACTACTAGTACTGCTAGTACGAAAACAACTCTCATCACCATGATTGATCAACCCTTGTTGTTGTTGTTGTTGTTGTACACTCTGTTGTAAACTCAAAGGTTGTTGTACACTCTGTTGTAAATTCAAAGGTACATGTTGTCCTTTCAAATACATGACTCCAAGTTTTGTTAAAGTGAGATCATGACGTTGTTTTGCAGCCAATTCATAATATTCGAGTGCTTGCCGTTCATTTCTCTCAACACCCAATCCATTGAAATATAAAAATCCCAACGATAAATATGCTACAGGTGCATTCTGTTTGGCTGCCAATTCATAATATTCGTGAGCTTTTTTTAAATTCTGTCGAGTTCCATTTCCCAAGTAATAGATGTAGGCTAATTTGATGAGAGCTGAAGCATTATGATCTCGTGCTGCCTTTTCAAAATATTGAAAGGCTTTTTGCGAATCTTGTGGTACAAGTACACCCGAAACATAGAGTTGACCCAATTCTAAAACTGCATCAACATCTCCCAATTTGGATGCTTGTTCTAAATACTCAATTCCTTTTGTGGTATTTTGTGGTTTTACATTTCCACGAAGACTCATCATTCCTAAAAAGTAATAGGCATCTCTATCACCTTCTTTGAGTGCTGATAATTCAAAATATTTAAATGCTTTTGAATAATCTTGCAAGATACCATCTCCTCCATTGTAGCATTTGTAAGCTGCATTGTAAAATGCACTTGTTGAAAAACTACATTTGGACAAGTCTAATTTTGGTAATTGTGAGAGTGTTGAATCAATCATGAGTACATCTTTTCCTTGTGCTGGTACATGGAGTTGTATCAAATTTTTCAACTTGTCACTTTGAATCAATGTTTTTAATCCCATCTCTGTAATTCTATAATTACTTTGTAAATTTAAAAATGTTAAATTGGTCATGAATGGACTCGAAGCGATATATTCTACACCTTCATTTCCAATCGTATTCGATTCCAATTCGAGTGTTTTTAAATTTTTCATGTAATCACTGGTAGCAATAGCCTTAACACCTTCATCAGAAATGAGATTACCATCACAATTGAGAAGAGTTAAATGTTTGAGTTGCGGACTTGAAGCAAGTATTTTGAGTCCTTGATCTCGAATGTAACACGAGTGGAGATTTAACGATTGGATATGATTCAATGTTTCAATGATACGTTTTACACCTTCACTGTAAATACAAATACGTCCAATATTCAATTCCACCAGCTGTTCTTGGCATTTACTTGTCGAGAGAATTTTAGCAATCTTTTTGACTGTTGTATTTCCAGTTAATTGAATAGACTTTACATTCCGTACGAATGGACTATGCATTATTAATTTGAGTGTTTTTGGTTTGAAACCACAATTTGCAAGATTTAAATGAGTCAATTGTTTAAAATGACGTCCATATTTGGAAATGGTGGTTGCAATGTCCATGTTAATATCGTTATCACTCAAATTCAGATACGAAAGATTCCATACATTTTCTGAGGTCAATAGTGCCTGAAGAGTTTCTGTTTTCAGTTTGCAATTAGATACATTTAGAGATGTTAAATTCTTCAAATTGGGGCAATTAGAGAATAATAGAATATATTGATCCATTGAGAGAATTTCATCTTTTAAAGAGGAATGACTACTTTCACTTGTTGTCGTCAACGAGGTGTTGATATTCCTCTCATTTTCAATATTACTGGAATCGGTGGAACAAGTAGTCGTCGTTAATGTTGTGTCATCTAGAGTTTGTTGATCTAGGGCCACTGATATCTGCTGTTCCATCATGTTGCTATCAGCAATGATTCTACTTGTCCAATTTGAGAAATTGAGTGAGAGAGGAATTTCCAATGATTTTCGATACCATTGAGTCGATACTTTCATACAGACACGAATGATAAATTCGGATTCGAGAAATTGTAAGATATGAAATACCATATCATCTGGCAATTCTTGGTTAAAAAGGGTCCAACCAAGATCATCATGACTCGTGAATGTGTTTGCATAGAAATCGGTGAGATCGATCAATGCAATCGGTTGTGCAGCCATTTTTAAAATGGAGTTTGTTCATTTCAAAATTTTCATTCTATCAATAGCTTTTGATTGTAAAGCTTTTCTTTCTCCAAGGATCAATGTAAGTGATGGCTATGTGCATCGCGAGAAGACACACATGTGAATGAAACACCAAAGGGAAAGCATTCTTTGGATCCCTCATGAACACAGTTCAAGAAAGTTGGGGAGGTTCCTTTCAAAAAAAAAAATGACCAAATTTTCCTCTCTCAAAAATGCCATTCCTCGCAAAACCAAGAAGGAACGATCGCAACCCAAATGGCGTCGGGAAATGGGTTATGGTACTCTTGAAAAACACAAGGACTATAAAGTGAGATCCCGAAAGGCTCATCAAATAGAGGAACAAAGAAAATTATTAAATGAACAAATCAAGAACAAAAACAACGAAGAATATTATATTGATATGGCTCATTCTCACAAAACCGATACTGGAACCACAATCGTTGAAAAGATTCCAACATTAAAGAAAAAGAAGGAAGCTTTAAATAATTTAAAAAAAACAAAGAGAGAACAGAGAATACATGTGCAACAAAATGCCGAAAAGAATTTAAATTTGCTGAAAATGAAATTACAAATAATTAATAACAATATTACTAAATTGAGAAAGAGTTTAGGATTTTTAGAATTGGCATCGAAAACTGATAAAAAAGTGAAACACAAAATTTTCGTAAAATCGGAGGAAGAGTTGGAACAATTCGACCCTGTGGAGCATTTTGACACAGACCCACTTTTAATTACACAAACTCATAACAGAATTAAGAGAAAAACGTTGGCAGAAATGCCGATTCAAAGCTACGCTCCAAATTCAGGAGCTGATGCTTACTCCACATCGACCACTGATAATGCAACTCTTGAAGCCTATAGAAAATTAGAAAAGCTTCTCTCAAAGAAAGAGACTATTGAAAATACAATCAATGATGTTGAAGTTGCTTTACAATTGACAGTTTCCAAAGATCAAATTGACACTATTGAGAGAGACAAGGAAAGTACAAGGAAAAATCTAAAAGGAGATTATTCAGATGTAAAGACTATCAAGTTCAAAAAGGAAAGAAAGAGATGAGCCCATATACTTTCTATTAATAAATAATTTATAAAGATCAATTGAAATGTTAATTGTTATCAGTTTCTGTTGTTGAAGTTGCTGGTTGCTCAACTGGCTTTTCTTCCTCAGTTTCAGAATCGGTGAGTGGAACCTCTTCATCAACCTCAACATTGTTGGGGGAGGTAGCGGAGTCTTGTTTTTGCTGTTGAAGCTTTTGTTTAGCAAGTTCTGCTTCCTTCTTCAATCGTTCTTGTTTTTCTCTTTCCAAGTCATGAGTTTCCTTTAAAAATTCACTTGTGAACTTGAACCAAACGTTGCAACTGTAAAATTCAAATCCAGCTCCCGATTTGGTATGGGTGGTATCGATGGACACAACACGAATTCTATGCTCAGTATGAGTATTGATCCAAATTTGAGCCTCAGTCTCAGCTTTGGCTTTTGCTTTTCTACATTCAACAATTTCTGAGGTATTTTCAACAAATCGATCGAATGTTCTATTAAACAAGTTTGTCTCAGTAACCTCAACGTTATGAATTTGTTCATAATTAACAATTGATTGTTGTAACTCTAAAATATCAATCTTAAGACCTGGCTTTACGAGTTGCAAATCAATTTTGGCAACCACCTTGGAGTTGTTGACAATTGAAACAGTCAAACTGTTATAAACATCACGTTGTTTGATTGCTCTCAAATCAATGTAACCTTCTCCTAAAGGAACTGAATTAACATCTGATGCTGCACCAATATAACTCAATACAGAATTAAGTGATGATTGTTGAGCTTCTTTTGAGAGAGGTACTTCCAAACTAGCGATGATAGACAAGCCTACCAATGATTCCAAATTAGGTAGGAAATAGTGGTAGTCACTAAATGAGAAAGACTTGTCATTTGCCAAAGGGAATGTAAATTGTGGGTGCTGAACCGTTGGAGGATTTGCTGGAATTAATTCATTATCTTGTTCAATATATAAATTAATAAAAAGTATCAATCCCGAGGTAAAAACATGGATCGGTAAAACAAAATTGAGTATGACTATTGAAAATTCATAATACTTACCAGCATCCTTCAAGTAAATTTGCAATCGGACGAATTTTGGAAGGCCTTCCTTTAATGCTTGAAGCATTTGCTTGTTATGAATTTCAGGTACTTCAACATTGTAAATACCCTTTCCGATTACTAAAATTTTGTTTGATGAGAGAGGTCTGTTTTTGATTTGAGGTGATTGTTGATTACCCATCTGATGGTTGGAGAATAATTTCGGGTGATGCAGATCTTTAGTTGTTGTTGAAACCAACCAACCAATATTACTCACCTTTGAAGGAGTGTGATGGTTTGAGAGCGAGTAAAGCTAATAATGATGAATTTTTTAAAAGGTTTCTCTTTGATGAAAATTGTACCGAAATGGAAACCTAATTGAGAACCAAGGTTTAAATTCAAAGTTCAACATGCGAAAGCAAGCAACACTTCATTTCTTGTTCTGTAGCAATATTCAAAACATGCAGGACATGAAACAAGCCCAACTGTGAACCAACTGTCATACATTTATGGCTGTCATTTGAACTTTGTGTTGAAAAATTCATAATTTCCTCCTGTTTCCACTGTTCACTGTGATTTCTACAGAACCGGTCCACATCCAACGATATCTTCCCACAAAAAATGATCCCAAACGGTACATCAAGCCTTTCACGTCATGGCTCAGTATCATCACAAAGTTCTGTTTCATCAACAACCTTTGAAACGGGATCCTCAACTGCCAGTAGTAGAGAAAGACTATCCTCTCTTCCTCCGATACCACCCCAACAACAACACAAAAAAGATCGTTTTGAATTTAAACTCTTCGGACACTTCCCAGCTCGTTTTGAAAACATTACAGCACAATGTTATCATTCCTCTCAACAAATTCTGGTATTGGGAAGTGAGTTCGGAGAGGTAACTTTTGTTGGAGGAGATGTTCATCATTCCATCAATATTTCAACTGAATACAGAATTGAGAGTATTCAATACGATGCAGATGATTATCAAAAAACGAATTTCTATATTTTATGTAATCATCGAGAGAGTATGAGCAATCACACCATTCTCTCATCATCATCTTCCATAATAATTTGCTATGATTTTGCGAAAAAACAAATCATTCAACAAGTCACATTTCAACCCACTCAATACGTTCAGAATATGAAATGTTGCAAATCTTATTTATTACTCACCATATTAGATATTACCAATCCTAATATGATGATACCCTATGTCAAATATATGTCAACCTCAAATTTTAAATTTATTTCTACCATTACTCTTCTTCATCCAATGCTCACTCAAATGTCTCAACTACAACAACAAATACCACAATTACAACAGCAACCACAATTAATCACTGATTTGCAAATAACCTTTGTTGAGCCTCATCCTCAATATGACCATGTCGTTGCAGTTGGATACTCAAATGGAGACACAATTATTTATTATATTTATCACATTCAAAATACAAGTAGTAATATGGTGGCTACAAATTTGAATTGCATAACCATTCCATCCAATGAAAGAGTTACTTGTCTCAATTGGCATACTCCAACTATTCTAATCTCTGGATATGGAAATGGAACATTTACGTTGTATGAAATTAATCATCCAACATTTCAATACTCAAAATATTATGAAATGAACATTCTCAAAGGATCTACTTCGTTTTTAACCTCTCTCAATCAATATATCATTTTTGGATTGAAAGAGGATTCTGTAGATGCTGGTATTTATTATTTAAAAATGAATTATGAAGTGAAATCTATAGAATTTATTAGAAATATTTGGTGTGAGGGAAATGATATTCATAATGTCACACCAATGAGATCAGTATTTGATAATTCATCCATACTCTCACTCTTTGCAAGTGTTATCTATGGTCCTAATAGAAATATTCTTGTTTTAGATTTGTTGGAACGAATGGCCTATCAAGAAAAAGAATTACAACTTTTTAACATTGAGAAATATTCAGTTCCAACACCATTCTACTCCATTAACGATTTACAGTGCAAGAATGATCAATTTGTCATGCTAAAAGCCTCTACAATTGAATTATCTAATTTAATTTATAATACATGTCTCAACAATTATAATAATGAATCCTATCGAAAGAACATTCTTGAATATTATATGAGACCAGCCAATCGATGGAATGTTTTAGGTATCAAGCATTCTCAATACAGAGTCGATGTGAACACAGATGATGATAACTATATTTTGGCTAAATTATCAGACACAGAATTTGGAAGTGCCATCGAACTATATTTATGTAAAACCTACTTTCATGATGTGAGATATATTTATACCATTGAAAATCAATCCAATTACAAGTTAATGTGTAAATGGAATGATAGTGTGATTGTACTCTGTACGTGTGAGGGTCATTTAGATTTTCTTCATGTACCTTCAGCCACAATTTTCAGTCATAACATTGCGAATAGTCAAGATTCTACGAACACATCCGGAGGAACTCCAACTAGTCAATCATCTTTGGCCGAATCACAGAATATGAACAACACGTTTCAGAGTTTGATTTCACAAATTGCTCGCCATAACTTTTCGAGTCGTCTCAATTGTTCTGGAACTATTGTGAAAATGTATCCCATTCAAATTATCAATCAATTATTGCTCGTCTATGACAATGGTACTATTAAGGTAGTCTCTATTCATCAAGATTTATCAAATTCAGATATTATTGAGAATGGAAATGATCATCATTTTGGAAGTGTCATTTTTGAACTCGTTCCAAGTGATATGAAACCTTCGGAAGGTTCACCATTTATACGAAACATTCTACCCAAGTCATCCTCTTCTTTGAACCAACAAAATCAACATTCAAAAGATTCTAATCATATCATCATTACCTCCATTGAATGTTCTTCCTATCATAACTGTATTTATGCTCTCATTGGTTATGCATCAGGAAGACTTTGCCTCATTCATTTATATGATTTGGATTACATGACTAAACATTACGCAAAATTCAACAAATACATTCTCTCTCAGAGATGGAAAGATCTTGCCGATGTACTCTCTCCGATTTGCATTCACGATTCGAGTTCTAGCAGTAGTAGTAACAGTAGTATGGGTAAAATTATTGATATTTATACAGTGAATGATATTTATAATGAATATAATACGAGTCATATGATTGATCATCGATTTCTACCACCTCGTCTTCGTAAAGAATATGCAACGAATTGTTTATTGAATTCTTCCTCGAGTCCTCTCTGTTACACTATTTATAGTAATTCTCTCATGAATGTGTTTGGAACAGCCAAAAATTCGTACATGACATTTCCTATTGATTCTAATTATCCATTAGTTGTTCTATTCCAAACAAAGAAGGCATTAGCACTCTCCTTTCAATTTACTTTGGATATACTCGATATCAAATTTTACACCATTTCAAAGATTGATCAAATTGCAAGTTATGGTTTTTCTGTGAATGGTGTGTCTTTTGAGTTTGATATTGATACTAATTACAAGATTGTACAAAGTGATCAAATTGCTATTGCTGCCTCTGGAAGTGAATATCGAATTTATGTTAGAAATAATACTAGTAGTAGTAGTAGTAGCACTAGTACTAGTAGAAATAATACTAGTACAAGTGTAGTCATGTTTGAATGTATTGGATCGAGTGCAGCACCTGTCGATGCTCTTCTCAACCAATACATTACAAACATGAATATCAAATTACTTTCACATCATATCCATGATAAGGAAATGGAAACAGAATTCAGCACATTGAATCGAATGAATATGTGTGATATGGATTATTTGTCTCAATATATTGACCATATTGAAATATTTAACAACATGTCCTTTACAGATATGCAAGGAAAGAAAGCAACAACCATTCAACCTGAAATTGTTGGATTTTTATCTCAATCTGGAATTCCTCCACTTGGTCAACCTCATGGTCTTTCTCGATCCAAATATATTATTGTGGTACGACAGAAAGGTATTGAAGAATATATTTTAGAGGCACCAATGATTCGATTGAAAAAGTTTTCACTCAAAGAAGGTCGAAAATATACACATCCTAACATGGTTCAAACAAGTGCGATGGAATATGTTGGCAATTTAGAGAATCAATCACTCATCCTGTTGGACAATCAATTTAATTTAATGATCTTTACATTGAGACCCTCTCTCACACAGAATTACAAATCATTTGAATGTGTCTATTCACATCGAATTCAACACTTGTATGAAACCATCTTTCTGAGAGATGAAAAGTCATTACCACATCATGATTCCTTCCATTTAAAAACATTTGACCATGGAAAGGATGTTTTTCTCTTCAATAATGAACACATTTATATGGGTACTTTATTTGATCCCAAATATCACAAGAGTAAGGACATTCTTGAGCCTATTCTCTATACGATTGATTACAAACCATCCAAAATGGCTGCAGTCGGAGAGAGTATTGTGAGCTTTTTCAAAAGTTTTACAAAATCAACACCCAATGAAAAGGATTTGAATGACACCTTTTGGAAAATATGTTCTCAATTGCAACGAGAGGATTTGAATATTGTGCAGAATATGGTGATTGCTCCCACGAGTACAAGTAGTTCATCCCAACCATCATCCGATTTTCACGAAAAAACCATAGTTTCAACTTTTCTTTCAAGTGAACTTGTGAAACCACTTCCAAAACCACCTCAGAAATCGAGCCCATCAACAGTTGCCGTTGCATGCAATTCCACACAACAACCAAGAAGTGTTGACAAACGAGAGCTGTTGCTTGGACCACAGAATGATGCAAGTGTTTCAAATGCAGCGAATAGTGGCAGCGTGAGTGAACAACGTATTTTAGGTTCAGATAGTGCATCCATGAAAAGGTAAGTGTATTTGGTGATGACGACAATTGATTTTTAATCAATGAATATTTACACCTAACAATGAACTCTCTTGTAGATCTGAGTTAAATCAAAGATTGGAAGAGACAAAACAGCAAATGCAAGAAAATTTAAGAAAACTAAATGAACGTGAAGAAAAATTAAGAGAAATCAAGGAAAAAACAAATGAACTTTCGAATTCTGCAAAATCATTCGGAGCGAACGCTCAAAGATTAACAGAAAAATCAAAAGGATTCTGGTTCTAAATATACAATTTTCTTAGCTACTACAACTTGTGATATTGTGAAATATCAACACTTGGATTTGCAAGATTTGGAAATAGTTTGTTTTCATATTTCAATAAACACTCTACAAAGCCTTCGTTTGGTTGTATTTGACTTCTCTTTTGTTTGACATACTCATAGGCTGTTTTCAAGTCCCAATTATTTTTCTTCATGAGAAAAGCAATCGTCATGGACGCAGACCGAGAGCACCCACTTGCACAATGAAATAAAACAGATGCTTTTGTATGTTGTTGAGATTGTTCCAAGAACGAATTTACGAATTCAAATACTTGATCAAAGTATGGCAAAATGTCAACATGCGTTTCATCATTGATTGGCACATTAAAGTATGAAATTTTTTCATTCTCGAAATGGTTGCTCAACTCTCTCGCACAATTCACAACACATCCAATGTTCAACTTCTCAAAACAGGGCTTGCTTCTAGCATGAGCAAAAGAGCCCAAGTATATTGTTTCATCAACAATGGCGCTCGGGAGAGATTGAAATGAACTGGCAGACATTTTTTTCGTATAAGATCGAGTTCCTTGTTATTTATTCCTCATCTGGAAGTGCAAATTTAGCATTATGATAAACATTTTGAACATCGTCATGGTCATTCAATTCATCAATTAACTGTTGCAAGTGTTCAGCAGTTTCTGGGTCTGTCACTTCAATAAACGAAGTTGGTACCTGACCTATTTCACATGTAATATTTGTAATTGTAATATTCAGAGCTTTTTCAATGGTTGTTTTTGCAGCCTCCACACTTCCCTTCACATTATGAACTTCTTCATGTGGACAATAAAGAGATACCTCAATAAATTGTTTCTCCATGTCATTTTCAGTTGGTTCCAACTTTAAATCTTCAATTCCTTCAATGTCTGAAACTTTCTCAAATAGACTATCATAAAGACTATCCATTTTTGAATGTGCCATAGGAATTGTAAAATTCACAACTCCTTTCTTCTCAAAACACCACTGAACAGAAGTTCCTAATTGTCCCTTATGATGTGAAAATAATGTTCTCACTTGTTGTGCAGTTCTATTCTTATTTTCTGTCAAAGCTTCAACAAGAAATGCAACACCACCAGCTCCATAACCTTCATAGCTGTTATATTCCATATGAGCATCTTTTTCATTGAGTCCTGATTTAATAGCTCCATCCACAATGTGTTTTGGAACATTGTTTTTTCTTGCCTTTTCTAAACAGAGACGAAGTCTCAAATTATCAGAACCAGCTCCACCTAATTGAACACATGTTTTAATTTCTCTAGATAATTTAGTATAAATTTTCATTTTCTGAACATCTGTAACTGCTTTTTGATGTTTAATCTGTGTAGAGCAATGAATGATGAAATTTTCAAATAATCATTATTTGGTTTCATCCCAATTATTATTAATTCCATGATTTAAATTTGCATCAATGATGAAAGTTCCGAAAAATGTCATCATCATCGTAAATATGGACATTCTTGTGGAAGCCTTCTACAAACCTTTGACCATTTGTTATGTCCAGCCATATTCAAAGAATAAATTGAAGAAAAGTTTCTTTCTTGTTGTTGAGTACGAGTTCTTGAAAGAATTACAAGGCTCCGAGAAATGTGATTTCCGTGGAGAACGACATGTTGAGAAGAGGATAATGCTGCAGTACGAATTGGATTCAAAGAGAATTTAAACATTTTTTTTCTTTTGAATCCAATTCGTACTTGGTGCTTGGGATTGCAGACCATTGGATCACCTCTTGATGTGACTGCTCCATAGAGCATTATAGAACGAGATGTAGATCCTTTTGATCCAAACCATCACATATTCTTGACATTCGCTCGAAATCCATGCCTAATTCCTGAATTCCATGATTTCAATGTGGTTTTTATAGTACGGACATCGTATTCCTTCTTTCTTCCAACTATCTCATGATACTCTTGAGCTAACCTTCTAGTTTTATATCAGGGTTCACCATCAATTCCTTTCTTTGATCATCACTCGTGTGAGCAGCTTTCACGAGCTTGTTAATTTTCCTGCTGGTGGAAGACCGTTGTGAGAGAAGGCAAAATATTCAAAAAGATTCAGGCGGCAAGCAACATGAGCCTCTTCAACAAATTTCGCACAAAAAAACTCCCGAGCAAGCACCGTGAGCCTCTTCTCCCTCTCTCCTTTAAAACCAACATTGACGAATTCGCACATCCCATACGATCGTTGTTGTTGTTATTGTTATTGAATTGTGAAGAAACTATATTGCGTGATCATCCCTGAGAGGTTGTTACTCCCAATCATCATATCGAATATCCAGAACACATCATGGCTAGCTCATCCATTGTTCATGACCTCATCCACAAGTTTGTGAATGAGCCTCTTCCATTGCCATACGAGCAAATTCCAATGCTTAACAAGGCTAGAAACTATATTTTGAATTTTACCTTTGAAAAAGATGATCCATTCCGTATGAATCAATTCTTTCCAACTACCTTTGTTCCTGTAGCACTTTACCTTGTGATTACATTTGCTTTAAAGAAAATCTTCCAAGGAAGACCTGTAGATTTCAAGTCTAATGCTCTGTTGTACGCATTCGGATTCGTTCATAACGTGATATTGAGCTTGGGCTCTTTGATTATGTTTGCTGGTATGATGTACGGATTTTTGCAAGTCGCCTTTACTTCATACCTCGCAAATCAAACGCCTGGACAATCATTCCTCATTGGAATTTGTAACAGTAACGGCAGTTTTTGGAATAATAGATATGGTACTGCATTTTGGATTTGGGTCTTTATGATTAGGTATGTATTATTGATGATGAAATTGTATTGTGTCATCTTTTGTATCATTGTCGTGACAATAGCAAATGGTGGGAATTTGTTGATACATTCCTCTTGTGTCTCAAGGATAAACCTCTCCAATTCCTCCACGTATGGCATCACGCTACTGTGCCTCTCCACATGTATCTCATGTTGATTTCTGAATGGGATCCAGCTGTGTTTGGATTCTGTTTCAATGCGTTTGTTCACATCATCATGTACTACTATTATTTGCAACAATACAGAGGAATTGACTGCTGGTGGAAGAAGCTTGTCACAATTATTCAAATTGTGCAATTTGTAGTGTGCTTTGTTCTTTTGGGAATTTCATTGAACAGCCAACATTGTGAATTGGAAAGTCAATCATCTCGTATTGCTCTCTCCTCAACATTTACATTGTACCTCTCATACTTGGTATTGTTCATCAAATTCTATGCTTCGGCTTACTCCAAGAAAGGTCAAAGCAGAAGAAATACTGGTGACAAGAAGGTTGAAGCCGAAAAGAAGATGCAATAATTGTTCTCATCTTAAATTATTAATAAATATTTTGTTGAAAAACAAGTATTAATAATAATTGAAAGTTAATAACATTTTAAACAACACAGTTTATTCAAACACGCAAATTGGAATTTCTTGTTTCAATAATCAGAGCGAGGGAATTTATTTGACAAGAAGAACATTAATTTTACATGAACAAAAATCAAACATACTTTTAATATCCACCAACTCCTCGATGATACATTCCAGCGTGGTATTGGTGTAAACCTTGTGTTGGTCCGCCACTTCCATCATCTTCCTCTTCCTCATCCTCTTCATGCTGTGGTTGATGATGGCTCAATCGATGATGTGCTTGTTGATGATAATTTACTTGTTCTTGTGTTGCTTGATTTAGTGTATCTTCTTCCTCTTCTTCGTTGTAGTTTGCTGAATTTACCTTCTCGCATTCATCGATCCATTCGCTGTAAACGTCAATTGCAGACATGATGTAGGTAATGTTCGTTTGATATTGTGCTCCGCAAATTCTACACGTTAGCTTTCCGGTGCTTTGCTTTCTATCAATGACGCATTCGACCGTACCTTCGTGATTGCAGAAAGGACAATCGAAAGAAGTCGGCAACTTGGGTTGGACTTTCTTTGGTGGTGGTTTCCTAGTCTTTCTTTTTCCCATTATTTTTTGTTTGAGTAACGTCTTTTTTGTGCTCAAGATCAAATGGGCACTCGTTGTTTCTGCTCTGAGCTTGTGTATGAAAAAGGTTTTTGGGTTGTGGAACTTGACAACAATTTTAACACATTTAATTCGCCAAAATGAAGAATGAACAATTGTTACATTTGTTTGGCATCGTCAAGATGAAGTCCTCCCAATAATTTCTCTGGAGTGTATTCCATCAGGCCAATCTTCTCAACTGTGTCAATCAAGTCGTAGACAATTTCTTCTCTAACTACACTATCCTTTCTGTACTGAGGGTGAGATCTAACAAATTCTCTGATAAATGCAGCATTGGTTTGAAGTTTTCCGCTTGCTCTTAAACTCACCAAGCTTAGGTATCTCTCAAGAGAAATTCTATCTTTCACTTCACAATGCATTTGATCGAGATATTTTCTTACGAGAGGAATGAGCCCAACAAATTTCTTGTCCTCTTCGTTCACACCGTTCATAATTTCATCAACGCTCAACTCTCTGGTGCATTTCTTCAAATCATTCTCACTCATGTTAATATTAGGATCAGAATCTAAACACACTCTGAACTTAAACTTTTGGTTAAGCACTGCATCTCTAAGATGAGCTTTTTTCATGTTGAGATCCACCTCGGATAAAGGCATTAACATATTAAGCTTGAAAGATAAAATTGCTCTTGTCAATAGAACAATGAAAACAGTGAATGCAGCATTTTCAAAATCTGTAAGTTGAACTTCCATCACTCTGAATTCAACTCTCCAACCAATGGAGGAGTTTGGTCCTGGTGGTGGCTTAAATCTAACGGTTTGCCAGTTTGTAGATTGTAAGTTTTCAAAGTGAACGCTTTCGCTGTTATCGTCAATTTCCTTGCAATCTGTGAATATGACGAGAGGGTCACGAATAAAGTAATGAGCAATATGTCTTGCTAGCTGCTCATCAATGTTACTTTCACGGAGAGTGTTGTAAGACTTTTCATCCACTTCAATGTTAAGATCGCTAAATTGTTTTGCTTGTGCATTTTCTCCAATGTACAAGCTAATGGAATCATATCTGCTCTTTGTGATATGCTTGGTTTCATCATCTCTTCTATCATCTACGCTTGCACTTACTATATTCCATCGGACATCTGTTTCTGCCAAAAGGCCACGTGCTAAAGGTGTTGCAGCTGTGAGAGCTAACATGATTGGACATAAAACAGCCAACTGGTCGTAGAGGTTTCTTGCTTCATGAATGTCTCGTGCCAACAATGTACTTTGCATGCAACAGCAGCCCATTCCAAAAGCCATTGCATCCATGTGGATGAAATGCTCAAACTCTGTAACCAATCTAGTAGCAGAAGATGAAATCATCATTTGTTCCTTTTTTTGCTTGATTAATTCATCAATGTTTGGATAGTAACTTGAGTCTTCGTCTAAATGGTGAACTCTTTTACCAATATTAACATCAGTGTGTTCATCAATAAATAATGGAACGAGAATGTTCACGTTTTTTCCTCTTCTGAGTCTAATATTTCTAGTGAGAGTTCCAAATCTTGGATGCTCATTGGTAATAATATCAGGTATGTAGGGAGATCTTGCAATTGGGCCATTGAATGTCAACAACTCATTTTCTTCGTTTTGTGACAATGGTAAAATATCTGCAATGTGGGAATATGGGCTAGTATTCATGTCATTCATCAAAATTTTCCTTGTTGCTCCCAATAATGGATACAAAGACATGGTAACAACAGAGTTTGTAACTTTTGGAGATTTGATATGTTCCAAAATTTTAGGAACAGTTGATTGAGCAATCATTCTTCTTTTCTTCATTGATTCCTCGCATTTCAAGTAGCACGAAATGCATCCTTCATATGGAAAGAAGGGAGTTCCTTCAAGCATAAATCTGCCATACTCTGGCTTCCAACTAGCTAAAGGAGCATTTGGTAATAATTGATGATTGTAGTCATCTTCTTCTTTCATGAGTACATCCAATACTTGTTTGGCATGGAGAGAAAGGAAAATTCTCTTGTTCTCGGCATCTTTTTCCAACAAGAGATATTCAATTTCATCACCCCATTTCAATTCCTTGTCTGTTCTATCTTTTACCTTGTTGTAAATTATGATGAATTGTTTAATTCCGTGTTCCTTTACATAATCAATGAGTGATAACGCATCGGTCCATTTGAGAGGAGTTCCTGCTTTTAAAAGTCCCATCCTTTTGGTTTACTTTGAAAATTCAATGATCCGAAATGGTGTAGATGATGATTGTAGAATTTCCTGATGAAGAATGGGAGAGTACAGGAATTATCGACTTGGGCTGAACGAGCCTTGAAATTAATTTTTTATGATGATTAATTTTCAAAGCCTAGGTTGGACTCAGGGAAGGATGAAAGGCGTGCGGTCTATTAGACGCTCAGGACTGATTTTTACAAAAATTCATACATGCACGGTTTATTTAGAACTGATTTGTGCGTGCTGAGTTTTTGATCTAATAAGATTGGAATCTTGAGAACAATTAGCAGTTCAGTTCCTTAATCGTGCTGCCTAGTTATTTTGTTGTAAACTTTTGCAAAAAATGGGTAACACTTCTGCTCTCTCGACGTCGGCTGCTGTGGAAGTGTGTATTGTGAATATCAATGGTGCAACATGCAGTGGAAAGTCTACACTCGCAGAGTATTTGTGTATGTACAAGCGATGGGATTTATTTCATCCTGATGAAGATGAAAGGTCAAAGATTTAATAGTCCTATAGGTCCTATCGGACAAGATCATTTCATTACTAACAACATTCCGATATTTAAAAAGCACATTCTACATGACGATCAAAACGTGCAGCTATCAGATACGAAATCCATGTTTCGGGAATGGCCAAATTATGAATGTGAGCAGAGCATTAATTTCGTCCGTTTTGAACAGGTCATCAAAACAGCACGTGAGATCATTCTAAGCCAACATCATGATCTTGAACAAATGAAACGACAATTTATGGAACTAGGCTACACATTTTGGAATGAAAATTTTGATCCCTCTCAAACATTGATGATTTCAAACAAGAAAGTTTATTTAATTGTTGTTGAAGGATTTTTATCATGTTGTAGTTTTAATCTCATGTGCAATTTATTTGACATTAATATTTATTTAAATGCCTCAAAAGACTTGTGTCTTAAAAGACGATCTTGGAGAGATCAAAACAAAGAATTATCACAGGTCTCAAAAGAATTTATATCGTGGTTCAATGAGCTTGTTTGGCCATTCCATCAATTATATAGAACTAGACAGCTTTCGAATATCATCAAATCAGGAAGACCATTTTTATGTCTCAATTCGAAAGATGATATTGAGGAGTTACAAGGAACAAATGAGGAAAAATTAATTGATAAGGTCTCAAGTTTTATTAACGACTTGTTAATGAATAGAGGAGAGTCACTATCACTCATGCATCATGAGCTTCCTGACTGGTTTGATTTGAACACGAATTACGAAGAGAGTGAAAAAGAATTAGAACAATTTCTCTTCTCCCATCACATTAAATAGACAATGTCGATACATACACAAGTTTAAAACGATCATTGTGCCTCCCTACCTCAAGTACACTGGAGAGGTAGGTACCTTTTCGCAAAATTATCATTTTGAATTCACACAATTGGATTATGGCGAACCCTGAAAAAAATGCCGCAACAAACAACACCGCAAAACACCTCCACTTCCGATGATGGAAGACAAAGAAGAAGGAAAGAAAGTCCTCTCAAATCCATTCTCAAAATTCCATTATTTATTCTAGTTGTTGCCATGTTATTGAGAGTGTATTTTAAATTAGAAAAAAGTAAAGAAAAAATTAATCAACCAACGAGGACACTTATATACAATGCAACCATCGTGAATGAGAATAAACAATTTTTAGGTCATGTTCTCATTGAAGGAGAAACTATAAAGAAAATTTTTAAAAACAAGAAGAAGAATTTTGATTTAACCGAATTTCAACAAGACACAACTACTAAAATTATTAATGCTACTGGATTATATTTACTGCCAGGCGTCATTGATGATCAAGTACATTTCAGAGAACCAGGCCTCACACACAAGGCTACCATTTATACAGAATCCAAAGCTGCAGTTGCTGGTGGAGTGACATCTTTTATTGAGCAACCGAATACAAATCCACAAACCACAACTCAAGAATTACTTGAACAAAAATTTGAAATTGCCAAGAATACTTCTCTTGCAAACTTTTCATTCATGTTGGGAGGTACATTAACAAACTTACAAGAAATATTGAAAACAAATGGAAGAAACGTGGCAGGTATTAAGCTCTTTTTAGGAAGTTCAACAGGAAACATGTTGGTCGATGATCCAAAGGTGTTAGATGAAATTTTCTCAAAGACAAAATTACTCATTGCTGCACACTGTGAAGATGAAAAAACCATTCGTGAAAATTCTAAAGTTTACAGAGAGAAATATGGAGAAGATGTACCAATTCGTTGTCATCCAGAAATTCGAAGTGGTGAAGCATGTTTCTTATCTTCATCGTTTGCAGTGAATTTGGCCAAGAAGCATAACACTCGGTTACATATTTTCCACATTTCTACTGAGAGAGAAACACATCTCTTTGATAACAAGACGCCTCTAAAAGACAAGAGAATTACATCTGAAGTTTGTATTCATCACTTGTGGTTTACTGACAAGGATTATGAAACAAAAGGTGCATTGATCAAGTGGAATCCAGCTGTGAAAACTGAAGCTGACAGAGAAGGTTTATGGAAGGCATTACTCGATGACCGTTTGGATGTAATTGCTACTGACCATGCTCCTCATACCATTGCGGAGAAGACTAGTACCTATTTTAAAGCTGCATCAGGTGGACCTCTTGTTCAGCACTCATTAGTTGCCATGTTGCAATTTTATCATCAAGGCAAAATTAGTTTGAACAAAATTGTTGAAAAGATGTGTCACAATCCAGCAATTGTATTCCAAATTGAAAAGAGAGGTTACATTAGAGAGAATTACAAAGCAGATTTAGTATTAGTTAATTTGAATAAGCCTTGGATGGTAGACAAGTCAAATATTCTGTATAAGTGTGGTTGGAGTCCGTTCGAAGGAGTTGAATTCAAATCAAAAGTTGAAAAAACGTTTGTCAACGGAGCCTTAGTTTTTGATAATGGCGTGTTTGATGAATCAACGAAAGGGCAACGTTTGCTGTTCAACAGACGTTCATAAATACAATGTCAATAGATGGTCACCCTTTCTTTCAATAACGATGGTTTATTTCATGAGACCCTTATTAATCTCCAACTGCATATGCTTCTTCGTTTAACTTTCTGAGCCTTCTGTGAGAATGCTGTATCCATTTCCAATCAACAATACGCTTATCATTGTACAAGATATTTCCATCATAGTCAGGATTTACAATTACATGAGTAATGTCGTTGCTTCTTGTATTAAAATCGTCTACAATTTCTCCACCATAAGCTATGATATATCTCCTCAATTCTCTTTGATTCTTAACTGCTGGATCAAAATAAACAATACATCCTTCAAAGAAAGAAGGTAATGTAGCTTGGGGTCCTTCAAGATCCACATCGGCAATGTTTGGCTTGCTGTTTGACAAGTTCAAGTTAATGTACTGCAGCATCTTGTTTTTCAAGTTATTAATGCTATTGATAAGTTCTTCCTTGTTTGTGTCATCCTCGTCCATTGCCAGTTTAGCAATGCTTCTCAAAAATTTAGGGCTAGGTGTATTTAGAGACCATTTCTCGAAAAAGATCATAATATCACCTTCTTTGGCACAATTTGTGGCAGCTTCAAAAATGTCTTGGCTGATAAAATCAGAAAAGGACTTTTTCATGCTTGGAGATTCATCAAAAAACTTTTTAAACCTCAAAAGTTCTTGTTCTTCTGAGGGAGATAGACCACACTTGTCTACGGTTGTAGTAGTAGCTGTTGGTGCTGAGACAGAGGTTGTTGATACTTGTGGTACTTCTCTTCGATCATGTGAAGGCCTTGGATTATCTGAGGTAGCGGTCACAGCTGCAGAATCATTCTTGGAAAGAGTATCAGTTTGAGAAATGTTACGTTCTGAAGAGTCAGAATCTTTGGTCTCTGGTTGATTATCAGATTTACCTTCATTCTTCTTTTCTGATGTTTTAGAATCTGATATTGCTTGTTCTGCTTTTCGAGTCACTTTTTTCTTTTTTCGCTTTGGGACATATTCACCATCTTCCGCCTCCATATCCTTTTCAGAGCTGTCTTCACTCAGTTCAAAGTCAATGTCAGATCCTAGTGATGCTTCTGCTTCCTCTTCATCTGCACTTAATAAATCATCTTTTACCAACGAGTATTTTCTTTCATTCATTCGTCTTAATTTTGAATAACAATCATAAATCCACTCCTTAGTGACAATTTTTGATCCTTGCTTTTGTGCTTCACGGCCCTTATCAGAAACAAATGCAGCAACTGTTGAATAGAGTGGTTCATAATTACCTATCGCTTATAATATAAAATTCACGTACCTAAATGTGTAATGTCGGGCCGTACTTCTGGTCTATAACCAGCACCCATTTCCAGTGCCTTTTCTCTTAATGCACTTCTCTCAGGGTTTTGGATACCACTAATTGCAATAACACAACCAACAAGAACGTTTTCTTTTGAGGTTACGGGTCCATCTTTAAGATTCTTTTTGTCCTTAATTGTCGTCTTGTTACTCACTACAAAACCAGCTAGATTTCCATTTTCGTCGGCATCGCTGGCGTCGTCAATCATTCTTTCTTCATCATCAGTATCAGATGGATCTGACGAATATTTCTTTTTCTTGGTTGCCTTTTTTCTTGTTGTTGCTTTCTTTTTGTCTGCTTTGTTTGATTTTTTGTCTTTCTCGCTATCTGATTTATCACTTGTATCCAAATCGTCAATTGATTTAAACTTGACAGGCTTCTTTTTGGTTTCTGTCTTTTTTCTAGATCTTTTTTTTGAAGTGTCAGACTTCTCAGAATTGTCATCACTGTCATTAGTTTGAGATGATGATTTTGTTGGTTTTGCCGTAATACCACTTGGCAATGTCCTTTTCTTCACAGTGGAAGCAGAAGAGACGCTTGATTTTGTGCTGGTTAAATCTGGCTTGATGTCTAACGAGGGAGAGGCTGAGAGTTTAGTGTGAGCCATCTTTTTTGCTTGTTCAAATTTCTCTTGAGGGTTTTCGTCTTTCATGTCATCGTCATCAGAAAGTAATGGAATGTCCAATGTTGCTCCTTTTATGATTGGAGTCGTTGTTGGCTCTGATGTCTTGGTTGCTTCTGAATCTACTTTTTCAACAGCAAAATATGTCAAACCTAAATAGTTTCCAGAGTAAGATGACGTTAATTTTATGCGAATCTTCTTCCACCCTCTAAATTCTTTTTCGGCTTGTCTCATCAATGCAGACCTATAGAGAGATTTTGGATTGAAAATGTGGAGATCTCTAAATTTCGATTTGGTCTTCAAATCTTGAAAGTTTAGCATGGGTGTGGCAGGAAGTAATACAAGAGATTTGCTTTCATCAAACTTCCCATTGCCTTCTTCCGATACACATACTTCAATCAAAGCAGACCCATTATTCCTGACAATCACGTTATCAATTTTGAAGTTATCATCAAGAATGTCTAAATAAATAAAACATGTTTTGGTATCATCTTTTGTTTGAAAGAAGCTATCATCATCAAGTAGAATATTTTCGGGAGCATGAAAAGCATCCAATTGATCATCTTTTCTCTCCACACCCGAAACGTAGAGCCTTGCTTTGGTCATTTTTTGTTGTTGTGAATTTTTTAAATTTTTCAATCCAACATTTTGGAAGAGCGGCAAATTTTTCAACGTTCCAATAAGTGATGGAAACCTTTTACTCTTCGTCAAAATCCAACTGTACAACATTACTAGTATTCGTATCACCATTTGCTTCTGTGGGTTCTTCTGTCGCTAGCTCAATAATAACTTCTTCAACACCATCTTCGTCATCAGAAAAAACAGCCATTGGTTCATTGAGGTCTGTGACAGGTGAAGCTTCTGCCTCACTTGAGCCACTGGAAACGTCGTCAAGTTCAATTTCTGCATTATCCTCTTCTAATTCTTCTACATCGTCATCACTTCCATCAACGACAAATCTTCTGTCTTCTTCTGTGTAATCATCATCACCTTCTTCATCCTCTTCATCTGAGATGGCGAAATATACAGCATCTTCAGTATCGAGAGGAACAATAACTTGAGTGCGATTATTACTGTGGTAGCTCATACAAATATTCAAGAGTAGCTTGTAGAACAATTGGCCGTCAATGTTTGTGGAGATTAATTTGAGTAAAAAGTAGACGAACACTCGTGGAGCGATATTTTGTAAACCTAGCTCTCTTATACAGCGTTCTATAAAGGTGTGATGGAAGGAGCATCGTGATCGATCACTCTCTCCATCGTAAATGATGTCCATTAAATGTTCTGCTTTCTCATCTCCTAAAAATTGACCTGTAATGGTTAGCCGTCCTCCATCCAAATATGCATCGTCAATGATATTACAATTAATGGTTGCCTTAAATTCAGCATAGTGACCAATGGTACTGAAAATAATAAAATCAAGCTTATGAGTCTCTCCAAGAGCATTATTTTCTTCTCGTCCAAAATATAAACTATTCGTAACAATAATGCTGTTTCTGGACTTTGTAAATCGTCTAAATTGTGTCATGACGTTGTCTAGTACTGATAAATCATGCCTACTAAAATTAGCTTCTGTTTCTTCATCGCTATCATCCGTAAGATCAATGGTTCTTTGTAATAAAATGTTTAAAAGTGCTCTAAGGATGTTCCTTTCATTCTTGATATCATCAACTTCTTGAATAAATTCTAGAGCTCGTAGAGAAAAGTCAACTTGTTTTTTCTGGAGGTCAAAGAATCTTGTAAATACTGCTTGAGATCCTAAGCATTCAGAAAATAAATTTGTTGCATCATTGATATCATCTGCACGATATGCACGTTCAACCAAGCTGTCTTGTTTTTTGAGAAATTTCGTCAAAGAGGACCCTATTGAGTGTTTTAACACAAATGCATATCTTGTTTTGAATGCCAGCAAAAAATCACATTCACCCACTTGTTCTTTTTTCACATTCAAATCTTCAAAAAAGATTCTCTTATATAAATCGAACCAAAAGAAATTATTGTTTAGCAATGCGTTTCTCCAATCTTTACAAACAACCATGATACTTGTGAACAACTTTCTTGGTGGTAAAAATTCACAAATAGTCATTAAACAATCCAAACTGAATCTTGAGTCACGATCTTTTTTTTGTTTTTTCCAATTTTGAAAGAATTCAAACTCTGCTTTTCGTTTCAATGATAACTCTTCTTCATTACACGTTTCTAATTTTGGTACTACTGTTTCCGAGAACATTGATGCATTCGGCATTGCTTCTAATTCTCCACCGTTGGCTTCTTGAGAAGAAGACGATGAGACTCCATTCCTTGAAGCTTTTACCTTCTGCTTTAATAACTTGATTTTCTTCAACAACTTTTCATCACCGTTCATTGTGTTTGAGTAAAGGTCCAGAGATGTTCAGCGCTGAAGATGTGGTTGTTTCCGAGAAATTTGTGTGATGATTCAATTTATTTTTTTTGAAAATATGAACGAAAAATTTTGTACTCGGCGCAACATTTTTCACTCAAAATTCTTTGATCGTTTCATTGCCAGGATAAACCTCAATGGATTTCAGCTCCAAACTAAATGGTCCCTCATTCATCGAGCTAATTCCAACACCAAGTGTCAAAATATCGTAAATAGGTGCTGTTGTACCTAATTTAGCTCTTCTAATGGCGCTAATGGACGTCTCTTCACCCATATTATTTACACAAAAACTTGTGAATGGAATTTCAGAAACCAACCACTCCTCACCACTTTCTGGATCGATTTCAGTATAAAATTTTGTAGCTTGCATCTTGTATCCTACTGCACTGTGATAATATGTGGTATGTTCTCGAAGAATTGATGGAACGAGAGGAGCATAAAAGAAAATATCGTCCACGAAATGATTGAATTCAAACTGTAGCTGGAAATCATCAGGTCTCTCTGTTCGATATTTAATTTTAATACCTCCGTCCTCATAGTCTGATAAATCTAAATGAAGTGCAGGATACTATTTTCATGTGTTTTTAAAATCAAAATATCAAAATTATTTGAATTATTTTTTCAATAATTAAAATAATTTCAATCAAAATAGATGATTTGAGGTTGAACACTCATTTCGGAAACATACCACAAACCACATTCTTGCAAACGATGGCAATACTTTCTTTCCATTTGTAAGGGTATATAATTGTCCTTGAAATATACAACTATCATTGTTTGTCTTGACCAATTCACAATCGGATTTTCCTCCAAATATTGTGTCGGTGATGAGCGTCCAATTTGAAAGATGAGTGTTCGAATTAAATTGATGTAGTGTCCTAGAAGGTGTTCCCATATCAAAGCGAAGAGCTCTGTCATAAAATTGCTTCATCCTTTGTGCAACAGAATGTTTCAGATTTAACGCTTGCGTGAGGAACGGAACTTTGTAGAGAACCATTTTTTTCGAAATGATAAGAATCATAAAAATTTGGGCAATTATAGCTTATTGACCACCCTTATTTCAAACAACAACATGCATGAAACATAATCACGATTAAATTACAATTCTTTAGTGGTGATGAGCTTGACGTTTCCATAATTCAGAATAAAGACCATGTTCATGTTTGATTAATTCAGCATGTGTACCCACTTCAGCAATAGAGCCATAGTTGTCGAGTACAATGATTTGATCAGCGTTTTGTATGGTTGACAATCGATGCGCAATCATGATGGTACTTGTTTTAGAAAATAATTCCTCAATGGCTGACATGATTCGTTTTTCAGATTTGGAATCGAGAGAGGATGTAGATTCATCACAACATAAAATCTTTGGTGCTCGTAAAATTGCTCGAGCAATAGCAGTTCTCTGTTTTTCACCACCTGACAATTTCAATCCTCTCTCACCAACTTGTGTGTCTAGACCTTTTGGTAGCCTTTCAATAATTTCAGTGAGATGAGCTTTGTCTACAGCAGCTTTAATTTCTTCATCAGAGCTTCCTAATCTACCATATTCAATATTATGTTTTAGAGTATCATTGAAAAGTACGCAATCTTGTGGAATGAATCCCATGATTCTTCTAAGGCTTTCCAGAGATACACTTTTGATGTCTTGACCATTCACTAAAATTTGTCCCTCTGTTGGGTCATAAAATCTGAATAATAGTTTCAGTATGGTTGATTTTCCACTACCACTTGGACCACAAACACCCAAGGTACTACCTGGCTTTACGACAAAGGAAACATTATCAAGAATCTTCCTTCCTGCTTCATAGGAGAATGAAACATTTCTAAATTCAATTTCTACTCCTTCATGTTCATTGACCACTAGTTCCTTATCAGTGATGTTTTGTACATTTGACTTAGTATCAAGCAATGAGAATAAATGCTCAATATCGGTGATTGCTTGGGTGGTTTCTCTGTACACAGTACCCAAAAAGTTCAGAGGAATCGAAAGTTGGAACAGTAATGTGTTTACCATTACCAAGTCACCAACTGTTAAATCTCCAGTCATTATTTTGTTTGCTGTCAAATACATAATGTAGGTTAATGCCAATGAGAAAATAAATGATTGACCGAAATTTAGGGTGCTTAAACTGGTTGAGATATGAACAGAAGAATCTGCAAACTTCTTCAAATATTCGTCATATCTCTGAGCTTCATATTTCTCGTTCTGGAAATACTTCACTGTTTCATAATTAATTAAAGAATCAACAACTCGACTGTTTGCATCGTTTTCTGCCTTGTTCATTTGTTTTCTGAACTTGGTTCTCCACTGTGTAATTGCAATAGTCCATGCTCCGTAAAAGAATACTGCTCCCAATGCTGTGAGAGCGAAGTTTGCACCATAACTAAAGTAAAAAATGGAGCTAACGACACTGAGCTCGAAAAGTGTTGGAACGATGTTAAATAACAAGCTGGTAAGTAAAAAGTTAATTCCTCGTTTTCCTCGTTCAATTATTGTGCTCAAAGCTCCAGTTTTTCGTTGCAAATGAAACGAAATGTCCATGGTAAGAAGATGTTCGAACACTCTCATCGATACAAGTCTAATTGATGCTTGTGTGACTTTTGAAAATACAGCTCCTCTTAATTCTGTGAAAAGAGACGATAAAGTTTTTGCAATACCATAGCCAACAATCATTGAAATTGGTCCCATTGTAAACCAAATTGTGGGGTCTTGCACAATGGCTTCTGTACTTGGTCCCAACGAGTCAACAGCGTGCTTAAAGAAGTATGGAACGGCCACGTTAAATAATTTTGCTCCTATTAAAAATCCAAAAGCAGCAACAACTCTTCCTCTCAAGCCAGAATCTTTTGGCCACAATAATGTAGAAACATGAGAAAGAATTTTTCTTGCAGATCCTTTTTCATTCACGGCAGTTGCTTGGTCAGAAGTTGTTGTGGCTGCCGTAGAAATACTTTCTGTGGATGATTCAGCACTCTGACTCTTGTTTCTCATCTGAATGGATTGTACATTTAAAAACATTTTTGTTCCCGATGAAGAAGATGACCTCGCATAATTATTAAACTTTAAATTGTTATGCACATTCCTTGATGTACTCGGACTGATACAACCATTAAAAACCGTATAATCTGTATTATTCAAAAACAAGCTTGGAAGATGCTTGTTGTGGTTGTTATTCAACACTTTCACCCGAGATGATCCTTTGTAAGCGTTCATCAAGCCGGATCTTTTGAGCATTTTTAAAAATGACTTTAGATGCCTACCGAGAGAGGCAAGAAGCCTTTGTTTCCGATATTACAGGGACTACTCCATTGGAAGTTTTTGGTTTGAGTATGGCTGTAGTGTTGATTCCGAGTGTAGAATATTATTTGAAACGATTTTTGGAAAAAAGAATCTCACGATTATTACTTGAAATTATTTTCAAAATAGCGTTTTATTTTGGGATTGAAGCCACTATTGTTTTGAATAGACCCATCATTGGAAATAGTTTTTCGCTGGGACTTGTGTTGTTGTGGAGCTTTACGATTTTATTGATTGTAATATTTCAAATGACTTCTGTGGACAGGCATGATGACGGCCATATCAAGCATGACGAAAAACTAGAGAAAACCAACCAACATATTGAATTTATCTCTGAGTATCGTCACAGTATGCAACTTTCAACAATTATGGCAATACTTATGGTAGATTTTCAAATATTTCCAAGAAGATTGGCAAAAACAGAGAACTTTGGTTATTCATTGATGGATTTGGGAGTAGGGAGTTTCGTATTCAGTGGAGCCATAGTTTCAAGTGCTGCAAGGAGAGTTGTAAACCCGTCTACTTCAAGAATAAGCTTTTCCAAGCTTATCCATTCGCTGCTGCCATTGACAATTCTTGCAGTATTTCGATTTTTGTCTGTGAAAACTGTGAATTATCAAACACATGTTTCAGAATATGGAGTTCATTGGAATTTTTTCACAACACTCGTATTCCTCTGTTTATTGTCATTCATTACTGACGAGGTACTGCATTTGACAAGCTCGTGGAAGAAAAGCTTGACATTTGGACTGAGTTGTGCCGTTCTGCAACAATGGATCCTCTCTGGTCCGTTGAATCTTCAGCACATCATATTACATGAGGAACGTAGTAACCTTATTTTAGCAAATAAGGAAGGATTTGGAACACTACTTGGTTATTTATCCATTCATCTTATTGGGGTTGGTGTGGGTCAGTTCACATTTATGTACCACAGTATTGCAAAACGATATTTGAAATTCTTGATTACACTTTCATTGATCACGATCATCATAGCATTTGCCCCTTTTTATGCGTATGGTGGGCAACACTTTATTGAGCCTGCGTCTCATTTAATTGAGGAAACTTATCATTTTCAGATCAACAAAGAATTCTTTATTGATGACGTTTTATTTACGATATTTATTCCATCGAGACGAATGACAAACTTTGGATATATCGTTTGGACAATCTCTTTTAACATCACTCTCATTACGTTATTTTATTGGATGTCTCAAATAACGCCTTTGAAGAACAAAATATTTGCATCTTCATATACCTCCGTTGTTAGAGATGCCATGAATTTTAATCCACTGTTTTCGTTTTTGTTTGCTAACCTCTTGACAGGAGCAATTAATCTTTCCTTCCAAACAATAGATGCCAAAACAATAACGTCGACCTTAATTATTTTGACGTATGGATTTGTGGTCTGCTTGGTAGGAGTGTTTCTGTATGATAAAAAGAGAAAGATATTCTAGACTCTAGCATCATTGGCAGAATTAAACTACTCCTTTGGTATTGTAAATATTGCTACACTTTTTTAAGGTCTGTATTTTGTAAATTATGGACCAGTTATATAAATACTTTATTTGCAATTTTTATTTGACTATTGCTGCACTTGTATTTGTTTCATCACCACCTAGACATTGGATAGCTTATGGTTAGCTATCACAATAGGTACTTGTGCTTGAATTTCCATTGAATGATGCTGTAAGGTAATTCTTTTCATTCTTCAATTCATCTCCTTTGGGTGACTCTGGAATTTTCAGCTGAATTAAGTTCTGCTAAGCGAGGCGAGTTTTGCAAAAGTGGACAATCAGTCTCAAATGGAGTAAAGTCGTAAAATATCGTACATTCATAGTCGCATTCTTCCTCGATCACTTCCTCGGTTAAATCAAATTTCTTACTGCTTCTCGCAGACATTGGATTTTCATTACCTTCATCTTCTTGTTGCAACTTGATTTTTGGACCATCATTCTTAGAATCATTTACGAGATATCTTCCGGCTTGTTGATTAAATTGAAATATCGATCGGAGAGTGTTATTTAAATCTCCAGGTTTGTTTCCGATTTCATTTTCAGGACTCACACCATCTTTCCAAAATACTACATTTGTGATACTACCTCCATGCCTTTCCCTGATTTTTTGTTCAATTGTATAAAGGTTAGTCGATTCCCTCACCCGGAGCTGAAATCCCATGTTTTCCCAATTCATCAATCTTACTTTAACTCTGACCCACTTATCCTCAACTTCTGCAAACACCTCCGGAGGGGGAGGAGTGTAATTTTTCGACATTTCGATGAGTAACTGATCAATCTTGCTCGCTGCATTCTTTCTGGATCCTTTTGCTGTTGAAGCTTTCCTCTTCTTGGCCATTTTTATTTTGTTAAACGAACTTTGTAATTTTTTTGGCGCCAAGCCCAACTAACGACATTTCATTTCAAACAAACTCAGTTTCCACCGGCTTCTGGAAAGGCTGACAATTTTTTAAAATAATTAATCAAAAAAAAATGAGATTCAAAGCCACCCTGATCAATCAAAAGCTCTTCCTGAACATTGTGCAAGCGCTCGAGAAAGTGGACAAAAATGGTCTCATTCGTCTCAGCAAATCTAAAATTCTCTTCGTCTCAAAACAATCCGATGGTGAGAATGTTCAAGTGTACGGAACAGTTGTAGCACAGGCATTATTTTCGGAAATGAAAGTGTCTTCCAAGATCCGAAACGAAATTGCATTTGAAGTACACCTAAAGAATTTAGCATCAGCATTAAAAACTGGTACCAATGCGCTTTCCACCATTGTGAAATTAACAAGAAAGCATGATGTTGCATATTTATCTTTTGAAATTAGAACACAAGTATCGAAAAAGGAGACATCCAATGTTGTACAGGTAGTACAGGATGTTCCTATTCGAGTCCTACAACTTGAAGAAATTCAAGCTAGAATTGTGGAACCAGATTACTCTCAATTTTGTTCCAATCCTCTCATGCTAAGTCTACCCAAATTGAAAGAAATGAAATCCGTAATTGACAAAATGAAGTCTACACACAATGGAAACGTAGATGTTGCAGGCTCACCTTCAGGTCAACTCCGATTAGTGGTAAATAGTACTCTAGTGTCAATTAGAACAATTTACAAGGGATTAACTGTGAGGAGAGAAGGTATGAATACGAATGAAGTTTATACATCAGAAATTACTGTCAGATTGAAATCTCTTTCTAGATTCCTTCATGCTCATGTCACCAATCCGACTGATGTGGATTGCATTTTTATTGACGGCCATGCCTTAATCATGGATGTTAAACTTGAAACCAGTGGAGTTGAAGAGACAGACAAGAGTTATCTCACCTATTATATTGCTGCTGTGCAGGATTGAAAACTTGGCTACTTTCTTTGCGGAGTTCCACCTCCAACTGACTTTTTAAGCTCTCTAATTTGTAGTTCTGCCGCTTGTAGCTTTCGTTTGTACATATCAATCGCTGTTTGACCTCCATTTGAGTAGGATGCATTTCTCTCAGCGTTAATTTTTGTGTTAAGTTGTAAAATCTAGATTGTCAATAGAGGAATTATTGATTATGCTTGCCAGTGTTCTCAACAAAACGACCAACTCACCTTTTGCTCGTATTGCAATTTTAACTTTTGGATAGATTCCTCATGCTTACTTTGAATTTGAGTTAACTCCATGTGCAGCTTTTCATTCTCTTCATTCTTTACATTGACCTGGCTGAGAAGTTGAGACACTCTTTTTCTCAAATCATTCCTTTCGCTCTTTAATTTCTGAGAGTAGGAAACGAGCTTGGCGTTATTGGCTTCACTTTCCTTTAGAGTAGAGACTAGAGGATTCATTACAGTTTTTTCAAGAGAAGCAAGTTTTTTCTCCATTGTGCTTTCAACATCCTTAATCACCTGTTCGTCTTCTTCCGCAACGTGATTCCATCTCAATTCCAAATCAGAAACTCTCTCCAATAACTTCTTGTTCATATCCATTAATTTTGAATTCTCCAATTGCGTATCCACCACCCTTGAAGATGTCATTGAACATCTCTCCATTTCCGAATTCTTCATCTCAAGTTGTCTCTTAAGATCAACCAAGGCTTTCTCTAATTCCATCATTCTGCCTTGATACTCCTTCTCTATTTTCTCTCTTAAAGATGAACTCTCATTATTTTCCTTGTATTTAATCAAATCAATCAAATTCTAAAACATCCAAAGATGATTTTGCTTTTGATATCAAATAGTAAGCCTTACAAACCTCTTTCATCCAATGTAAGGTCAGAAACAGTTGATCCTTTCTTTCCATTTTTTCGTACGCTCCCAGATTGAAAAAAATGCAACGTTGTTCCGTTCTCTTCTCTCGGGCCTTTGTGTTATTGGGTCGTAAACGAGTGCTTCTTGATCCATCACATCATCATCCGTGCTTCACTCGTAATAACACTATTTTTTGTACAAATCCATGTTTAAATACATGGCTCATGAAAACAGAAAATAATGCAAAAAGCTATTCAAGTAAAAGAGAAAAGCCTGTTGATGTGCTATCATTGTGCAAAATCCGATATTTCGATAAAAGTGGTGAAAATGATGTTATTGAAGGAAAAAGAAAAATTGTTAAATTTGCTGTGGAAGCACATGTGGAAGACTCTTTAATATTAAATGAGAAAATAAGAATTGATAAATTATTGAGTCAACTACTTCCAATCAGCAGAGAATATGCTCAATTTTTGTTGAGCAATGGACACGTAAAAATTAATAATAAGAAAAGCAATGAAGATACAAAATTTGTAAAGTTTAATGGTATGGTTATGGATATTGAAAATAATTTTATTCACAACATCGATTAACTTGTAGATGTAATGTCAGATACAGCATTAATTTTTGAAATTTATCTTGAAAATAGACCTATCAATACACATATTATCACATCAGAACAAGAAAAGTTTCCATCAATACCTATACATGTACTGTACGAGGATGAAGATGTTATTGTTGTTAACAAACCTTTTGGATATACTGTTCATGCTAGTAAATCTCATCCTGAAGAGACAACAATGATTAATGCGATTCGCTATTACTGCACCAAAAAATATGAAGAGGATAAAAAGTCAAAAAAGAAATCTACCAAATCATCTCTTCCACTTGTAGTGAATCTTGCTCACAGATTAGAAACTCAAATGTCAGGTATTTTGATTTGTGGAAAAAACTCGTATTCCAACCAAAAATTAAGCGAACAATTTGAGCAGAACTCTGATATGGGCAAACAATATTTGGCTGTATGCGCAATTACGGACGTCAAAGCTCTCAAGAAAAAGCTGAATCCATATGCTTTTATGGAAGAATTTTTAGAGGATGAAGAGGATGACGCTTATCTAGCAACATTATCAGAGGAAGAATTGCTGCAAAGATATGGAATTAAGAAAGTGACGGCCTCAGAGTTAAAACAAGAAGGACTGCCAGACATTCTAAATTTGCAAGATTTTGTGGAATACGAAGAGGACGACGATATGGATCTCGTTGGAAAGCTGGAAGAACATGAGAATTTGGATACATCTGGCTGGATTGACTTGTCCAAAGATCATGATGACTTTGTTGAAAAGATGGAAAAGGCAGCCAAAAACAAAACAATAACAATGGAAGGAGCTGTCAAGTTGGTCAAACATGCAAGTACAAACAAGATGGTCGCACAGAAAGCAAACAGGCATGACGAGTTGATGAAAAACGTCAAAGTATTGAAGGATATCAAAACCGTTTGTAACGTATTGGAACTTAATGAGGAAAAGAGTGTTGCATTGGTTTCCATAACTATTCCCTCCGGATCCGTACAACAGGTGCGCTCTCATTTGGCAACATATGGAATTCCAATGCTTGGGGATTTGTTGTACTTTGATCAAGTGGACAACAGAATTCCCTACGCAATTTCACGATCTCACAATGTCAACCATATTTTGTTCCATTTGTACAAGATTTCTTTCCACCATCCAAATTCAGGAAAGAAGATTGTAGTTCGAGCTCCATTATTGTCTCCAATGAAAGATTTTATATCCAAGAATTTTTCCGAGTCCACAATTCACAAATATGCCAATCCAGAAACAAAAGAGGAATGAACTAGATAAATGTTTCACAAAAAACTTCATTAGGTTATATGTACAATATTGTGATTATGTGTTATTGAGATGGTTTTTCTTGATTTGAATTATCCAAGTAAGCAAGGAATCCTCTTAGCGTTTGAATGTATGTTTTAAGTGTTAACCTCTCAATGATGTCATGATGAGATCCATTTTCAATAGAAATGAATTTATATTGATACTGCTTTTGCACGTTACTATATAGTTCTTTTCCATGATCGTAAGGGACGACATCGTCGTTTGTTCCGTGGAAAACTATGCAAAGAAACAATGTAAATATGAAATTGTAATTTTTACAACTTACTGATTACAGGAGCTTTGACATTTGGAATTCTATTAATGTTACAAAACATATCAACAGGTCTCAAAAATACGCTCTGTGAAACAATACGACAAATTCTTTTTTGAAAAACATAGTAATTCATTCCTCATAGAGAAATATAAACTTACGATACAAATGCTAATTATGTTAAGTTGAAAATGTCACATTTTGATCTAATGCAAACAACTTACGACACTCTAAAATAAGACCCTTAATAGGATACTTATTTGCTAAATAGCATGACGGACCACTTCCTACAGACGTTCCGAATATTACTGAAATTCATGCAATCTCTATCACGCAGCTCAATGTTTTAAAACTTACCAATGTCTTTTGGATTCACCTTTTGAGCTTTTGTTAAATATTCATATGCAGCTTCAGCGCTCTCATACGTATCTTTACAGGTTTTTTGATGAGTTGTAAAATGTTATGACTGTGAGTATGACTTACCACTCTCCGATGGTTGATATTGATTTGCAAGTCCATAACCAACATATTCGTAATGAAGTACGTTCACTAATCAATGATTGGCCAAGTTTTACACGAGTATGTGTGTGACATCATCTAAACTCTTTTAAAAACCTACCATTCAAATAATCACGCAATACAACCAAAAAATCAAACTGAACAGACGAAAATAAAGAAAAACAATTAATTCCTCTGACACTCGTTCCTTCAACATACCATAGCGCCTATATCAGCAGCATTTCCGTGAGAATAAATAATGGTGGTTGGAGTGTCCTTGTTTGCCTTCATATAATAGCAAGGAATCATCTTTTTTGATTTTGTTGTGAGAAAAGTTACGGGATATGGATGATGTTCATCATAGGTTGGTTTTGGAGGAGCAAACACATATTGTGAGACAATTTGACCCATCTTGAAAATTATATATAATTTGAAATAAATAATTTAATACAACAATGAAATATTCAAGTCCGATACTGTTCAGGTAATAAACCCTATTGTATGATAGGTATTATTGATAATAAATTAAACAAAGAAGGCTCGAGGATAATAATTGTACAACGACGAATCCAATAAAACTGTCGTAAAATTTTTTTGACTTGTTATTTTGGTGACGAGTAAACGCATCACGACACTTGGAACTAAGGTAGAAGGGTTTTCTGATAGGGTTGGGAAGCTGCATACTAATAAAATTCATCATTATTCAATTAGAGGAAAGTTCAACCACATGAGATCGTGTCTGTTTTGCTTGTTAAGAACGTTAATTAAAAGAATGATCCACATAGGTTTCAAAGTCTATTTCCGTAAACATCTGTTCTGGCATAACAATTCGAAGCAGAATGTGAACCTCGTCCACAACGAGAACAACCACCTCCGTAAGAGCATGAGGATGAATCACTATCATCATCATCACTGCTACTACTCTCCAAACTAAATTGATTTTCTCTATAGATCGTTCTTGATCCGTTTCCAATAATATCTCTTCCAAACACATCATTCCTTGCAAAGCATTGAGAAGAATGATGAGAGGTATGTCCAAAGGTTCTATGAATGGATGATATTGTGTTTTTCTCTCATTACGATCTTTTGCCTTCAGGTAGCGAGGAATTTTGAGAGATTGAAAAGACTCCCTTATTAAGAATTTTCAAGTCAAGAGTTCGCGCTAAAAACTGTAAAAAATATGGACCGCTATGAGGTCATTGATAAGATCGGAGAAGGTAAGGAAGATGATTAGTCTTGGATAAGGAGAGTTCAATATATTGTCGATGATTTCATGTATTGATCATCATAATTTCTTTAATAATTATCATCACCCAATAATAATTGATTATCTCGCAACCACGATCAACAGGAACGTACGGAGTTGTATTAAAGTGCAGGGATAGAGAGAGCGGAGAACATGTTGCCATCAAACAATTCAAAGAGAATGATCGTAAGTTTCTAATAGTAGTACAAGTTACGAAACGTTGAATGATTGCAAGCAGAAAAAGATGAGATTGTTCGGAAAACAACAATGCGAGAGGTTAAATTATTGAAATCTCTCAAACATGAAAATATAATAACGCTTAAAGATGTTTTCAGGAAACGTGGGCGACTTCATCTGGTATTTGAGTTTTATGAAATGAACATGTTGGAGCATTTATCGCAACAACCAGAGGGGTTTCCTGAAGATATCGTCAAACTGTATATGTTTCAATTGGTCAAAGCAATAGCGTACTGTCACGAAAACCAAGTTATTCATAGAGACATCAAACTGGAAAATATAATGATTAATAGCAACAAACAGCTCAAACTAATTGATTTTGGTTTTGCTCGAACGATACCCAAGAAAGAAACTGAATTTACTGATTACATTGCGACTAGGTGGTACAGGTGTCCGTCTCTTTTGCTTGGGTGTAAACACTATGGGCCTGAGGTGGATATTTGGGCAATTGGATGCATTATGGGTAAGTTTACATGAAATCTCCAAGTGGTTGAAAATGGGGGTTGTAATAATTATTTAGCTGAACTGCTGACTGGCAAACCACTATTCCCAGGTCATTCTGAAATAGATCAACTCTACCTTATTCAAAAATTACTTGGACCGCTTACTAAAGAGCAAACAAAAATGTTCTTCAAAAACCCAATGTTCAACGGTTATAAATTCCCTGACATGACAGCCTGTGAAGGTTTGGAACGACGATTTCTGGGAAAAGTTTCAAAAAGTGGTTTATTATTCCTGAAAGGGTGTTTAAAAATTGACCCCAAAGAAAGATTTACTTCGACAGATTGTTTAAATCACAAGTTTTTTGAAAGTATTGACATTGGAAGATATCAAGTTGAGCCTACTGTTGAAACAATACAGAAGCCGATACTCGGCTCATCAACAAGCAAAGGAAATGTACTTCAAACTGTAAATTATTTGGAACACCGTGAGGAAAATGTAAATACAGCAAGAAAGAAAAAGGTGATAACAAAACCTTCTGAAATGATGACAGGATGTTTGGAATCAGTGGATGACTACCAACAACCAGAATTTGATATGTCAATATTACAACCCAACAAGAGAGTACGGTCAAGACAAGGAGGGAGAGATTACGAAGAGGATACATCTCGTTCGCAGTCAAGGACTGAGAAGCGAAAACCGAAATTAAGTGAAGTGCACCTTCAAAAATTGCCACTTCCAAAACCAGTTCCTACTAAAACTAACTTTAACAAACTACCATATTCCAACACGTATGAAAAGAAAAAGCCAGTCTCTAGCCAAAAACTGAGACATCTACAACCAACAGATAACTATCACGCGAAATCTCAATATGAGGTTATAGAGGAAAACATCGACCAAGAAAACGAGCCTGTGGGAAAGCAATTTTTATCTCAGAAAAAGGAGCTCAATAGAGCCCCTTCTTCATTTTCAGACAATCTAATACATGATGACTCCACATCATCGCCACGACTTTTAGGAGAAAAAGGTGTAAAGACAAGGAAAAGCAAGTCCAATTTAACTCTTCGAAGTTCTGTTAAGAACGGCTTTAGTGCGTTAGATCAGCCAAAAACAACGAACGTTGGCTGTCTGTCTCCAATCAAAGCTCTTCCTAAACTCCATCATATCAGCCCCCAGTCCCACCCTATACTAGGTGCTCAACAAGGGAGAAAGTCGGCCTCAACCAAGAAGATCCCTCTTGGCAATGCTTTAGAGTTGGGAAATATCGATGACCTAGAGAAGGACCTGTTTGATCACTTTTGTGGCGACAACAACCCAATTTCAATTACTAACGACCCAGTGTTAACCCATTCTAGAACCAAAACGCCGCCAGCATCATTGAGGAACGACCCTCATTCGCAGCACAGCCGAGTACATTTAAAGCCAATTCAAATAAACAACTAGGGGCCTCCCAAGTGCCGTAACCGATTTTTGTTTACAAATCTTTACAATTCAGAAGCACCACCAAAACAGAGAATTTACAAAAAGGTTTATTTCACATATTATCTCCACATCTCCATTAAACGAGCAGCACCCATTCCTCTTTGACCTCTGGAGCCTCCTTTCATCATTTCCAAGTCGAACATTTCTTCTCTCAAACCAAATGAACGAACAATATAAGCTGTCGAAGTAGAAATTTCGTCATCCATTTTCTTCAAACGTTTTGTGAAATTAATTGTTCTTTGAATACTTCTGTCAAGAGTTTGGTTGGTGAAAGGTGAAGCAAAATTAGAAGATTCAGTATCCTCTTCGAATGTAACCATTCCATCAACTTGGTTAATTCTGGCATTAATTTGACCGTTGTCGATCATCTTGAATAACAGTTGTTCTGCTTCCTTTGCATCCTTCAAACGAGCAGCTTTAGCAATATCAACCAATGACAATGTGACATAAGTAGAAGTGAGCTTTTGAATGTTTCTTCTGTGAAGGGCAGAGAGACATTGCTTCATCAAGCCAAGGTTCTTGTCATCCTTGATTGCTTGATTGTGTTCGTTCAAAATCTTGTAGGCTTTGTCCACATCATCGCGTTCAAAAGCAGTTGCGAAATCAATGTAGATTTGACAGAAGGTCTTCATGTGTCTGTGGACCAAGTTTGAAGCATTCTTGGAAATACCCAAATATTTACCGTGTACTAAGAGTGACACCAAAACGAGCTTCTTTGCACTTTCAACCATGATGGCGTTCAAAGCAAGAGCAGGAATTTGCATTGCCTGTGAATGAAATGATAGGTTACCTCAACAAAGTCGAAGATACAAAGGTCCTTACTTACATTATCAAAGAATGTGTATGCCTTGGAAAATTCTTTCATACCAATATAGATCATACCACCATAGTAATAATACAATAACATATCTCTTGGAGTAAGACCAGTAATGTCTGTGTCCACATCAAAGATCTTGTTCTCGATCAAGTTATATCCAATCTTGTAGTTCTTTGTCTTCAAACACAACAACAAAAGTTGACTGTGAACTGGTGTCAAAAATTCAGAAGACTTTCGGAATCGTTGAACAGCAACTTGGAGTGTTCTCAAACCTCTGACAGCCAAGTTATTGTCTCTACACAGCTCCATATATCTATTGGTAACATAAACAAATCTATTGGCAGCCTTTCTTGTTTGTTCGCCATCAAGAGCAACAACAAAACCTTCAACCTCGTTCAAAAAAGATTCATCAAGTTTTGGCAATGAAGCTTTTGCAAAGAGTAAATATGTAATACCCAAAGAGTTTTCATCAGGTCTCAAAGCCTTGAGAGCATTGGAGATGTGTCCTCCAAATTGTCTGATTTTATCAATATTCATCTCCAATTTCTTTTGAAGATCGTCCAAATCCTTCTTCTTTGCTTGAAGGATAGCATTAACAATTGCGTCCATGATGATGATGATGATCTATGTCTTTTTCAAATGTAAAGGAAGGTGATCAAGATGATGCGATCCGTAATGATGATGACCTGATCAGAACACAACTTTGAAAATTTTTTAATGGATGTTTTATTTTTAAAGTTGAGAAATTGTAAGCAAATGAACTGTGTGCCGAGTCCTATTCAATGCTCGCCAATGGCCTTCACAAAAAATATATTTATTTTCGTTCATGTTGCTGTAGCTTTTAAAGATGTTGAATTTGCTTTGGAGAAGGAGAAGCAAAATTTGTGGGTCCGTTGAATCAATGAGATCTTGCTTGTGGAAACAACAGCACGATGCTTTTCTGAATTCAAGGCTGTCGCTTCCGATGTGTTCAATTATTAGTGAAAATATGAACAGAAATAGCTTGCATGATATGAAAACAGACAAGTATTCTAGTAGCAGTACTCGGTCATTCACAACTAGCAGTATTGCTCTCATCAATGAAAACAAACCAAGTGAAAGAGAGGAGTCCTCCCACAAGCCTCTCTCTCTCAAGTCATCATCGTGGCTAATGAATAGAATTAGAGGGAATTTTCCTACCAATAGAGATCTCTTTCAATTATTTGTTACTATAATTGCCTTGATAGCAGGAACATTATTCTTTACATCGGATTACTTTTTAAATTTACTAGTTCAATCTTCGATGAAGCTGTTGGAATGGGACAAATACTTTAGTTACGAGTCTATAAGCGGATGCTTTTTTTGTGGTTCCATGAAAATTCATAATCTTTATGTGAAAGATTTTCAAGTAACACCACACCATGTGGTGAATGGGAAGGTCGAGAATCTCTATATTGTTATTCCATGGTATTTGATTGCAAAGGAATGTGTTATCAAATATTTCAAACCAAATAGTACGACCTATCTGTATATTCCCAGATTTGTTGCAATTGGAGGCAATATTCGCTTTATACAGCATGAAGAGCAGAACGACAGTACAATATTGCCAAAGAATCTTGGATTTGATACTCTTGTCACGGAAGGAGTTGGCATATTTGACATGAATATTAACTTGAATAATTCTGACAATGTATTGGTAGACAGGTTTGAAGTCTTTCATACATTATCATTTCACAAATCTGGATCTACAAATTTCTATCCCTTTGTAGTATTTTCTAAGGGAAAATTCACTCTCAACCAACACAACACCTTCCACGTGAACATTTATCACGATGATCCTTCTAACAGCTTTGAAAATTCAGGCAGTGATGACTACTGGAGTTGGCGACATGAAAATACTCATCACTTGTGCTCTCAATGGACAATTTCAAATATTGACCATTCGTTGGTAGTCTTGTGTAAATACCACGACAAGACTGTTCAACTTCAAACACATCTCAACAACAATGACGCTATCGTTCATGCTCTGTCCATTCCTCACGAACACTTTACACTCCACAAATCCTACCAATTTATTTTACCTTACCTCAAAACCATTGACGTCCATCATCGACGTTGAACAACAGGTTCAAAGAATGGATTCAAGAATTCATTGATTCAAAAAAAATGAGTAAACGAAATTTTGATAATTACAGCAGTAACAACAACAATAACCAACGATTCTCTGCGTCATCGTCGTCATCGGGAGGCTACAGTAACCGAGGAGGAAGAGGTTCCTATAATAATAACAGCAACTCTTCGGACCGAAAAGGAGGCTACAACCGACCGAATAACACGTATGGTAACAATCGATACAACACTGGAGGCAATAGATCCTTTGAAAAGAAGAAGAGAATAGATTACAATACCACCACAGAGGATTACACCGAAAAGACCACAAGAACATCCACAAGAAGTGATGCTGAGACTAATCCCTTTACTGGACAACCATACAGTGACAAATACTATTCAATTTATGAAAAGAGAAGATTATTACCAGTTTTTGAGGCTCAAAGAGACTTTGTCAAATTAGTTGAAGATAATCAAATTGTTCTTTTGGTCGGTGAAACAGGTTCTGGTAAGACTACACAAATTCCACAATTCCTTGTTCATTCCGGATATGCAAAAGATGGAAAAGGAGTTGCTTGTACTCAACCTCGTAGAGTTGCTGCCATGTCTGTTGCTCAACGTGTTGCTGATGAGATGGACGTTGATTTGGGTAATGAAGTTGGTTATTCCATTCGTTTTGAAGACAAATCTTCAGAAAAAACAATTCTCAAGTATCTCACCGATGGTATGCTTTTAAGAGAAGCCATGTTAGATCCTAAATTAAGCAAATATTCAGTGATTATTTTGGACGAAGCTCACGAAAGAACTCTCAGCACAGATATTTTGATGGGTTTATTGAAGGAATTATTGCAAAAGAGAAAGGATTTGAAATTGGTAGTCATGAGTGCTACTTTGGATTCTGGTAAATTCCAAGACTATTTTGAATCTGCTCCAGTCATGCACATTCCTGGTAGAACATTCCCTGTTGAAATTTTCTATACTGAAAGCGCAGAAAAAGATTACTTTGAAGCTGCTATTAGAACCACCCTTCAAATTCACTTAACCGAAGAAAAGGGTGATATTTTACTCTTTTTAACAGGTCAAGAAGAGATTGAATCTGCATGTGAACAACTCACACAAGAGGTGAACAACATGAGAGCTGAAAATAGAAATATTGGAGTGTTGGAATGTGTTCCTCTGTTCAGTACTTTACCACCTGAACAACAACAACGTATTTTCAAGGAAGCTCCACCTGGAGGTAGAAAGTGTGTCGTTGCAACCAATATTGCAGAAACTTCAGTGACCATCGATGGAGTCGTGTACGTCGTTGATCCAGGATTCTTCAAACAAAAAATTTATAATCCAAGAACAAGAGTAGAATCGTTGCTTGTGACACCAATTTCTAAGGCCAGTGCTAAACAAAGAGCAGGTAGAGCGGGAAGAACTCAACCTGGAAAATGTTTTCGTTTATACACTGAACAAGCTTTCAATGATTTAGATGAACAAACGTACCCAGAAATTTTGAGAAGTAATTTGGGAACGGTTGTTTTGCAATTGAAAAAGTTAGGCGTTGATGATTTAGTTCACTTTGATTTTATGGATCCACCTGCTCCTGAGACTTTGATGAGAGCTTTGGAACTTTTACACTACTTGGGAGCTTTGGACGATGAAGGAGAATTGACAGAACTGGGAGATCGAATGAGTTTGTTCCCTCTTGATCCACAATTGGCCAAACTGTTGCTAGTGGCTCCAGATTTCAACTGCTCTAACGAAATTTGTACGATTGTGGCCATGCTTTCTTCGCCAACTCCATTTGTGAGACCAAAAGGCCAACAACGTGAGGCTGACAGTGCCAAAGCTCAATTCCAACATTCCGATGGAGATCATCTAACTCTTCTTAACACATTCCATGCATTTGTGGCAAACAAGTGCGACAAGAAGTGGTGTTATGATAATTATCTCAACTATAGAACTCTTAGATCAGCAGAGAGTGTGAGAAAACAACTGGATCAATTGATGGTCAAGTCAGGAATTCCTCGAGTGAGTACCGACACAGGCTCTCCAGAATACTATCGAAACATTAGAAAGGCCCTTGTTTCTGGATTTTTCATGAATGTTGCATTTAAGGATCGATCTAATCATTACTGTACTGTGAAGGATAACCAGGTAGTTGCCTTGCATCCATCAACCACTTTGAATCATGCTCCAGAGTGGGTCCTTTACGACGAATTCGTATTGACAAACAAGCAATATGTCAGAACGGTGACAGAAATTGAAGGAGAATGGCTTCTCGAACTTGCACCTCACTATTATGAATTAGATCATTTTCCAGCAAACTCTGATTGCAGAACAAAAATTGAACGAATCATTTTGCAACGAGAAAGAAGAAACACGAAAAGCAAAAATAAATAGTTACTGAGATAATTTATTATTCACTAGAGGTTTTGGTATCTATCTACAATCAGTTGATCTTAGTATCAAATTGAAACATCATAGGTCACTTAGATGCTGAAGCACGCTGCTAGCATTTCGCAGTCTGGGAATAGCTGTATTCAATCTGTGAAGAAATTGTGAAATAACTCTATTTTCCCCAACAAAACGCCATTCATTCTTGAAATGGTTAATAGCAGCTGCCTCTAATTCTTCTCGGCTACTTGCTCCTGTAACTGAGTTAATATTATGATATCTTCTATATTTGATTAATTGTTCAGTGTTAAGCCTCTTAAAGAATTGTTCTAAAGGCATTGAAGAAGGATTTGTCTTTTTCTTTGTGATTCGCTTCTTGCTAAAACCAGCAGCTCCTAATTGTTTTTTTAATTTAGGAACAGAGGTAGTTATCGGAATCATTGTGACAGTATGTAAGAATTGTACGTGTTCCGAATTGATATTCTTTTGTATGATTTGAGCTTGTTCTTGAACTGGAACGTTTTCTAAATTCTTTTCAAAAAAGTCATCATCTACAATAACAATCTCTTCCGTGTCGTCAAAATTTTCATCTTCTTCATCATCACTTTCATCAGTATATGATTCGTCATCATCTTCTTCAATAAAAGTACTCTCCTCACCATCATCGGAAGCACTCATGTTCGTATCGATTGTTACAGCTGTTGTGCTTTCATTGTCATTTGCTCCTAACAACGGTGGTGTAACAAGTTTTGGTAATATAACAGGAATGGGAGGTTGAGAATTTGTTGATGGAGGAGGGAATATCGAATGCACATCCTGGTTCAAATGTTGTGTATTACTCACAAGCGAAGATGAGCTCGTTATAGTTGATGTAGTGGAAGGTGGTGTAGCAAGCCGTCCACTTCCAACCACAGGCGCAGATGGTTGTATCGATACGGTTGAAAGTTGGTTGAACGATGAAGCAACAGAAACACTGCTCGGGACCATATTGTTGTTGTTGTATCCTACGGAAGCAGACATGGAGTTGCTACTTGTAGATGCTGTACTTGCAGAGCTCGAAATGGGTGGTGTTTGTATCAGACTAATGGTAATAGAAGTTCCCGAGTTATGGGAAACTTGTAAATTAGATCCAATAGGAGGAGAAACGGAAGGGATATTGGGATTTGTGGAGGAGAGTGATGAAAGAGAGGCATTGCTATTGGATGAAGTAAGTGAAGATTGTAAATTGGTTGTGCTACTGCTATTGGCACTGTTCCGTTTTCTACCCGAGCCCGATGCACTGGTTGTGGAAGAAGTGGTTGATGATGAATTTGTGTTGGAATTGCTTCGTTTGCGAGAGGATGAACCTTTTTGGCTTTCACTTTTAGATTTATCATCTGTAATTCATAGAATTATTATTATTATCGTATGGCGATGATGAAAATTTTGTTGATGATGATTTGGGAATCGGAAAAGATATCAATTATGATTGATCGGAATAAAAATCCACAACAAACATTAAAAGTAAATTCATAATTTAAATACAATAATAATATTTAACAAGTGTACATACTTTTTGGTGCAAGACCCAGCAATGCCGCGCGCTTCTCTTCTAAATGTGAGCTCATCATTTTTGCATATTTTTTTTCTTAATTTAATACATGCATTATTGTACCGCAAGAACTGTGACCGAGATTACATTAATGCAATCATAACCATCCATAATTCCCATAGAATCAATAAGGCAAATTGTAAGATTGATTTCATGTCGTTGTCAAATCATTTAATATCCGATAAAAAAATGTTACGACGAACAACAACTTCTCTTGCTAGCAGCTGCTCCTCTCATTCAAGTTGCCTCTCCAAAAAACAGTCCTTCGTTTTCTCAGCAATTTCATCATTGAAACAACAAGAGCAACATCGATTGGCTTCATCATCCCAAAAGAGTCCTCTATTTGATTTTACCGAAGATGAAACCATGATGAAAAGTCTAGTTCAAGACTTTGTCAAACATAACATGCCATGGGAACTCGTTCATAAGATGGATGTTGAATCCAAGCTAGATCCAGCATTGAAAGATCGGTTATTTGAAGTTGGATTGATGGGTATTGAAATTCCCGAAGAATATGGAGGAAGTGGTCAAAGCTTTACTTCTTCCATCATCGCTATTGAAGAATTGGCCAAATGTGATCCTGCAATCAGCGTGATTGTCGATGTTCAGAATACTCTTGTTAATAATTTACTTTCAAACTTTGGAACCAAGCAACAAAAAGACAAGTATTTGACATTGCTTGCTTCAAAGGGATTGGGATCTTTTTGTTTGTCGGAAGCTTCATCTGGAAGTGATGCTTTTGCTTTAAAAACAAGAGCTGATGTCAAGTCTGATGGATCCTATGTTTTGAATGGAACCAAATGTTGGATTACTTCTTCACAAGAAGCAAGTTTCTATATTGTGATGGCAAATACTGACTTTTCTAAAGGATATAAGGGTAAGTTTAGTAGTCAGAGATGGACAAGAGAACATGCATACTCTTGTTATTATTCCTTTATTTTGAATGTGTTATTATTCACAAACTCTCGAAATTGAATTATATGATTCACCATCACAGGTATTACTGCATTCCTCGTCGATAGAGAAAATCCAGGACTTAAAATTGGAAAGAAAGAAGACAAGTTGGGTAAGTGTTTGTTGTACCATAGAGCAGCATGATAACCGTTGTCACTTTGATCAGGTATTCGAGCATCTTCTACATGTGAAGTTATTTTAGAGGATTGTGTTGTTGGTCCAGATTCCATTCTCGGAGGAGTTGGAAAAGGATATAAATTAGCTATTGAAACCCTCAATGAAGGTCGTATTGGAATTGGTAAGTCTTGTGAATTCACAAGTTGGTGAATCATTTATGACACGACCTACTCCTACTACTAATCATGCCTTTTCTACTACTAATCATGTGATTTAGCTGCTCAAATGGTTGGATTAGCTCAAGGTGTGTTCGACTACACCATCCCATATCTCAAATCAAGAAAACAATTCAATACTGCCATTGCAGACTTCCAAGGTATGGAATTCCAATACGCAAGAGCAGCAGTTGAAATTGAGGCAGCAAGACTCATGGTGTATAATGCTGCAAGAATGAAAGAAGCAGGACAGAATTTTACTAAACAGGCTGCTATGGCAAAATACTATTCATCTGAAGGTTTGTTTCGTAATTCTATTGATTTTTAACTCAACTATTTTACTCTAACATCACAACTCCACAGTTGCTGGAAATGTTGCAACCAAGTGTATTGAGTGGTTGGGTGGAGTTGGTTTCACAAAGGAATTCTGTGCTGAAAAATTCTACAGAGATTGCATTATTGGAAAGATTTACGAAGGTACTAGCAATATTAACCTTCAAACAATTGCCAAATTCATCAAAAAAGAATACAATTAATTGAATTCTTTCACTATGTGTGTGATACTCTTAATACATATTATTGATCGTATTCCTCATCATTGCTTCCGTGATCGTATTCCTCATATAACAGTCGAGCTCTGTTCCGATGCAACGAACAGGAACTTTATAAAAAAATTTGACTTTGCTTACTGGGCCTTAGTAGTACTTCTATGCACGCGCGCATGGTATTCTGTAGCGTTTGCGGTTAAATCACTCACGTCCTATCATGACGAGTCAGTACACCAGTCGAGAAAAGCCTAGCTATTCTAGTATGAAGGGATTTATGGCAAGTAGTAGAGATGAAAACGAGGATAGTGATACATCGCAATTTTCTTCAAATGAATCTTCACCTCTCCCTACACCGGCTTCAAGACATGGAGGTGGAATATCTCCCTTCAACCCGTCATTATATTGGCAAAACAAAAGCAACAACAAAATGGAGCCTAATGAGCAAATCAAACACCAACAACATGAGGAGGCGCTACAAGCAGTCCGAAAGACCATTGAATCCATTCAAGGGGAATTGAGAACCATTGCATCATCGGCTCTTGGAGATCATATTGCCAAGGACCTCTCATCATTTCTCAATAATCAAAACAACAATCAGACTGTAATTTTGAAATCAGAGAAAGTCATCTATTTGAAGAACATTGAAAACCTTGTGCGGCAAATTAAAGTCTTGGATGAAACAAGGAAGGGAGAAATCACCTCCTTGAAATCCATGTATGAAGAAAAGCTGGCCGTTCTTGAATCAGAACTGCAAAAGAAAGAATCCTTAGTGGAAATACTCACTCGAGTGAGTGAGGAAAAAGACCGAGTGATTGACAACATTCATTTAGAGAATGGAGCCAGAGTGACCACTCCAAAAGAGCTCAGAAACATGAAGCAAGAATTAAATTGTTTGAAAAGGCATCTTCCAGAAACGTCTGAAACTTTGTCTCAACTCAAGAAGGATAGAAAGAAGTCACGATCACCGGTTGAGACAGTGTACCCAAAGAAAGTCTCACTATCGTCATCTTCCCCTTCTAAAGATCTGAATGATCTGAAAGAATACTTTAACAAAAATAGTAGTGTGCATTCATCCCCAACCTTGACCGATAAGACAAGATGGATTCAAGACAGTATTAATAATAATAGAAGCTCCATGAATGAAAAGCTTCCAAGCCTCACCAAAAAAACGTCGTCAAAGTAGCAGTGATTTTGATTCTATTGATCTTTGTACCTGTACAACTTGGATATTTCACGTTTGCTCATTGCATAATTGGTAACAATGATTTCGTCAAGACAGCCTTTGAATCCTGTGAATCGATAGTCATCATTGGATGCTCCTACCTGAAGCTTATTCAATCCACAACCCAAGATGGCAAAATCACACTTCTTATCCTCAGTTAAGACGCCATTAATGTACTCTCGTAGTCTATCACCACTGTAAACATAGGCCAAATGATTCCACTCTTTTTCAAGGAACAGTTGGTGTTTTGGAAACTCTTCTTCCACTGAATCATCGTCGTCATCATCATAAATTTTGAGTTGTAGAGTACTGTTAGAACCTAATTCAGAGCCATAACCTTCCTCTGAATCAGTGATTTTTGACAAGATATCACCAAATATTACTTCATAATCAATTGTTTTTGCATGATCTGAGTTGCTAGTGGTTGATGAGATTTCTGGAACAGGTGAGGGTGAAATGGAAGAGATGGTTTTTTGTTTCTTTTTCTTCTTTGTGACAAGAGATTGACCTCTACAATCATAAAATTCCGAAGCTTTTGTACCAATTGAAAATCCACTCATTGAAATAATTTCCTCATCCAATTTGTTTTGTTCCTTTTTCGTTGGCTTTGATGCTCTGTTATTCATAACAAACACAATTCATATGAATGATCATGATAATGACAATTCCATAATCATGTTAATGCAAAGTACTTTGTGGTCACATAAACTTACGATTTCTTGTTAAAGCTTGTATTCAAAACTGCCAATGAATTTAAACTTAATCTTCGAAGTTTCTTTTCATCGTTCATTCCATGAACACTCAAAGTACGAGGTGTTTGAGTTGGAGAGTTTACCCAGTTGTTAGAGGTACTTGTCGTGCTTGTCGTGAGTGTAATGATTGGAGATTGATTGAACTCGTCTGCCATAAACAACTTTTCCAAATGACTCGTTGCAGAGTCCGTGTTCAATTGATGAATTAAATTCGAGTTGTACTCTTGTAAAATGATACTCTTATTGGTAGTGACTGTACTGAGCATGATGAAATCCTTCTCTACTTCTTCACATTTAAACCAAAAACTGATTGTAAACTCGGTGACATTTCTTGTTGGATTTAAATTACTTTCCAAATAATTGAAACCTGAAAAGTAGGCAGATCGTCCATCTGGAACGACACCCTCCGCACTCTCAATGTCATCCGTATCAAGATTTTTGAACCGTAAATGAATTCCTCGACCACTCGTATCCTTCACATATCGTTGAACCGACTTTTCAATTTTTTCATCGAAACCGTAATGAACTAATTCGATTCGATCAATTAATCGTGTCCATGTAATTTGTAATCGAATTTGTGCTCCCTTCATAATTGGTGTATTTCTATAACGTGGCGTATCTAGAGATTCTAATTGAAACCATGAATCATACAAGGTCTCTTCTCTGACAATTCTCATTGGAACTAATCGAACACATCCTAGAAATTCAGATTTTGACAACAAGTTGTAATTCCACAAAGTAATGATCATGGGAGAATTACGAAACATGGGTTCGAATGTAAATACTTGATTCCATTGTGGATTGATTCCCTTCTTTGATTTTGTTTTCTGAATTTTGCAATTCGGAGAGTTCACACAAAGTTTACAAAACACTGTGTGTGAGGAATGATCATTCCGAATGTCATTCATAATTTTGAAGTAGAAATTGTCATGTTTTTTTAAATTCCAAATTGGTTGTTGTAGAACAACAAAATGATTCATCATTAAAATATTTAATAAATTGTGAAAATGATGATGAAAAATGTAAATGATGATTCAAGAAGAAGAAGAAACATACCATCACGATCACCTGTAATTCCTTTTCCTTCCACAACTTCGCGAGTTGTCCAACATCATCATTAGGATGGTTCATAATTCTCGTGTGTCAAAATTTTGAATATAGCATGAAATAATGTACATACCAGTCATTGTGAAACGATAGCTAGGGTTGGAATAGGGAGACATTTCATTCAACGAGTCAGAGGTTGACTCGGGTGCTGATGAAAGTGCTTTGAACATTTTTTTCAATGACAAGTGACATATTTGGAACTATTACTTTTGTAAAAGGTTGTTTCACTCCAGCAACAGAGAAAGAATTTGAAAAAACAATGATTTCAGAGCTGCCAGCTGCGATCCAACACATAAAAGTAATTTTGTAAAGTACGTCATTTTCAAAATTGAATCGTAAAATTCTATTTAAAATTCAATGAAGCTCTTCCTCCAAAAATAAACCAAAAAAATATTTTAAAACAAACTCTCGTTTTTTTCGAACGAAGAAAATCTTACCCAAGTCCAACACACGCACAAAATGCTCTCTGTCTCCCAACCACAAGCCTCTTCTTCATCTGTTGCAACTCAATGTTCCAACAAACAACAAGAACAAATTGCTGTATACAAGTACAAGCAATTATTGTCCGAGTTGGAGAATGCCAAAGGTATCGGAACCAGTGTAATTACCTTGCTCATCAGTGCCAAGACTTCCATGAATCAGGTTGTTTCTCAAATGAATGATCGGTTGACCAAGGCTAGCAACATCAAGTCGAGTCTTTAACAGGAAGAGCGTGGAAACAGCAACAAGGACGATTATAGGTCGTTTGAAGCAGATTAAAACTCCTCCTAATGGGTTAGCTGTATTTTGTGGTATGGTCAATCCTCAGAGTGTTCCTACTTTATTGAATTCCAATGGAAATTATTCATTGGATGGTAATGATCATGCGGAAGACTATGAGGCGTGCAGTAATGATTCCAACAACGTTGATCTCAAGAAACTGTTCGTAATGATTGAACCTCCTTTGAATTCCATTAAGAGTAACTTGTATTATTGTGATGACTGCTTCCATGTTGAGCAATTGAGAGAACAATTGCAAGATTTTACTGCTGGTAAAAAGTATGGTGTGATTGTCATTACTGGACATGGAGCCTTGTTTGGTACTTGTCGTGGTAATACTCATTCCATTATGTATCAGTTCAGTGTGGATTTACCTAAAAAACATTCAAAGGGAGGTCAATCTCGTGAACGTTTTGCTCGCAATAGAGAGATTGCCAAGAATGAATACCTCAAACAAATTGCTGAGAAAGCAAATGCCTTGTTTATTTCTCAAGCTCTCAATGCACCCAATGTTGATGGATTGGTATTGGCTGGATCTGCTGATTTGAAGAATGAATTGATTTCTCTCAAATCCGATGTTCTTGACTATCGATTGAGAACCAAGATTTTATCCATTGTTGACGTCGCCTATGGAGGTAAAGCAGGATTCTACCAAGCCATTTCTCTTGCTCAAGAAGCAATTCTCGATGCCAAATACATTGAAGAAAGAGAATGCATTGAAGAATTGTTTAATTTGATGGCAAAAGGAAACAAGGTAGCTGTTGGTTTGGATGAAACCATGTATGCAATCAATGCTGGATGGGTTGATAAGCTCATTATTTGTGAAACTCAAAATCAACTCAAAAAGGTTACCTTTGCTGACAGTTCTGTCAAGTATTTGAGAGAAAAAGATTTGAAGGATTATGGAGATTCCTCAAGCATTGTCAAGGTTGAAAGTTTGCTTGATTATTTGATTGACAATTATGAAAAGCTTGGAATTAATTCATTGAACCTTGTTTCCTCATCGACCAACGAAGGCAACATGTTTGTTACTTCCTTCGAAGGTATTGGCTGTATGTTAAAGTTTGATGTCAATGTCGCTGCTCTTTTGGCTGAAGAGAATGGTCTCAATGAATCAAGTTTTGAGAACCATGCCTTTGATGAGGACTTGGCCGATTTCTACTAAACGAATAGCTGAGATATGGTAGATGTTTTTTGAAAAAGACATCATTCAAGTCTTGTAAATGCTTACAAAATAAACACCCAGCATTGTGATCAATGCAATTTCAAAATTGTCACAAAAAATGTCTCAACACGAACGAGATGAAATGATCATCATTGATGGAGGGTAAGTTTGTCATCTCGGAGAAGCAAATTATTTACATGGATACATCGATGTATGGAATAGCATTTTGGAAGGTGGAGGTCAAATCATTCGAAATACAACAGCCTGTATGTATATTTTTGATTATTTTCGACATGGTTTATTTATTTTACAATTATATTTAAAATATTTGAAATTCAAAATCATAATGGCTTTCAAAAATAATTTTTTAAATATTCTAAATTCACTCAACAAAACTCTCAAACTAAATACAGTATCACACATTCTTCATAAACCCATGACCATTGAAAACATTCGAGCTGGACGTGAAAATCCAGGTCTTCGAGCTCAACATTTAAGTGGAGTTGTTTTATTATCCATGCTTCCATCGAAATATGAATATCAATCCTCATTGACTGATTGTCAAGTAGGATCTTCAACATTTACCTTTCGACCAGTCATTTCCAAAAAAAGAGAAGAATGTGTGAATTCTGAAAATGGAATTTGTGAAAAAACAAATCCATCTCCACCCGAAGTGAAAGTTCATTATTCTGAAAATGAGCATTGTATCCAATTGAGTGCTGATTGTATGACTGCTGGAGCAACGACCTTAATGATTCAATCCTCATTATGTCCTTTATTATTTTTTGATTCGAATGGAAAGAATGTTCAAGTGATTTATAAAGGTGGTACCAATGTTGATTTTTCACCACCATTCGAACAAGTTTCAGAAGTCTTTCTACCTCTCTTGAAAAAGTATTTTTTAAAAGATTTGAATGCATCCTTGGACATTCAATTACAATGCACACAACGTGGATTTTTCCCAAAAGGAAAAGGACAAGTGGAATTGAAAATTTCCAAGACCAAGTTGGATTTGAAGGGCAAATGTTTGAGTCCCATGCAATTGTTACATCGTGGAGATGGTATTTCAAAAATTGTGTTGAAATTATTTTATACAGAACGAGATTATGAGAATATGATGGACAAGATTGAACAAGCGTTTAAGGTCGAGTTTGAAAAGAATTTTCCTGATCACAAGTTTAAAAATACTCCAATTCATGTCATCAAAGAGAGAGTGATCAATAATCCAGCTCGATCTCGAGTCGTATTTGGTAATGCATTCATGTACGATACAAATGAGGAGTGTGTCTTTGAAGCAAGTTTTCATTCCAAAGACTTTTCAAAAAAACCAAAAAAACATTCCAATGATTTTAAAGTGGATGATCATGTTGCGTATGCAAAGTCTCTCATTCAACATTTAAAGAAGAATTGGCAAGAACAAGGTTGTGTCGATGAACATGTACAAGATCAAATTATAATTTTTATGGCACTCGCTAAGGGTAAAAGTCAAGTACGAACAGGACCTCTCACACTCCATACACAAACTGCCATTCACTTTTGTCAGATCATGACAGGGGTTTCGTTTAAGATTGAGCCTCAGGAAAATGGATCCGTAATCATTGAATGTGAAGGAGCAGGAGTTGCTTTAAAGTAAACGCATGAAATTTTTCATCCCCTAGATTCCAACATCTCGAGGGAAATGTCCAATTTATTCAAGAACAGGGATATTGGGTGTGGTAGAAGGAATTGGATTTTTGTGATGCTTGTCGTTCAACAAATACGTTTGACAAGATCCTTTTCCTTTAACTTCGACCCTTCGTTCTTCAAACTCTAAACCTAGATCGTACACTCTTTCATAGGTGCTTCTGCTGCATTGGATTCTACCTGATTTACTTGTTGACTCCTGTTTACAATTATGTGTGACATTGATGAAATAAATTACATTACCAAAATACTCACCATTCTACTTGCTACATTGATGGTATCTCCCCACATGTCTATCATAAATTAGTAAGCTTACTAACCATCTGTTGCAAAATACACAATCACTTACCATACGCAAATTTTTTAGTTCCAATCACTCCTGCGATTACAGCACCAGTGTTAATGCCACAACGAATATTAAGGAATGAAGAGTCATTATCTGATTCCGTATTTTGCAACGATTTTAGGTTGTAATCATATACCACATTAAAGGTTTCGATTGCAAATCTTAATACTCTTTCAGGGTGGTCTGAAGTGGAGCTTGTATGAATGCCTCCAACACAAAAGTACTATTCATGTCACAATGTGGTTAGAATAGTGAGTAATGAATGTAACTTACAGCATCTCCGATCGTTTTGATCTTTTCTAAATGATAAACATCAGTAAGTGCATCAAACCTAGACATATTTGGTCATGAGCAACAAGGTGGGTGTAAGGACAATTTTTAAAGCCATTCACTTACCCGTTCACAATAGTATTCAACATTTTCACCAAACCAGTTGCGTCCATTGTTGAGCTTAGAGCTAAAACAAGATTAGAACTGTCCTTATAGCACCCCATATACATACCTGTAAAATTAACCATATCTGAAAAGAAACATGTTACATCGTTGTGCTTTTCAGCAATGAATGTCTGTCCTAACTTGAGTTTTTGTCCCACAGCTTCGGGAAGGATGTTGCGAAGAAGTGAATCCGATTTCTTTTTCTCTTCTTCTAAAAGTGAATTTTGCTTCTTCTCGGCTGTAATATCTCGAATGACAAACACGAGTGTGGACTTGCTAGCAAACATGTTTGCTCTTGCTGGAAATGTTGTATTGTTCTTGCGAAGACATTCTACCTCGACAGATTCTCCCTTTGAGGTTTTTGAACGATCTGTGAGAATGGCAAGAATTTTCTTAATTGTTGCATGACTACTCTCACTAAACAGTGTGTACACGCTCAAACCAACAACGTCACTGCTCTTTAGGCCGAAGCAACTCTCGGCGACAGGATTGAATAAGTTAATTTCACCTTTTTCATTGCAGAGTATGGATCCGTCAACTGATGCATTCATTAAAGCCTTGATGTTGTCAGTGTTGCTTCCTTCTGAGTAGCTATTCTTTGTATCTTTTCTTTTGAACTTGGGTGGAAGCTCTTTGTGGAGAATAAACTTTTTCAATACGTCATCTTCCAACAAGTCACTAGGGAAAAAGTTCAGCATCATTCTAAATTGTCTATATTCAGCCCAAAATGAGCTCATAGAAGTGTATGTCAAAGATATCAATGCAACCAACAAAATATATCCTACTATGGCAAATGTAATGGTAATAGCAACCGAAGGATTCGCAGCATATTTCGAATAGGTTTCAATAAAGAATTGCAGCAAGTCACCAAGATTGTCAATACTTCTAAATAGTGACTGGGTCCACTTAAAAACGTCCAAAGCTCTATATTGTGATGGGTTGTAGAAAATATCTGTGATGGTTCGGTACCAAATAGAAATAAATTAATATCATGTCAGTATAATTGTTTGACGAACATACCTTCATTAAAGAGAGTTGCTGAGTTAGTTATGTTTGAGATGAGCTGAGACATGGTAGGACATTGGGTTGAATTGAGTGTTGCATTACAGCTATAGATTCCATTGATTATGTTATCAATCTTGGGATACTGTCCAATTAATTTTGAATAGCCGTTTTCATTATTTCCATACAACAGTCCATACCATTTTGTGTTGACGAGATCAATTAAATTTTTGTGGTCTTCATGAAAAAATTGAAGTTCCTTTCGTGAAGTAAGTGTTGGATTTTTCAGCGGCAAGCGACTATCAATTTCTTCCATGTTATAAACGAAAATTTCTTGTAGCCTAAGGCCTATTCTTTGAGATGTCATGATGACGTTGACACTTGACTGAATATTTCGGATTGCATTAGCAGAAAAGTTTGAATTCAACAGCGTTTCTAAAAAGAACAAAGAAACACATCCAACTGTAACTAAAATAACCAAAACTACTAGAATGGCAATAAGAATGTTTGGACGAAGTAGCTTTGCTATTAAGCCGTCATTTCCGATCTGCATGTCATCATTAAGCTTGGTATTTAGTGCATGACTTTTAAGTGTTATCTATCAGAAACCATATGCTGTTTGATACTTACTAAATTTTTCCAACCTTATCTTTGGAAACTCTCTTGTCCAATAATTTCACTGCGTCAGTAAGAGATGAAAGAAAATAATTGGTTGCCAGTATAATTATAACAGCACAGACCACATAGGCTCCGGTAGAGGCAGCATAATAGGCAAGAAAGTTGTCTCTAAAAGTTTCTGCTTTTTCTCCGTTTCTAACCAAATATTCATTACAAAAAGTCTCAAACCCTGCCGAAAAATTAATTCTGTTCAAATACAAATACATAAAATTAATGTTGTCGGCTGTATGGTTATATTTCTCGTTGGTGTAACTTAATATTGTTTCACAATTAGTTAGAAGTGATTCCGTAATGTCGGCTATTGATGTGTTTCTATCAATAGTGTAATTTTGCCAGCTAGAAGGACTTGAACCTGAGTATATTAACATTGGTTGTCTATACTTTCTGGTTTGCTTCACGTAATCTGAACGTACGGCTGACGAAAACTCGTCCTTTAAACTGAGATCTTTCAATGAACGTAGGGTTGCAAAAAATTGTTTCAGTTTTTGGTCATGGTTCGATTGCCATTGTGGATCATCAGGCAACAGAGTCATGTGGACTTGTTTTTCACGTATACGTCTCGTGAGACCTAACGGTACTGCAGCTGGCATGCATATAGATTTCGACAAATAAATATCGCCCGAAACATTAAATGAAATAACAATACTCATAACCAATCCAACCGTCAAAATGATTACAGAAATTGTTGCAAACACAATGAAACTAGTGAGCTGCAGCTGATTTTTCATATCCATGTTCAAAGACATTCGAAACAAAGCGTCTACCTTGCGAGCTGAAGATTCAGTATTTTCAACTCCATCAAATTTGTCATTTTCAATATCATTATACAAGTCTTGTTCAGATTTTTCGTCAAAATAACCATCTTGATTACTTGCTCTCGTGTCAGCCTCCATCAGCATTGAGGAGGATGCTGGCACAACCTTGTTATGATTATTTTTCTTTTGTACAAGCTTTCTTTGACTACTTGCTTCATCGTCCTCTATGGCAGTGGCTTCTTGGAACAGTTCTGCTGCTAGATCAGCGTTGAATTGGCACTCTTCCAAAAATTTGGCATATGCTCTGATGACAGACTTGTCATGATTATAGCTTTGCATAAGGGAATCAAAGGATGATTGTGCTGCGTTCGTTAACCTGGATATTTGTCTATTGATTACTTGTACTTTCTCAATGTCAACGTTTTCATTCATAAGCTCTTTCCAGAAGGCCTTTTATCGACATTCATGTTAAAAACAATAAATTACAAACTCAAAAACTAACCTTATGTAGATAATGAATGATGAGCTGTTTTTTGTCGAGCTTTGCCAAGATATTCTTTAGTTCCATGTGGTTCTTTCCTGAGCTATCCTTGCCATATAAAAATTCACATTCTTTGGTTTTGTCGTTGACTAAAAATCGTCGGATAAAGTTGTTCTTAAATTTTGCAGCCCGTCTTAATAGTGTAGTGGAAACTGAAATACTGAGTACAATATTTGGGTTAAAATATGCCACGATTATCGAAGCTGTGAGCAAACATCCATAGTTCATCTTGGATATGACCCGTTGAGAGAAAAGTCCCTTGATAAACTTAAGGGAAAGCTCCAGGTCTGAAAAACGATCTGAATTATCGCTCGGATATGATTTGGAAAGCTTAAAAAAGAGCATTAGTTGTCTCTGTCTACCCTGTCCTTCTATGATTTGATACAAATACGATGCATCTCGTTCAAGGTTAACAATAGCATTGTCATTGTCACCTCTGACGACACAAGTTTCAGTGAGGAGTCTTCGTACTGTCTTTGCAATGTATCTCAGGTAGAGTTCCATTCCAATGAGTCCAACGCACAAAAATATAACTGCTAGTCCAAAGACAATTCCTAACATTCCTATTTTAACGCTTTCGCTGATACCTGCAACATTATTCACAATGCTCGAAATAAGAAACCCAAGTGCAAATCCAACACGAGCGCAGTTAATTCCAAAATAAATAGTATTTTCTATCTTTCTAAAGAAAGGAATTAGGTAAACAACATAAGCTAAGTAGCATAGAGACAAGCAACAGTAAACACAAGGAGCAATGAAAGCATATCGAGAGGGCAATAAAGCCGAAAGAATAATGTACAAGCAATGAAATAAGGTCAGCGGCAAATACACCATGTTGGTTTCAGACACAAATAAGTTTTTGCATGTAGGATTGTTATCAAAGAGAGTCATTGAAGATATAACTACAATTACCATCAACACTAAAAAATAAAAACCACCCACAGCCATCATTGCTGAGTTTAAAGAACTCACACAAGCAACTTGAGTGAAATCTTTAAGGATTTCCAGCGGTTGGTCCGCATTAGGAAGCAGCTCAAAATGTCCATAGTTGCATCCCAATATCAAACTGTAAGCATATGAATAAAAAAGCGAGGTAAAAGTAAGAAATCCCATCAGTACTCGGGTGAAGAGCTTGATTTTTGGCCAATGCTTGTTAGTGGTATTGATAGCATACAACGAAGCAACTAACATGACCACACACGTTGTAATAATTACAAAGAATCCTATTAAAATTCCAGTTACAGTCTCAATAGAGGAGAGATTCAATGCTAGAGTTACAGGGTAATTGGCAGCCTTAAAGACCCATGCGCTGTTCGTTTCCCAATTCATTCCTACATGATCCAATGCAGGAAGAAACATCATGGCCCAGAAGCTGTATACAATAAAAACAAGAGAGAAGATGAAAGAATACCAATTTGTAGTGCGAATACATGACCTTTCCCTCAAGCCAGTAAATAAAGAGGTTACCGTTTCCTCGAAGGTTGTCATCAATGAAGTATTGGAGTACTCGGTCATGGAACTTTCAGAAGTACCTGTTGAGCCTGCTGACAAAATGGATGAAGATTGGTTAATGCCCGTCGCTGTTCCAACAATAGCGGAGAATCCCTTCTCTAAGGCTCTGCTATCCCTAACGCCTCCAAAGCTTGATGATACGTCCATTTACAACAATTAATGTAGTGATTTCAAATGATGATACAACGGATAAATATTGGTAAGGTACTCTTTAACGCTCCCAAATAGTGTAAGCAATGAGGCTCGAAGATTCGTATGAGCCTTAACGTAGAAGCACTAGTGAATGCGGAAAAGATTACGAGAAAATTTTTTTGGGATTTTTGAGGCTACCATGCCAAACTGGTCCATGGAGGCAACTAGGATCTGCTAATTTGGCCCTCTAACGTTTGTACGCATGCAAAATGCGCAGGAATGAGAGAGTCTGAAGATAATAAGGTGTTTTGCGAATTATTCGTTGCAGCAGTTACAATTTCGCAAAGCCTTAAATTAGTGCTGGTGTACGAGCCAGATTCGATGACACAATAAGGACCCCACCAAACGTGTTTCAGCTGATTTTGGATATGTACAAACATCAGAGGATCCAAATTAGTAGTTGAAAATTTTTCATGACATGATGGTCATGTTGTTAGTATTTCCGATTGTTGAAAGAATTAGAGTTAACATTGTTGTACTTTAATTCTTTGTAATAAATAAAATTTCAACAATATCGGGAATAATAGTTTTGAAGAAGAGAAAGGTTGGAGTGCTTGATTGGTTTTGCAACATTTTTTTTTCAACAGATTATTGACAGTCCGATCGTGATGGTGCAAGATTGAATTCATTGATTTAATCTACTCATCTTCTTCATCTTCCATTTCTGCTTCATATTGACGCATAATAATTTCCTTTAAATCTAACTCCTCTTCCTCCAATTCATTTTCTTTAAAAGCATCTGGAATGTCAAGTGATAAATCATAATGTCTTTCATTGGAATCACTTGGAGTCATCACCAATGTGGTTTTTGGAAGCTTTTTTGAAGAAGGTATTGGTAGAGGTTGTGGTAACATCATGATGGTTTGTTTCCAATGAGTAGCTGGAGTAAAAGGCGATGTGGAGAGAATGACTGTTTTTGGCATGAATATTACGTCAAACCAAATGCAAAATCCATGAACAAATTGTTGAGCAGATTCATCGGTGATGTTGTCAATGGTGATATGACATTCACAATCAATATATTTCAAATCATCTTTTGTAACAGTTTTTAAATCTAGTTCCTTAACCACAATGGGATTCTTGATTAAAAGTTGAGAAGGAGAAATAACGTCTACCTTAGGCTTTCCTGCTAATTCATACATGGCCATGGGCATGATTGCGCTCATGTCAAAGCCATACACATCTCCCCAAAAATCAATTTTTTCCTTATAGAGATTGTTCATTTCACATGGAGCCATGTAAATAATTGCTTGTTGTGGAAATAAATATCCGTGTTCTTTATCCAGCCATTTGTCTCTTGCATAAATTACTGATTCTAGCATTCCCTATTTTGTGTTCAAACAATTGTAATAATTAAAATAATTCACAAATTCTAATCCACACCATTGAAAAATTAACATACCTCATGCAACAAGTAAAATCCCATCCATTCTGAAATGATAATATCAACCTTCTCGACTCCTAATTCAACTTCCTCAATCTTTCCATGAATGACCTCAATCACATCTTGCATGTCATTATGTTCAACAAAAAGTTGTGTGAAAGTGGCCATTGGACTTGCTTCCACAGCATAGACTTTTTTAGCTCCTCCATATTTGGCTGCAAATAAGCTCAAAATTCCAGTTCCAGCACCCACATCTAAAGTCCGACATGACAGTTAGAAATATTATAGTTTCATCATGACAATATACTGACCCAATACCACTTTATCTTTAAAAACATGTGAATTTTCAATAATGGCATTCATATATCCATCTGTTCTTGGTTTGTCTTTAATCATGAGTTCATGAACTCCACAATCAAAATATGAATTGAAATATTGTTTATCATTCTCGGTGTGTTGTTCCGACGACTCGCAGCCACCAACACCAGCACTGCTTGTTGTCATTAAATCATCCTCTTTTTCATGAGTACTCATTTTTTTCTGAAGTTGTTTTGTGAAGTTTCTGAATGAACAAAAAATTTATTACATCTTCACATTGTAGACATCAACCAGTACTAGGTATGGTTATACCAATTCTACGTTTGGAGAATCTTGGAAAATCAAGCTAGAGGTTTTCTTGATTGCTTCATGTTCCATGAGTTGGGATGTATTGAGGTTGGACATGGCAGGCTTTCGTATAGTCTCTTTTAACTTGCCATAGAGTCTCTTTTTCCTGGATATTGGCTTGTTGTTACCTCTCAGACGATTGACAAATGTAATAATTGGTCGGATTGAAATCATTCGTAGCCATCTCACTCCAGGACCTAGAATGAAAAATCTCTCAAACAAGTAGCTCAACAACATATGGAAAAGTACACAACCGAAAATTGTGACTCGGTAATAGAATGGAACGCTCTTCAAATACAAGAACCATCTCAAGTTGACATCAGGGAATAGAATGGTGTAGGAGCACACAATAAATAGGATAATGAGTAGGAAGAAATAGAGTTCTATGCATAAAATATTTCATGTAAATGTGAAAATTCTAGTTAAAATACGTACTGTTTGTGTAAACTGATCTTTTGAATGGTTTTGATATACTATAAGCCATGCCTGTGTTATAAGTTTGGAAGGTAGACATTATGAACATGACTGTAGTTTCGAAACATCTAATATTCTTCTTAGTCTCAGGTTCAGGATCAAGCGGCGTGAAGAAACCTTGCTTTTTTAAATTGTCTAGCATGACCAATTGGAAAATGACAGAAAGGAAAAATTGGAAACCCATAGAAACAAACACTTCTCGAGAAACAAGTGACGCCGAAGGTTTGTTTTTCACTAATTTCTTGTTCGCTCCCGTTCTTCCCATAAGCAGCGCCATGGTGAAAATGACCAAGCCATCAACCCATAAAAATTGATTATCTCCAAGATTGCTATTAATGTCATAGAGTAAGACTACTGTAAAGAATTGAATTAAACTGTAGCACATCATGAATTTGAACATTTGGAAACTGGTTGCCAAAGCAGCTTTTCCTTCCTTAATCACTTGTGGCACACACGCAATGGTAGGTTTCAAACTAGTAAATGGTGCTGCAATAGAAGCTTCAGCCTCACTCAATGAGACACCAACATGAGCAGCCTTTAGGGCTGTTTTTACAATTAAAACATGTAGTAGTAATGGTTCCAGTATCAATTTAAAAACGGTGTTAAACTGTTAATGATACTTACCTCCTGCATCGTTTGCTCCATCTCCACACATTCCAACAAAATATTCTAACTTTTGAAATTCTTCAACAAGTCTCATCTTCTGATCTGGTGTGAATCTAGCAAAAATTTTACACATTAATAGCATTCTATGAAATACGGAAGGCTTTTCAACATTAACATATTTTGTACTTCCAGTCATTTCCAGTTTGAAAGTATGTTCCTTAACTAGCCTTTCAAACACACTGCCTGTGATTGCTAGCTCATAGTCATATCCCACGTTTGGATTTTCTGGCAATAAAGTTTCTGGATCCAATCTATCTTCACCATCAACATCTTTCCAATCAATATATTGTTGATTGGAAGATCCATAATCTGTTTCTTTGAGCTCTCCCAAAAACACTTTTCCAATAGAGTGAGCAATTCCACATTGCCTGGAAACGCTAATGGCTGTGAATGCATTGTCACCAGTAACCATTACGCTTTTGATACCAGCATTTGACAATGAGTGAATAACTTTCTTTGAATCTGGCTTCAACTTGTTTTGCATACAAATAAATCCAATGAATGTCAAATCACACTCGATCTCTTCTCTAGATGCCTTTTGGAGGGCCTTCCAAGGTTGTGAAAGTTCTCGGTATCCAACACTGATGACACGATAGCCCTTATGTGCATATTCATAAAGCACTTTGGAGTAATTAGCTGGTAGCGTTTCAGGAATACATAACTTTTGCATCATTTCTGGAGAGCCTTTCACAAAACCATAGGTCTTGCTGTCTTGAAGATTTTTAACTATCACCGACATTCTTTGAAGGGAAGATTTGAATTCAAATTTCTTCAAAATACCAAGTTCAAAAGGAAGATTGGTAATATCAATTTCTTGAACCTCTACCTCTGAAAGTTCTTGTTTGTGATGATTATGATGAGGTGGATGTACTACTGTTGGAATTACGGATTCAAACATGTAATCAGAAGCCTTAGGTTCCTTAAGTTTCCATTTGGTGGCCTCGAAAATTTTAACTTCTAAAGGATCTCCAACTAATTCAAAGTTTACATATGTCAACGAGTGGCATGATGCCATGGAGTAAAGTATAAGCTTCTTCTTTTCAGAAAGGTTGGCATAATCAGAAAAATCGTTAGCTACACACTCTTCTGTAATTAATTCTGAAAACTCATCTCCCTCCATTGGACGAACACCATAGAGATCTAGACCCTCGGTGGTGATAGTTCCTGTCTTGTCAAAGCACATGAGTTTGATCATACCTGCAACATTAACTCTTTGAGGAGAAATGCAAAAGATCTTAGATTTTTTAAGTCTGGCAACCGCGAACGACATACCAGTGGTCATTGCCACAGGTAATGCAGGAGGTACCGTAATTGTGATAACATCCAAAGCTCTTAACACAATATTGTCCCATGGAACTCCTGACAGGGCAAGCTTAACTATCGAGTACAGAATACCAATCATTCCAATAATAAACATGACACCAATAAAGTTGAGTGAGTCTCTATAGAATTTGAATGAAGAAGGTTTGGGAAAGAGGATAGACAACATTAATTTTCCCTTTGCTGTGTCAAATCCTGTTCTACAAACCATTCCCAAAACTTTCTCATCTCCCATTTTACGGGTCTGTACAATATGAGTACCAGAATAGAGAGTGTTGGATTTATCAGCATCCACAGAATAATTCGCGCTTCCTTCGTTGGGTAAAGGGGTTTTTACGACTGGAATACTTTCTCCTGTCAACATAGCCTCATTCAAAATGCATTGTCCTGACAGTAACAAAACGTCACAGGGCAGGAGAATGCCGTCACTTAATACAATGACGTCACCAGGAACAAGCTCTTCAGAAGAAACGTTTTCAGTACTTCCAACTTTGTTGACTCGTTCTAGTTCACACGTGTAGTGAGCCATGTTTCTTAATTTCATCAGGTTTCTTCTGGTCTCAATTAAACTGAAAATGATTGAACAAACTGCAGAAACAATAATACAGCAAGAATAAGACCAATATTCGTCAGCTAACCAAATAATAACAGAAATAATTTGGAAAATGTAAAAAGGATGCAATACTTCGTCCAACAACAATGAAACAATATTTTTCACTGGAATGTCAATCAAGTTTTTTCCAAAAAGTATTCTTCTTAATTTTCTTGTTTGTGAAGACAATCCTGAAGACATTTCATTATGGATAGTAGTATATGGGAGAGATGTGTTAAATTGCAATCTTTTAAATTTATCCTCAGTAACGTCATAAATATATTTCACGTAACGATATGTGAATATTCTTATACTTGTTTCTTGTGACCCATTCTGTTGTGCAAATCATAAGAAATATTCATTCACAAATAAACACTTACTGAATGAGAACTCAAATCATGTTTTTTGACTTTACAGGTTGTCAACGCTCCAGTGCTACTCTGTTGTAAATGACAGTTTTTTCAAATTATTTGTTTTACCAATGTCGAAACATACCTTGATTAACACAATGTCAGCTTCGGCATTTGAACATTCCCAATGAATCATTCGATCTCTCAGCCACACATACCATCTGGAAAGAAGTAACAACAATCCAAGAGAGCATACTGCCAACAAATAATAAAGGAAGAACAAGAACCAGTTGAATTTCAGGGGTTTGCAATAAACCATAGTATGAATTTCATCAAGGTCTTTTTGTGAGGCCATAGCATCCTTGTCCATGTTATCGGAAGCCTTTTGTGATACTGTGTACTTTGCCATGATGGCTTCATAGGTTACTCCGTCATCTGTGTGAGGTGACCCAATTCATTCCAAAATCATGTTCGTATCATACAACAACGAAAATTAATTAGGAAACACATTCAAAACAATAATAAAACGCACCAACTGAGCTTGTAACCGTAGAATCCTTTCCCTGATTAGTGATGCGATGATATAACCCACCACTGGTATTCTCATCGTCGTTCAGCTCAATAGATTGCAAAGAAGTATCAGCCATTAAATATTTCTTGCTTTCTCTTTTTGATAAATTAAACGCGCTGCCATCTTCGGAACTGGTATTTTGATTTTTGCCCATTAATTTTTGTCTATTCAACAATATCCCAACAATATTTGATGACTCTTAAAATCTGCTCAATGAACTTTTTTCAAAGACGATGATGATGTTGTGGTAATTTTGAATTTTTTTTTTGAAACAAACACGATTACGATTATTCTCTCTTCATTATCGCCAGTATTGAGGCATGAAGACTTTTGGTCAACGCCTTTATTTAAATCAACAATTTGAACAAAACAAACAAATCGAACAAAGTGCTGATCTTGCAAGCAAACACTCAAAGAGTGAAAGCCAGGGGAAAGGACCCAACGCACACAAGGTGGGGAAGACCCAACACACAAGGTGCTCAAAAACTAATTCTATGAGTAGTAAGGAATCGAAGAAGAATATTTCTTGCTCCATTGATATCTCTGTCAAAAATTGAGCCACATGATGGACAACGAAACACTTCAGATGATCCAACCGTATAAATTTGTCCACAACATGAGCAAGTTTTGGATGTATACGCTTCGTTGACAATATAAATGTGTGTCCACGGATGCTCTCTAGCTTTGTGAAGCAATCTTTGCTTGAATCTGTAATGTGACCAAGTCAACATTTTTCTTGCTGTCTTGCTATTAATTCTCCTATGGAGTTTCTTTACCATTTTCTGAGTCTCAAACGAAGGAAGTAAGATCACTTGGTAGTTTCGACACAGCCACAAACACAGTTTCTTGTGTAGATCATCCACAATATTTCTAATCTTTTGTTGAATTCTTCTTCCTGCTCTCTTGTACTTGTATCTTTTGCAATGTCTGACTTCTGGTTGAGACCACTTCGATTGCAACTTGTCATACGCGCAACACAATCTACCAATTCTTTCGGCACCTCCTGAGCCCCATTTGGTTGAATAACCATTCAAATCAAAGGTGGTCTGAAATGTTCTTACTCCTGGATCCAATCCTACAACTTGTCCTGAATGTTGAGGGGCTTGGTTCTCACCCCTAATATCCAGTACTTGTGGAATACATAAATAATAATGGTTCAACTTGTTCTTAATAATGATGGAATCGTACTGAAGCTCCTCAGGCAAAGGTTCTGCGCTCTTGATGTTCCTTATAAAAGAATACAGTCCACTCTTTTTCTTCCAGTGCTTGCAATGTAGAACAAAATGATCTTTTCTGTCTTTCTTTCGCCTGAAACGGATCATGAACTTGTCAATCATTCCAGCCTTCTTCTTTTCAAAATTAGTGTTGAACGCAGTCAACAATTCAATAGCGGCAGCATCTCTTACGTCATAAGGAGTATTCACAACCCACTGATTTTCTGTCTGATAATTATCGTTGTTCACCACAAACGTTCTGAAATTCTTCTTATTTTTCTTGACACCTTTGAAGTTGTGTGTAAATTCTAAACACTTGTTGTAGATCCAACGAGCAGTTCCCATCCACTGATTCAATGTTGTCCTTTCTTGTTCATTGGGGTAGAGAAAAGTTGAACCATCCGTCTGTGCATCCCTTGTTGTTGTACTGATTAAACTCATGAAAGGAATCTCTTGAACATGCCCAAAGTTTATCCGATACTTGTTGTGAGTACTCATCCCAGAATGGAATGATACTGTGTGCAAGAGATGGATGAGTAGGAGGATGAGTAGGTTCATCCTCTCTACTTCTCTTCATTCGTTGAGATTAAGGTTGTTGTTGAGTTTTTTTTTGATAACCTCAACAAGAGTTGAAACTCTATCAGTATTGAATGACTCATTGAATTGAAACTCTATCAATTTGAATAACTTGATTCATTCTTTTCGTCCGAACTGATCATGGAAAAGTGAACGCCTTGACAATTCCTTATCCACCTCCAATAACAACACTTTTGATTCAAAGAATGAATGAATGGTTCGTCAGGAACTGACTGTTGATGATTATATTTACTTGTTGAATTTGTAATAAATTGTGGCTTTTGCTCTTAAGCTTCTGCCAAAGAGAATGTGAGCAACTTAAAACCGTTAAAAAAAACAAAACCTCCAAAACCAACAAGGTTATTAATAAACTTTGCGTCATCAGGACTAGTTGACTCTGTGCATTAAAAAGTGAAAATTCGAGGAAAACAAGAAAAAACCAAGAAATCAAGCAAAAACAAGGGAAATTAATGCAAAATCGATGTGCGAATTTGATCAAATCATATGTTTTTTCGTGTTTGTTTCATTTTTGTCCTTTCGTTAGGCTGGCAGTTGGAATGAATAAATTTCGTAACTTTTATGGAATCTTGAAACAATCAAGAAAAAATGTCACAAGGTTTTTATTCCATTAATTCAACAACAAACGATTCGGTTGAACAACGACGCAAGGATGTTATTGCTGCCATTGAGAACGGATCAGCTCGCACTTGTCCATTCTGTTTGAATGATATTCCTATCAGTAAATTATTGGGTCACAATAAGGTATGCATGTTCTTGTATGAACAAGAAACAGATTCTGGACATGCTTGTTATATTAAACATTACGAGTCCATTATTGAAAAATAATCAAAAAAGAAAATTGGACTCAATATATTCAGACTCTCTCCAAAATTCTCAATCATCAAATTCATCTCAACCATTGAATGCAAATAGTTCATCAAGTACTAGCGCCTCTCAATCCAACTCTCAATCTGAGTTAATATTTGAAAGGGAGAAATATTATGAACATCCATCATATGTGAAGGAAAGACAGAGCAAGCAAGGTTTGTGTTGTGTGCCAGCTACAGATTGTCATATTGATAAGCGTAAGACATCTCCTCAACTCGTCAAGATTGTATTGGCTGAAAATGAATTCAATTTTTGCAAGCTTTCACACTTCTCGTCAGCAAAAATCAGGAAAGAATTTTTCACTAATCAAAAAGTCGCTATTAAGGATGCCGAAAGGAAAGAACAAGCTTGTGTTGAAAAAAAGTATGATTGTCTTCGCTGCCAAGTTCAATGTTCAGATCTAATTGGAATTAAGTCACGAGATTCCACAAAAATGCTTAACTTTTGCTGCGTTACATGCTTGTTCCAATATGGTGATATTATGAAGACAGATAAATGGAATAAGTGGGTCAAAGAGAACGGTAAGAAACCCAAAAAATCTATCAAAACTATCAATTCGATCTCAGTTAATGATGTTCTTAATGTGGATCAAGCAATATCCCACAGAGTACTTTTTAGCATTCATCTTTGAAATAGATCGGTCTACTGTTCACAGAAATTTGCAAAAGGTGATTGATGTGTTTTTCACTCATTACAATCAAGAATTGTCATTCAAAAACTATCAATTTAGGGCTGAGCGTGGTGTGAAATATAATGGAAAATTAATTACTATTATTTTAGATGGAACAGAGCAACAAATATTTACACCAAGCAACAAGATAAAAGAGCAAAGTTTGTACTCAGGTAAAAAGTGTAAGCACACTTTTACGTTGTTGATTGGTGTGTCTCCTGATGGCTATATTTTGTTTGTAAGCTTGTCTTACAATGGATCAAATAATGATTTAAATCTTATCGAATTTCCAGAAAATCATATTTGGAAATATATTAATACTGATGAATATATTATGGCAGACAAGGGTTTCAAAGGAATGCCTCGTGGAGTCCTACCATTCATCGGAAATGAATCCCCTTTCACAGAGAAAGAGAAACAGTTCAATCGAGGCTTAGCAGCAATCAGAATAGTAGTAGAGAATGCAATTGCTCACATCAAGAAATGGAAGATTTGTTCCACTCCATTCCGATGCAAAACCTATGACATCAATGAATTTGTAATGCCTATTAGAAATCGCTTATAAATCGTCGAATTTCTTTGTTGTTGTTGTATTTTTTATGATGTGATTGCTTTTGATGATTTTGGACCAAATCCGAGCAAACAAAGGCAAACAGAGAAAAAGTCAAAACTCGAAGAATTTGAAAAAATCAAAGCTTTTGGCATTTTAATGCACAGGCCCAAGTGATGGTTTTTGAAAGAAATTGCTGTAATAGTTCATTTGGCTTCAACGGTTGAGTGGGATTGAGGAAGGCAACTACAGTTCTCCTTTGATTTGAGCATTTTGCAACTAGTTTTTGAACATCTATCTGCATCCTGTTTGATTCTGTCGTTGTGTATTTAAAAAGATCTGTCCAACTAAAAATCACTCGATGGACTTGTTGAATTTGTTCATTCATAAGATAACAAGAAGATAGATGCATTGAACCACAACGTCATTCTGTTTGGTAACCAATGCTGACGGAACCAATGCCCAAAAAAATCAACTACTTTATCATTATATCCAACCACACATCATCGTCTTTCCAAACGGATTCATAAATATCCAAACGAATCTATTTCATCAGATGCTCATCATGATGAATTTGGCAAGTGAAAGGATGTGATTCATAGTTCAATACACGGCACGGTATCATTTAATAGCAGTGAATGATTTAACTGTTATCAAATTCCATCCAAAAAACAAATCTCTCAACCACTCAAACACAACACCCGAACCAATTCACACTCATCATGAAAACCATTCATCTTCTCCCCTTGACCATATGGGCAGTCTTGGTTCTTCTCCTCTCCCACTCTACCTCACTCCTTCTTGCGCTAGATATTGTCTATGAAAATCACACCGTTCCTGTAACACAAGACTATACAGCTGCTTTTGATGCTGCTGTACAGGATATGATTGTTGACCGTTCATTCATTGATGCTTTTTCCAATTACATGTACTTCCCTGTTCCTGCTTGTATCAATGATTTGGTGAAATATCCAAAAACCAATCCCTTTGCCAATCGAAAAGCATTGGTCATGTGTATGGAAATGGGTGTCATTTCTCCATACTTGGAAGTGAAGCATTTGGTTGGAAATACCATTGTACAAAAGATTAATGCCTACTATGGAAGTAATTTACAAACTCAATTCAAATATCTTAATACCTCTTTGAAGGGATTTTTCAATACCATGAAAGAAGGTGTCGATTCTGGAGAGTGTGACTTGATTGCTTCCAACGTGACTCCTACAAAGGAACGAATGGAAGTAGCACATTTCCAATGCAATTATGGAATGACTTCACAAGTAAGTATTCGTTCTTAATTTTCTCCTCAATAATTTTTTGTAACAACGCTTGCTGTCATGAATTCCAATTTTTGAATGTACAAAAATTCCATTTCCATAGGCCTTTCTTCGAACCAATAAGGATGGTCATCTCACCCTCAAGACTCTCCAAGATTTAAATCAGACCCACATTTTCGTCGGTGCCTCCAAAGGAACCACCTATGAAACTCTTGTAAAAACTCAACTCTCAGCTGCACAATATGTTCCACTCGATGATGGAGATGTTCCATATGATGCCATCAAGAACAACCAAGTGCATGCAGTGATTGGAGATGGTGTCACTTATTTAATTTGGGTCAAACAAAACCAAGATCTTTGTAAGAATTGTACTGTCAATTTTTACAACTCACCCTATGGTTATGGAACTTTTACAACGAATCGAATCCTTCCATCCTCTGCCATGCATCTAATGCAACATGCATCCTTGTGGATGACAGTATTGATGATGGTCATGATGACATGGATCCTATCTTCCGTCCAATCGGTATGAGCCCATAATTATAAATGTCATGCACTTGGATTTCCAGTCATGTTTATTCAAGCCGAGATGTCATGGTTATGGAAATAGTGTGCGAAATCATTCCACATGCGCAAACACACACGAGATGCAAAAAAATAATTCCGAACCTGTCCGCGTATAACAATTTGTCTTAATGTTCATAAATGGCAACGTTTTTAGATATTGGTTTGGCGTGGTAACATTCTCATCGTGGTCGCAACACGACGAACACAAAGATATCAGAGAGATTTGCAGTTCGTTTAAAAACTCAACAAAAAAAACAACTGTTCATAATTCGAAAATGTCACTCTTCAACAATCAGCGTCCACACCACAACGTCTCTTTCATTAACAGTGTGTTCATCTTCACTTCCTTGATGTTGTTGATTCTCACTTTGCCAGAATGTAGAGTGAATGGTCAAGACTTTGAAAATCATACGGTTCCAGTCTCTCAGGACTATATTGATGCATTCGATGCAGCTGTTCAGGATATGATTGTCGATCGAACCTTCATTGATGCCTATTTCAATTTAATGTATTTCCCTGTACCTGCTTGTATCAATGATTTGGTGAAATATCCAAGTAAGAATCCATTTGCAAATCGAAAGGCATTGGTCATGTGTATGGAAACAGGAGTCATCTCTCCATATAAGGAAGTCAAACATATGGTCGGAAATACCATTGTGCAAAAGATTAATGATCGTTATGGAACCAAGTTACAAGTTCAATTCAAATATCTCAATACTTCTCAATTGGGATTTTTCACAACCATGAAGAATGGAGTCGATTCTGGAGAGTGTGATTTAATTTCATCGAATACGACACCCACCGATGCGAGAAAGGCAGTCGCTCATTTTCAATGCAATTATGGAATGACATCTCAGGTAAGTGGTTTGGTGTTTTTTTAACATTTCACAATTATATTTACAACCATTTCACCCAAAAATTTCACACATTTTGAATGAAACTCAAGGCCTTCATTCGAACGAATAAGGACGGACATTTATCTCTAAAAACTTTACAAGACCTCAATCAAACTCAAGTCGTAGTAGGTGCATATTCTGGAACGACCTATGAAACTCTTGTAAAAACTCAATTAAGTGCTGCCAAATTTGTTTCGTATCAACAATCGGATGATCAATATGCAAGTATTAAAAAATCAGAAGTACATGCCGTGATTGGAGATGCTGTCACGTTTTTAGTATGGGTTCGAGACAATAAGGATGTGTGTAGTAATTGTAGCGTGATATTATATACGAATCCGTATGGATATGGAACGTTTACAACCAAGTTGATTGCATCTGGAGCTAGCTCAGTACATCATCAAATTTGGTTCATGAGTGTGTTGTTGGCAATGGTATGCATGATGGGGATGTTCTATTCTCATTAATTCCTTCATCACGGAAAAGGAATTGTAAAGTGTGAAATTATTCAGTAAAATTCTACTGGTTGTACCAAGAACGAGTGAATAGAAAGTTGAGAAACATGAGCAGTCGTCGGACTTTCGTTTGGTTTAAAAAGGTTGTGTTAAATGTCAAACTTTCGCACAAAAAAAAACGAAAACAACTGTTCAACAATGACCGAAATTCGGACCAACACCCTTTGGATGACGATAGGGGCATACATTGCCCTGTTGTTCATGGTCTTTCTTGTTCAAGCACAACAACACGAGTTTACGTATTTAAAAGAAGAACCAAACTTGTTAATTCGCTCGAATTTGGAACTCTTGAACCAACATCGCCATCATAGAGAGGTCTCTACCTTTTCAAAAATTATAATTTCTGAATCATCCGCTTCGATTCGGGTTCATGTGAAATTATATAACCAAGTCATCATGACCAGTAACGTTTTAACACAATTGGCTCGACTCATGGGCGTGCAAGACTATCGTGATGAATTTGAATTTAGGTCATCCGATGATGAACATTACATTGACATGCATAAAATATTTACCACACGTTTGACACTCGCTCAATTGAGTGTTTTGGGAAACAACAAATTTATTCAGGAACATGTGGAATGGATTAAGAAAGTTCCCGAACATGAAAAGGTGACATTTTCCAAGTTGAATTTGGAAGATTTGAAATTTGGAGATTTGCAAATTCATTTTGGAAAAAACCAAGATGCAGCATTGTGGTTGAATCATGTGAAAAATTGGTTTCAAACTCAATACATCAATACTTGGATGAAACATTTTACGAGCATTCATTTGCTACAAGCTCTTCAAATGATAGATAACAGTCCAAATTCAGACATCAAGAATTTAATGCACGATATTCTTCCTACGCAGCTGATAAATGATCAAGATGTGAATCGAATTCAACATTGGTTTGAAGAAAAGTTTTCCTTCTATTTTGGATTGAGGTGGAATTTGAAAGAGAATGGACGAGTTCACATTTCTCTTGAAAATTTAGACACTGGTGTTTGGAATTTAATTCAGAAAGGTAAATTTGATCATCCATCCGTTAAAACCTTGAGAAGACGTGAAATCATTGAGCAAGCCATGAAAATGGTTCCTTCCATTTCCAACATGTGGAACGACATTTCAGAAAATTTAGGAGAACAATTATTGAGCTATTTGAAATCTCTCGATTCAGTGGATTATATTACTCGTGGTGTGACCTATCAGGTTGATAATTACGGTTCGAATCAAGTCATACAATCAGGAGGCACCAACAATACATACTTTTGGAATTATGGAATTACCGGAAATGGAGAATTAATTGCAGTGACCGATACTGGTGTCAATGTGAATCATTGCTTCTTCTCAGGACAAGGTGAAATTTACACGACCTTAAATCTTAACAATAGAAAGATTGTCTACATTGATACCCAAGGTGGATATGGAAATACCTTGGACGACACAGGACACGGATCTCACTGTGCTGGTACCATTGCTGGAAATCCCTCTTCATTTGTTTCTACTTCTGTGAATAACCAAATAGGAGTTGCCCGTGATGCCAAGCTCTATGTGGTAGATGCTCAACTTTCAGGTTCTTCTGGACTCACCATTACTGACCTTAAAGTGTTACTTCCAAGATTATTGGATAGTGGTGTGAGAGTGAGTTCAAATTCGTGGAGTTGTCAAAATCCATACACTTGTGATTATGACTGCAAATGTTATACTTTGTTTTCCAATGGAACAAAAGCTCCAGTCGATGATAGTTCCTGTATTGCCTACAATGGAAAACGATGCTGTCATCATTGTAATTTATATAACTCACAAAGTGTTTCTATTGATTCAGTATTGAATAAGAATGACGAGTTGACCTATGTCACTTCAGTTGGAAATTATGGAGTTTACTCATATGACTCGACGGTCAATGATCCTGCAACAGCAAAGAATGCAATAACTGTTGGATCTTCCTACTCTACTACTGAGTATTACAAACTCACAATTTCACAGAATGTCAATACGACCGTGTATAATATGGAAAATTTGAGTTCATTCTCCTCAAGAGGACCAACGGTCGATGGAAGAATTAAGCCAGGTATGTGTTTCATCTCCAATATCATGTTCAACGTTTTAAAACTTTATATTGATGAATATCATGTTGATTCTTCTGAAATTGAAAATATGAATGTGGTATGAAATTTTCATTGTTGATTGTACTACTTAAATTCCCAAATCATGGAATATAGACATTGTTGCTCCAGGTCAAGAAATTTATAGTACTCACTTTAACACCACTTGCAACATTCGTAGCATGAGTGGAACTAGCATGAGCACACCAGCTGTCGCAGGAGCTGCTGCCCTCATTCGACAATATTTAACACAAAATAATAATCAGAAACTAGTCGCTTTGGAATTGTACAATAAGAATGCAGCACAAACATTGAGTGGATCTCTCGTCAAGGCACTTCTCATTCACTCGGCAGAAAAGATGAATGGACTTGTGTCACTCTCGTCCTATCTCGATCCACAAGGTCTTTCACATTTTCAAGTTCCAAATCATTTTTATGGTTATGGAAGAGTGAATTTGAAACGAGTGTTGAAAATTGAGCAAGATCCAAACTCGGTTGCCTTAATAGGAAATATTGGAGTTGTGAATCGAATGAGTTTGGAACCTGATACTAATACTTCTATTGAGGTCATGACCACTTCACCATCCTCTACCATTAAGGTTACCTTAGTTTGGTACGATTTACCAGGACCTTTCACGAATATGAGTTCTACTGTAAAACGAATCGTTAACGACATGGATCTAAAAGTCACGATTGGAACAGTTGTTTATTTTGGAAATATGGCACTCACCAATAACGCGAATCATGACTCGACCAATACTGTGGAAAGTGTTACTATTGAAAATATTCCCTCTCAGACCAATGTGAGCATTTCTGTTTCATCAAAAGCCACCAATAAGGGAGCTCAAACCTATAGTTTGGTCGTGAGTGGAAATTATGTGTTGAAAAGTGCGCCAATACCCTATTCTGGATCGATGACGATTCATCTTGTCTCGAATATGATCATAGTCTTCGGAATACTATTGATGGGATTGTGCTTGTTATAATAATTGTTGTGAAATGGCTGGTTTTCGTGTGAAGCGTTTTTTGTACAGATCACTTTGTTGGAACGTTTTTGGAAGTCTTGGCATTTTCTGTTCTGGACATTCGACATGGTGAAATGTTCTCTAGTTGTTATTGAAAGTTCAATTTTGATAAAGTGAATGGTTGATTAATTTATTGGAACCACAACACCATGAGAGTGATGGAATTGGTATGACTTGAAACATTCCAATACAAACCATGAATCATAAGAGCAGGTCAAGTGATTGTCCAGCAACACTCCTTTATGATCCATGGATGGCGGAAACTTGCGACCTTGTAATTACTGTCTTACCTGCTCTGCAAGGTTCCAAGTGGATGTCATCTTTTTTTATCATTCAAGATTTGTTGCAATTCCGTATTCATTTCTTCTCCAACATATGGTTCTTTTAAACAACATTAACTTTCTATTTTTGCAATTCATTTACAATTTATACAGTTTGAAAAAAATGAGCGCCAAACCATCCAATAAACCAACCCACTCATCAAACTCGGGAAACAGCAAGCCTTCGTCGGGACATGCTGGTCATCAAAAAGTGGCACTGCAGAAGAATACAACACCGGCCATCTCAAAACCGGGGAGTGCAGGAAAAGCACAAAAACTACAAAATGAAATAAGTAATGTTGTTGAGGAAGGTTCCTCGAGGGAGCCAGAATTTTATTCAATGGCACATATGGAGCGTGATTTAAAGAAAGGAATTACGGAAGAGAATACATCCGTTGCTTTAAAACCAACAAAAATAAGTCCAAAACTAGTTGCAGAGCGATGTCTTTCCGATATTCCAAGTGATGAAGAAGAATTGTATGTAGTTTTTGAAGAGTTTCGCGAAATTGGAAAATTTAGGGGAATATCTCATGTTCACACATCAAGATACAATCAATTGTTCATGATCAAAAAGCTAAAGCTTGATAGATGTAACATTATGAAAATTGAAAACCTTGATTTGTACACCCATCTCACACACGTTTATCTTCAATGTGTAAGTACTTGATTACAGATTGGAAGTACGAGTTATTATTCAGAATAACATTTCGGAATTATCAGACGAGTTTAGGTTTCTTCCAAACCTCATTTTCTTAGCTTTGTTTGATAATAAGATTAAGAAAATTGGAGATGAATTGATGGAAAACAAAAGGCTTCAGTTTCTCGACTTGGCCAATAATGAAATTGAGGAATGTGACATATCGAAACTTCCAAAAAGCATTGCAATTTTCAATGTTGAAAACAACCCTCTAAAATTAGAGGAAAATTTCGTTAAATCTTGCTTACCAAATCTAATGCAGTTTAACAAGAGAGAGTATATAGATGAAGAGTTTGTTCCTGAAGAGAAGCTTCCGTTTGATAGAACTACGCTGAGCCAAATGAGGTCTTCTCAGTCTGGGTTGGATTTGCTGAAAAACTCCAAAAACGAAGATCAGACAACAGATATTCCAACTACATCTGCTTCTCTAGCTGAATTAGCAAAAGCCAACTCTGACATTGTGGAAAATTATAAACATGCCTTAATGGAAGAAATGGACCGTATTCGAACCGAATTCAAAGACAAGAAAGAGAAATTAATTGCTGAAATTCAGGAAAGGAAAAGTAAATTACGAGCAGAAAAAAGTAGTCTCAATTCCACGAGCAGTGATGAATCGAGCGATGAGTCCTCAATTGACGAATAAATTATCAAAATGTTTTAACTAGAGTTTATAAGCTCTGGTTGATATATTTTGCAAATCTTACAAGCTCATTCCTCATCTTGATGTTCTCTTGAGCAGAGACCAATTTCTTGTTGGTAACTTCCTCCAGTGTTTTGGCATGAGAGACTGTTGTCACTTCCCTTTTGTTGAAATAATGCTGTACATGCTGATCAATGCTTGATCTCAGAGAATTGTCAATGTTGTCAAAATTTATCGACGGTGTGTTGTGCCCTTCCTTCGTATTTTCTGCATGAGAAAGCAAATCATGGAAATGCTCCTCGATTACTTCTGAAATAATTACTCCTGGAATACTTTCCAAAGAAATGTTCTCTGACGAACCTAGATATTTTAACTTGTCCTCACGCTTTAAAATTTTCATGAGAGTATTGGAGATTGCCTTGACGAGATTTTCCTCTCCTGATAAAGGCTCGATCTTTTCGTCCCACTTTTTCAATTGGTTTTGAAAAGCATTCCAAGCTTTTTTTCCTCGTGCCTCGCAGTACTGTTGTGAAACCCAAATTTTGTCTTGAAAATTTTCCATTTGTACCAAATATTCATATTCTTCGTTACTGAATTTGCATTTTCTTCGAGCTAACACTTTCTCAATATTGATTTCATCTGTATTAAAATTAGATAAATCCAAAACTGCTCGTTTTCGTTTCTTCCTTTCGCTCAGACAAATTTTATTCTCTCTCAAACTATCGGTATCCACTCGATCTATTTGCATCTTGTAAGTAGGTTCCAATGGAAATCCAGAGAATTTAGATCCTTCTCCAAATACATCAAATGGATGCGCGTCAATAACTTCAATTTCAAATGAATTTTCAGTAGCCTTTGAACCTGTTAGATAATAGTATTTCATTTCAAAAAGGCAAATTTCCGATTTCAAATAAATTCAGGAAATGATGAAGAAGTTATGGATAGTCGTGATAACAAACCTTCTCCATACTCAATATCTATTCGTTCCAATGTTCCGACTTTATCATCAATTTCAATAATCAGAATTTCTTCATCTTCCGATATGGGAATAATTTTTTCGAATTTTGTTGATCCATCATGACGTCCAAATTTGTGAGCCTTTAATTTTAACCGATCACTCTCCGATAAATCATCTATAGAAGAAATTGGCATGTTAATACCAAACATGATGTTTTCCTTTGTCTTCATTTTTTTGGGATTGTTTTTGAATAATATTAATAATATTTAATTTTATTTAAAAAAATATGATGAACGGAAAAACAACGACACCTTTTTACACGCTCCTTGGAAAAATCAAGAGAAGCATCTTTCGGAGGAAATTAATGAAACAATTCGGAAATGATGTGGATGTATTTGTTGAAAAATTTTCAAAACCTCAAGTGTTATCGCTTTATCGGGAATGGATTCGAGAGCTGAATCGAACGCTGCCTTTGGCCATCCGAGAAGTGAGCAAACAGGTGAGTGTTGTCACGGATCGTCTTGAGCTCATCAAAACTATTGCAATTACTAATTCCTTTTTAATTTATTTGTTACTCGATGGTAATGATGATGTTTTAAAACAAAATTATTACTGTTCATGCAGAATTTGAGAATCCACTTCGACGCTACCAAAGATGACTACAGCCCCTATTTGATCTTAAACGAATTGGAAGCAGGACGCTATGCTTTGGAATTGTGGAAAAAAGGTGACAGACATGCACTGAAATACGGAATTCCAAGACAATTTTCTGTTTATAGGGCAATACGTGAACAAAAACCTCCTGACAGTAACGCATACAGAAGGTATACACCCTTCCTCTACTCATTGTAAAATACACAAATTCTCCTAGAAAAACTGATCCTTATTTTGCAATTGTGAAACATCAAATGAAATAGATCTGTTATGGAAAATGTGATTAAACTTCTTTCGTTTCACTTGTCTGCTATCTAGTTCCATAAATGATGGTGGTAACAGACCACTGTTTGTCTGTTCATCTTCATCGTCTTCGTCCAAAAAGTTATGCAACTCTGATTCATCCATATCATTGAAGTCCATTTCCTCATCAAATACTGTGGATGGTCGAGCATTCTTTTGTCCATGACTGCTTGTGACGCTGTTGTTGCTTCCTTCTTCATTGCTATTCTCATGAATTAATACCTCATTCTCAAATTCAAAATTATCAAAGTTGGTAAAGCTTGATCCAACTTGATTAATAAGAGTGTCTTGCACATCTGATAAAACTGAGTTGGGACCTTCTGTTGCGTCAAAAGCAGAAGCGTCATGGAAGAGATCGCTTGGAGTGGCTGTTGAGTTTGGTGAGGTAATATCTATGTTTGGTATTATTAATTGGCTAGGAGTGTCTTGGGATTTTTGTACATTTTGTCTTGATAGTGGGATGATGTTTTGTTGTACAATATTTCCATTAGGTATCACTACAGGTACACTCGTGTTGGAAAATGGAAAATTGAGGGAGAATGGAGTGACATTCGATGATGATGGATTTACAAAAGTGGGGAAAATATTTGGTTGAGATGATGGATGTGGTGGTGGAAGCCCGGTGTTAGATCTGGGCGAGTTATTGCCAGAATTATTTGATGTGGCCATTGGTGACAAAGTGGGAGGAGCTAACAAAGAATCCTTAGGCTCATACTTAAAGCTTTGATAAAAAACTGTGTCTGACAGTGACCTTTTGTGTTTAGACCTTGCTGCAGCAGTGTCATCTTTCTTTGAAGAAGGCTTTTTTGTTTTCTTAGCAGTGGTGGTCTCTGTTGTTGCGCAATCTTTTGATGATGATTTTTTCTTTTCACGAGCAATTAGAGAATTGAAGTGATTTTTGCAAGCATTATCAGTTCTTCCAGGTATTTGTTTTGAAATCTCTGCCCATTTGTTTCCAAGCTTTCGTTGAGCTTCTAACAGCAATTGTTCCTCTTCTTCAGTCCAAGGATCTTTCTTGATATTTGGATCTAAATGGTTATACCATCTTTCTCTACATTGCTTTCCAATTCTTCCAGGTAAATGAGAAGCAATCATGCTCCAATTCTCTGCTCCATAGGTTTTTACAAGCTGGAGAATGGTTTCATCTTCCTCTTTTGTCCACGGTCCCTTCACAAGATTTGGATTGAGTACCTTTTGCCATCTGTGTAAACACTGCACACTTGTCCTGTTTTGAAGTGTTTCAGCAATTTTCTTCCAATTTTTACCTCCATAGAGTTGCACAGCTCTACGAAGCATTTCATCCTCTTCCTCAGACCAACCACCTTTTTTTGATCGTCTCACAGGACCTGTTCTTCTTTGATTGGTCATAAAGATTTGACTTCTTTTGTCTTCATTTTCTGGATCGTTGTCTGTGTTCGTTGAGTGGCTATCAACGGAAACAGACATTTGATTGGATGGACTCGAACTCAATAATGAATCCTTCATAGGGGATGATGAATAAAGATCGAGAGTAGCAGCACTACCGTTATGATTGTTGTTGTTTGTGTTGAGCATGTTAACCGATGGTGTGCTTGTGGAGGTTGGAATAAACATGGGCATTGTTGATGATGAACCGGTATCATCTTCACCTCCATACGAAGCCATTGAATTCGAGAGAGAAGCATGGAAATATGGACCTAACACTCCGTTTGCAAGAGTCTCAAGCTGCTGTTGTTGCTGAAGTGCTGCCATTTGCAAAAACATGGCTGCTTGTTGTTGTTGAAACAAAGAGAATTGTTTGGCCTGTTCCTGTTGAAATAAAGCAAAGTCTCCTACATCCACTGCGCTGTTATCGTTTGTTGTTGCCTGTGATGATGTAGAAGAATTATTATTTGGAATTATTGTAATGGGAATTTGCATATTGTTGTTGTTGATCCCGAGATTTACATGTTGTTGTTGTTGTTGGGAAAGTAAATGGTTTTGAAAGAAGATTGGATTGTTCATCATCATTTGGTTATTGAGCATCATTTGGTTGAAATTTAAATTGGAGTAGTTCTTATTGTTGTTGTTATCAATGATGAATGGAGTTTGTTGTTGTAACTGCTGAGAAAGGTTAGAATGGAGAGAATTGGATGTTCGTGGTGGAGGTGGTGGATAGTGAACGCGTCCATTCGTTTGATGGTTCATCTGTTTTGAATCCGATGAAGCAGAGGGAGTGGAGGTATGATTGTTGTTCATCACGATGATTGTTTTTGGTGTTTGTTATGACGAATTCAGTATATTTGGCTATGACCAATTAATGTAGAGCGAATGAACAATAGATGTTGAAGAGCAATGAAAAAGGATATGTACAGAGAGAGAAACAGATGATGATGGGAACAACGGTGTGATCTGATGATGATTTTGCCTAACGGGAGAACTGAAATTTAAATAAACGTTTGGGGCAGTGAATGTCGTGTGATACTCTCGGGTGTAATTCAGCACCACAACATGAAAACGGAGAGAGAATGCACCTGATGATTGGATGTAACACAGCAGCTGTGGAGGCTTGTGTGTCTGAGTTCTCGGCCGAATTAGAGCGTTTTTTGAGTGTTGCTGGACTCGAGAAAAAATTCTCACAACAAATTTTCTTGGCTTGTTTTAATTTAGCAACGTGACATGGTGATGAGCCAAAAAGCGCAAGAAAAGGATTTGGCAAGGAAAATCATCGAAAGATTCGAATTGGGTTTGGATTAACTTCAGTGAAAAGAACTTGGGGCGAGAGTGGAGGGAAGAAACAATAAACGAATGTCGTGAATCAATTGTTGAAAGTTTTATTGGAAAATTTTCACTTTGCGCGATACAACAGATCACGACCGATTTGTTTCAAGAGGAGCTTTGCATTTCTAATTCAGCCAGTGATTTCAATGAGAGTGTTGAAACGAGGAATACGAATAACTCCTATTTTCCTGAGGGAGAATGAATTGCTTTTTACAAAAAATGATCCAACACGCTTATCAGAGGAATTCTATCCTCGGGTTGGTTTGGATGGAGATTGTAATCATGATACAACAATTATTTCAATTTATAACATTTCCATTGTTGAATACATTCAATTACTTGTATATTAAAGAGCATTATATTAATTTATCAAACTCGGACCACATCCGAGAGTCAACACACCACAAAAGACGGTTAAAAATTGTCCATTTAACTGATTTTCATTTTGATTATAGGATATCTAGTCATGATAAAACAAATTTAAAAGACAATCACTTTTCGTTATTTGAAAAATTTGTCGTGTGGTGGGGATGGTTACGAAGGAATATACGATACCATAGGATTAGCAAGGCACAATTGAAAGAAATATTACTAGAAATTGAAAATATCTCGAATATCGACTTAATCATCATCACTGGAGACGTATTTGAAGATTTCTCAAATATTGACATCGATTGGATGATTGAGAATTTTATGTCAAAGCTTAAAAATTATTGCTCTCTTGGGGTCTATGGAGTATTGGGAAATCATGATGAGAGGTACTGCTCTGTAAAAGATAGAGAATTTCTCATTAAAAAGCTGAGCACAGCCATCACCATTCTAGACGCTCAGTCTGAATTCACCAGACACAAGTTCTTTACCACAGTTACCAAAGCCACCGACGATACCTCGTTTGATATTGAAATTTATGGATTTCTAGACTTTTATAACAGTCACTTTTGGGAAAATTACCACAAAATTGTGAAGCATCTTAATGAAAATCCTGTCAAAGAAAATACCTTACGATTTTTATTAAGCCACAACCCAGATACCATAGCTTGGATAAAGAATGATGTATTTCATTTCGATATGATCTTCAGCGGCCATACTCATGGAGGACAAGTATGCTGTCCAATACCATCCTTGATTTTGAAAAATATGTTAGCACTCTTCTGGAGGATATACATGAAAGATGTGACATTCGATCACTTTCTTCAAATTCACTTTTCTTTTGAACAGGTACATCAGATGAATGAGGGTGTCTTTACTTATATTCCTATAATACCAATAATTATTTACTTGTACAAGAAGGTTTGTAGTACTAGTGATGACTGGCAACCATGTTGTAACTATCATTCCACGATTTAAGGCAACGTTATGGACGTTTGTGAGGCACAAGATTAGCAAACTGAAAATTGTGCAGAGAGTACTTAATGTCTGCAAATACTGGGAGTGGGGCACTGGTTTGTTTGAGTTGAAATGGCAAGATGACTCCACTCTAATAGATCGTGTATTTCATCATCACCAAAAAGTCTCATCTCCTCAACAAGAGATCAACATTGCATCCAGTGAAGATGAAAATTTTATCAAACTAATATTCCGTACTTACAAAATTGACAGAAAGCAATTTGTACACACATCTGGTGGCTTAGGTACTCACTATCCAATGCGATTATTCTGCCCTCCAGAAATTTCAATTCTTAACCTTAGTTTTTGAGGTCACAACGTGCTGTACTTCAGATCCTAACTTCCTGTTTTGGTCCTCACATTAAATAATTGCATTTTTGGAAACAAAAAAATGCATACACTCAGAGCTAGCAGTTTACATACCTCCTTCGGGAACAACAATGCGATCAGAGCACTACTCCGGGGCGGATTAGTCAAGAAGCGAGCCAACAAGCTCGATCTCGAGTCGTTTTGTTGCTCGGACTTTCATATATTCAAACAGAACAGCATGCGATCTTTTTCAGTCGTTTCATGTCTTCAAAACGTGGTTCAACATCCAGCAACTCAACAATCAGAGACATCCTCCAAGTCCATTGGAAGTATTTACATTGAAAGAACAAACATCGGAATTTATGGAGCAATGAATAGCGGAAAATCAACTCTCATGAATTGTCTTACCAAATCCAATACAAGTATCGTGGATGCAACTCCAGGAACAACTGCCGATGTAAAGATTACAACAATGGAAATTCATGGAATTGGCCCAACAAAATTGTTTGACACTCCTGGCACTGATGAAGCTTCGGAATTGGGCGAAAAAAAGAGACAAAAAACAATCACATCGTTAAAGGAATCGGACTTGGCTGTGGTAGTCATTGACCCTTTTAACTCAAGCAGCGTTGTACAATGCAAATGGCTCATGAACGAATGCGAAAAATATGGGAAACCCTTCTGTGTTTTATTCAATGTTTCAGATCAGAAGAGATCTGAGGCAAAAGTCGAAAATTTAAGTGACAAATTAGATAGTATTGAGACAGAACTGAAGATCAACGAATTCGACCAGTCCTCTGGAGTTAACAAATTATTTTGTGGAGCTACTTGTGTGGATTTACAGTCGCCAATTGCCCACTCAAAATGTATCAAGTTCCTTGAGGATTGCTTTAGAAAGAGCAAATTAAGAATGGATCTTGGTCCTGCACCATTGCCAACAAAGCTGCTTCCAAAAATGGAGGAAGACACCACTGTATTTCTAAACATTCCAATGGATGAAGAGACTCCATCAGGACGCTTACTAAAGCCACAAGCAATGGTTCATGAATATCTACTTCGAGAATATAGTAATGTATTTTCGTATCGAATGAATTTGAAAAATGCAAGAAGTCAAGATAAAGAACTCGTAGAAAAGGAACGAAAGAGATTTGTTGAAATGGTAAAATCTCTCAGAGATAGAAGTAAGCTGAAACTCTTAATTACAGATTCACAAGCAATGGATATAGTACATCCATGGACCATTGACCCAGAAACAAAGGAGAATATTGTAGATATTACCACTTTTAGCGTCATCATGATTAATTTTATGAGCTCTGGTCGATTACCTGAATTCTTAAAAGGAATTGATGCCTTCAAAAATCTTAAAAACGGAGATTCTGTTCTTTTATGTGAGGCATGTAATCACAATAGAATTGCAGATGATATTGGAACTGTTCAAATACCGAGAGCCATTGAGAAGCGTTTTGGAAAGGGAGCTATTCAGGTGGATACTGTCTTTGGAAGGGAGTATCAACTAATTAAGGATCTCTCTCAATACAAATTAATCATTCATTGTGGAGGGTGCATGATTGATAAACAAAAGATGAATGCTCGCCTTACTGACCTTGCCAAAGCTGGAGTACCAATTACAAACTATGGGCTTCTTCTCTCTTTTCTCCAATCAGAACATGCACTGGCCAGAGTGACAAAACCCTTCATGCACACCACTCCATAGCAAGTTCTTCCCCATTCATAATCTCCTGTATTAAACAACGTCGTTTCAAATCAAGTGCATTCTCAATTTCAAACTTCAAATATATTTTAGAAAGAAGAACAGAGGTTTTTTGCGGTTTTCTCTTTGGAGGAATTCCTGAACGACGAAACAAACGAAGAAAATCCAGCCAGCGAGCGAATTGAAAAAAACTTGAAAAAAAATGTTGAGCAATTTTGGCCAGCAGCAACAAGCAAGTGTGCCCAACAGCAACACCATGTCGCAAGACCCAACTTATCAATTGTTGTTGCAAGCGATTCAGGTGATTCATAATCCTGTATCACCACCACAACAAAGAATGGAGGCTCAACAGGTATGTTTTAATGATGAATATCTTTTTTAAAATATTTGTTATTATGTGATGATGATTCCGAATCATGTGTGGTTGTTCAATGATAGTATGTGGAGCAATTTAAACAAACGAATCAGAATAAGATTGAATATTGTTGGACTTTCATTGTAGATAGTCAGCCTGAAGAGGTCAGACACTTCGGGTTACAAGTTTTGCATTATATTGTAACGAAAGAATGGCCAGCAGTGCAAGCAAATTATCAAACAACTCAAACAAGGTCTAGAATATCTCAATTGTTATTGGAATATGCAGCCCGAGGAACCAAACACATGCTTGAAGAAAAGCTCTTTATCAAAGAAAAATTGGCATCTATTTTTTCGTCAATAATTGAATTAACATGGCCTAAAATGTAAGTTTAAACAAATTATAGTTTATTTACGAATAATCATTGAATCTGTTAACACTTTCATTGTAATAGCTTGCCTGAAATTTTAGAAAATGTTTTGAAATTGACATCGTTAGGTGAAACTCAATGTGAAATTGCAATTTTCGCTTTGAGGTCCTTGGCACAAGATTTAACAAGTGATTTCTCAACAGACATGTCTCCAAATAAGAGAAGAGAACTCATAGAAAAATTGCAACCCAAAATTCCTGACATTTTCTCTATGGCCTTTGGATTGTTTGATGCTGCTTTCGGAGCGTACAAGGCAAGAGCAGACCAAAAGTCATACATGATAAATCAAAAATTATTAAGAGCCCTTTTGGATATGAGCTTGGCATTTGTTAGCGACTGGCTTGATCCAGCTCATTTCTTCAATCACAATATTATTGATATTTGGATTAGCTTATTACATGTGGATGAATTTAAGATGGTATGTTTTAAGTTATAGATTGACAATATTATATAATTCTTTTTCGTATTAATAGGATGCCGGACAGTGCTTGATATCGTTTGTGGATGTATCGTGGGGAACTAAAAAAGAGGTGAACATGGCTAACCACATGTCCTTACTTTTATCAAAATTATGCGAGAATACTAGGGCTATTTTAAGCAAGGCCAATCCCAATAATCTTGAAGATGAATATGAATTCCACAAAGTTCTCTCTAAACTATTTGTCACATTCTCACAAAAACAACTCAAATATTTAAACGAAAGACATACAGAAATTGTGGACAAGTAAGTACAAAAATCTGAAGCTAAGTTATTGTTTAACAGTCAATTTGAACAGTTTTTTGACGGTTGTTTTGGAATTTGACAAACACCCATCAATTGTAATTTTCAATGATACTCTCATAGTTTGGAACGGGCTTCTAAGCAATCCAAAGATTCCATTCAGCAACGCACCATTCCTTGGCAAATATTTTGAACCATTACTCCAAGTGACTAGAATGAAGATTACAAAAGAAATTGGAAACCCAGACGTCGATAGATTTGAGAACAACCTCACTCATCAATTGAGTTTGATTGATTTTGAAGATAAAAAAGAATACTATCATGTTCATGGCTCCATGAGAAGCCAAGCTAGATCTCTCATCCAATACATCACTCAAAGAGTTGTAAGTGTTCATTACTATTGTATTGAAAAACATAATTTCCTTGTTTTATTAATTTTAGCCATTTGAAACTGTAAAATTTGCTACTTTGGAAGTTGAGCAAGCTCTTAAACTCAACACACCTAGTCCAAAAGATGATAAGGGACCTAATGGATACTGTAGCGTTTTTAGCGATGCTTATCTTATGTGGGAGTCTGCTGTCACGTTCTATGAGTGGGTTATTGAATCAGTAACAAACGATAAGGTTTCAGCAGATGAACGAATTATTGAGGCAGAGATGTATCTACTTGGGCTTTGTCTTCAATTTTCAACAGAAGATGCACTAATTCAAACCATATTTGTGAGACTGTTCAAATCTTTTTCTCATCTCAATAAGAGAAATAAGGAGTCTTTGTCTGCAATAGCCACAAATTTGTTCAAACAAATGCAATTTCGTCCTTCCAAGGAGGTAGGAAAAGCAGTTGAAGAGTTAACCGAAGATACTTCTACTGCCAGACAGAAAGCACATACCACCTTCATTAGTTTATGCCAAGCAAACGCAAAAGATTTACCAGAATATTTAAAGCAATTTGTGGATCAAGCTGAACAATTGTGGGCTAAGAAAGAAATTCTAAGTAACGAATTGATTTTGATGTACGAGGCCTTTGTTGTTATTAGCAACGAATGGAAAGATTTGAACCAACAATGCCAATTTTTAGATTATTTATTGAGCCCATTGATCAACGAACTGAATTCCAATTTGTATAGAGAAGTGTGTGGGTCTGTAGAGTTACTTTACAAGTCGGCAGGAATTATTCCAGAGCCAAACCAAGAAACAAAAACCAAGCTTGAAGAAATCAAGGGTAGAATTTTCCACATTCTTACAACGGTTACTAGCTTGGCAGCAAGAATGCCTGAAAATCCACAAGATATGGGAATGGTCGATCCACAGACAAAAGAAATCAAATATCCTATCTCAGCATATATTTTAGAAGTATTACCAAACGTTCTTTCTCTCATACGAACAATTCATATGTGCTATACACCTCAGGGACAGCAATTAGTTCCTGAGCAAGTGCGAAAGTATATTTTACATATTGGAATTGATGAACAATATATGGCTAAGGGAGAGCAATTTGTTGCTTCTAAAGTAACGCAGGAACAATATGCTGTACACAAGGTTCACTATTTTGTCACAAATCTGAGAAGATTATCCTATTTATTGCTAGGTCAAGCTGGTAAATATTGCGAGAAAGCTCGTTTTTGGGGAAATCCGCAGCTGTTCCAAATGTTATCAGAATCTGTTTTTTCCTTCATGGAGTTTGTAACTGTTAGAGATTTATCGGTATTGACATCTAACTTCTTTTCGACCTTCTTTGACTCTTGTCCTGCAGAATTGCATAACACTCTCCTTCTTGAAATATTGAAGCCACTTTTATCACTAATGACCGCTCGAATTGAGCAAGCACAAAATGAGATTTGCGATAAAGCAGGTGGCCAACGTGGTGGCGATGAAGGTGTACTCGATGAAATTGTGAAAGAAAAGCATCTCAAAGAATTATGCTCAGTGTTGGTGAACATTTTCTTGAGGGCCACCAATTCCATCAGAATTTCAAAGGATAATCTCAAGCCAAAAGCAGACGTTATTTGCACATTTATAATTTCTAGCTCTGATCTCATTGGTTTAATGGTGATGCTCTTCTGCAAAATTATAGCAGCCATGTTAGATCCTACAAGTGTTGTGAAGTGTGTCATTATTTGTGACAGAATTATTCGATACCTTAGTCACACACAACTTCAAAACTATGCTAATTTATTTGCAGGAGAGTTATTCTTTTCTCTGATCAAATCATTAATGACCACTGTGGACGAACAATTGCAAGATTCAATCATCTCCTTAATTTCGTATAGTTATGCCTCACTTCGAAAAAAGACTAATATCATGAAAGATATTTTGATTCAAGTTCCAACATTGACACCACAAAAAGTGAAACACTTTGATGATGTTTTCACTCAAACACAAGATGAAAAAGAACGAAAGAAGAAGGCAAAAGCACTCTTCTCAGGTGTGTGTGGAATGAACAAGGGAGCACCATCCAAAACAAAGTCAGTTCTTGCCGTAAATCAACAGCCACAATCTGAAAAGAAGAATGCCAAAAAGACATCCTTCCTTGATGATGCCACTGTTTCTAAACTTGGAGACTTGTTCAAATAATATTGTCAAAACTTTTGATAAAAACGGTGTGAATTTTAAATTAATCACTAAATTAATAATTTAAAAAAGGTATTGAATAGTTTGATCCAGACATGACACATTTGTTAACCCGCTGGTAAAATTCTTTAAAAAAGGCGATATGTTGATGATTACACCTTGTCAACTTGTTGGTCTGGATGTGCCTTTTTGAATGCCTCCAATTCCGAGCATGTTTGTTCAATTCGAACAATGTTTGGGAATTTGCTCATATCCACATTAAATCTCTTGGCATTATACACTTGTGGAACAAGACAAATGTCAGCCATACTGACTTGATCACCCACACAGAATTTTCCACTATGCTTCTCCAAAACCTTCTCCAGAGCAACAAAACCATTTTCAATCCAATATTTAGCCCAATTCGATTTGGCAGCTTCATCCGTATTAAAATCTTCTTTAATCTTCTTCAAGACTCTCAAATTTTGAATGGGTTGAATATCGGAAGCGATCATTTGGCAAATTTGCCGAACGAGTTGCCTCTTGTATGGATCGGAATTGGTTGGCAACAAGTGCACACCTTGATCACCTCTCGTATCTTCTAAATATTCCATAATAGCAATGGATTGATTCAAAGTATGTCCATCAATCTCCAAAGTCGGAACAAGTTTCGATGGATTTCGTTGTGCATAGTCTTCACTCGATTGTTTGGATTCCAATAAATTCACAGCCACATACTCGTAATCCATTTCTTTGAGTGCGAGAGCAATACGGACACGCCACGAGCAAGAGGATCTCCAGTACGAGTAGAGAACAATGGATGGTTGTTGTTGAGACATTTTTTAAGCTTTTTCTGTCATGCTCACTGGGAACCTCTGACCACAAGGAATCAATCCTCTCGGTTGAAAAATAAAATTGGCGCCACTCGAACCTCCCGCTTGAGTTTTTACAAAATTGTCTTCTTGACTCATGTATTTTAAAAAAAAATAGGTGTGATTCATTGTTTTGGGCCAACATTGAAAGGCGTTGTACATGTTTTGAACTAGAGTACTACAATTATATATTGATACGTGAATACTTTGACATGTTTTCTCAGCCTGGAGTTATTATGAGGAGTAAATTCAACTCTCTCGTTAACAACAATGATATGGCATCAACCGATCCTTATTCAAGTCATTCCTATGGAGCTAATTCTAACGCATTCGGAAGAGAGATGGATGGATCATCATATACATCATCACTCTCGGCTTCTAAACCGAAGACTGTTCAGAAACTCCCTTGGGAAGAACCACAACAGAAACCCGGAAGTAACAAGTTAAATTCATATCGAGTCAGCAACTCGGTCCATTCGGGAAGTGTAGCACCATCAGGCATTAATACAAACGTAAAGCCATCTCGAATTAATAGCGGATCAAGCGTTCCCATGTTCGTTGATGACAATGAGAATGATACAACTCCTCGTTCTACAAATTCAAATTATTACGAAGAAATTTCATCATCTACAAAACAGTCGCTCTCTTCAATGTATTTAGCGAGTAAGAAGGGTTCATCCTACACCACAGTCAATTCCATGGAGGAAGAATCTTCAATGGATGCAAATCTCAAGAAAGCGGAAGAAGTACACCGTGCAAGAAAACAATCAGCTCCACCAACCTCAAAACCATCGTCAAAACCACCCTCCAGAAGTTCCTCTAGGCAATCCACAAGGAGTGAAAACGAAGACGAATATTCTACCGAGAACGTGAGAGGATCAGTTCAACGGTATGATAGCGCAATTAAGGCTGTAGTTAACGGAGCAGCTTCGCCTGGTAAACCAAGATTGAGTGCCAACAGAACAAAACAACCTATTTCTGGAAACTCTAGCTCGACCATTCAAACTCCAAAAGATCCGTCTCCAAGTGTAACAACAGCTAATGCTTTTTCGAAGCCTAAAAACGTTAAGGAAGCTGCACTTCCTGAGACTAGACCAGTTGTTGGATCTAAAAAATCTTCTCACACATGGATTCAGACAAGTGTGACGCCATTAGATCTTTATTACAAACCTTTGGAATTAGAAAGTATTTTCGTTCAACCAGAAGAAAAGCCGTCACGCCCCAAATTTAAATTCATTGCCAGAAAATCAGGAACTACGGCAATTGTTCAGTCAACAACAAGAGGAAAAGCAGCAGTTGTCGCTCAATCTAGAGATTCATCTGTTCCATCACAACCAAAGTCAGCGACCAAGCAAGTTCAACCTGTACAAAAAACTCAGCCACCCCAGCCTCAAAAACCAGTTCCAAAAAGAGCACCACCTCCGGTATATGATGACGAAGAAGAAGAGGATGAAGAGGAGGACGATTCCTATGAGGAAGAAGAAGACGAAGAGGAAGAAGAACCTCCGGTAAAGCAACCTCCTAAGAAACAAGTCACCTCCAAGCCAAGTGCCAACAGTGCTTTGTCCTCCACCAAAAAACAACAAGAACCTCCTTCCAAACCAACAAAACCAACCTCAAAACCTGTAAAAAAGCCAATTCCTTCGAAGGAAGAAGATGAGGAGGAAGAAGAGGACGAAGAGAAACCCAGTGGTGACGTTGATAATATGCAAATTAAAATTGTTGGAAATAAGGACAGCAAATCCCTGTTTGAACAAATGTTGGAAGCCGAAATGAGAAGAGGAGAAGCAGTTGCACAAGAACAAGAAACAGAGCGAAAGTGTCCACACTGTAAAGATGACATTCCTGTCAAAATGTTTGCCAAGCACAAAAGGCAGTGCAAGGAAAAGCATGAGAAAAAACGAAAAGTATTTAAAGTTGATATTTTGGATGAAGATCTTGCAAAGGAAGCAGCCAAAGTTAAATCATCAGCTCCAGTTAAAACCAAGCCAAATAATTGGAGAAGAAAACATGAAGAATTTCAACGAAACGTAATTAGAGCAGGAAAAGATGACAAGAACGGATCGTATGATGATTATGAACCAGAACCAGTGATTGACGACCGAGTGCAGTGTGAATACTGTGGACGAAAATTCCAAGAAGAAGTCCACGAACGGCATGTGAAATCATGCGCAGAACGAACACTAAAATCCAAGTTGAAAGAGAGAGCAAACAGTGGAAAATCCACCGTCCCGTCGAATGTTGGCAGCGGGTCTTCATCAGCCACAGGAATTGCAAGAAAAAATTCTGTTTCGAGTACAGCTTCAGCTAGTTCAAGGCAGTCGTCAGGTTTGTCGTCGACACGTTCCAAACAAACACCGACGAATTCTGGGCGAAAATACTGACAAGAGCTCTAGTATTTTAATTTATAAAAGCTTTGTTGATCATGTTACAAAATTCACAAAAAAAATGTCCAAATACAAGAAAGAGAGCAGTTCTTCCGATGAAGAGGATGACTACAAGGAGAGTTCACCAGTGAGCTCCGACGACAGAAGGGATGCATCAAACGATATGGGTCGCCATCTGTTTGGTTGTGAAAAAACATCAGATATTATTTTGCAAATTACACAAGTCGCAGATGACCCTTTCAAACTGTATTGTCACAAAACATGTCTCGAAGCAAATTCTCCATATTTAAAATCGAAAATTGAAGATTTACTGAACATCCGAGATCAACATGAATCCATTGATGAAAGCAAACCAATTTTAATTTTAAATGATTTGGAAAGATACGATAAAAGAATCATAACGAGGGTAATCAAATATATGCATGATCACCATGCCATCAAATTTGACAATCCAATCCTATGCTTGGAAGACTGTATTACAATTTTTAAAATTGCTACACTTTTTGGTATGGAACAAATGGCTGCTCGTGCAAAAACAGTGTTAATGGACCACCATGTAATCGACTCTCATAACTTTTTCCAGTATTACATTTTAGCCAAATCTTATGCTTTGGATCAAATACTCGACGAATTGAAACGTTTGATTGGTCAATTACCTGAGTACACCATCCACACAAGCTCTCACTTGATGAAGATGAGTGAATTTATGCTTATGGATTTTATTACTGAAATGAGTAATGTGGATGGAAGTACGGTCAATGTTTGCATGTCTGTTCTTGCGTGGTGTAGAGTCAATGTTCTTGATGTGAAAAAGTTGAGAAAAGTATTGTCCAACTTGTGTGAAAGTATGAGGAATGAGGAGCAAGTGAAGAATACTCCATTTGGTTTGGTTTTTCCAGTATGGAAATTGTTTTTGAAGGATGAAGTATCACTCTCTGATGAAGCATTTTTATGCATGTATCATTCGCTGTTAGGTAGTTCCTTGAGTTATTAATATAATCAAAATGTAAATGGTAAACCAATGAATATTGTTCACATATTATCTCATTTCGAAATTCTTATTGCATTGAATGAAAGTGGTATAGTATTTTTTGACTAGCATTATTCGTGAAATTACTCAGAACTACTGCCCTTTTCAGACTCTTCTGCTGATTCACTATAATCAAAAGATCCAAAGGTTTTGTTCCATTCAATGTATCGTTGTAAATCACTTTGTGCCACAGATGGACGAATGGATTTTAGGGCTGCTTTGAAATCCTTAAATTCTATTGGTCTCAATTCTGAAGCAGCTGCATGTTTGATTTGTGATCCTAAATCTCTGATAGCAAACATTGAAGCTTCTGCACAAAGATTCTTAATGTCACTTCCTGAGTAGCCATCGGTCAAATCGACCAAAGTGTTCATCTCATCTTCAGAAATGACGTGAGGATTTTTCGAGAGAAGTCTTGTTAACATTTCCTTTCTTCCTTCTTTTGATGGAAGAGGAATGTACAAACGTTTCTGCATTCTTCTTCTCACAGCTTCATCAATTTCTTCTGGTCTATTGGTGGCACCAACAATTAAAATTCGATCTGTTTCGTCATTGGTTGAAGCACCATCAAGCTGAACTAAAAATTCTGTTTTTAATCTTCTACTACCACTGTCACTGTCAGAGTCAGTTCTTTGGGAAAGTAAACTGTCAATTTCATCGATAAACACTACTGATGGTTGAAAATATCGAGCGAGTGCAAAAAGAGTTCGCACTAATTTTTCTCCTTCACCCACCCATTTGCTTGTCAAACTTGATGCTGATATAGAGAAGAAGGTAGAGCCACTTTCGTGAGCAATGGCTTTTCCAATTAGAGTCTATTAATGTTAAAAATTAATAAAATATGTATAAGATCACAGTAGCACAATGGTGTTTGCTTACCTTACCGGTACCTGGAGGTCCAAATAAGAGTAGACCTTTTGGTGGTCGTCTTAGTCCAAAAAACAAGTCAGGTCGCATGAGAGGCCAAATTACTGCTTCTTGTACAGAGTTCTTGGCATATTTCAAACCAGCAATATCATCCCAAGTCACAGAAATTGAAGAGTCTAAGATTTCATTCGCAATGGTTTCAATTAATTTTGGACTAAGATGCGAAAGTTCTTCAGGGATGACTCCGTCCGCAAATAATTTCGAAAGATCAGCACCATCATCGTCGTCTGTCTTTTTCTTTTTCGATGGCTTTTCTCCACTGTTCTTGGAAGTATTAGTTTTGTTGTTGTTGTTGTTACTACTGTTGCTATTTGAATTTTCCTTGTCTTTGAATGGAGTAACGAATTTCTTTTTTCCAGAATTTGCTGTTAGTGATGTCACAGGATGATAATTGGATGTAGAGCTCTTGATATCACTCAAATTTTTCTGCTTACTACTCGAACTTTCTTCCTCTTCCTTTTCATCATCACTCACATTTTTCTCTCCCATTTTTTTCCTCTTGTTATTGACTAATTGGCGAGCTGTTACAAAAGAAGATTTTGGCTTCTCTTCATCATCATCCACGATCATGGGGTCATTGGTTGTACTTCCGCCACTATTGTTGCTGGAGGTTTTCCCATTGTTGGATGATGGACTAGGATTTCTCATATTTCCTCGGAGAGCTTTCACTGGAAGGTTTATACCTGTGGCAGGCTTTGATATCGGAAGCGGATGACTTGTTGTGGATGATGAAGGTACATTTACAATTTTCGGAGGTAAATATTCATGTTGTCGTTTGAATAACAAGGATTGCATGATTGGTACTTGTTTGCAAATTTCATTCTTTGAAACGAGTTTGTATGTGGTCGGGTCTGGTATGGATGATGATGAACACACATGTTGAAACACTTGTTTTGAAAATAGTAAAAAATCATTGCTACTCTCCGAATGATGAATCATGGACCGACAATCTCCATAACAATCTGAATTCAAAATCTTATCATTTTGCTTGATGTAATAGGAGGGTATGTCTTCATCGAGTTTGGTGGAGGATGGAGGTTTGGGAGCGAATAGATGGCGTTCCCGACAAATTCTTATGGTTGCTAGCTGTTCGGAAAGTGCGAGCAAGCTGTTGTTGTTAGAGGACGGTGAAGTGGAGGCTTTGCCGTTTTGCATTTTTTTTTAATGTTTGAAGTTCATGCGATTGGTGGAAGTATTTAAGTGGAAGTTTGGATTTATGATTGTTCGAATAAATTAAAGTTTAAATCTACTATCTACTCTTCATCGTCGAGAACGGATTCATCTTCTGAATTTTCCATGTCTTCTTCTTGGTAATCGCCATCATTCGGATCATCTTGGAAGGATTGATTTAATTGCTCATTGGCAACCTCTTTTGCACAAGCTTCGTCAATTCTATTTGCTGAATTAACCAATGGCCTCAATTTCAGAACGAGATGCATATCTCTGTTGAGAACACAGTAATCATTGAAGTAAGAACTGGTGAGTGTAACCTTATTAAAAACCTACTTTGCCTTAAGAGTTTGTCTTTTAGCATGAATAGCACACAGGTTCGCATCTCGTAGTAGGTCCACTAATGCGTCCTCTGAAGCATGATGGAGGTATGCAAAAGCGTCTGGTTTCCATAACAGTCCAAAACCTCTTTCAGATGCTACTTTTAACCCTATTTCTCGAACCAATCTTTGGAATGGCAATCGTGGAATGAGCAGCTCCGTACTCTTTTGATATTTCCGTATTTCTTTCAACCACTTGGTACGTTTCCTTTTTTTGGTTGTTTGGTTGCTCTTCCTTGGATCTTTGGAAGGGAGAGTTTTGCCTGCAACTTGGCCGGAAGTTACTCTGCTTTGTGGTGTTGTTGAGTTGGAAGACGAATTATGAGAGGATGTTCGTGTGGGTCTTTGTCTGTCCAGTGATAAAGAGCTACTCGCGACCACAGGCGATTGTATTGTATCCATAGAACGTGGATCAATGTTTCTTTGACTCTCTCTGTTGACACTATTTTGTACAACGTTTCTTGATGATGACGATGTAGTTCGAACGGAATGATGAAGAGTATTCGGAAGTGAAAATGTTGGAGGAGGCTGAGGCTGTACAGAAGGGTTTAGGGGAACAGTGATCATCGGAAGCCGTTGTTGACTGTCAGAGGATGAAGCTTGGCTTTGCTCTTGTTCGGTGAAAGGCACGGAACGTCTTGCCACCATTCTTACATTGGTGGTACGAATATTTACACTATTATCTAAACTACTACTACGTATCAATGCTTGCTCGGAACGTTGAAGATCGAAATCAGACAAGCCATATCCCTCATCAATACCTTCATCAGAATCATCAGCATCATCATCATCGTCAATCACGATAACTTCGGGAGGTGCATAAACGCTTTCCTGTTGTCGAGACATTTTTTAGGCTTTGTGTTGGATCCTACACATATGTTTGGTTATTCTTGATTGACCTCTTTTTCAATGACGTTCGGCTTTGGGCTTTCTTGAAATGAATGGTTCGAACTAATTTCTTGATCAGAAGAAGTTTCTATGATGTCTGCTGTTGTCGTAGTGGTGAGAAATTCATTCTCGCTACTTGATCCTTTAGGAATTTTGGATTCACTTATGTCCTCTCTATTTCTCTCATTCACAACTGGAGTCACCGACTTGTTTTTTCGTTTCTTGTGAAGTCTTGATTTGAGATGAGCTCTATATTCAGTGTATCCATGATGTGTACTATTACATTTTTCGCACCAATAGGTTTTGTTTTCATCTCCTTGCTGGTCTGACGATTTTTGATGTGGTTCCTTAACTTGATATGCTTCGACGAGATCTTGAGGAATTTCTTTACCTTCCAAGAAGTGCTTTGCAATTTGTAAGGCGCTTTCCTTAATGACATCAACAGGAGTTGTTGAAATATCAAACTTGTAGAGAATACCTTGCTTGACGAGCGGTAATTTTGAATTAGCCCATGAGGATCTATACCATGTTTCTTGTTTTTTTGCATACTTAAAGGTACCATTAATGAGTGATTCTAAACATTGTTGCTTCAATTCATTCTTTTTCTTGAGAATAGCGTCCTCTTCATTTTTGTCACCAATATCATTGATTTCTTCCAAATATTTAAGATACGGTAGAAATTCCTTATATCCTATGGATTGTAACACTCCATGCTCAAATGAAATGCTCAGCTTGTCCTTATTCTTGAAAAGATACTCGTGAAAGGTGACTACCTCTTGAAGGAGGCCATTTTCCATCATTTGCACAGCTCTATCTGCTATTCTTTGTCTCAACACTCCACGGTTGTCACATGCCAAGTAAAAAAATAAAGTTTCATATTTAAGTGTTCGTTGCTCCTCTTTTTTGGAGTCAATGACTTGTGTGAATACTCGCTGCTCTTTTTCGTATAATAAAATTCGTTTTTTGATTTTTCGAATATCATTTGGATGAATGAGAGCGGCTGACTCGGGATCTATTTCTTTAAGTCTTTCGTGTGTATATTTCTTTAAATCCTCGCTGTCTTCATCCTTTTTTGTCTCATTGTATTCCAATCCATTTGATTCTTCAGCTGTTCCAATCAAGTATTGATCGAAAATTACAGATTGAATATAATAATTTGTTCCTCCACAAATAATTGGAACAACGTCTCGTTTAAATAAATCCTGTTCAAATAATTCATGACAATCTTTCTTATAATTCAATACCGTGTACAGCTGAGCTCGATCCGATACTACGCCTTGCTTTTCTCCAACAAAGTGATGCTCAATTTCTTGTAATTCGGATTCACTTGGTTTGTTTGTAGTGATTGGTAAGCCTTCATATATTTGCATGACATCGGCGTTGATGATGCTTGCCGATTTAAATTTCATATTTTCATGATCATTGTTGCTATTAATCATTCTGGCTAGATGAAGTGCAAGGGCTAATGATTTTACATAATTTCAAAATAATCATAAAATTAATAATTTTCGTTTGGAATAATGAATCTCCAAAAACGAAGACTTACCTGACTTTCCAACTCCAGTACTACCAGCACACACAATTACTTTTCCTTTCTGCTTCATCTCTCTATCATCCTGCAACAACATAGAATCGGAATTGTGATTTTGTAACATTTTTTTTAGTGCAATTTTAGAAATCTTGCAAAAAACAGATTTGAATTGCAGCATTAAAACAGCTTCTCGCTATTTATTTCTGTTGTTTGTTGGCAAGATATTGTTCCAGGACTGGTTTGAGATGATCTCTTGGAACGAGGTACAGTGGATGGTTCTTGGTGTCAATGTACAACAAAGATTGATCCATGGCAGGCTCTGGGAATTTCTCTGGGTTTCCATGACTCAATTTGAAATGTCTGACAAGATTAATGAGTGCCATGTGGTTCTCTGTGCTTGCAATTCTGGAGCCAGGACATTTACGAGCTCCAATGCCAAATGGAAGACTAATTGTGTCAAATAATTCATTAGTAAAATTATCATGAAAGTCAAACGTCAATAAGTGAATGCATCATTTCTAAGAACTTACCTAATGTACAAGGACTTTGGAGCAAGAGGTGATCCCTTCTCATGTCTTTCAGGAATAAACTCTTTAGCACGTGGAACAAATTCTTCCTTCAAATTTGGATAATAATTCACCACTAACACTCTTGTATCTTTTGGAATTAAATATCCATTCAATTCGGTGTCTTCTCTCAACCATCGACCACTGGTCATGTAACTAAAAGGATCAATACGTAAAATCTCTTCAAAGAAATTCTTGCTTAATTTCAATTTCTTGTATTGTTCCAAAGAGACATGCAGTCCTTGTTCCGAAGTAAATTCCTCAGCAGATGGTTCTCCAAATACTTGAACCAATTCTTGATACAACTTTTCTTGATAATCAGGGTGATGAGCGAGTCTGTAGAATTGATTCACCATCATACGAGAGGTAATATCAACACCACCATTAATAAAAGCAGTCAATACTCCTTCGACTTTACGTTCGGGATTTTCCATTCCAGCAGCTCGTTCATCAATCAAGTCTTTCAATCGAGGAAGGTTAGGATTTGGGTTTTTAGCAAAGGCTTTGATGAATTCTCGGCAACCAATGAAGACCTTCAATAGTAAATCTTCCATTTCTTTGTATTCTCGAGTTTTATAAAGCTTGTATAAGGGAGGTTTGGTGTCCAGTCCAATGGCCACATCAGTGGAACGAACAGCTGCATCCACAAATTCACTCATCTTCCATGGAAGAAGTTTTTCAACCTCTTCATCGACCTTGATTCCGAGAAATACTTTTGTAACTGCCTTAAATGTATATAAGGAAGTAATTCCAAAGGCATTGGGAATTAAATATTTTGTTTCTCCATCTTTGGATGATACTACTGTTTTCAAATTATCGGCAACAATTCTCAAGAAATCTCCATTGAGTTCAGTGAGTTGAGGAAGACTCACCTTGTCTGAATTTTCAGGTTTCATGGCAATATTAAACAAGGAACGAATAGGTTGCCAATCTTCATCATATCTCAATTCAATTGGTAACAATTCAATATTGTGTTGTTCCTTAACATAACGAAGAGCTACTAATTTATCTCTACGTTCTTCTTTTCTCATCAATTCTTCAATAATGTCAGGATGAGAAATGATGAGCATGTTATTCTTTGGAAGAGTCAACTTGACCATGTATCCATATTGTTCGCACAACTCTAAAAAGTAAGCATTGGGCAATTTTTTCTTATTTTTCAACAAGTCCCACAAGTTACCAATCAATGGTAAAGGTTTTGGACCTGGTAAATCTTGGAATGATTTGAGAGGAGGTTTACTTTCCGAAGTTGTACAAGTGTTTACTTCCATTGCTGATGAATGTGCTGGTGGTTGATCTACCACTACAGCACTACTTGTGGAGGTTGCAGTCTTGTGATAGGGACAAGCTTGTGCAGAGGCTACACCCACATTGGAAGAGTCGAGACGAATCAACTGTTGATGGAAATTTCTTGAAAGACCACCAGTGGTCGATGTCGATGGTTGAGAAAAAACGATGAAATTATTGTTGACAATCTTACACTTGTTCAACAATTCGGAAGTGACACGACGAGCTGATCGATTCATGAATATTATTTCGATAAGGGAATATGTTGGGTTTGATTTTTTTGAAGTGTTTTCTTGTCATTCAGCAACGAGATAACAAAGGATATCAATGGTGTCGGGCCCGATGCCGGACGCGCACTTGCAGGAGCCAATAGGAATTATTGGCTTTTTACAAAACACGAGAGTTCTCTAGGTTTTAAAAGTATAATTTCTGTGTTTGATATGCAACAAGGTGTAATATTATTGTCTAAATAGAAGGTTTGTTTACACCTCATTAAAACCTAACAGTGTGTGAAAATACTTCTTCTAAGGCATCAAGAATTTCTGTGACAATGGTTGCAGTGAAACCCCACATACAAGCGTATGGAACTGTTGTGTTTCGGGTCACAGAGTGAACATTGGTCAAATGAAACACTGGACCATAATGTGTAAAGGAAGAATTAATGATGGTTTTTCCAAGAGGTTCAAAATTTGAATTTTGAATTAAATCTAAAACTTTCACCTCAAATAAGTGTTCAATTTCGTCTGTTTGTAGAAGGTAATGAAATTCAGCGTTTGTTTGTTCATTATTTTGTAACAATCGACCAATAAAAGGTTTGACATTAAAATTGCGTGCTCCTGTCATGGTACTTGGAAGCGACTCATTCAAAACTTGAATATGTTGTTGTCCAATTTCTTCGTTCGTTTCTCTGATGGCTGTGTCTAATAAACTAGAATCTAATGTTGAGTCAAAAACTCCACCTGGAAAACTTATTTGACCTAAGCCGTCAGGTCCACAAAAAGTGTCAAGCAGAAAAAATTTTGCAATTTGATCAATAAAAATGATCTAAATTAATATAGCCATGAGAATAATCCAATACCTACCTGCATGTTGGTAATTTGTGTTCTTTTTTGCAGGGGTTTTTTGCAACAAGACCAGAAAAGGTTCTCCTTTCTCTCCCCGTTTGAAAAATAAAACCATCACAGCTGAAGAACGAGCTGATGGATCAGGTCTTCTCGATAATTTAAGTTTTTGTCCGCTGTTATTATATTCATGAAAAGTAGGTCGTTGTTTTTCATTCTTTTGAAAATCAATGGATTTTAACACTTCAAAAAAATCAATTCTGGAAGAGTCCATTTTCAGAAAATTTTTCAAATTTGGAAACATTTCTTGTGTTTGTTCTGGTGATGATGATTGCAGCCGATGCAATGATTCATGATAGTAACGTTGCTGTCGATCTGAATCAGAAAATTTAAATATTTGAAATGATTTCCGATGCATAAACATGGATTTCCGAGTGATTGAAGTACAATTTAATCTAATAACAGATGTGTCATTCCGAAATAAAGACAAATTCCTTTTCGTGGTGCCCACCAAAGAACGCATGATCGGTGTCGTCGAACAAGAACCAATCTCTTGCATCACCACAGAGAAACAGTATTTTTCAAAACCGTGTTGAGATTTGAACATTTTTTTTGTTTTGGAAAAACTCGTGCTGGCCTTATTGACCTCGCGTTTTATTGATGACAATTTGAAAGCATCAATAGTAGTGAGTAAGATCTAGAGAGAAGAAAATTTCCCATTGTTCATTACCAAACAAGTATGCTTTCCACATGCTGTACATCTTTTCTCGATATTCGCTATCCCATGATGCCAAATTAGTGATTCCATCATAAGGTTCTACCTCTAGCGCTTCGATTGGTTCTTTTAACAAGTGCGATTCTGGAATGTGACACCCAAAATATTCAAATTCCAATCTCATCCGTTTCAAATCTGTAAATATTTTAACACTTTCATGGAATGTTATAGAATTGATATCTCGATCACCAAAATTATGTCGAACAAGATCATAAATAAGCTCATCCATAACGAATCCCCATCGTTTAGCATGCTCATACAGAATATCAAAATTGCATCTAATTTCCTTATTAAATTGATAGCATACAAAGTTGAGAACACTTGGATTTGCTTTTACACAATCTAGCACAAAGTTTTGGTCTTGCTTCAAATTGTTCGAAGCAGCTTGTAATGCGTAGACCACTTGATTATTTCGAATTGCTGCCAATAGTAAATCTCTATCGTTACTAAAATCGTAGGAGAGGCTGTTCAAATAATGACCGTTTTTCTGTATGGTAGCAATTATCACCTCCCTGTCATTTCTCTCAAAGAATCGAGAGACGGCATAGGCAATAGATGACTCGTAAAGAGAGGTATACTCTAATGCTGTCAATACGACGTCTTTGTCATTATACAAGTGGGTTGGAATGTTAGAAAAGGAGCAAGAACCACTTTTAAGGGCAGCCAAAATCACCTCTTTGTCATTACGAAACTGTGCAGGAAGCACGCGTCTATTCTTTTGCTGTTCATACAACAAGCTTCCTGTATTAGAGACTGCTGCTAAAACTATTTCTCTATCGTTTTGGAATATGGGCAACACATCTCTATAACACTTTCCATTCGATTTAACAGCCCTCAGCACAAAGTTTCTATTGTTTTTTAAACGATCTGAGGTATATTTCAATATGAAAGGCAAAGAAATGCGTTTTAACATCAAATCTTCATCATCGAGCTCAGAATGACCATAGTTCATGCATATTCGCTTCATTACTTGTTCCACGATTTTTCCAAATTCGTCATCATTCTGAAGCCTATGTTGTTCACATTCATTGAACAATGAGGATACAAAACGTCCTTGCTCTGTTAGATTATTTTGATAATTCTTGTGAGCTCTATAATATTCGTCTGGTAATTCATGAAGCATTTGAAACACGGGTTTCAATAAACCTAGTTCAATATTTGACACTATTGCATCCTTGAGAAATAATTGCAGATAAATAGACAACTTGAAGTCCAATGATAGTTCATGACAAACCCTCGCCGATACATTAAAAAACACTTCTGGAATACATGTTGAAATTTTGTCTTCATATAATGTGCCATCATCAGAGGTCAGTGTAGTGTTGAATAGTTGAATAATAAATTCCTTATCATTCTTTAACGATGATGGAAGGCGTAAAAATAAATTAGGATTTAAATGAACTAATTTCACACAGAATTTTCTATCCTTTGTCAATCTTTTAGATATATGTTGCATGTCGATGAAAGAGAGACAACGAACGGCATGCATCACAATTTCTTCATTGTCTCGTAATCTTTGTGAAAGCTGGAACAGCATACAACGCTTCTCAGATAATACTTTTTTCGCTTCATCGAAATCATCAAGATCAAATATGAAACTAAAGTCATAGTAGTGTTCACATATTTGTGACAATTCTTGTTTCCATTCGAGCAAAATATTTTTTGGAATGTATTTCAAGACATGCAATTGCTTTATCTTGATGAGCCTCAAGATTTCGCTTTTGAAAGGTGTCCAAAACTCAAGTTTTCCAATCATTTCTTGGTTAGAACGACATAATTCGGAAAGGTTAACAGTTTGTACCATCCTTTGTACCAGCTGGGAATAGTGGATATGGTGGTTCAAACAGCTTGCCACACATTCTCGATCATTCATGAATTCGATTTTCATTTGACAACAATTATCCCATGGATTGTGTCGTCGCATCCATTCTTCCCTTGCTAACAAATACTTTTTGAATCCTTTTGATTGATTTTCAAATTTTGTTTTCAAAAATTGATACATCCTTGCGGAATCTTCAAGATCTTGAGACGAGTGGTTGCATGATGACAATTCTGAGTGTTGAGGTTTACAAAAATCAATTAAAATAATTTGTACGGCAATGGTGGTGTGATAGCTATCGGTGAATGTTGATAACAATTTTGAGAACTTGGTGGCTTCCGAAGCATTTGAATGATGATGATGAGGAAGCCTTCTCTTCATTTTTGAAACTTGCACACTGCCAAACTCTGATGAAAAAAATTAAGCATCAATGACCCCACAAACTGTTGATTCCGGAAAGACAATGGCTTCAAAATGGGAGGAAATAGAGGTTGTGGAAGACTTGTTACAGACTTTTCAACTACCCACCTCACCCATCATCATAACGGATGAAGACATCGACAGAAATGTAACCAAAATTATCGCATCGATTGAATTAGCCAAAAAAAATAATGACAAGCAAACCTGAGAAGCTATAAAATGTTGGTTCTGCACCTCGTTGTTGAGGTTGGTCTCTTTCACTAAGCACTATTTCCTACTGAATTTTATTCTTAATATCACTCTTGAGGTTCCATAACAGTTCAAGTCCACTCGTTACGATACCCATCACAACAATTTAATTTTGGTCACTTTAACAAATTGCCAATCTCTCTGGCAGCATTTTTCTAACAATTTGCACGCCTTCGCCATCAATATAAAACCTTGGAAATTCCACTTCCAAATTCTGGAAGCGCAAGAATTGGCATTTTTAGGTCCTAAATTGTTGTGCCTATCTACAGTACCTTCGACTTCGACATTGAGTCCTTCGCATGAATCTTTTACAATTGAATATTCTTGAGCGATGTTCCATGCATCCTCATTTTGTGCGAGGATGGAGATCAAGAAAAAACGACAATGGTAGCGATAACAACGTTCCACATTGTAATCTTACTGTATTCATACCACTCTACTACAACAATTAAACTCCAATTAAGGGTCTCAAAACGAAGATAAATGTTCGTTGACATTTCGCCATTCACAGCGAATCTTTGTTACAGAGGAAAAAAAATTTTACTTTGCGTTGTCGCTAGCATTCGACATTTAAAGATGTTGTGAATGCTTTTTTCGTTCGAGATAGCAGAAAAATGGCGTTATCTTTGGAGCCAAAGGACGAGACATTTGACATTTTAATCTGGTTCAAGTTTGAGAAATCAATTGCCATATTCAAGATGAGATGTGGCCTGTCTCTTCGGTTGTTTTGTACAATGCAACCAAAACACAACGATAATTTGAATGCTCCATCTTCATGGTTTCAAAGCATAGACCTTACAAGTTATCAATTTCTCAATTTGCGTTTTTCAAACTAAACGTTGATCGTCTTCTTCCAACACACGGTCTCTGAACTGCTTGCTCGTACTACAACGAACGTCGTTATCAAACACCAATATCTCTGCAAATCTTGAGGACGCCAGCTTTGAATTGTAAATTTGTATGCGGGGACTTTCTATTTGTGGAATTAAAGTCCATGTTTTTGGATTTTCAGTGGTGACTCCTGTTGCTCCAAAGCGAGTCACGATTGCTGATTTTAAAACCCTCATTTGAGTTTGATGGAGTCTTTTATACCTTAGAGTCCAGATTCGACGTTTCTCTCTCCTTCGACGACGCACGAAATATCTTACTGAATGCATCTGGAGAGAGAGAACGAAGAGAATATTGTGTTCGCGAACTTAAATGTCCATTCTGATCCAATGAAAGAACATCAACAACAACAACAAAAAAACAAACCAACAAACACCACTACACAAACTCAACAAATATCCTCTCGCAGGTATCCATACGATCCCCAAGCGATATACGCCCCCTCTCGCGTTGTTAGTAAAGATTTCTCTTAGATTTCGTTCGTGTTGGATTCAACTCTCACGAAAACATCATCAAACCCTCAACTCAGTCCTCACTGGTTTGTCTACTCCTTTCTCTCTTTAGAGTTTATTCAATCATTGAGCCATCTTCTTCATTACCATCCTCTCTCGAGCTATACAAATTCGAACACATTATCCAACCTCTTCATCCAGTTCCAGAAAAGACCATCTTGGAGTGAGTCGTTATCCAACAACAACGTGTACAAAACAGCTCGAGCGCATTCATTGCACAAAAAAAGAAGATTTTCAGATCATTCACCAAATCAATACACTGGATATTTGCCACCACCACTGTTGTCGCTCTGAGCCTCTCTTCAAATACTGAAGCACTTCAACACCCATTTCATTTGCAGGGAAAACAAAATACCACAACAACATCCACGAGAATCTCCATCGAATGCTAGCCTCAACTCACCATCACATGCGAATGAACACTTCTAATTCGAACGATCATGCGTATCCGTCGTCGAGCGATCATGTCTTTCAGTTGCCATGCTTGAAGAATCCAAGTGATCAATTAACCTCAACTACCTTCCCATGTAATATTACAACCTCCTCACAAAGAACACTCCTAGAGCCAAGTTTATCTTCTGAAATTTTGCAATCCACATCGCCACATGCATTCTCTCCTAATTGTTTTGAAATTTTCAAATTGTCACTCAATTCATCTCCCACATGTAAACACAACGAACAACAACCAGCGATGAAGAATTTTGCTCCATCGACCTCTTCAAGTAGAAATTCACCCACACCATCTCGAGAAGTCTACTCAAATTTAAAGATGGCTGCTTGCATCCAACCATTTTTGGAAGCACCTCAAGAGTATTCTGTGAAATCAATACTGTACGCAGCGTCACAACCCAAATCAACAATGACGCAATCCAAAGTATACAACGTATCTTCTCCTCCCTCTTCCATACCAACTACCTTCCACACCAACGCTTATTCTCCTCACATTCCTTCGCGATTAATGACAGGAGTGGTTTCCAAGTCTGAAGCATTTGTTGCCACACAACCTACAACAAACAACAACATTGCCATGTACAACATGCCATATACATACTCTGCTGCTCAACAAAATCATAGACAAGCTCCAATGGATACATACGCTAGAAGAAATACAAACTCATCTCCTTCTGAATCAGGTAGTATCGAGGAAGATAAAGCCTACCGAATGAAAATGCAGTTGCTTCAACGAGGAACCACCAATCTTTCTACCTTTGATGAAAAGAGTGGCATGCTTCGACCCAACTTGAGCAAGGTACACAAATCATCGAGCTTTTCTAAACGAAGCACCTCATCGCCCAAGTCAGACGATGAAGATAAGAAGAAGTTCAACACAGGTACTTGGTCCAAGTACGAGCATGACATGTTTTTGAAAGGTCTCGATGAGGTTGGAAAGAATTGGAAGATCATTTCTGAGAGCTATGTGACGACGAGAAAACGAACTCAAATTGCTTCACATGCTCAGAAATACTTTTTGAAGGTTGCCCAACTGAAGAAGGGTGAAAATTTGTCTCCAGATGATTTATATTCGGAATAAATTGAAAAAAAACTAATGCATTCATTATTCAGAAACTTGCTAAAGTGTTGATTTTTCGACCTAACTCATTTCCAAAACGCAAACGTGCATCAAGAGAAAAGAAAGTATTTTGTTTACTGATTGAACACACTCCAAGTCAGCTTACTTAAAGTATGTAATTTCTCTCATTTGCTGTTGAAGATCGACACAACGCAAGAAGAATTTGTACTCGTCGGTCAAAACAAATCTCGAGAAGGTGTCACTCAAGTTGGTCAAAATTTCTTGTCGCAAATTGTCCAACATTTCCTCCACTTTGTTACACAATGTAGACAATTGCTGACCATCATTCTCTACCATTGGGTCCATTGAGAAGTGATTACTTCCTGTCTTGTTCAATCCGAAATGATTGCAATCGTCAATAATGTGTTGCAGAGAGGCAGCTTCAGAACCTTTAGCCATGACCAACAGTCTCTTATAGACATCAATAAAATTGTTTTTACATTTGGAAGGAATATTCACTTCTGCCAATGCATACGATTTGATATACTTGGAATACAAATGGGCTATGAATAAAGTAATGTCACTAATATTTCCTACTTTCACAATCTTCTTATTTTCCATAATGTCATAATAAATGTAAAAGTTTTCAGAGGCCAATTCCTTAATGGCTTGTTTTTCAAACAATGCCTTTCCTTCTTCATGATCAAGAACAAGTTGTAATTCTTCATTCACTTCATCGTCTTGTTTGTTATTCGCACCTGTTGCTTTCTTTTGTCCCTGCTTCTTTCGACTGTGAATATATCTTGCAGCAACGAGTAGAGAAAATCCTCCAAACACAAACAAGTAACTCACAGCATACAGAATTTCAAATACAAATGTAATGGTATCCAAAATGACCACAGGATTGAACATTCGAGTAATGGATTCTCCATTGGTTCTCATACTCAGAGTGGAAAGTCCAATGGCTTGATTCACAACGAGGAAAATGAAACTCAAAACATAAATCATCATTTCAATTCTAAAATACAAAGGACCATCCAATGTGACAAACCAATCTCGTATTCTCTTCAATGGAGATTCTGCCTTCTTCTTTGTTTGATTGTCTGAAGCACCAATACTTGTCACGTCAATATGTGCACTACTTGCAGAAGGAGAAGCGTTTTTCTTTTTTGAGGAAGATCTTTGATTCGAAATGGATAGAATCAAATCGAATAATGCAACCAATGAAATGAGACCTCCCAAACTTAATGAAACAAATGTATATGAAACAGAAACAATATATGTATACGTTTCTGCATCAATCATGAATGATCTTCTCAATGCTACCCAAAGAGACCAATAACATAAATTGAGAATGGCGAAAATAATGAGACTGGTTGCAAAGACACCATTCGATGTGATAAATCTCAATAGTTTTAACTTCTTCTCCAAATCCTGTTCTTTTCCTCTAATCATGTGTAAGAATTTGTGAAGATATTTCATGAGTTGATATCGACAGACTTGAATCAAGTAAGCAAAAATTGCTGTCAAATTGAGAGTATTCACAACAATGGTCACAACATTGGCAATGATATTAGCTGCCAAATCAAAATCATTTCTTCTACTTTCGCTTGCAGTTTCATAAATTCCAGCAAGTAATACACTTCTTTGAACGGCATAAGCAATAGAACTTTCAATCATGAGAGCAATAATACCCAAATAAGGTGTTACCAATCGACTTGCTACTGGTTGCTCTTTTCTATACAGAATCAACCACACTAAAATATAAGAGCTTAACAGGAGCATGATAAATCCAAACACTGCTTGACAATAATACAAGACCACAGTCGTGTCAAAGACATAATCTGGAGCAAAGATGACTTGTGACGAGTTTCTTTCTAAGAAGGTCGAAAACATGGTGGTGTGATTGCAAGAACATTGAGAAGACGAGCCAGTAATGTCAAGCAATAAACATCCAGAGCTACTCCATGTTAATAATTGATTATCCCAATATCTGCAAGAGATGAAATCCTTTTGAGAAGAGTTGGAATTAATAGGAACAATTGTTGGGAAGGTCAGGAAGAGTGGTTGTTCTAAATCTTGAAGAATGAGTACTGCATCATTGAGGTAGAATCGAATGTCGTTAATGTTGGAAATCATGGTTCTGTTTTGAGTGGATGTGTAAATACCAGAGAGAGCAGTATTGTCTGTGAAACGAATAAATGAAATTCCAATATCTTTAGAAAATGCGTTATACTTGGACAACAGATAGGAAATGTTCAAACGAAGCACTTGAATACCATCCACTGTAAACGTATTCAATCCATCAAATGAAGTGTCACCATTGAATCTAAATTTGGAAACAACAATGTTAAAACCAGAGGAAGCATAGGTCTTGGTCGGAAGTTCACGAGTGGTCAAAGGAACTGCTTCTTCTCCTAACAAAATCATTGAAACCAATTGCTCAATGACGTCTATGGTAGTCTGAGATGCTACTTGTGAAGAAAGTATGTTTGAGGCAATACTCAGTGTTGTTAACATGTTGGTTTCTGAAATTTTGGAGCTCACTCTTCCAAATAATGATCTTTCACTCTTGTACACAGTGGTCGTGGAATTTACAAAATCAATTAACTTGTCAGTTAAGGATAAGACAATGTCTTTGGTCAGCAAGGTTTGATTAGTGGAAAGATAGACTAATTTAGCCAATGCATGTAGTGGATCTTTTACGTCAATCTTGATATCCTTTGCAGCTTGAATAATGAATTTGGTTTGTTCCAAAGGATCCAACAATGAGAAAGATCCATCAAATGCAGCAATTGTCGAATTTGCTGCTTTTTGTAATAACTCAGTAGTACTTCCAACAAATCTTTGAACTTGAGCCAACGTTTGAGGAATTGCAACTTTTTCAATAGTTCCAAGTTTATCCATGACAAACACTACTGGCTTAAATAATCCAGTGGTAGCATTGTTCTTCAAGAATGGTAAAATTGTTGAGATGGTTGTCGAAGTAGTGAACTCGGTCAATCGAATCTGTTGTTGCAATTGTTCATCAACGAATCCAAGAGCATATTTCAATGGCAACAGTGCCGAATCAGCTTGCCATGGCGTGAATTGAATATTGAATTGATCTGTCAATGCAACACCTTGCGTTGGAATAATTGAGAGTAAGGAACTTGAAATAGGTGGATTCGATGGAGGCAATACTGGAATCTTATCGATTGTACAGACAAAGTATCTAACAAACAGTTAAAGTTGAAATTGAACACAAATCCAGTCGTGTTCTGCTTCACTTCGATGGTCTCTGTGATTCGAATGGCACCATCAAAAGACAAGCTGTTGTTCAGACTAACGGAGAGTGGACTCTGTCCGAACTTGGAAGCAATCACAGTGGAAGTCGTGGCTGTTTGTTCAATGAGCGTCCAATCAAAGACAAGAGGAAGAGCACATTGCAACGAGGTGGATTGTAAACCTGTAATGGCTGAGTTGATATCAAGAGTGGTCAATGCTTGATCTTTTGCCCGGACAATGAATTTTGGTAGACCAATTTGAATGAGAGAAGGACCAGAGTTGGTGGTGTTGTTGTTATTTCCAGGAATGATGTTGTTGCTGCAATTCACCAAACACACCAAGTGAATATCATTGACAAGAGTTAAATTAAATGTCACAAGGTTAGAAAGTCGACTTGGATACAACAAGCCATTGAAGACGGAGGCATTGGCCTTGAAAATGTAACTTCCTGGGAACGGTAAGACACTTGGATTAATAGTCAAAGATTGAAGGTTTTTTCCACTCAAAAATACTTGTTCCTCATTCTCTCCACAATTATCACAAACCCAACCAAATTGCAAACCTGGTACAAGTGAAATAGAGGGTAGAATGGATACGGAGAAGGATGTTTCATTCCGTAACACAAATGCTTGTGAAGTAGATAATGAAATTGAGAATGGTCTGATATCAATGGTACAGTCTGATGAAGTGAAACCAGGTAAACAAATACAACTGTCAGTGTCACCACAAATTCCATTTCCACCACACACAAGAGAGTTATTACTGAATAGACCAAAGCACTTGAAAACATCACAATTTTCGCCAAACACATTGGGTAAGCATGAACAAAGGTTTGGAGCAATACAGTTACCCTTGGAGTTACACACATTTGAGAGATTGGAGAGAACGCCTCCACATTCAATAATGTCACAAAGCTCTCCAAAAAATCCAGAGTTACAGATACACTTGTCTGGGCCGCCACACAAACCATTACCACTGCAGACGTCAAGAGCAGATGCTAGCTTACCAGAGCAATTAAAAAGATCACAAACTGGTCCAAAGAATCCAGAATCACACAGACAACTGTCGAGGCCATTGCAGAGACCTTTTCCGGAACAAACGAGGGAGTTGTTACTTAACAGACCAAAGCACTGTTTCAGGTCACAATTAATGCCAAAGAAATCGTTGTCACAAATACAGTTATCAGGAGCTGCACAGGTACCATGTCCTCCACAGACAAGTCCTGTTAGATTTGAGAGAATTCCATTACATGCAACATGTTCACACTGACTACCAATATATCCAGGAAAACAAAGACACTGATCTGGGCCTACACAAACTCCATGTCCGCTACAAACGTTACTGACATTGTGTAACTTGTCAAAACATTGGAATAGGTCACACACTGGTCCAAAGAATCCTGAATCACACACACAGTTATCTAGCCCATTACAAAGGCCTTTTCCAGAGCAAACAAGAGAGTTGTTGCTTAATAAGCCAAAGCACTGTCTCAGGTCACAATTAATGCCAAAGAAACCACCATCACAAATACAGTTATCAGGAGCTGCACAGGTACCATGTCCTCCACAGACAAGTCCTGTCAAATTGGAGAGAATTCCATTACATGCAACATGTTCACATTGACTGCCTATATAACCAGGAAAACAAAGACATTGGTCTGGACCCACACAAACACCATGTCCGCTACAAACGTTACTGGCATTATGTAACTTGTCAAAACATTGGAATAGATCACACACTGGACCAAAGAATCCAGAATCACACAAACAACTGTCTGGTCCAGCACAAAGACCCTTTCCAGAACATACAAGAGAGTTGTTTTTGAGTAGACCAAAGCAATCAAACAAATCGCAATTCACTCCAAAGTAATTGTTTTCACAAATGCATTGATCTGGAGACTGACATGTTCCATGGTTATTACACACCAAGTTTGTGATATTGGACAAAATTCCATTACAACTGAAAAGATTACATTCTGATCCTGAGTATCCATTCAAGCATGAGCACAAATTTGGAGCAATACAAGAACCATGCTGACTACAAACATTGGTACTGTTCACAAGCTCACCAGCACAGCTAAATAAATCACATACAGGTCCAAAAAATCCAGAATCACATGTGCATGAATCAGGTCCATTACAAATTCCATGTCCTGAACAGGCGAGAGGATTCAGCGCAGATAATCCATTACATAGGAAAGTGTCGCAAAGTTGACCTGTGAAACCAGAATTACAGAGACAAGAACCTGGAGCGGTGCATGTACCATTGCCTGAACAGACGCCAAGAGCCGTCGATAAGAGACCACCACAGATTGGATTCGAACAAGATGTACCTCCATATTGAATATTTTCTGCGGTTGGAGGTGAAGAGGAGCCAGTAGGGGAGTTCCACACAACCTTACCATTGGAATCGTACTGATCATTTGAATGTCATAATATCATGCGTATTGTGAATATTGTATGCAAGTAATATAATCGTGGAAACGGTGACAGTCAATGTTCAATAAACACATGCGTACGCCAAATCAATGAACTTACCAATACCAATTTTCCATCATTCTGCATGATCAATCGATAGGGAGGTAAACTATTGAGTAAATTCGACACCAATGTCAACACCGATAAGCCAATGCCAAGCACTGATTTCACAGCAAGATCACCCCCTGAAGAAAGATCCAAATAATTACCACTTCCTCCCGTGTTGGATTGCCACAAACTCGATCCAAATACAATAAAGTTTCCGTTCGATCCCATCTCGGCTCGGTACAAGCCATTACTTGAGACGAGACTTTGCCCGACCAGTAATTTGCCAGGCGAGATGAGTGTGTTTGTGGCAGTAATGTCTTTACAGAGACAAGTGTTGGTGCCAACACAGAGTCCTTTTCCTCCACACACCGAAGGGCTTGTACTGGCAATACCGTTGCAATAGTACGGATTGGGTCCAAGAAGAGCATGGGTCTCGTCTAACAAACAGCAGCAGCAAAATAGAAAGAGTATGGAGAGGAGTAGGTATAGGGAGGAAACAAGTCTTGTTGCTGATTTTGACGATGTGGTTGTTGTTGCGGCGGAAGACCTTCGATGATTTGTGTTCATCATGATGTGGTGAGTGGTGGGACCTCCAGTTTTGACACTTCTGAAAGTGAGTGTTGTTGTTATAATTGGAATGTTGTGGAGCATCTATTGTTGTTGTTGTTGTTTTTTCTCGAGAGAGATACTCTCACCTTTATACTATAACCATTACCAACAACAAAACCAACAATCATCGAAAAGTAACGAGAATAATCCAAAGGACCGAAAGGACAGTCTCAACTCATAGAACTTGGTTTAACACGTGACAAAATCCTCGCTCACTACATAAAAAGACGTCTTGGAAAACAGAACTGGGAAAGAGCTTCCAGGTAAAAAATTGCGAACGGGGTCCGTAGTTGAGATTTTGGCAGTGACTTCACCCTAAATATTTCTCATATGAGGGCTGCTGGGAAGAATTCCTTTCATTATTAGTGTTTCAAGAAATTACTCATAATGATGATGGATCCCATTTAAAGAGGTTACTGGTCTGAGTTCAACTAGGGAGAGAGCAGACTTCAATAGGGTGTGGCAATTGTAGAACTTGAACAAGCTTAACGTGTTGAAAAAATCCATGATGAGAACAAAATGTTGTTTAATGGGTTCATGGCCAATTGACATTGAGTTATTGATGAAATGTGTTGAATCTGTCGAATCTTGGCGAGAAGATTACCATCTCGAGATGCTCAGTGAAAGTTTAAACCACGACAATGTTTTCGGATGAATACTGATTTGACACCCATATTATCTGGCCTGATTCAACAATCCATTCATTGTTCAACATGGCTCAAGTTGTAAATTACACGGATGATGTGCAAACCAACAACGGAGGGCAGACTGAGTCAAACTCAACAGGGTCTTCTTTCCCCGCTAACCAACCCAAGCCCTCCGTTGTTGGTCGTAATTTACAACTTGAGCCGTTTCATTCATTTACGAACACGAAAAGTATTATTGAATTATTTTGCTACAGATAGAAATTAGGCGAGTAAATTAATGTCATCCCATTGAGCAACGTCGGGATGAACAAGCGCAAAGATAACTTTGAAACATTGCCCAAGACATCAATAGCGGAAGGGTGTATGTGCAACGCCAATTTTTTTTAAAATCAAATAGATGACTGTTATTTGAATTGAGTTGGCGGTCTTGCCAGCAATTTATTTACTCAGTACCAACGATGAGATTTTTGCTTTTCAATTCTACGTTGTTCCTCAAATACTGCATTCTTTTCGAAAAAGTATTCATGACACACAAAGGTGTAAATCAAGCCCAATAGATCAATATTCAAAACATTCCAACCACATTTTGAGCTACACATACACATGTGCAAAAGTTTGATCTTGGTTCTCAATTCAGATGGTAAAAACTCATGGCTTTCTGGAGTCCAGTAGAATGCATTCTTAATTAATGAAAAGAAAGGTTCTTGCTGTTTGGTCAAGTCTAAACATGATGTATTTTGCTTGTCCTCCTGATAAGGAATTCGTGTGTCAGCTCCATGAGCCATCAATAACTTGACAAGTCGCTCACATTTCTTAATAATTGCAGTATGTAATGCTGTAGAAATGATCCACACATTTCTAGTGCTTGGAATATATCTATCGCTTCGAGGATCATTGACTTCATAATCATCTTCAGAAACTCCTTCTCTTTCCACTGAAACATGTTCAACGTTACGACTTGGTGCATTTACATCAGAACCAACTTCCAACAAATATCTTACAATTTTTTCACAATCCTGTACCCTCTCTTTTCTCACTTGTTCTTGTTTTTCCTTAATTGCCTCATCTGCTTCTTCCTCATCACTGTCAACATAAAAATTGGAATTCGACTTATTGGCGACGAGTGAGCAATAATTGTCACACGCTGCATGGAGAGCTATTTCTTCAGTGTCATCGATGGGACCATACTCTGATTGGCCTCTATTGGTGGCATGAGCGTTGGGAAGAGCACCCTTATCTAACAAGCATTTGACGAGATTCACGTTGTTTCTCTGAGCTGCCAAATACAGAACTGGATAAGAACTTCTTCCATCATATCTCATAGTATGAGCTTCACGAGTCTCTGTGGTGTTGGGATCTGCTCCATGTTCTAAAAACAAGCGAATAATTTCGTCATCACCACTTTTCATAGCCATTTGAAATGCTGTACCCGAAGAGCCTGTGTGTACGTGTGTTTCAATTGAACGATGATCATGAGTTCACAACCGATGTATCGTTCACCACTTTAAACTTTAAATCCTTACCTGATCCTTTCCAGTTAGCACTTCCATATTTTGCATTGACATCGGCTCCAGCCTTAAGCAACAATTCAACTCCTTGTTGTTTGAGGGATTTGTCTTTCCAGCCCAAAACTTTATGAATCGCAGAATATTGATCATAGGCTCCCCAAGTGAGTTCAATGTACTTGTTATACCCAGCATTGGCTCCATTATGCAAGGCCTTTTTCATATTGTCTAAATTTCCATCGATTGCTGCCTGCAAAAGTTGCTCATCTTCACTGTTGACACTTCCGACAGGTTGATCATCTTGCTGTTGTTTGCTCATTTTGTCGTGCTTTTTCTTTTTGCTGAAGAGAGATTTAATTTTTTTCATTTTAAAGAGTTCTTTGTTCTTGCACGGGGTGGGAAACGAGAAAAGACGTAAATTTTGGAATTTTGCTTGGTTTTATTTTCGTTAGTAACGATTTGATTACTTTCCTGAGGGATCATTAATTCCATCGTTATAAATACCAAAGTTACATTCGGCTTCTGGCAATGAGGGCGAATCATAAATCTTGCAAATTCTTTCTTCACCTTTACCTTTTCTAAGGAAGAGACGTGTCGTGGCCATGTGAGCCATAATGTGACCTCCAATTGGTTTCAAAGCATTGGCAGCTCCGGCAAATGCAGCACCACCATCAACTTGAGCTACAACTTGATTTGTCACAACAACTGCGACATGGAATTCATCTGCAAGTTTCAATAAAGTTTTCAAGAATGCTGAAAGTCTAATTTGTCTTGCATTCAATTCACCACGTCCAGAAAATTCTGAACGATATAATCCAGTACAACTATCCACAATGATGACAGCATAGTGACTTTCAGCCAATAATTTTCCAGCTTCTTGTAATAATTTTTCTTGGTGATCACTTGAATAGGCCCTAGCAAAAGTTACGTTATCTAATACTTCGGAATACTTTAAACCAAATCTTTCAGCAATAGGTTCTAATCGTTCAGGACGGAATGTACCTTCTGTATCAATATATAATGCCTTTCCTTCACCACCACCATTCTCAAGAGGTAATTGACATGTTACTGCGAGTGTATGACAAAGTTGTGTTTTTCCGGTTCTAAACTCTCCGAATATTTCTGTTAGTGAATTTGATTCAATACCACCACCTAGTAATTTATCCAATTCTTTGGATCCAGTTGAAACTTTTGTTACTTTCTTTCTCACTTCTTGATATGCCGCAGCTGTTGAGAAACCAGAAGGAAAAAGTTTTTGTGCTGCCTCTAGAATCTTGTCGCACTTTTGTTCACTGATACCTTTAACGTTAATGATTGTCTTCTTTGGGGTCATGATGAGTGATTGTACAGTATGGAAACCACCAGCAACAAGTTTCTTTACATCGGTTGCTGAAATACCATGGTTTTCTAATTCTTGGATTGGAATAAAAGCATCTCCCACTTCTGCGGTTGCTTCGGATGATTCTTCAACCACTTCTTCTTCCTCGACTTCGTCTTCGATTTCTTTGGATTTAGTTTTTCTGGGCATGATGATGATGGTTGGTGCTTTGCGCGATTTTGTTGTTGTTGTTGGTGATGAAAATTTTTTTGATGATGCTTTTTTAACGAAAATTCCTTCGAGTGAATTGTGGAAGTGATAGAGGCACCAAACACTGGAAGTTTTTTTGTAACAGGTTTTGGTTGAAGACTGATCCGTAGGCCTTATTTCATGCAACCTCGTTCACAGCGAGAACATGCAAATAGATCCAATCAGATTTTTGCAAAGTGTTGTGGTGTCCTTGTATTGATAGAAAGCTCAAAAATAAATGATGGAGCAATCCTGTCCAATCCTTCGATCATGGTTAGTAACATTACCTCAATAGAGATGATACTAGATGTCTTTGAGCAAAAACAATGTGCCTCCAACTGCAAATCTCTCTTGTGAACTTGGATCTATTCTTATTTTCATCTCAATTCAAAAAAATGTTACAACCCACAGAATCAACCACCAAAGACAACAATAGTCACAACTCAACTGATCCCGAATCAAAACAAGAACTCCCAAGTAACGAGGATGACGATACCAAAACACAACTCATTTCAGCAGCCAAATACAAAGCAAAATTATTGCTCTCTCGAAAATCTAAACAACAATCATCAAACACGATTCCATCAAAAAACAGGAATTTATTTAAAGTCAAGTTATGGAAATCAGTTGCTTTATCCTCATGGGATGGTTGTAATTGTAGGTTTTTCGAACATGTTTTGTGTCATTTCATTATCTTTTTGGAAACTTCTAAAAGGTTGCAACTTCTGTCCCATCTGCAAATATTCATTATTCACTTGTTGTATCGATTGTTCGGCTCGCCATCCTGCTGATGTTGGCGATTGCCAAGCAGCGTGGGGAACTTGTTGTCATGTATTTCACATGCATTGCATTTTGAAATGGTTGAAATTTCATCCCGTTTGTCCATTATGTAATAATCATTGGCAGTTCCAAACTCATTAATAAGAAAGAGTTTGTTCTCAATGAGTTGCAGAATTCATTGTGAAGTAGAAGATGGAGAAGAACAAGCATGATTTGATGTTTTTGGTCCTTCATGGGATGAAGTTTTTTGATGAATATTCTCCAACCTTAATTGCATTCTTTTAGAATCTAGGCCCTTAATAATGGACTCTTTCATGAGAGTCACGTGCTTTTCAAATTCGAGACGTAAATTGCTTCGTTCCACTTGTAATTGATGTAAAGCTTGAAACAGTCGATCATCAGGAGAAGTAGAGTCTGATGTGACAGAAGAGCGAATCGAAGAGGGCTGTTCGTAGACAGGTGTTTGTTCCAGAATCGATTCCTGATGTTGTGAATGACGCTGTTGTAAAATTTGTATTTCATGTTTCAATTCCTCAATTCGAAGTTCATTCTGTTGTTTTGATTTTCGAAAATCTTCTTGCACTTGTTTCAAATGAGAGGAAATATGATTAATACATGAATTCCTTTTTGCAATTTTTTGTTGCAGAGCTTGATTCTTCTTGTTCAATAATTTACATTCCCGTTGGACAGCTTTCAAGTCACTTGTCAATTGTTTCACCTTATCTCTTTCATCTTGAACTTCTTGCGTTAAAGCATTTAATTCACGAGTCAACTGATGAACCTGATTTGAATAAAATTCCGTCTCCTCATTTGCATGCTTTAATTTTTCTCGATATTCCTCCAAACTCTTCTTGTAATGTTGAATGACTCTTTCATTCTCCACAAAATACTGTTTAAATCGTTCTTGCAATTCAGAAGGAGAAACTTCCATGGACAGTAAATTCAATAAGGTTTCTTCTGGAAGTGCATATTGCGGAGGAGTTATATGATGATTCCAATGATGGATTACTGTATTCGAGGAGGTTGCATTCGTTGGTTGATGTTGTTGTTGATGGACACGAGGAGATTCTTGTGTTTTTGTAAAGGCTCTAGAAACCAATTCGCGAGCACTGGATTCATCAAAGGCACTCGCCAAGATGGAATTTCTTCGTTTCGAAGGACTCCCTACAAGAGCAACGATCATTGCATTGCTCATGATGATGAAAAGGCTTGTTGTTATTCAATTACCGTGGTTTTTTAATTGGTTTGGTGGTTGGAATTGGTTTGAAAGTTATCTCGAGAATGAAACATGAAGAGGAGCGCAAAACCCTTATCTCGTTGAATATTTGAAGGTTGAAAGTCCATCGTGCTGATTGTAATGTGCAAAGCTTTTGATGAAAGGGATTAAACCTCTCAATCAAGCAACTAAAACAGTGGGTTTTCTTGCAGCAGAAGGCTTACTGATGAAAAGATTCAACACATCAATCAAAAGTTTAAAAAGATCTTTAGTAAACAGGTTGACATCCAAAAAGAAAAATGCGTTTGGGAGGTTTTGGTGGATCCACCAAGAAATCATCAGCCTCTTCGAACAATTCATCGCCCTCATCATCTTCCGTATCATCCAACGATGGTTCTTTGGGAAAGGCAAGTCCTTCCCGAATCACTGGATTTAATTTATTTAAAAAGAGAAATACGAATGGATCATCGAATAATTTATTGGCAACAAGTGTTTCATCCTCATCACCACCGCCACCACTCTCATCATCATTGGGTATTCCAGAAAAGAAGCAAGTATCATCGGGGAGTATGGTCAGTTCAGCCTCGACAGCAACAACGTCATTGTCCAACACAGTGGTCTCTTCAAAAACTAAATTATCGGATATAAATGTCGAGGAAGAAGACGGAGATGAGGATTTGAATAAATTGGATAGAAATAGTACTTTCAAACTCACGGATGATTCATTATTACTTCCGAGTTTGAGTGAAGGAGTGGAATATGATGAAAATTATTTATTGCATCGAGGATTTTTAGTGAAAGAGGGCGCTAATGTTCATAATTGGAAGGTAAATTTATTGTGACGTTTGCATTAATAATTCGATCATTCTATTGAAACTGTGTCATTCATTGGCAACATTAATTTCACACAGAGACGATATTTTAAATTATTTACCACAAGATTAGAGTATTACAAATCTGAAAATGACTCGAAACCAATTAATCAAATTCCAATTACCTCATCCACACAAGTGGGAGAGGCTCCAGAGAAACATCTCCAAAAACAACATACGTTTAAAATTATTAATCAAGATCGAGTATTGTTTGTGAGTGCAGCAAATAGGGATCAGATGCTTGATTGGATTAAAAAAATCAAACAAGCTGTAGCTTCCTCTCACTTGGTGAGCTCAACATCAAAGACACTTCAAAGAAAACAAACTCATGGAAATTACAAAGATTTCCTTTTATCCACATTTTCCGAAAAGAGAAGAGGGAAATTACGGTCACATAATGCTCTGTCAACTATGCCCTTTGAACAACTTTCTTCCACATTTTCTCTAAACGAAAAAGAAAAAAAGAAAACAATTGAATCATTTTGCAAAACATTTTTTGAAAGTGGAAGAGAGATTGACATTATTGGAGGATCATTTAGAATTAATTTCGCTAAATATTATTCAACACTAAGAAAACTATTGAACTCTTCAACATTTCCCATCGATTCATTCGAGTTTGTGTTGACAGGAGTATGTCAATACGAAAAACCACAGCCATTTATTGGAGGTTTTCCTATATATCTAAAAGGATCATTTTTTATCATTGTGAGTCCTTCGAATGACATCAAATGGGTTGGATTTAGTAGCGTTATTCTCAACAACAGCACAATGATATTATTTTCGCTCGGAGATGTAGATAGAGTGTTTTTCAGAGCATCTCAACATGGTAAAGAGGAAAGCTATCACTTGTCCTTTGAATTTAATTCTTTACAACAAGTACAACGACGAACGAGCATTTTTTCAAGCTCCAACAATTCAATCAACAAGTTGGATTTTAGATTTTCAGATAGACACATTTGGAGCTATATTGTGTTTGAGCTTGCCAAGTATAAATTCTTCCCTGTGATTGAGGGTGACATGATGGACACTATTGAAGAAGATGTGTCAACACCTGTAACCCCACAGGAACGATCTAGATCTAAATCAGTTGCTTCAATGTCACAACTGCAAGACCCTCTACTCAAACAACCTCAGGAATCAACCGAGATGAAGATTGAAAATTCTCCAACCCCATCGCAAGGGAATTCACAGTCAGCTGCTTTTGAAAGTGATGACGAACAGGACGAGGACAAGTCAGAAAGCATACACGAGACAGAGTCACGAAAGGAGAATGAAACAGCTCAGATAGAAGAAGAGGACGAGCCTCTCACAGAAAAAGATGATTCTGACAACATTGACAATGATCTTACTAATGTCGAAACGTTGACAGAAATGATTCCTCCAGCCAGTGAAATTACTTTTCCTAAAAGAAAAAAGAAAAAGGAGAATCAATATGTAGATATCCACCATCATATTCGACAATTAGAAGAACATGCCCAAGATGAATTTATTTCTCTCTTCTCTAATTTATATTACAATCAATTTAGTGAAATGAACAAGACCATGACACAAGGACAAATTGTTTTTGCCGATGAACGAGTCGTTGACAAAATTTTTTCCACATACCTCAAACAAAAGGATTCTCTTGTGACCTATTCCGGAATGCTTTATCTCACTAACAATTTTTTATGGTTTGATTCGATCGACATGCGATACCATGCACTTAGGCCCTATCAATGGATGATTCATTTGGGTGACATTTTTTCGATTCAAGTGAATATTTCTCTGTACATTATACGACTCAGTCTTGGAAAAAACCACAACTTGTATATTTCCCTCGATGGAGAAGATGATTTTGAATCATTTAAAACTGATATTGGATTCAATGATTTGATAACCCTGGATATTAATAACATTACAAGTTTGAGAGAAAAGAGATTTCTATCATCCTTGCGAATCGTTTATTGTCTTGTGAAAAAGATTCAATTTGCATACAATTTGGATCGACAAGTATTCCACCACGATGAACATTTTGAATCCATTCTTAGAAATGAAGACAACGCAGATGATGATCATTTGACCAGTGAAGCAAGTAACACCAATAGTGACACTTCAGTCGAGCTCACCATTCTCAATGTTGGCAGTGTTCGAGAATCCATGATTAATAACTATTTTGAGCAGCAACGACAAGATGCCACTCCAACCACTCTCAACAATACAACCGATACTGATTTTGATGATACCACGTATGATGCAGTGAATGATGATGATGACAATCATGATGAATATTTTGATTTACAAACGTTTGAAGTTGAACTTGTTCAAAAGTTTAAAAACAAGAAAGTCAAGGTATGTGTTTTTTATGAATACTTTGTCCATATATATTGAGACCGGACCACACATTCATGTATGCACGAATATATATATATATACTGCCTTACTCTTTCATTCATTGGATGTATATGAACATTGTTCAACTCTCAACATTGTTCCATAATGGAAATCATCATGGTGATCACATTGTAATTTAAACACGATCACATTGTAATTTAAACGTTCTTCAATATTCTACATTTCCATGACCTCTTAGGTGATTGCCAAGCAAAATGTTGTGGATGACTCCAAAGTTATTGAAATCAAAGATCTCAAAAAGGACAAGGCCATCACTGAGATACCCATCGATGAAAATACCAATGTTGCTCTCTCAGGCAAAAACGTCTTTTCACTCTCCTTTCAATCCAAAAAGAAAAAGAAAACTGAGGTTATGAAATTTGAATGCAAAACTGTGGAGGCCTCGTTTGTTGTAAATTATTTCACTGATTTTATGTTATCAGGAAGTGTCGACGAATAATTATTATTATTATTTGCATGTTGTGCGCGTGTGTGTGAATTTGAGTTGTGATAATTTAAAATATATATAGAAATAAAAACTCGGTCAAACTCAAGTTCATTTATGCATTCATGTTCAAGAAACCTCAAAAGTTAACACAATTCACAAATAATTCACAAATCTATTTATTGAATGGAAGTATCATTTCGACTCGTAGTCGTGTAATAATGATGATTGGTTTGAGAAGCAACAAGCAAGGATGAAGATTCTTTGCTTGTAACCATTGGATCATCCTCCGTGGTACCATCATTGGTCATGTCTCGATTCGGTTCCTCAACAATGGCCTTTTCCAAATCCTTTTCTGATTTACTACTCGTTGCGAGTTTCTTTGCTCCTTTCCTTAATTGTTGCCATGAAGGGAATGAAACGACAGCAATTCCAGCAAAAATTAAAATCATTCCAATCACTTCAATAATTGGAATATAGAAAGGTATATTGTCCCATTCTCCCAAAAAGACTGCACCTTCAATGACACCAAAGATGGGTAGCAAATATCCAACCATGGATTGTTTCACACTTCCCACATGTTTGATTAAATAAAAATAACAAATATAGGCAACACCTGTGGAAAATACTCCCAAATAGACCACTGAGAGCCAAGCAAGATAATTGGCATGTTTGAAGAAACTTAAATGTCTTGAATCAATTCCCAAGTCATAAATTAATACTCCTAAAAGAGAGAAAAGAGCAGCAGAAATGATTTGACCACATGCCACAAATTGTCCTGGAACATCATTTAAATACTTTTTAGCAAAGACTCCAGCAATACCATAAGAAGCAGCCTGAATGAAAAAAAATTAAATATTAAAATCGAATTCAAAAGTTCATCAAAATTATTTTTCAATCCATTTTCATAATATTATTATTTGAAACATTTCATGAACTTGTAAATTCAACTTACAGCAAGTGTCACTCCGACATAACCTAATATTTGACTGGTACTTGGTTTCTCACCAACAATGACATTTTCCAAGCACACCAAAATCACTCCAGCAAATCCAACAATCAATCCAATTAATTTCATGATTGTAATTCTCTCTCCTTTTAAAGTAAAATGTGCAATAAAAATACTAAATAAAGGAATACTACTGTCTAGAATGGAGGCAATTCCAGAATTGATGGATTCTTCAGCAAATGCAACGAGCACAAACGGAACTGTATTGTTAAAAAATCCAAGAATCATCATGTAGATAATGGTTCGAATTCCTCGATGTTTGTTGACTTGTTGTCGTAATTCTTTGTTTCGAATTAAATTCACAATGAAGAGAATGACCATAAAAATTCCACCAATGACAAGTCTCATAAATACTACTGTGAAGGAACTGAAACCAAATTTTGGATCCACAGATAATTTAATGACTGTTGTTGCATCGAGGAGTGAGATTTGAGATTTGAGAATTTTTGAAAAATGATTTTTTACCAATTAGGAAAATTGGAACATTGGAAAATTGAAAATGAATTAAAATTATTATTATTAAATGTTTAGCACTTACATGAAACTATTTTCGAAAGTGTGATAGGAGTGAATTGGAAAACAATTTGTTAAATGTTTGAAATATGAATTGTTTCAAATGAAATTATCAACTACTTACATGCAGAACCCCAAATAGCACCCAATATGAAAAACACAATCACACTCCAAATAGTACAACTCAAATCTCCTTCCTTCTTTCCATTCGATGCTTTATATTCTTGTATTTCCTTTTTTAGCGATTCATTTTCTTCTTCTTGATGATCATTGGCGTTTTCCTCAACGACATCTTCCGATGGAGTAGTATGTTGGTGGGTGAGGTAACCATGATTCTCATGATTATTCGTACTAGTCGGTATTGTCATTACAAGGAAATTTGTTTTCGGTCCTCAATATGATGAAAATGAAAGAAAAATATCGAAAATGATTACAATTTTGGTGCTTGTTGTCAATGATGATGAATATTCACACACAATTTTTCGCTAATATTGTCAGTGTGTGTGCGGCGTTGTGGTTGTGTCCAAAAGTGATGATGATTGCAATTTTTTGTTCGATTCGAGTATACGGATGAAATTTGATAAAATTTGGATCATTTCGGAGAGGACGGACTTGTGAGAATACTCCTAAATGATGAATGGTTCGATTTTGAGATTCAAGATTTTCGAAAGGTAAAGCAATTGATTTTTGATTAACCTTCCAATGGATCCAGGTTTTACAGTTGTTGTTCTTTCAGAAAAAGGTCGTCTTGCTTTGTTTCAAAAAAAACCTTGAATCAAGTCTCTTGTGCGTCAGACAAATGAATTTCGATTCGAGAAATTCGTCACTTGTTCTGCCACACTTCCCAAAGTAATCCTTCCGCTTGTACTTGTGTTTTAACACAGAATATTAAAAGGAACGAAGATGATCTTTCCCCACTTAAACCCTGCTGAATTCAGCCAGTGACAAATCCAAAGTCAAAATTATTCAGCCTGTCAACATTAGATTTTGAAATTCAATAAAAAATGAGAACTAACAAATTCACTTCATCATCATCCGCATCATCGGAAAGTGAAGACGATGCAGAACGGACAACAAGAACGGAATCATCATCCACAAATAATTTATCATCATCATCAGGTACAACAACATCACCACAAAATAATCTTGAAATTGGTAAAGAATTGAAATTAACTCGAATTATTGTCAAAGGTTTACCCTCGCATGTAACGAACTCCCAATTCAAAAAGTTATTTGAGGAATATGGACAAGTAACCGATGCAAAGATTATGATGGCAAAGAACGGGAAAAGTAGAGGATTTGGATATATCGGATATAAGAGGCATGATGAAGCTTTGAATGCTTTGCAAGAAAGAAATCAGACGTTTGTCGGAATGGCTAAAATTACGGTTGAATTTGCATTACCTTACAAAGATTCAAGATTGGAGCCACCAAAGAGTAAAAATTCAAAAGCTGCTCTTGCCATCAAGAAAGCAACGAGTAGCTCAACAACAACAGCTTCTGCCAATGAGGAAGAGGTGGATGAGTTTTTGGGAATTGGAAAGAAAAAAGTATCTGGTCCAAAGTTTTGGGAAAATGATTTAGAGGACGAATTTGATGACGAGCTTCGGAAGGATAAGCAAAAGGCAGAAGCTGAAACGGTTGACGGCTCCAATAACACGGACGACGACACAAAAGAAACGGCCACCAAGAAGAAGAAACGAGACAATGAAACAAGCAAATCTGACAATAACATGATGCTGGAAAAAGATGACAATAACCTGTTGTATTTTGAAGAAAACGAGGACGAAGATCCTGGCCGACTCTTTGTGTACAATCTTCACTTTACAACCACAGAAGAAGAATTGAAAGAATTATTTGAACCATTCGGAGAAATTTCTGAGATTCATATTCCAATCGATAACGAAACTAAGAGGTCGAAGGGTGTTGCATTTATTCATTTCTTAATTCCAGAGCATGCTGACAAGGCCATGAACGCTCTCCATAATTCCATCTTTCAAGGTAGAATGATTCACGTCACAAAAGCGAAAGAGAAGCCAAATTTTAATGTGGAAAAGGAAAATATGTTCCTTGGCAAGTCCAAATATAAGAGAGAACAAATGAAAAAGTTGAGAGAACAAGCCGGTTCGTCACACAACTGGAACGCGACATACATGAGTGCGAACACCGTCATGGAAAGCATGAGCAAACAACTTGGAGTTTCAAAGAGTGAATTGTTACTGAATAATAGAGATTTTTCGAATGTAGATGATAATGCAGCTGTGAGAATGGCTCTCGCGGAAACAGAGTTAATCAAACAAACGAAGGAAGAACTTCAAGATCATGGAATTAATTTGGATTTATTGAACAAACCTGCAGGGCAAGTCAAGTTATCTAGGACGGTAATTTTGGTGAAAAACATTCCTTTCCACGAGAACACAGAAAAGTTAAAACAAGAACTTCATGATTTGTTTGGTTTCAAAAGTAGAAGAATTTCCAGAATCATTATTCCTTCATCCAAGACAATTGCACTTATTGAATTTTATGAACCTGTAGAAGCACGACAAGCATTTACTCACTTGGCCTACAAGAATTTTTATAACGTTCCACTCTATTTACAATGGGCACCTGAAGGAGTTCTGCCTCCAAAGAAAGAAGAAAAGAAGGAAGAGTCAAAGAAAGAGGATAAAGGCCCTGTTCGAGTGGCAGATGAAGGCGATGACAACCAAGAAAGCACAGTATTGTTCATCAAGAACTTGAACTTTAAAACAACCGAAGAGAGTCTGAAGGAATTGCTCAAGATTTACAAACCTCGATCCGTTCGTATTGTGACAGAAAATGGTAAAAGTAAGGGTTTCGGCTTTGCAGAGTTTGGCAGTGTGAAGGATGCTGTCAAAGCGCACGACGAATTACATGGTGTCGAGCTGGATAATCACATCTTGGTTATTCACTATTCCAATATTCAATCCACAGTGAAAACCACGACAGAACCAAAACTTAAAAAACAAGAGGTCTCATACAAAGATGAAGAAAAGGGTGTAACTGTGACCTTTAAAAAGTTAGTCGTGCGAAACGTTGCTTTCGAAGCTACTCGACAAGATTTGTATCAGCTCTTCAGCACGTACGGTCAAGTGAAAACCATTCGTTTACCAAAGAAAGTGGGTTCCAACTCACATCGAGGTTTTGCTTTCGTGGAATTTGTTTCTCCAAAAGAATGTCATCAAGCGTATCAAGCTCTCAAACACAGTCACTTGTATGGTAGAACACTCAAACTCGAATTCAGTGAAGATGTCAACATGGAGAACATTCGAGATGTTCAGGAACGAAATCGAGAAGAATACTTGGAAAAGGAAACAAAGAAAAGCAAAGCCAGTGCAGGAAAGCGAAAACGTGATGCTTTCTTATAAGTGTGCACACTGGTCAAGAGTGGATTGACCATTTGTATCCTTCTTGTTGTGAAGTCAGGAAATGAATGAAATTTTCCCGCCTTCCATTCTCTACAATTCGTTCCTGCAATAACGAATTTTTTTTATTTTTCCAATTGTCTCTCTCTCTGTATGCATTCTCCTTTCATATAAAATGGCATCATCTCAATACTTGAAAGATACCATCGCTCCGATCCTCGCACGAGGAATTGCAGAATGTATTGAAGTACAACCACAAGATCCAATTGAATATTTGGGCCTATGGATGTTGCATCATCAACAACAGCAAGCTCTCCGAGAGAAGAGATTAAAGCAGGAAGAGGAGAATCAACGGGCTATGGATGACTGGATGGAAACGAAAGGAAAGTTGTTGCAAAAAGCAGTGGAAAGAATTCAAAGTGTGGTTCGGGATTTCATTCGCAGACAGCGAGCTTACAAAGCAGAGGAACAGCAAAAAGTCATGCAATTGGAAAAACTGTGGGGCGAGTTGATGGTAAAAACACAACAAGATCAAAAAACAAAAGAAGCGGAATCAAAGGAGCATGAAGACGCATTGAATGAAAAGGAGAGAATCATGCACGAAAAGATGTTTGAGGCTTCGAAGGAGTTTATCACAAAACTAGAGAAAGATAGAATTACATACATCAAGAAGGCATTTAGGCCACCTCCATGCGTTCCTAGAATTATGAAAGCCGTTTTATTGGCACTCGGAGTGGCACCTAAAGATGTAAAAGACTGGAATATGACAAAGGAAAAAATTGGCGCTCCAACATCGTTCATCAGGAAATTGGTAGCTTTTGAACCAGAGGCTTCCGTTGGAAAAACAGCAAGATTCAAAAGAGTGAGCAACATTTTGAAAAAGTGGGACATTGAAATTGTAAAACAACAATCCACCGTTGCATTCCTTTTGCATCAGTGGTTGACCAATTTATTGGCATTTAGAGAAAGTTTTATCTCCCTTAAAAAAGCCAAGAAGGAAGAAATTGAAGAAGAAGACGATCCAGGTATTATGGACGACATGGAAGAGGATGAAAAAGATGATCCCACCAATATTCAAGCATCGAGCTCGGAAGAGCCTAAACCTGAAACAAACGACGAACATTCTGAAGGTGACGAAGAATAAATGTCACAACAGTTTGTTTGATATTGTAATATAATTTAAATACTTTCTGATAGCATCGTCATTGGCCACTACTGTACAAGTCAAATATTACGTTTGGTAAATTGTATTACAGCATCTTTTGAGTTGGCACCAAAAGTTCCTCGTTGATTTTCTGTTGCATGTACTGATTTAAAAGGTCTCTCAGCTCATTATTCTGTTTTCGAATCATTTCTGTTTCTGTGATCAGCTTTTCTCGTTTTGCGAGCAATTCACCATATTTTTCTAAACCTCGCTCGAGAGCTCCCCAAACGTTATACCTCGATTCTGGAATAATTTGTGCCATTCTTTTCCAAAATTCGCGTTCCTCTTTACGTTTTCTGTCCTTTGCTTTTTCAACAGTGCTCAGCACCTTCTTTTTTCTTCCAGTTTCATTTTGCTCCATCAGTGCCTTCTTATTTTGCTCTTCCACAAATTTTCGCAGTATTTTAATAAGCAACTCTGTAGAGATGTCATGAAGCTCTTCTGTACTTCCTTTTTCTTCCTCTATACATTGGCTAAAAAAGTTAATCATCTTGGTGGTTTCTTCAGGTGTGTCAATACCAATAACCCGCAAAATATTATCCACTTTCAACACTTTTGACTCATCTGGTGGCAATTTCAGTAGTAATTTTTCAACCTTTTCCTCCACTAAAAATCCTGCACTGTCGCAAAGTGTCTCAAATATTAACCGAACTGTCTCTCCTGCTGGAGACATGGTGTTATTAGTCGTATCTTTGGATGACTCGCTCACAGATTCTGAAAAAGAGGTTTCCAAGTTGACTGGCGTTTCTTGAATCGTGGTAGTATATTCTTGTGTTTTTTCAGGTATGCTTTTGATGTCTTCCTCAGGAGGAATCCACTTGAGGCCAAGCTGTTGAGTGGTTATAATTTCATCAGCCTTTTTTAATTTTTCTGCCAAATCTTCCACAATTTCCTGATTCATTTTCCAAATATCCTTATATTTTTTGGTGTCAGCTTCTTCAAAATATTTAAACTTTTGTAGTAGATCCTTATATTGAATGCTGAGCCTTTTAAACTGTTCTGTCGTCTCATTGTTTTCTGCCTTGTATTTGTTGTCGTCACGAATGTACTTTGCTTTGATACCACTCAGCTGGTCCTGTAACTTGGCCAAGAGAGCTCTATTGTTTCGAACTGCGGTCTTGTTATCCTCCACTCTGTCCACAAGGACTTCAAAATAATACTCTAATTTTTGAGCCATGAGTTGGTATTCACCTCTTATAGAGTCAATTTCTTGCTCATATTCATGAATTTCATCTAAGAGTTCCTTCTTCTTCTTGGCATACTTTTCCATTTCTTGATCTGCCAGTATTTTGAGCTGTTGTTCGTATTCGTCAACCTTTTGAATTCTACCTAGCGCATAGTTCTCTTCTTTTTTACTTCGTTCCTCTGCTATTGCTTGAAACTCATCTAAATTTCGTTTGATCAACTCTTTTCTCTCTTTTTCAAAAGACGTTTCTATTCTTGTCAGCTCTAAAGTGTACAAGTCGGTGAGATCTTTCACCTGAGCGTTCATTCTCTCAATCAGAGTATCTAAATCTTTAGTTTGTTTTTTTAAGGCTTTTACATATTCTTCGTCTCGTTGCTTGAGTTCATGCCCTAACTCCTTAATAAGAGCTTGTTTACTCTCTATGACTTTCAAACACATCTCTTGTTGCTCTAGCAGCTTGTCCATTAATTCTTGATGAGTTTTCTTCTCGTATAAAGAAGGCCATTTCATTTGGATGGCTGCATTCTTTTTCGAGCTTACAATAGCCTCACTTTTCAGTTTTTGTTGTATTTCCTCTTTCTTTACATCATATTTGAGTCGTCTCTTATTTTCTTCCATATCACTTTCTACTTTTACATTGGTGACAAGTTTTGTGCCATCTCGAATTTTGGATTTAATAACTCCGACAGATTCGTCAATCTGAGTTCTTGAATCTTGAATTACGATGGGCACTTCGAGTTGATGAGCAACTTGGGTATTATTTTCGTTTGATGTACCGTCCTTTATGTTTGGTGAACCAACTGTTGGGCTCTCATTTCCCTCTTCATTACTCAACAATGATGCGTTGTTGTTGTTTTCTTCTCCATCAATGACATCTTCATTTTGTTCCTTAGTAGTAATGCTATCTGCCCCGGGCATAGTGGATTCTTCTTCTCCGTTTGTTTCATGTTGCTCCTCCTCCATCACAATATTTGAAGAGGATGAAGAAGGATTTAAACGAGCTCCATTGATCGGTTCAGACATTTTTTTAGCATGTTGTTCGAATGTTGTAACAAAAAAGGCGGGTAAATTTTTTCTCGATAAATTTGTTAATTTGTTACAACATGAACGAATTGTTTAATTCTGCTTGGCAACAGCTTCCAAAATGGCCTTGGTCAACTCATAAGTGTGAGAAACATCAGCAATTCTGACCTTTTCATCTGGAGAGTGAGCACCGATAATGGTTGGTCCATAGGAAATCATGTGCATGTTTGGATAAGTTTCCAAGAGCAATCCACTATGATTACGTTATCATAAGGTGAGATACAGATTCAAAATACGACACAAATGATCGTCACAAATCAACGTCCATTCATCAATTGGTATAAATTAATCGTTGAATGACAAGGCAGTTAAAGAGTAATGTAAACTTACCATTCCAAACCAGCGTGAATAGCCTTAATTTCTGGTTGAGAACCATACTTTTGCGTATAGACATCTTTGCAGAGTTTGAGGAGAGGAGAATCCATGTTTGGTTGCCATCCAACATAACCATCACCATGCTTAACTTCAGCGCCAGAGAGTCTGAAAGTAGAACCAACTGCAGTAGCAGCATAAACCTTGGCAGAGTCAACACTGGATCTTTGAGAAGTGCAGAATTCAATCTTGCCGTCACGTGTAGTGATAATGGCCAAATTGGTGGATGTCTCAACAAGACCCTCAATAACAGGACTCATTTGAATGACACCATGAGGACAAGCGAAAATAACGCTAATCAACTTGTTCAACAATTCAGAGGTAATGACCTTGGTTGAGGTAGTTGGAGTCTCGACTGGTTGAACGGAAATCTTCAATCCTGGTTCAACAACACTGTATTCACCATAGGCGAGCTTTTCAAAGGAAGCAACTCTTTGCTTGACAGCTTCTAATTTATCCTTTCTGACGTAGGCATTTACCCAAGCTTCTCTAGGAATTGCATTTCTCTTGGAACCTGTCAGTATAAAAAATGTTCCACCACCACATGTTTCCACACTCAAAAAGTCACTTACCTGCTTCAATGTAGTAAACCTTAACATTATCTGGTGTGACATCATCCAACACATATTTCAATGTTCTTCCCAATAATTTAATTGCATTTCCACGACCAGTATGAATGTCAATACCAGAGTGACCGCCCTTCAAGCCACCAACCATGATAGATACTTGTTCATATTCAGATGGATTTGTCAATTCCTCTTCCACAATATCGAAAGTGGCAACAGTGTCCATACCACCAGCACAGCCTGTTGAATTGAAAGGACCAACAAATATTTTCACACATGACAGCATTCAAAATATTCATAGGCATTCATCAAATTGATATTACTTACCAACATAGAAAGCACCAAGCTCTTCAGCATCCAAATTCAACAAATACTTGGCAGTACAAAAGTCAGGAGTCAAAGCCATGACACCTGTCATTCCGGTTTCTTCATCAATGGTCAACAACAATTCCATTGGACCGTGAATTGCATCTTTATCAGTAGCAAGAGCCAATCCTGTACAAACACCAATACCATTATCGCTTCCGAGAGTAGTTCCATTAGCCTTTATCCATTCTCCATCTTCAGTACGAAGGAGAGTAATAGGATCATTATCGAAATCGTGTTGAGTGGTTTTCTGAAAATCATGGTAGTAGTATGTATCATCATGTGTTCACGAAAGGTTGAATGATGACGATTCATTGCTGCATGAGAATCCCAACTGTCATCAATAAAACTTACATTTTTCTATTGATTGTGTGATATCATCATCAAGAGTATGATTCAATACATTCAAATGAATACAATAATCATGGAATAAGAGCATATTTAAATGATTCAATCATAACAATATTTGAATGTGTTAAATTCATAACAATTTTCGTCATCATCGGAATCCATCATCTCTGTATCATCATGAATTCAAAACAACCTACCTCACAAACCATATCAATATGTCCTTGAATAGCAACAGTTGGAGCATTCTCATATCCAGGAGTAGCTGGTACTTTAATCAAACAATTTCCAACTTTATCCACCTTGATTTCAAAGTTATTCTCCTTGGCATATTCCTTCAAGAATTCAATAGCTTTGGTTTCCTTCTTGGAAGGACGAGGGCATTGGGAGAGTCTGACAAAGTAATTCCAAACTGGAGCTGGATTCAAGCCTTTGATGGCTTCCAAGCTTTTCTGAAGAGAGGATGAGCTCATTGGTTGGTGTTGTAAGATTTTTTTCAATCGATTCGAGTGTATCAGAGAGCTTCTCACACCACGTTAATTATTGCGTCCATGATCGAATTCGATCCATCACGATACCAGAAATAAATTAAACTGGAAAGCAACTGCACAAGTCTGCCAATAAACTTGTAACTCAGTCAGTGGAAGCTTTCAAGCCTTAAACTTGTAGATGGTAAGGTTTTAACATCCGTAATTAAAAAAATGCATGACATGACCTTGTGGCCACGCGTGTTGATCTTGGACGGAGCCATGGCAACCGAGCTGAACAAGCGAGGATTCCAACTGAGTCCATCGTTGTGGTGCGCACATTTGCTACAGGAAAATCCAAAAGCCATTCAACAAGTACATGATTCCTATTTGCAAGAAGGACACTGCGATGTTTGCACCACTGCAAGCTATCAAGTTTCAAAAGAAGGATTTGCACGATATGAAAAATTGCAAGATCGGAACAAACAGTTACAGCACATCGATGTGAACGAGCCCAACACACATGATGAAAATATAAATCAACACTGTGAAACGATCGTCAATCAAGCTTTACGACAATCCGTACAAATGGCAAAACAAGCCATTCAACAATTTGATCATGAAAATAACAAGGCAACTGAATTGCATACGAATGATGACAATCCATCTAAAAGGAAGAAATTTGTGGCTGCAAGTTTGAGTTGTTTTGGGGCCTCAATTTCTGACATTACAGGTATTGCAAAAGAATATTATGGAGATTATTTAGATGATGATGTGGACAAGAATCGAGAGCATTATGTGCATGCGGTAATTAAAGAATTGAGTGATGAGTTGTACAACATTGATCAGACGCTACAGGGTGGTGGTATTGAACAAGTCATCTATGAATTTCATCTTCCAAGAGTGAGGGAGTTATTGAGAGAAGAGCCTGATTTTCTACTCTTGGAAACAATGCCAGTATTGAGAGAAGTGAAAATTTTGTGTGAGCGAGTCATTCCTGACGCCTTAAAAGAATTGAAATTGAATAATCAATTGCCACAGGCAAGAAAGCAAATGGTCCTGATATCATTTCAATGCAAAGATGGCGAACATACAGGTCACGGAGAGTCTATAATTTCATGTGCCAAATTTGTAAACGAGATGAATTCACAATTAATCATGTCACAAGGCGATTATCAAATTGTTGGAATGGGTGTGAACTGTGTACCACCATCCATTACACCATCACTACTCGAAAAAATTGACTCTGTTCTCAATTCTGACCTGGCTATCGTTGTATATCCAAATAGTGGTGAGATTTGGAACTGTTCACAACAGATCTGGCTTCCTCCAAGCAAGGAAAATGAATGGGATTATGAGAAAGATTTCATTCCATTCATTAAAGATTGGAGTGACAAACATCCTGTGAGAAGGTTAATTGTGGGTGGTTGTTGTAGAACTGGTCCAAATCATATTTGTAAACTCTCCAAGGAAATGCTCTCGAAATGACACAAAAATTCACTAATGATGATGAATTTACCAAAGTCTCATGTTGATAAATATTGAATGAATTGAAATTTCATTTGAGATGATCAAATTAGCCATAATATATTGCACAGTTATATATTGGCAAATCAAGATTATGAAAGACTAGTCATCTAGAATCATCATTCCAATAAATATATATTCAAGATCGGATTTACTCCTACATTATTTCTTACGCATATGCTCCTTTCGGGTTGCGTCCTGTAACGCTTCCGTATCCACATCGGCTACCGGAAGTTGAATATAACGCACGGTGCTACCTCTAATAAAACAATTCTTTATGCAACACAAATATGGATATTTCTCCTTGTCTTCCACTTGTACATTATTCAATTTTACATTCAAATATTGATCCACACTATGGAGTGTTCCTCGGAGCGACACATCATTCTTCAATTCAACAATCACTTCCTTGTCGACAAGAGTTTTAAAGAAACTGAAAAAGAGCATTTTTTTTGTGGTTGAATTCAACGCAACACTCTCATCTCCTTCAACAAGACATATTCATCATAAAAGAACTCCACTCGCTTGTTACACGCAATGGCAAAACACTTGTTTGCTTAATACATCATACATTCTTTGAAAGGACACGGACACAGATTCCGACGTTGTTGCAGATCCAGACCCATGGCCTTGATAGCTTGTTTTCACAGAAAATCGTTTTGGTTGAGTCTGAATGATACTAATCTCAAATGCCTCTCTCGTATCCTGATCCAAATATCCCTTAATTTTTGCCATGAGAGTATCTCTACTCTTGATAGTAATAAAATCTTTGTGTTTCGAGAGAACATTTCCAATCGAGTTCAATAAAGAGCCTGCAGTGGCAAAACCTTTGGTCACTGTTTGATACATGTCTCGCTGAACTGCAATGGAGCTAACCATGGCTTTGGAAGATGTTGTGTTCATGGTTTGAATCTGTGTGCTTGATGATTCAGAAGAGGAGGAAATCTTTTGGAACTGCCAACAAATTCCCCATCGTGAAGTCTTTCCTTGAACAAACTCGGTGGTGTGAAAAATGATCAATCTCTGGGAATTTAAGAGTTTCATCTCATTGGCATTCAGTTGTGCAATGTATTCTTTCAATGGTTGCAAGGTCTTCTTCTTTCCCAACATGGAACTGAACCAACAATTTTCAAAAATGGACATGGAGTGTTTGTGAGTCATTAAAAAGACACTGTCCTCAATCATTCGTTTTACAAATGTTTCCTCACCTCCCACAGTAACCATTTCATTGGAATTTCCTCGACAATCATTTTTAGGATTTCTATTCACAGGTTCATCTTCATCAAAAAAGGGAGGATTACACATGGTAAAATCTACTCGTGTTAATTGCCGTAACCAAGAAGGTTTTTCATGAGGCATGGATTCAATATTTGAGAGAATGTTTTTCAAAATGTCTTGACTAGATTCATCGACATGTACCAAATAGACGGATTGTTGAAAGGACTCGTTGTTTTTCATAATATTTTCGTGTGCAATTTTTAAACTTTCTTCTGAAATGTCTGTGGCAATGAATTTCCATTGATACATTTTGTGACCCAATAGAGGATAAATACAGCTCGCTCCAGTTCCAACATCAATTCCAACAATGGGTCGATCCAATTCAGTTGAAGTGGTAATAGTTGACATTGTCGTTTCATTGGATTTTTCAAGTTCCAATAAATCATTTAACCAATGAATGTAATTGGCTCGATTGGTCACAGGAGGACACAAATGATCCAATGGTAAGCTCCATTCAATATCGAAATCATGTTTTAATAGAACCTTAGTTAAATTCATGACTGCTTCTGCATTTTTCCAATCCAAAGATCCTTGTTCATTCACACTAAATGCCAAAATTAATAAATTATCATAAATAAATTGTAAATGAATAATAAATTAATCATGATAAAAATCAAGATTATGTACTTACTATTGTGCAAAGAATGGATACTCTTTGGCTAGTTGTAAAAAATTAGGAGTTGTATTGAGCATGTATTTGGAATTCCGATGTCGATTTAACATGGCATGTGACGGTTTTTGAATTTTGTTCTGGTAAGGCCCAACTGGTATTGATTTTTGATTCTTTGATTTTCGAGGTACAAGTAGAACGGCCTCTTCCTCCTCCTTCTCGTTGGGGTCTTCTTGATCACACAATTGTTTCATTATTTTTTTGTTAAATAATAATAATTAAATATTTAATTCAGACTGATGATATTAGTTGTGTCAAAATTCATCATGATGGTTGAACATGTACCTGTTGTCAAATCGATCTTCCGACGACTAGTTCCTCTTTCAAGTACAGTATTTCCTCTTCCAAAGTTGCCAATTATTTTCCAAATTATTACCAAACCTGGTTACTGTGTATTATTCTCTTGTTCTTGGGATTCAATTTCTGCAAGTGTTTTCTTCACCAAATCTACTGCTTCCATATACTTGGCAACACATCGATTTTCACAAATGGATTCTCCAGCATGAATATCGTTGTGTTTAAATTCAAGACCGATACAGTCCTTGAAACATTGTTTGACCATACTGATAAATAATATTATGAAGATTGCAATTTGTCATTAATTCCGATGAAATAGATTTCAACGACTCGTCATGCTTTTTTGAATAATACTCACAGACTGTAGTTATCTTTGAGAGTATAAGCCTCTATTTTAGCCATTTCCAGCTCTTCGGGAGTCTCTGCTGTTGCAACAATTCGATACACTGGATTATTCGCTGCCTGCATTTTTTTTGGGATGTCTTCATGCTGGAAACGAAGTGATTGGAAGGTCAACACTGTTCATGATACAAAATTGGATTAATAATTTATTATTTCAAATTTCACTTGCAAAAACATGACAATTACTTGGTCTCTTTGTCTCCATAATATTCTGAAATGAGATTTTGTTGGTTTTCTGTTTGAGAGAAAGCAAAACCACGGTATTCACCAGGTTTGGTAATGTTGGTGAAGAACTTCTTGAGATTTTGAGCTTCAAGTGGTGAGCGCTTCTTTCGCTTGATAGTGACAGGCAAACCTTCTTCGAATGGGAAGTGTTGCATAATTTCTTCTCTTGATTTCTTGTCGTGTGCAGCTTGGACTTCATAGTAAAGTTTTCTAGATTGAATTCTAACCCAGAATTTCCAGAAAACGTCACGTAAACAACAAAGAGCAACGGTTACCATCAAAACGATCCAAAAGTGTGGAGTAAGGAAAATTCGGTATTCCTGTAAAATGTCATAAAATTCTTTCAAAACTGGATATGGGAAACGGAATGCATAGAAGAGAGATCCGTAAATGAAGATGAACAGTGGCCAACTCAACAGACTTCCAATATAGAATAGAACGTGCATCCATGTCCATGATGACGTTTCCAATGCAATCTTAATGGTAATAACCACTAAAACACATGAATAAACCACAATACCAATACTGTAAGTGTCGATGTCTTGTCCATCTGGGAACTTGGCTCCAACAAGGCAAAAGAATGGCACAAAGAAACAAACTAACGAGTGGAAAATGGAGTTCACAATCCATCCAACAAATACTCTTGCATTGAACTGAATTTGTTGCATTTCCATAATGTCAACAAAAATTTCATGCCGATACAATCATGAAAAAGTAAGCTGATGAATATTTGATAAGTAGTGTTAAATACTTACGAATGCATTCTTGTGTCCTTGATAATACAATTCTGGGAATTTCTCAGCCACGGTTGCAGGAACATCTCTGTCCAAAACAGCCAACACAAGGATAGGCATACAGGAGAATACAAGGTTGTACAAACCGATGGTCCATCTGTCGTGGATACTTGTTCCAGAGTATCCATTGAAGAAGACAAACCACAATTGTGTCAAATATAAAATACTGTTCTTGTAAAAACAGTAAAGAACAAGTTTTGAAACACGTCTATAGCTCCATCTACCATGAACGAGAAGTAATCTTTTGAGGAAACGGAACTGACCAATAGAATAGTCTGAGGAGTTTGCAGCTTGAAGACCTTCAACACCGCTGATACCAATACCAACATGAGCTGATTGAATCATGGAAACATCATTTGCTCCGTCACCAATTGCAAGTGTAATACTGTCTACGTTTTGCTTGACCAATAGAACAACATCAGCTTTTTGTTTTGGAGATACACGGCAACACACCACAGATTTACATTTGACAGCAAGTTGCAAAAATACTTCTCTCAAGGTATGGTCTTCCAAGATGGAATGCAATCGTTCTCCATCCACAACTAAACCGAGTACGTCTTCACTTTCCTTTGCATTATTAGCAGCATTCAAACTTGTCTCCAAAAATTCCTTAATATCTGAATAGGTGTGACCTTCTACGATAAGAATGCTCATTGAAGAATTTAACAAATCACAAGCAAAACCAATATTGATAGCTGTTTCAAGTTTGTCGCCTGTGAGAACCCAAATTTTGATTCCAGCATTACCCAACTCATAGATAGTGTCCGCAACTCCACTTTGCAGCTTATCTTCAATACCTGTTGCGCCAACTAATTCCATATTCTTTTCAATCTTGGCTGCTGTTGATTCTACTTTGGCCGTTCTGTCTTCAAGGGAAGTTTTGGCTTCTTCATATTCTCTATGCCACTGTTCATACTCTGCCTCGTCAAGGTAAGCTTTAGCACACAATAGAGTTCTCAAACCTTCTGTACCCATTACTTCGAGGTGTTTCAAAGTAATGTCTCCATAGGCTTGTGGTTGTTTGAGAAGTGGGTATAGAACAGAATCTGCTCCTTTACACAACAAGATGAGCTTTCCTTGAGGATCTCGAACAATCACAGATTGACGTTTTCTGTCGCTTGAAAATTCAATAATGTCAAGTACTTGATAAGTTTCATCAACGCCACTTAATCTAATTGTGACTTCATTTGGAGTTCTTGCGATAAATTCTACTCCCAAATATTTGGCTGCTTTAACTAGAGCTGCTTCGTCTGGAGATGAAGCTTGATAAATAATTTCTTGTCCCTTTCCTCGTTCGGGAATGACAGTGTGACAAACAGCAAGAAGTCGCAAGAAATCTTCAATAACAGCTCTACTTGCTCCCTTTTGCCAAACACCATTGGTTAGTCTTTCGTCATAAAATTGGAAATTTGGATTATTCTTGACATGAGGTGGTCTATTGTCAACAATGGTTTTTCCTTCTCTCTTGGCAGCTGCAAGCGCAATTTCAGTGACACCGGTGCCATAAAGTTCTCCTGCAACCGAACATTTCATAACTATTAATCCATGTTGATTGTTGAATTGGATGACAAGGTTTGAAATTTTGGTTGAATTCGAAATAAATGCAAAACTTACAGTCCATCTTGTTTTCAGTTAAAGTACCAGTCTTATCAGAGAAAATGAAATTAACTTGACCCAATTCTTCATTTAGTGCCGAAGACCTAACGTTTGCTGGAGTATCTGTGTCTTCATGGTACATTTGTAAATCTTTGCTAATAATGATACCTTGGACAAGCTTGGCAGCCTCAATAGACACATACAAAGAAATAGGGATCAAGTTGTTCAACAAAATAAGGAAAGTCCAAAATCCCTTAAACCCAATCCATGCAACTTCATTTGCATTGACAGTGAAACTCTTAAATAAATACCACATTTTTCCATTGTTGGCTGTCCAAATCATGAGACAAATGTCGCAAATTACAATGAGAGTAATTTCTAAAGCAAGAACTAGCAAAACAAGTTTGTTAGTCATTCTTTCAATTCTACTTGTTTTGTGAGGTGTTTCCCTATTGATGAAAATGAATTGATTCCGAATGTCATGGCTAAAGACAAACAAAAAACTTACTTGGTGTTCATCATAAGCTTGGTGTCATGACCTGTAAACACAGCGATACCAATGATGAAATCCGTATTTCTTAAAGAGGAGCCCTACCAAAAGGTTAACAACAACAATAACAATTCAAATGATACATACTCTCAAGCATACTTGTTCGGGATCCAATGAAAGTTTCTTTCCGTTATGCATGATAAGAGTTCCCTCAAATTTGTACAATCGATTGTTTGGCTTTTCAGATTCCAATGTCATTCGAGTATTTTCTAAAACATTTGGTGAAATCATGTCCATAGTTTCATGTCTTGATCTTCTAATTTTCAAGTTGGTCTCTCTATTATAAGAAGTGTCACATTGCAAAAATCCAACATAAGATAATACTCACCCATCAAGACTCGATGTTTCAATGTAACAAATACCTTGATGTTCGCTGCTAGATATTACAATCAAATCACAAGGGAAAGGCTCCTTATTGCACACTCTAACAATGTCACCAGTCTGTACATCCTTCCAAAATACATCAACAAACGCTCCATCCCTCAAAACGTGGGCAATTCTCTTGTTTGTAATGTTGTCAGAATAACGTCTTCTAATGTCTTCATATGCGTCCTTCATCATGGTAAATATCAAAACTAGTTAGTTTTTTTACATAATAACATTTTTTGAACAATCATGAACATAATGAATTTTGAAAGCCCACTTACCCATTCCCAACGGAATAAACGTGGTAAATTGACCAGTTGGTGATAGAGTGGGAATCAACTGTAAAATGGCAATTACCAAAAAGTCTGCATAGTGTTGACCCAACAAAGTTTGACAATCATCCAAATTGCATCACGAATGACAAGTGGCGAATGAATTAAAAATTATTATAATAGCAGTAATGAACATTCGAAATGTCGATAAACACATGTCAGGCGTCCGAAAGCAATTCTCTCTATCAAAATAATAATTATTGAAATAATAACACACTTACAACAATTTGCGAAACGATGAAATTGTTCCCACAAGTTTTTAAATATAAAATTCAAATAAGTATACTTTGTTGTTTTGATGTCATTCTTTGGGAATTTGAAAGGTTGATTAGCAACGTGGTCATTGACATAGATCACTCTTGTTGTTGATTTCAAATCGTGCTTCGGTGCTCTTGGAGTATTGAAAGTACCATTATCAGTATTGTAGGTTTGGAGGTTTCCTCCAGTTAATAGATCCTCGCTTTCATCGTCCGATGTTTTGGAGTTGATCAGCAAAGGCTCGTGCAAGGCCTTGTTGGAAGAAGGTGGTTTGGTGAGAATGGACTGTTTATTAGTCAATGATCATCATAAAACGGAACAACCAAGTACAAACCTTTTCCTCACTCCTATTGATACTCATCCCGTAAATTTAATGATGAGGATTTTGAAGAGGAGTCAGTGAAAAATAATGTTACGGGTGATGAAGTCAATACTCAGATACGACCAGAAAGTTTGATTTTTTTTAGGGTTGAATTGAAAAAGGATATGATGGAGATGAATTGGAATGTTGCTGATCTTTCTGTCTCGTGCTCCGCAACGAAGTTGAGGATATTAAGAATTAATGAAATTATTATTCTTGCAGATCCTAATACATAATGTTCAAAGACACCAAAAAAAATTATAAACTATCATTTCGTAAAATTTTGGCGGCTGAAAAAACTACCCGCTTCTCTAGAAAAACAAAAAAAATACATGCAAATGGAAGAGTCTTCCTCTTGGGCTGGATTGTCTTTTTCAAAATCATCACCTTCTTCGTCGTCTTTTTCCCCTTCTGGAAGCGGGAGTGTACGGTTTGGCCTTACAAACCATCTACACAACGATCATGAAATGGCTCCTTCCCCGCTGAATTCGTCAGGTGAGGGCAGAAGCTTTTCCAACGACCAAGATAAAGAACAAGTCAAAGAGCTTCCTCACTTTCCATTATTTTCTTCCTCGATAAAGGTAAGGATATTCAATAAGTTGCTTATGAAGGTCAACATTGAAATTTCAAAAAAATAGCCAGCCGAAGATCAGCCTTCTGCTTTCTCATCTTTTTTATTTGCAGACACTCCGATACGAGGAAATGACAACACTGAAGCTCTTCTTAAACTAACAAATCATGCAGAGGAATTAAAATTGGAATTAGATATGTGGAGAAAAGCATATCGAGAATTGCAAGCAAAACATACAGCGCGACTTGAATCGATATTCAAAGAACAAAAACAACGAGAGGACGAGCTGCGCGAAAAGTATGAAGAAGAGAAAGCGCTCTCTTTGAAATGCGTTTCAAAAGCTAGTTATGTCATTTTGACTGATTTGAAAAACCTAATGTACATGCTAAGACATCAAAATATTGAAACTATTTATGAAATGATCAATAGTGATCTGATTGAAAAAGATCTCGAAACCGATCAATTTGTAACAACCTACAAGGAATTTAAAAATGTTCTGTACGGCGTCTTCAAAGCTCTTTCTCATGAGAGACAGGCCAGCAAAGACAACTTGATGGTTCTCAACAACTTGAAGAAAGAAAATGAACGGCTGGAGGCAACTCTTCATGACCATCAAAGGGAAAAGGCCCTTACTATCGATTCACTTGTAGACAGCGACGACGATAGTGCAGCACAAGAGCGAATTGCCATGCTTGAAGAAAAAACAAAAACACTTGAGAACATTATCAAAGATCTGGAAGACAAGAGTGAAAAGATCAAGGCCGATAAAATAGAGCTTGAGAAGCAAGTCTTGGCAGAAACTAGGGTGCGAAAAAACATTGAAAGCAACGTTGAAACAATGACAAAGTTGAAGATTGACGCTGAAAGTCAAGTAAATTATCTGCGTGATCAATTGCAACAACGAGAGCAAATTATTAAGACAAAACAAATGGAAATTGATAGAGTTTCAGAATCACTTTCAATAGCCAATGACAAGTTACAAAACTTGGAAACCTCTCTCGAAAAACTAAAAGAAAAATATGGAGAAGAAAATTCATATGATTATTCAGAACTGCAACAAGAGTTAGACGAAGTTACCAAACGATTAAACCACAAGAACCAAGAAAATGAAGACTTGATAAGATCATATGAAATGAGAATTGCACAAATGCAAATGGTCATCCAGGAAAGTCAAAAAGTGATTGACTTAGAGAGCAAGAAAACAGAGAGTATAACGGCTCATCACACAGAGTTAATTGAGGCAGTTGACCGTCTGAAAGTTCTGTTGTTGGACTCGGGAGTAATTATCAAAAATAGTAGAGACCACCAGTCCATTGTTGACAAGGCGGTTGAGTTTATATCAGTAAGAAACCACCACCTTTCTAACATTACCAGAGACTTTGACCTTATCAAGAAGCGGCTTGAAGAGACAGAGAATGATAAGATAATTATCAAGAAAGAGTTGGAGAATGTTATAGAAAATTTACAACGAAAATTGAGCGAGGACGCCAGAGCAAGAGAAGAAGAACGCCTAAAATTTGACTCAATTGTCCATACACTCGAGGAGCAGCTCCAACAAAAGAGAGATGCATCAAACGAGCAAGCACAGATGGCAGCTGAACAGACCAAGAGATTGACAAGAACGGTAGAGCGACTTCAAATCGATTTGGGCGAAAAAGACAAGCAACTGCAATCGGCAAACAACCAAATACGATCGTTGAGAGAAGAGAATGAGTTTGGACTGTCTGCAAGAGATGAAAGAATTAGACAACTGGAAGAGACAATTTCAAAGAAAGAAGACGATCTTGCCAAAATGACAGTTGATCTCAACAAGGAAGTAGATCATCTCAAAAAGAAGATTAAAAGGCTACAAGGTGATAATGAGGCGTTACAAATTCGTGTGGATACAGAGAGAGCAAACTTGGCAAAGGAAGCCCAAGCAGCAACTCTGCAACTTGAGGAAGCATATGCAGCACGATTACACGATTGTGAAATGAAAATGGATTCGATGGGCTCACAATTAAGTAGCTATGCTCATCAAATCAAAGAACAAGATGACAGGATACTGTTACTGCTGAAAGAGAAGGAAGAATTGATGAAGCGAGATCCCAATGGCTCCTTTGAGAAGCTTCTCGAGGAGCAAATTAAACAGCTTCAAGAACACTATGAATCCGAAAAGGAGAAGTATCGACTTCAATATGAGCATATGGTCAAAAAGTATAAGAATTTGAAAGAGAAGTATTTCAAGCAATCATTAAGGCAAAACGAGTTGCAGAACTACTTGCTCAAACTCAAGAAAAAACACAAGAAAAAGAAAGAGGAAGGAGTAGAGGAGCAAGATGAAGCAGCTATTGTGACCACTTCCATAGATCAAACACATTCAAAATTTACAGCCAACACAAGTCCCATGAATAATCAAATATTTGGGAATAATCCATACAGCTCGTCACCCGTGATACAAACAGATGTGCCAAGCCGGCATCAGCAGTACTATGACGCTCATCACGTCTCCTCACAATTCGAAGACAGTGGTTACCCTAAATTCATCTATCAACCTCCTCCTCCACAACAACACCATTCTCCCAGCATCAATGAAAACACTCCTCCAACATCTTTCTATCAGCCCATAAGCTCAGTTTCCATAACTAAAAAGAGTCCTCCAAATGGTAGTGTAAGCAACCACCCTAGTCAACCCTCAAGTCTTTCCCACTCCACAACGACGTCACAACATACAGCACCTAAAAAGAAGAAAAAATCGACGCAAGCTACAACAACAACAAATACTTCAAGTCATCACACAACCAGTAGAAGACCTTCCTCAAATCCTCACACAAGAAGGTGAACAACTTGCAATAATAAATCCGTGTGATCACCACGTATTCGAATCCCATTTCTTTTCAAAAAAATTATCTCACCATAACGAATGGGAAACGCTCAACAAGTTGGAGCACTGCTCGGAAAGAAGGAATTTCCATATGAAATTGAGGACGTTTATGCCGAGACGTTTCTCTGGAAAATACATCGTGGAAAAAGGAAATCAGACAATGAAGTGGTTACAATTTTCAAATTCGATTTTGATAACACCACTCCACAGGGTAAGTGTTGTTGTTATGAATATTATGAACATCTCACTTCGGAATTTAATTATTCAATGAATGAACACTACTTCAACGGATCGTCATCAAAAAAAGATAAAATCGAATTGGCGAAAGGAAGTCTCAAACGATTGCGTGCTATTCGCCATCCGAGTGTTGTAACCTTTTTAGAGTATGTTATCAAGTTCTTTTAGCGTGTTTGGATGACAAACAATAATTTATTTCCTCAGTGTTTTAGAATTGAGTAACTCAATATTCATCGTAACGGAATATGTGGTTCCGTTATCTGTTGAAATTCAAAACATCAAAACGCAATTATCAGCTCCCGAGATGATAGCTTGGGGACTCTATCAAGTAGCTGTATGTTCTATTGTCATCACGATCTCATGTTAATTTTTGTGTCACTTAATTGAGTACATTATAGAAAGCTCTCATATTTTTACATGGAAATAATTTATATCATTGTAATGTGAACATTGATTCAGTATTTGTAGATAACGGAGGAGATTGGAAGATTGGTGAGCTAGGTTTTTTAACATCATTCCAGAGCAGCAATGGTGGAGTTGTGAATGCATCCGAAGCTTCCTATGGTGTTCCTGTAAAAAGATTTTTCAATTATATTCTCAACAAGTACAGACCTTTAGAAGTTGCATCACAAAGGTTTGTTTTGCTTGATTTTTACAAGGAAACATGTTGATATTAATACCATTATTCATGGATCATCGTTGACGTTATTTAAACAAAATATGGATCGTCTTTTGTGTACAAATTAATAATCCATGCATCATTTAATCATCAGATGGGACTATGTCGATGCCAATCCTTCAAAATTGGATTCATGGGGATTTGCTTGTTTAATTTATGAAATATTTGAGGGACCAATGAATGTGCCTGATGACTTGAAGAAAATTAATCTTCCCAAGATTCCAAAAACACTTCGTGTGGCATTTGATCAATTAACTGACAAGAATGTCAAGATGAGATTGGAATTGTCAAACTTGTTAGAAAATCCATACTTTAACAATTCTCTCATTGAAATACAACTATTTTTGGAAAATATCACAATCAAAGATGCAATTTCTGTAGAAACATTTCTGAACAGACTTCCCGAGTTACTACCACAATTGCCTCGAAATAACATGAAAAACAAAGTGTTGCCCAGTTTGATACAACTTATCAAGTTCGGAACTGCAGGACAAAAAGCAATTGTTCCAATCATGAAACTTGGGTCATTGTTGAATGAAGATGAGTACAAGACGGTGTTCATTCCTAAAGTTTTGGATTTATTTGAAATTGCTGATAGAACCGTTAGAGTGAATTTACTCAAAGGTATTGACCACATTGCTGTTTATTTAACACAAGAGCAAGCAGAGAATGTTTATGAGCATGTTTCAAAAGGATTTAGAGATACATCCCCAATTTTGAGAGAAATGACTGTGAAATCAATGATTGCCATTGTTCCAAAACTTAAAGAAGACACCATTGATAACAGTGTAGTGAGATACATGTGGGCACTTCAAGGTGACAAGGAAAATGCCATCAGAACAAATACTATTATTGCATTTGGAAAATTGGCACCAAGCCTTTCAGACAAAACTAGAAAGAGAATTTTATTGGCAGCATTTGTGAGAAGCTTAAAAGATCCATTTGTGCATTCGAGATTGGCTGCCTTGAAAGCACTTGTATCAACGAAACAATACTACTCTGTAAGTGACATGGCAGTGAAAGGGTTACCATTTGTTGTGTCACTCACAGTCGATCCAGAAAAGCAAGTCAGAGATTTGGCATTTGTTGTGTTAAACGATTTTTTGAAAACCATTTCGGAAGTTTCTGAACAACCAAATTTCAATGAAATTATCAATAGCGAGAGGAACACAGAGGCAAATTCAACCACTGCAAATGGTACCAGCAATCAAGGTGGCAGTGAGTCTTCCAATGTTGGATCTGATTACTTCTCTTGGGCCATGAAATCTCTCAAAACCAAAGTATTGGGAGATCATCCAACACAACCTTCGTCAGGTACCTCTTCTTCAACAACGACGAGTAGCAGTCAAATGAGTAGTAGTAGTAGCAGCAATACTTCTTCATATGGCTCAACAAGTACTCCACAATCATCAACCACCACCAACAACACTGGAACCACATCCATTTATAAACCTGTGGTACTTTCGAGTGGTTCAACCCAACCTCAACAACCACAGCGAACGCAACCACAAGATCCATTCAGTCAAATGACTGCAACTCTTCAGGCAAAATCGAACGTGTCATCATCTCCCAATATGAATAAGAAATTAGAGCCACAAAAAGCAACCAATAGCATGAAATTACCAAAATCTTCAAACAACGATGTATTAGATGACTTTTTCGACATGTCTGACGACAACAATTCCAATACATTGGGAAATATGACCACTGGATCATCTTCAGAGCTGTTGGACGATGATTGGAGTAGTTGGGATAATTTGGATTCTCACTTTAATTCAACATCATCTTCAACTAAGCAATCACCCACTCCTTCTCAACAACAAAACAAAGCTTCTCAACCCTTAAAACTAAGTCACTCCACAACAACGAACAAGAGTACTGCAAGCAATAATCTTTTTGAAGATGATTTTTTTGCCTCCATGCAAAATAACACTACTACGACTTCCAAAAAGACAAATATCATGCAACCTACAGCAACAACATCGACCACTTCAAGTCAGCAGCAGAATCGAATGAGTCCAATGTCAAGTTCAGGAACTACTTCCAATCGACCACAAAATAAGACACAAACGACAACAACATCTTCTCAGAACAAGAAGCCCTCAACTTCAGGCACCAATAATAACTGGAGTGATAATTGGGAAGAATGGTAGAATAAATTGTTCTTCTTATAATGCTAGACACTACTGTGACAACCTCATGAACATGGGTTAAAATCGTGTATGCTCGTTTTTGATTGTGCAATCAAAATTGCAACAACAGGGAAGAAACAGCTTGCGAAAAAATGAAAAACCATAAAACCCTCCAAACTGTCTTTAAACTCTCGACAACACCTGTTACTCGATATCAACAATCATCAAGAACCTCCTTCTTCTTGAACCAATCTTGCAAATATCATCATTCTCTTTCCGTGTCATTATTTTCAAAAACCAAGCCTTCTCGATTTTCTTGCTCCGATCACGTATTCAGTTCAATTCTGCACTAACGGTCCAAGATTGGAAAGCATTATTTATTTCATACTTTTATAGAGGTATCCTTAATTCCTCTGTTGAAGACTTTTCTAAAGCTGCTGAAATCCAACCACTGAATAGCAGAGTTTATTTTAATCGTGGCCTTTCGTACTATAATCAAGGTTTGAATGATCAAGCTTTGCAAGATTTCAATACTTCTCTGTCATTGGATCCAACTTTAATAGAATGTCTTTGGTTGAGAGGAAAATTGTATTTATTTGAGAAACATGATAATCTCAAAAGTATTGCGGATTTTGAAAAAATTTTGGAGTTGAATCCTGAATTTTATGCACAAGCTCAAATTTATGTGCATTTAGGTGAATTATACAAAGATTTAGATGCCAAAGACGAAGAAGAACGTATTCAAAATTGGAACAAAGCAATTTCGTATTTCGTAAAGAGTATTGATCATATAATGAAGGTTGAGCAAGAAGAAGTTAGACTCTCCAAATTAATGCTTGTTTATTATTCTTTAACAGAATTGTATATGAATATGGAGATGTATGACAAAGCTCTGTATGCTTGTTCTCAATTCATCAAATACTGTCCTAAAACGTATTCAAAGAAAGAGTTAGCAACCATGTATTGCTCACGAGGAACAATATTGAGCGAATACTTTCAGACATACGATCTTGCAATTACGGATTTTCTAAAAGCTGTTAAATTGGATCCTGAACTTGAAGAACCTTATGTGTTCTTGTCCAAAGCATACTATAACAAGACGGATATGCAAAATGTGTATAAATATGCAAAACAAGCCGAAGAAATTATTGAACAAAAGGGGAGCGAATACAAGTTAACTATTGATCCCATGATGTTGAACACAATGTATGAAATGCTTGGTTTTTCATATGAAGCCAAGGAAGAGTACGAGTTAGCCATCAAATATTTTGAAAATGGTTTAAAATATGGAGATTATGAATACCATGTTTTTGAGGCATTGGCCTTCTCATATTCAAGAGCAAAAAAAGAATTTGACAAAGGTATCCAATTGTTCACTCAGAGAATTGAGCAAGCGCAAAATGGCACTGTGTCAGAGAAATCATTTGTTCGTGAGGAAAATCGACTTACTGTAATGAGAGCATATCTACTGAGAGCTTGTGTGTATATCTTTGCTGAGCAGTACGAGTCGGCAATTCAAGATATTGACGTTATTTTGGAAAAGGAACCAGAAAATGCACTGGCAATTATTACACGTGGTGAAGCAATTTTCAAAATGACAGGAAATTTAGAGTTAGCACAACCGTATTTCGATAAGGGATTGCGACTCTTTCCAGAAGCAAAAACGGAGATTGAGAACATGATCAACGATGTGATGACTAAACGGAAAGAACAGAAAAAGGATGAAAACTAATTATATTTGCTTAATCATAAAAGCTCTCTATTGACATTATTAGTAAAATAGAAACGTCCTGAAACGAAAATACAGTCAAATGCAAGAACATACAGATTTTCTCGTTTGTGTCATGGCCTTGATAGAAGGAAAAGATTGGTTCTGTTAATAACGAACCAAAACTGGTATGTGAAAAAAAATGTTGCAAAATGCTTTTCAATCCATGCTCTCGTCATCATCAAATGGAGGCTTTCGGATTTCGAGTAATGATAGTCAAGGATCTTTAAATCCAATCATTCCATCATGGATGAAAGAATGGATGAAATTGAGCAATTCAAAGAATAATTTGAAAAACATGTTTGACAAGGAACAATACGGGTTCATTATTGAACGCATAGAAGAGTTTGAAAAATCATTCCGAATGGAAAAAGAAAATCGAATCCGTGATCATGATCATGGAGGAATTGCGGAATTTAGAAATGATATTTGTTATTTATCCGTCATGATTGATAAAGTTATTTGCTCCATCTTGAACCACGCTCCATTAAATGACGACTCTGTACGTACATCAGCACATAGTAGTGCACTTGATGGCCATCTATCTCATCTCCATCGAGTTCTGGACACTTTTTCCAAGAAGGACGATCTTTCTATTCACGATAGCCTGTATTTAATTTTTGGATTGAAAGCCTATATCATCGGAGTGTACAATGATATTGTATTGAATCAAGCACATGAAACGACAAGGAAGGCCAAAGACATCATTCACTCCTTGAACCATTCATTGCAGTTTTGTTTGAATATTGTGCTAAAGAAGTTTGTAAGAAAAGATTTGAAGGATTTTGATTATTTTGATTCATTGCAGGATGCCATTGAACAACACTTTTCTGGATATTTGTTTGAAGATGAGCAATTGGCTCCTAAAACAAAAAAGAGGAAAAAGTCTTCATCGAGCAATTTACCAATGAATGATTATGCAAATGCTTTGATGGATTATTTGGATTATGCAGATAATCAATTTATTTTTCCATTACTGAATTTGCATATTCATATCTTCCAAGCTTTCAATTACCTAAATTCATTGTGGTTGACAAAACGAAAATATTCCAATATTTTACGAACAAGTTACAACCCATCAACTACCAAGGGAGTTGTTACAACAGTTTTGAAAAAGCTCACAAATTTATGCGCGCTCAATAACAATGCCAACTTGGAATTTACAATTTTGGACGTGGAAAGAACAAGTAATGTGCATATTATTCTCTCATTAATTGAGGAAGGGAAACTTGAGGACGCAAAAAGTATATGCAATTGCATGACCGATTATATTCCCTCCCTTTTCCTTTTAGGAATTATTTTCTTGCAAGAAGATAACGTCAAGATTTCTAAAGAATGCTTTTTACAAGTCGTTCAGCTTGCTCATGAATCACATAACAGACATGAACATACCTATCTTATTCACAGCTGTAAATTAATATCTCTACTTTTTATTAAGGAATGGAATTTAGTCGATGGTTTAACATGGTTTCAAAAAGCATGTGATCTCGAGAAGACTGAAAATATTCAATCCAAAGTCGAATCTCTGTACAATATATGCAAAATTAAGGAATGGATTGGCGAATTGTATTCCAAACGAAAAGTACTCAAAGACATTTATCAAATTTTGACAACAACTGGTCATACCCTTCTCACTTCATCTGAAAAGGAAAGCATTTCGATCAATCCAATTCTCATTCTCTATCAAATTGGACTCTGCCTGCTGAAGGAAGAAAATTTTCAAAATGCATGCCAATGTTTTGATTACATTCTTACGAACCTTCTCACGAATAATGAAAAATGTTGGGGAAGATTGAATCAAAATCCAGTTACAACTCATACAGATGAGCTAGTTTCACCTCTCATATTGCTTCGATTGTATATTTATTGCTTACTTCAAACGTTTAATTTCGAGAAGGCATTCTCTTTGTGTGATTTTGTCTTGAAGAAGCTCGGAAACGATTCTCCAGACATTTGGCCATTCCAATTGTACAAGTGTGATGCTTTGATGGCTCTTGAACGACCACTTAGTGAGTGTGAACTGGTACTTGACTCGGTCCTACAAGGAAAAGACAGTCATAACATTTCTCGAATTGTGAAATCGATCGTTTACAACAATAAGGCCCTCATTCTCATTTGTAGACATCAACAAAATGATGCACTCAAATTGTTGAAGAAAAGTTTGGCACTGCTTCCAGAAACAGCATTCGATGATGACTACTTTAAAAAGATGATGTATGACTTACAGGCAAGCATAACTTTCAACATCACAACGACTTACGTGGCTTTGAATCAAATAGAAGACGCTGCCAAGTGGTGGTTCTCATTTCGAAAGATTCCATTCTCTACACACATCACTTCAGAGCAATATGCACAACAGTTCACATTATTAGAGCAAAAGCAAAGTTTAAAAGCCATTAAGGGAGATGTGTGTGGCAATCTGATTGAAGATCCAAATGATTCAACCACTTTCATGTTACTTTCTCATGTGACAGGAAAATGTACACGACAACAACAATTTGCTCTTGATTTATTAATGCTCAAATTATACAGCAAGCATTTGGAGAAAATGGAAGAAATGGTATAGTCTAGCAGTCTGTTCAAATAATTTGAAAATGGTCACACTACTCTGCATTTCTTATGACACACGCCTCATTCAGAACGTCATCAAGTTGTGTTTGGATAGGAACATCAGAAAATGAGTTTTTTTCTACCATTTACAATGCCCTCTCTAGTTATTCGTGAATTGCGAATTGGATCACAAGTACAATGCTCAGAAACAAGCCTGCATTAGAAGCCATCAAAATAACCTCAACATGTCCGTTACACAACAATATCGAGGACTCGATTTGAATTAGACAGAGAATTTAATGACAATTCCACCCAAGAAGAGGATGTTCTGGTGTTATGAAAGGTCGAGTGGGATCAATCATTGGTGGAAAAGATCTTTTGTTTTTAAACGTTTCATGAACTTTTAACAAGTCCATGGAGTTTCCATAAATTAAAGATATCACCTTTCAGAGAGAGAAATGTGAAATTTTGAAAACACCCCACAACAAAATGCCTCTAACCTCATCATTCACTTCATCCGTTCATTCATTCTATCCCATACTTCCATTCTTGTATGAAAATTATGAAATATTTCAAAATTCAACAAATAATAACACAAATGGAACATCATCGTGGTTGTATTCAGAATGGTTTGGATGGATTGGTGTTGCTGTTTGGTAGGTTTTGATAAAAGTTGTGTTGTGATTGAATAATTTTCTTGAACAACAATTATTATTCAACTTGAAAAATTCAAAATTTAATTTGAATGAAAATTTCAATACCTTCCCACATGTCACACACATACACACACGCACTCGCACACTCACAGCATTCTCACATGGGGAACATTCACAGCTCCTCTCAAAATCAAATACGTCCGAGACGTCAACTTTGATCCCATGATTTATCAATTTTACTTTTCTGCCGTCGTTTTTCTTCTCAGTTTTCTCGTTCTTGCTTGGAATGAATGGTATTTCTCATGGTATGGTGTAGCAGGTGCTGCCATTTGGATTCCTTCTTCGATCTTCTCAATTATAGCTGTGGATAAATTAGGATTAAGTGTGGCTCAAGGATTATGGAGTGGAGTGGTCATTCTCACTAATTTTATATGGGGAGTGACATTATTTCAGAGTAAGATTGGAAATATTTATTTGACTGTTTTGGGATTAGTGTTGATGGTGTTGGGAATTGTTGGAGTGGCCACTTGTAGTAAGTGGAATGTCGAAACAAGTTCGAAAAAGGAAAATTTCACACAAGTGGATGATGATGATTTAGAGAAAAAAGATTTATTAGAGGATGAAAGTTTAGCGAGTTTGAATCCTACTCGTGACAACACGCCTTCCCAACAAGAAACCATGCCCTTATTTGGAAAACATCAAACCAGCTATGATCCTGCTATGAAGAATGATCATCATGCACAAAAGGAGTATGGAGGAGTGATGAATCATCTCGATCATCTCATAGCTCAAGAAGAGGCCTCTCTGAAAGGACATGTTACACTTCATTCATTTGGCACTCAAGTGTCAAATGCAAACAGCACTGACACTAAGTGTAAGGTGTAAGGTGCCAAAATATAACAACTCTTACTCAACAGGATCCATCCTCTGCTATTTCCTTAAATTCCACTGAAGAGGAATATCAGACATACCCAATGATTAGTGACAGCAGCAACAAAAATAAGCAACGAAAACAACGACTTCTTGCTCTTCTTAAAAATTCAAAAGATTACTTGATTGGAATTCTAGCTGCTGTAGCTTGTGGAATTACGGGTGGCTCCATGTTTGTGCCATCACGATTGGATGACAAAGGAAGTATCTATATGGTTGGATTTGGAATTGGTTCCATGGGAATTACAAGTGTCATGCTCGTTTTCTATTACTATTACTATTTCTTTCGATACAAGAAGGAGCTAAGTTTTTATCCAAAATTGAGCATCTTTCCTTGCCTTACGGCTGTGTTGTGGCAAACAGGAAACTTTTTTGCAGCATTTGTGAGTGCTGGTCCATTGGGATTGACGATTGGAATGCCACTCACCGAAACGTCGTTGGTGGTTGCTGGTTTGTGTGGATTGATTTTCTTTAGAGAGTTGAAAGGATGGAAAGCAATTGTGCAGTTCTTTGTGAGTACATTGATCATGTTGGTTCCTGGATGCATTTTGTTGGCCTTATTTGGAAAGACTTAATAGTCGAGTCGAGGAGGAGATCTTTACAACCTCAACACCCTCGTAAAGACGATCAAAAATTTAAAAAAAGCAGCATTAGATGGAGTTGCACGTGTAACTCTTATGCTGCTGTAATACATTGACCGTACAGATTATCTGTGTGTTTTCTGAATGCCTATTTATTGACTATTGTAAAATGACTTGAGTTGTTCTCGAAACGCTGCATTCGGGCAAGTGACGCTTCTTTGGTTTTTCACATGATGAAACACTTGTTCAAAACTCAATCCATAATATTTCATAATGTATGAAATCACTGTGGTAGAGCTTCTGCTCACTCCCATATTACAATTCACAATGGCTTTACACTTCTTCTCGTATGCTTCTCTCAAAAACTCGTTGGCTTGCTCGAACAAATTAGATATACTGTGTGAAATTGTGTCACCTGTTCCCAACTTTAAATAGGAATACTTTTTCACACCTGGAGCGATTTCCAAAAGCTCCAAATCGTTGGAAACTTCCTCAGCCATATTTAAAATGTACGTAATTCCCAAATCAGTGAGTTCAACATCACTCGAAGCACTTTCCTTATCTCCCAAATATAAAAAATTCTCAATAATTTCAGATGGATAAATTCCTTGATAACCAATACCAGTTTCTCGCAACGTCAAGAGAAATCCATACTTTTCACAAAATGATTTGTAACTTGTCAGCACAATAATATTATCTAATTTTCCTTCTCTTCGTAACAATTCGCTCAACAATAAAATGGTATATCTTTGCATGTCGTTCCAATGAATTGGAGTTGAAATTTTCAAACTTGACGGTAAGAATAATTCACAATTTGGATGAATTTCATTTGTGAATTTTTCAACAGGTGTTTCAAGTGGAGCTTGATTACACTCAACAGAATCCTCATGATTCCCAAAAATATTAATTTCATCTCCATACAACAAGATGGTCTTGTATGAAAGTCCTCTCAATTTAAACATGGAATTCTTTCCAAAGAGTGTATTCAATTTGATGGTAATTAAATTTTCATCCACTCGTTCCTTTCCATTGACCAGCTCCAACAAGGTTTGAATCATTTCCGATTCTTCAATTCCGAGTGAGAAACTCGCTCGAATATGACTATCATCGTAATGAGTCCTCGATCTTACATCAAAAATGGATTTTGAAACTGCAACGTCCTGAGTCTTGTTATAAAAATACGTTTGATCCACGAGCAGAACATTGGAGAGGTGAGGCCGAGACATTTTTTTTTTGGAAGTAGAACTTGATACTTGAAGGTTTCCAGAGAAGGAACAAGTTTACAAAATGTATCCTTTGGATAACGAAGGGTTGTAAATTGCTGATTGTATATTTTGATGTTGAATATTGTAAGATTGGTTTTAAGATTGAATGATTACAAAAAAATGCTTTCACTTCACACCCAGAAAGATCATCTTCGGGATGGTTTATGGGTGTTGTATTACTGCTGCGTGTCGAGTTTGAGTTCATTTTCATCGATGGAAGCTCATGGCAAAATTCACAATACAAAATTTATTATCGATCGATATTTTTCGAATTATGAACGAGATGCAAGAACGGAAAAACGGATTTCACACATTGACTCGACCATCACGTGTCGTGTGGAGGGTTATTTAGTAAGCGTTTCTCTGAGACATGTTTTTTTATTGATGCTTAGGGAGAAATTTCTGGAGGATTACAAAGAAAAATATTTGATGAGTGTAGGTTTTCATTGAAGAAGATGAATTCCGAATTATGAAAATGATTAATGTTCAAAATGTGATCATTGAATGATGTAAATAACAATTTTGTTTAAATATTTTGGAATATTATTTTCTGATAATTCAGGCATCGGCTGAAACTGTGACACTCATTGGATTAATTGCCAAGAAATGTTTACGATTATTGGAAGAAGGTTTTAAATCTGAAGAAATTGTTCATGCATTAACTATATTTTGTGAAAAATGTATTCAACATATTCGAACGCATGCTGTTCGAATCAAAGAGAATGAGTTGCGCAAGTTTTTACATCATATTCACAGCAAGGCAATTCAGGAAGACAATGAACCTCTTAGACTTGCTACGGAAACTCTATTGACCTTTCCTTTGGAAAATTTTCCACAAAATAATCAAACTCTTTCGCTATTAATTAATAATGGGAGCTTGAATTGCTATAAATTCATGGGAACAGGTAGGAAAAGTTTTATCTGTCAAGGATTAGTATTACCACTCCATTATTCCAATATTTCAAAGCTTGGATTCAATGTGGAGGTATGTTAATTACTATTTGGAACAATATTGAGCTCATGTCCGTACCAGGGAAAATGTATTCTCATGGAAGGCCATTTATCTGATACTCACGTTTTGAATTTCGTGCTGAAAAATTGTATCAAGATTGTATTCTGTACTGGAGAAATAGCTGAACCGCTAAGAGACATTTTCACAAATCATCAAGTCTACTACATGTATCATGTTTCACAAAAAGATACTCACAAAATTTCTCATATCTGTGATATTTTACCTCTTCCTTCAGTGTTGATGGAAGAATTATTTTCAGAGGAGCAACATTGTACCGAAATTTCAATTAACCTTTTAGAGGGATTTGAACACGAGAACATTTATCACACCTCAGTGGACAAGTATGTGACAATTCATGGAAAGAACTTCACATCCACTGTTATTTCCTGCATCATTTGTTGTAGCAGTTCCAAAGTTCGTCTCTACGAAGAAAAGTATTGGGAGTGCTTAGTGTTTCTTTGGAATTGTTTGAAGCAACAAGATTATACAGCAAGCAAACTACATACTCTCACGAAATGCATGCAAATGATGGAAACCTATTCTGAACCTTTACAGACATTGTCGACACTTCCCCCAAACATTTTCTATGAGAGTCTTAGAGACATGCTTTGGATCGCACTGTCCACCTCTGGCTTAGAGTACAACAAATGTCATTCAATTACGCAAACCATTTGCAGTGATCAGCCATTGGAGAGCACAGATTCCATGTTTGCGAGTGAAACGGATACTCTCTCGTTAGAAAGAATGTTTGAAATTGTGCAAAATTTGTATACTATCATCTTGAATACGGATATAGTGATCAAGTGAGCAGTTATAATTGCTTCTCAACAAGTTATGGTAATTTTCATTTCAGGTTCTTCTGTTTCCTGAAGAACAACCTCTGGAATTTGACATGTTGATATCCCATTTGTAGTGTCAGTACTGACCAAGTTATGTGATTCAGACTTTACAAAATCCTTAATTGCTTGCTTATGGGAATTCATTCGATCCTCATCGCAGTGAAGCACATTTTGCTTTGCTTTCAATTTAGCTTCCATCTTTTTCACCAGTTCTGGCGTATCATTCAAATTATCTTCCTCCATCATGATAGAATCTTCAGGGCCCCAAATCACTTTGCTTTTCTTTGAACTCGCTTCATTTGTGGGGCGTACTTGATCAGATTTGAAGTTTAACTCCTGTGGATTAATGTTGTCAGTCTTAATTATTAGAGGTTTGTTTGCTCTTGACGAAGCTGTCAGTAATGAATCTAACACCTCTTTTTGCTTTTGATGGGAGTAGAGAGAAGCACCTTTCTTAACTTGCTCAATCACATAGCTCTTTAAAAAAGGTAACTCAGAATCTGTAGACACTTCCTCTCTTGAAAATACTTTTGATAAGTAGTCAATCTCCCCACAAAACTCTTTTCGAACGTTATGTATAGAATATAATTGATAAGTCCTCTCAACAATCTCTTCGTTTTTGCTGGATTTTAGCGCACTCAGAGAATTTTCCATTTTCTCAAACAGGGTATCTGCCCCATTTGCATTTGCATAAATATCCATCAATGCGTTTAGAGAATAACATTTTACACAAGAATCCAAATCAAGAGACGACTCAAGTATACCAATGAACACGTCTACTTGCTTGTCTATAGATGGTAGAATAGAGGTTTCATCTCCTAACACATAATTCATGCCTTTTAACACACAAACGGCAAGAGTGCAAACAGAATTTGAAAATCCATCTTTACAGCCATTGGCAACATCTTCCAGCATTCTGTACAAAAAATTGCATACGAATTGAATAGTTTCATCCTCTTCACTTTCTAGCCATTTCAAACTTAACCTTACAAACTGGCTAGTTGCATTTTCAGAAATAAGCGGTTTTCCTTCTGCATTACGTTCATTTCCCACCATTTGGAGAAAGTTGATGAGTGCTGAAATGTACCATTTAACATCAAGCATGCCATACTTTTCTAAAACTACGATGATATATCGAATAACCTCTTCAGCCATATACAGATCATTGACAGATATCACATATTTCACATATTTAGTAAGTCTATCCACAATCAATTTTACATTTTTTCGATTGACCATTTTCACTAATAGCCTTGTGGTTAACTTTTGAATGGTTTCGTCATGACTATCCAGTGAGTCAATCACCATGTCTTGATGCTTTGAAACAAGTCCTGGATTTGCTTTGAGAACCATCCTCAACATTTCAAGAGAAATATATCTTTCATTTACAGTTTTGAATTCTTGATTCCAAAGGTAACGCGTTACAGCATCAAATATGAAATTAAGAAGTTGAGGCGAGGGGAAAATATTAGTTGCAGTCTTGATACATTGAAACATGACAGCCGTTCCAATATCATTCTTTGCTTTCTCCGCTCTTTTGTAAGTGGATTTGATAATTTCATACATTTCTTGGCTCACTTGTTTGTTATATCGTCCCAACAATGATAGACATTGCAACGCTTTGATTTGAAACCAGGGTGCTGGCAATTTACCATAGATGTAGTCTGAGAATATGTTACATTCTACGATTTGATTCAATATTGATACTAGCACTTGTGAGAGTTTTAAAACTCGTTTGTCAATAGTTTTCAGCTCCTCTGGTATTATTTCGATTAATTGCTGTGACAAATATTCTCTCTGTTTTGCAAGTAATTGAATGTGACAGTCTGCAGCATAGTCACACAAGAAGCACATTGCAACATGTAGCACAGAAGTGTCAAAATCGTTGAGAGACAACTCAATATATTGCAAATAATCAGTGGATTCTCCCTTATTGCATTTTTCCTCTCGTTCAAGTAGATAGAATGAGTGCAGAGTTAATATAGCTCGTTTCCGTACTTCGGATCTTTGATGTTTTAACAACGAAACAACAAACGGTAAAATTGCAGGAATTGTTTCTAAATTAATTAATTTGGAAGAGGCAATTAAGGCTGAAATAACATTCAAATAACGGGAGCTTTTTAAATCCTTCTGCAAGACATTAATCATAAGAAGCATTAATTCATGGTTTCGATGCAACAATAACGTCAAAGTCAAATATGCCAATCGCTTCTCATAGGTGGTCAAATCACTCAATGCACAAAAATTGACCACATGAATTGCTGCAAAATGCTCGGTTGAATGTCCCATCATCTCGCAATAGAGGAGCCTTAAAATCACTTCTTTCATTTCATACCGATCATTTAGCAAATTGGGATGTTGAGATAATTTTGCTCTCAATTCAATCTTCATTTTCAATATAACCTCATTCTCCAATTCGCGACTATGAACCTTTCCAATCCTCTCTATAAATTGAGCAAAATCTTCGGAAATGGCATCAAAATTTGAATGAGCATCGGAGGAAGTTAAGGGTCGTACTGATTGAGTAGATGAATTTATGGCTAAATTTGGACCTGAAATAACAGAAGGCAAATGACTGGTAATCACCGAAGAAGCCTGAGAGAATGTGGAGGATACCAACTCGGTAATTTTGAACATTTTTTTATGTATGTAAGATCTTACAGTCGTACTTTGTAGTTCAATAAATATAATGTAAGAATGATTGAGTAAGCCATAAGATCCCATTAATTGAATCATCAAGAAAACTAATTGTCGCCGATTTAAGAAAAAAATGAATTCCGATCAAGCAAGGCATTTTCCATCATCATCATCAAATTATTATCAACAGCAACAACAACAGCACCCACCACAAACAACAACTCCCAATCAACAACATGCCATTCAACCAAAAGGAAAGGAACCTTTTGTATTTGCAAAAGATCCAAACTCTATTCAAGTATCAGGAAGTACAACCATTGAAAAAGTTGCCAAAGTGGGTAGATTGATGTATCAATGGCAAACCGAGAATATGTATGAATTACAACCCGAAGATAATGTTGCTCGAATGAAATTAGCTAGCCAAAATTCTAATACAATTATGAAGGCTTTTATTGTTTCGAGTCTGATTTCATGGGTTGCCACGGTCGGACACAAGAAGGATGTTTTTTACTATCCTTTGAGATCATATATTATTAAACAAATTTGTAGAGTGAGACCATGGCGTTCTTTGAATCCATTCACATCGCTTGCAGTTCAAGCTGGTATTTTTGCATATGCTTTGGGATATATCGGAAATGAGAGAATTGCTGCTTACACGTATACTTTTTCTCAAGTTTGTACTCCATACGGATACATGATGAGGAAGTTGATGGCTCAAATTGATGACCCAAAGCACAAGTACAAGCCAGCTGTATTGACTACACAACATGACTATGATATGGAATTCGAGAGAAAGGTGAATGAACTTTTACACAAAAAACCCTCCGATGTAAATCATGAAGAGGAGCAACATGGCTCTGAATCATCGTCCACTAGATCTGTAATTCCACCTAGATATCAAAGAAAGCCACGAATTAACAGAGGTTTTTCACATGAGGAGAGAGTCAAATCGAGCCCTCACGATCTTGACAATCATTATTCTGACGAACCTCCACAAGAACAAAAACGTTACGACGATGAGCATTAATTTGTCATGCACTTTTTTCTCTGGTAATTGTACATACTCGTTGATAGTGTTAATCATTCAGAAATTTTTGGTATAAGCAGCCAACATAACAACACCGCTGTTTATTCATGGATGGGAAATTGAATTGGAAAGGAGGTCAATAAATTAATTTTAATTGCAAGATTTGGCAAACTCTTAATAAAAAACAGTATCAGGGGTTGAGTGCCTTTCAAACTTTCTGAATTCTTCCTGTTTACCCAACTCACCCCACAAATAATAATCCAAGTGTAAGCTATTGATATCTGCATTGTAGGGTTCACTATTGGCAATTCGAATTATTTCTTCTGATGCATGAACAGCAAGAGCTCGCAATTCAACTTCTGCTGGGCTTCCATATTTGAATGGTTTGCCGTCATGAATTTTCAACTTCATCTCTTCATCTATTTCTAAAACTCCTGCCTTGATCAATGTTGCAGGAATAACATTGTCCACAAAAATTGTCATTTCATGAATATCTGGGAAGAAAAATGTTGGATCCTCTTCGTGCAAATGGATGTGTAATTCCGCCACAATTAATTGAGCTTTCTTATACAGAAAGACTTTGAATTTTTCATGATTGGCATTCTCATATTGGGCGCTGTCATCAAGTGCGCTAGGGAAAGCCTTCACCAATTCATTGACCACAAATGCAGCTTTCCCAATTCCTCTGACCTCACTATACTTTTCCTCGTGTTGCTTCTTTCTTTCATATTCTGCAATTAGTTTTCTAATAAACGTGGCAAAAGAGTCCGAAGCTCTTTCTCTTAATTTTCTTGAAGTTTCACTCAAGACCATCCTCAAATTTTCGGCAAAAGGTTTCAATGGACTGTCTTTCTGTACTTTAATGAGTGGATACTTGTCGTGAGGAGCTTCTTCTTTGGCTGGTACTTGAAAATGTTGTTCAAGTGCGAAATAATTGTCAGAAACTTTGTCCATCATGTCCACACCCAGTGATGAAATGGTGATGTCTTCCGAGAGGAAACAATTGATGAGACCTCTCTCAATAGTTTCACAGGCTCCTTTGGATATTTTCTCATGCAATAATCTTCTAAATCCAGATCCAAATTGTAATAATCCATACAAACAACGGTAATTGGCTTCATGATCTACGGAATCAAATTGGAAAGGAAGTGAAGCCTTCTTGCAAGCCTTTTCTTTAATACTTTGCAAATTTGGAAGTAAATATTGTTCAATAAATTTAGTAGCACCTTCCGAGCTGAATGTAACGTGGGTGGTTGTTGATTCTGTAGCTACTCGTTTGCAGCTTGATTTCACCCGTTCAAAAGGATTTAGTGATGTCCAGTCTGTCGATGAAGACATTTTTTTAATATCGGAAAGAAGAACTTGTATTTTAATTTCCTTGCTTGTAAGCTTTGAAGGGGTTGTTGTTATTTATTGTTTGTTGTGAAAGCTATCATCTAATGTTCTTGATCATTGAAGGAGCAGTTTTGAATTCATTTTAAAATTTAAAAAAATGCAAACTGAGCAAAAGTACGTATTTTTCTTTTCATCATCATGAATCACTCACCTTGCTCTATTTGATGATATTAAACAATAATATTTATTACTAATATTTCAATAATTTCAAAATATGATATCAATAGAAATTGCACGTTTTATTGGAAAATCGGAGCTTGTAGGCTTGGTGATCGATGTTCTCACTTGCATCAAAAGCCAGCCTACTCTCAGACCATCATGATCCGACACATGTATCCAAATCCGAGAGGAGCAAACTATGTCGATCAAGACGGAATTCTAAGACCATTCACAAATGAATTCTTGAGAGAATATTTTGATAACTTTTATGCTGATGTATTCAAAGAATTGGAAACCAAACATGGTCTGACCATTGAAGATTTATATGTTTGTGATAATACTTGTGAACACATGTTCGGAAATGTTTATATTTCATTTGCAAATATTGAGGATGCCAAAAAGTGTTTTCAACTAATGAAAGGAAGATTTTACGCAGGAAGAATGTTAGTTCCCGAGTATTCACCTGTTCTTGATTTTTCCGAAGCAAAATGTAGACCTTTTGAAAGAGGAGGAGAGGAACAATGTCCTAAAGGAGCCAATTGCAATAATATTCATCCATTGAAACCTTCCGAAGATTTGTTAAAACATTTACTAGGAGAAACTAGATATGAATTGTATAAACAGAAGCATGAAACACCAACTCATCATGATCATTATCATCATCGTGGTGGCTCATCCGACTACAATGCTCCATATGCAGGAGGAGGACAACACAGACATCATAGACCACAACAGCACAGAGATCAACAACAGCCACCACATCAACAACCTCAATTTTCCACACCTCCCTCAAAACCTGGATTTATTCCAAGAGGTGGCAATGTCAGTGGTGGTGGAGGTAGATACCATGACAACAGGGGAGGTGATAATCGAAGATTTAGCTCATCATCTGGCTCAGGAGGAGGATACTACAATGAACAACATCAACAACCACGAGATTCCAGACATCAGGGTGGTGGGGATAATCGATATCCACGATCCGATAATAGACCACCAAGTAATGATAGGTATTACAATGCCTCTACATCACCTCCAGGATCCTCTTCTGATTATAACAAGAGAAAGAGGAGAGAAGATTCTGACAGCAATTATGGAGGTGGATCGTACTACAAGAGAAATAAGGAATAATTGTTGATCTTATAATAACATGTATTTTGTTTGTTTCGAAATTTAGGAATAATTGTGTAAACACCACGAAAAGGCCATGAACATCAAAAAGAGGAATGACCTAGAGTGGAATCTTTTTCCACACACTCCTGAAGGCTTACCTTTAAGCATCCTTCAACTTGTGGTCAGGATTGCCTTAACCAAAACAGAGCTGCAATCATCATCATCATTATGATTCCTACATGATGCAACAACACCTACGACGTTGACCTTCTTGCTCCTTGAGCTCCAGTGCTCTCTTAAGCTCTTGCACTTCACGTTGCAACCTTATTTTCTCTTGATCCAAAAAGTTGTAGTTTCCTTCCAACTTTTTAATTTGTGCCTCCATTTCTTCCATGTGCTTCTTTGAGTGTTTAAGCTCTTCGCATTTCAATTCATAGTGGAATTTCAACTCTTCATATTTGAGTTGTGACATGCTGTGATCGTCTTCAAGCGTTGACAGCAATGTCCATGCTTGAGCACTCTTTCTCTTTTCCTCCTTCAAGAGCTGTTCATTTAATTCCAGTACTTGACTAGTTCTTTTCAAGTTATTGGCCATATTTAGTAATTTAGTTTGGAGAGCACTCGATCGAGGTGTAGCAATGGTTGAGGAATTTGAAAAATCATGTGGTTGATTTTTAAGGGCCATAGGTGATGAAGGTGGTGGAGCCATTAATTGTTGCTGTTCCTTAATTCGACTTTGTAAATATTCTTGTAAGCTGTGAAACTCTCGCGCCACAGAGTGTCTCTTTAAATTTCGTTGAATTTGAACTTTGGTTGGTGAAGAATTTCCGGAAGAAGGAACGTTTGTTTTTGAAGAGGAGCTTGATGTCACACTGTGTGCTGGTGTCGTAGAGGTTGTTTGTTGTTGTTGTTGTTGTGAAGATGCCTTATTTAAAAGAAGTAATTTTGCAATTTGTTTGCTCTTGGTTTCACCAAAATTCGATTTTTCAAACTCCTCTCCGCTTTGACTACTAGTTGCCACAATATATTGCAACTCACTTCTACTTTCTCGAGAGGTGTGAGGTCTTTTATATTTTCGAATCATTGCACTCGTCGACGTTGCAGAAGCAGTCGTCTCGTTCTGTTTTTGTGACGAACTGCTCATTTCTTTTGGTGTCGTGAGTGTTGATGAGGAATTGGTCGTGGACAAGGAATTTAAAGAAATTTCAGTCGTCGAGTCCAAATGAGTACCTAAATCTCGATTGGAAGATGACGAGGAAGTGTGATCTTCGTTACTGCTGCTACTTCCAGTGTATTGATCATTGTCATCTTTGAAATGTTCGACTTTTCCTAAATTGAGTTTTGGAATGGCAGCAATTTGGAGTGCCGTGGTTTTGGCTTTTGGTGTCAGAACTGGTTCATTAGAATCCACAGATGAGTTTTCAAGTGCAAGTGTTGTTTGTGGTGGTTCAGCTGGTGGTGATTGTGCACGGTTGACATTTGACATAACCGTTTCAGAATTTCCTGGCTTTTTAATTTTCAATTGCAAACTTCTTCTTCGTTCCATCTTTTTAGCATCCACAGGCGATGCTGCATGTCCTCTCGGCGATATATCAGACATTGTAATTTGTCCAATTCGATTTTTCAATGGATTTTCAGTTTCATAATAAGGCAATGCATAACATGGTGGTGCTTCCTCTAAATTTTGATCTCCATTTTCGTGATGATTCAAATGATTATTATTATTCGTGGATCGTTGATGATGATCATTATTCATTAAAATTGAATTTTTTAAAGTGGAATGTTGAATCGTGGTAGTAGTATTGTTAGTTTGGGAATTTGCTGTCTTGGTGTTGTTATTGTTGATATTGTGTCGAGACGAAGAATATTCTTCATCTTCGTCACCGCTGCTGTAAGTATCCATTTGAGAGATGGGAACGGATAATGACCCAATGTTGTTGGTGTAGTTGGGAGAGGAAGAAGAGGGTGCCATTTGTTGATGGAATGATGTTTTTGTTAGTCTCTTTTTTTTTGAAAACTGACACTTGATGCTTTTGGCAGGTTTGGAAAAAATTGTTGTGCAAAAACGCGATGAGTGACGAAAACGTTAAAAAAGTACACGGCAAGAAAAGGTACTAATTTTGTCTTCTGTGAATCATCCGTTGGTCTTCTTCGTTTCCTACCCTTAATGGATGACTTTGCAGAACACTAATGTTGCTCTAACTACATGAATTTCTTTTCAAATTGAGACTACGACGCAGTAAGTGATCGGCAAAAACCATCGATCTCAGTTGGAAATCAGAACGGTTCACGGAGCTGTTGTTGTTTGTTGAAAGTGTGGCTGAAATAATTTATTTCTAATTTGTTGTTGTACACTACAAGGCGCTTCAATGCTGTGGTGCTTCTGTATTAGAAGCTTCTTCGTCGTAGCTGAAGGAGGCGTTGAAACTTGTGTCTCCTTCACCTGTTTCATGTTCCGTAGGTTGTGGTGGAGCGGGTGTTGCTTGAGAAGAGTCGTTTGTTGCTGTGGTGGTCATTTCTTGCTTGGTCGAGCTACTGTCAAGAACCGGAATAGGGGAAACAGAGTTTCCACCCTCATCAACATTTCGAGAAGGAACTTCTTGCTTACCGTTTTCGTCTTGTTTGTTGTTTTCTGGCTTTGTCTCACTTGTAATAGAAGTGTCATTGTTCTCAAATTCCTCAAAATCATGTTCTCGATAGTTTTCTTCGTCGTCACTAAATGCTTCATTTTCTTCTACAACCTCCATTCCTTTAATGTTGTCCTTGGATCTATTCAAAGAGGTGAAACTACCTTGGTTCACAGGTTGAAGATTCCCTGACTTATCGGCCATCCATTTTCTACTCTTAGTCCATTCCTGCTCCCAGTGGAGATGATTATATACAGGTTGTCTGTTCTGGATTCTCTTTAAAATAGCTGAATTTTCCTCAGTGATCTTTTTTGCTTCCCTCTTTCTCAAGTCGCTATTTAAACTACCTATAAATTTGTAATTTTGATTCTTATTGTCCAAATAATGCTTTCCCATTATTTCAGTCATCTTATCGACAAGAATCCGATTATCCTTTCCGATTTGATCTCCCCTTTCTATGATGTTTTTAAAAAACCGTGCTTGTCTCAGCCACAATATCGAAAATCTTACCTTTTTGCATTTGTTTCTTCTTTGCATTTGTCCTTAAATGTGGATAATCTTTTGGTGCTGTTGTATCGATAGATGGTTTGATGGAAGCTAAAGCGTCCCTATGCTTCTTGTAACTACGTTCCCGTACTTTCCTCGTACAGAGATAATTCTGTTGTGGTTCAGCCCGAAACATTGTTAATGGTTAATTACAATCCCAAGGGTATACTATTTAGTATTCTACTGAATATTTAGAGGGGAAAGAAAATATTCGGAGCTGGTGGTGATGTTGCAATGATACTAATATTCTTGTTTCTCTCAAGGTCTATCAAACGACGAGTCGGAGTTTTTAGACCTTCAGGTGACCTATTCAATTTTTTTTCTGTAAATTTATTTGAAACGGTTAGATGCGTTGAAGAGAAAAGGCGGCAACTTCACTTTGCTCTGTCGAATATTGATTCAATCTCTTATGGCAAATGATGCTCAAAACTGTAAACTTGATAAGAACTGAAGCTTCTTTGATCAGAGAAACCGACCTAGTCTTAAACAATATATTGAACAAAGCAACTCAACTGATACACACAAACAGTAAAAAATGGCAAAAAACAAATCTTCTACGGGCAAGCTGCAAGCCTCGGGATCATCACCATCGCCCACAACCATCACTCCTGAAATGATCATGAGACCTACTCCCAATGTTTCTCTCTCCGATAGTATTGCAGAAGAGTTTAAATTACCACTCAAAGCTGCCAATTACATGTTCTTTTGTTTCTTATTGAGTAATTTATTGGCTGCATTTTTAATGCCCATCAGTGATTGTGATGAAACATTTAATTATTGGGAACCTACACATTTGATTCTGTACGGAAAAGGCTTGCAAACTTGGGAATACAGTCCTGTATTTGCTCTTCGGTCTTATTTATATGTTTGGATTCATGTATTGATGGGAAAGATCGCCATGCTTCTTGGATTTACTTCTTCTGTGGAAGTATTTTATGGCATTCGGATTGGATTAGCGGTTGTGTGTGCTCTCTCACAGACAGTTTTTACAAAAGGAATTTATGAAAGATTCGGAAGTAGGATTACATTGTTGTCAATTCTTGTCATGATGGGATCACCAGGAATGTTTATTTCATCAACAGCTTATTTACCATCAGCTTTTTCAATGTACATGCTCATGTTTGCTTTCGGAAATTGGTATAGCGTTGCAATCACGGAATTGGACAAGAAAATGAAATGGTTCTTTTGTGTGTTCTTTGTGGGATCTTCGGTGATTATTGGATGGCCATTTAGTGTTGTGTGTGGACTTCCAATTGCAATTGATACCATTCACAAGTGTGGATTTTGGAGGACTTTAAAATATGCTATTGTTGTTAGTGTTGTCATAATATCTTCCACTATGGCTATTGATTACTATTACTATAAGAAAATATTTTTCACACCATTGAACCTTGTCATGTATAATAAGGGACAAGGAAGCGAAAAGTTTGGAGTCGAGCCATGGCATTTCTATACAAAGAATTTGATTTTGAATTTTAATTTAGCTTTTGTGCTTGCTCTTCTCACTCCATTCTTAGTATTGATACACTATCTTGTAACTAATAGTTGGGAACATGCACTTGTTGACAAATTGAGAGGAGCTTACATGAACCGTGCACAACGATGGACCATTCACTACCGATGGATCATATTTGTTTCTCCATTTTATGTTTGGTTTTTATTCTTCTCATCTCTTCCTCACAAGGAAGAACGATTCATGTTTGTTGTGTATCCGTTAATTTGCCTTGCGAGTGCTATTGGAATTGAACTAATTCTCAGAATAATAGATATGATAATTTATAAGAAAGGAGCAAATGAGGTGAGTAGTGACTTTTTGACCTTCTTCTGACATGATTAAATTGTATATGGCATCTTTTCCGACTGAATAGATCACAATAGCTGTAATTAGAGAATATGAGGAAGAACCTCTCCAAAGAATTGACGACCACAAAATGGGATCTCTTGGAGTGAAGAGAAGCACTATTTCTATAATTATTGCAGTGATCATTGTGGGAATTACCATGATTCTTGGCATGTCACGATCCATAGGAAATGTTAAAAATTTCCATGCACCTCTGAAAGTATATTCAGAGCTTCATAGCGAACTAACAACTTTAGAAAAGAATGCTCCATTTACTAACAAGACAATTCCAGTCAATGTTTGTGTCGGAAAAGAATGGTATCGATATCCTTCTTCATTCTTCTTACCAACCTCAAAAAAGTTTGATATTAGAATTCGATTTTTGAAATCAGGATTTTCTGGGCTTTTACCAAAATATTTTGCAGATGAAAATCCAACATCTTCCATTCCTACAGGAATGAACGATGAAAATCGTGAAGAAATGGATCGATATATTCCAGAAAACAAGTGCCATTATATCGTTGATTTCGATATTCCTGATCAAAAAGAAGAGAGTTTCAATTCTAAACCAGACAAGTGGACCCCAATCTTTCAAGTTCCATTTCTTGATGCCAATAATTCTCCAGCCTTATTCCGTTCATTCTATATTCCATTTTATAATATGAACAAGTATGGAAATTACACACTCTTTACACGAAAAATTGGCCAAGAAAAGACAAAGGAATAACGTGTTAACAATCGTTAGCATTAAATTTTCTCAGGGATATTTCTTTTCAAGATTTGTTATCTTTGCAGTTTACAATATGGCCCATATTGTTTGAAATTGCTAATCTTGCGTTGCTGCTGTCGTCCTGTTCGTCTTTTACAAATCGGCATTATTCCACATAAATTCTTCACTTTCTTTCACTAAATTTTCTGACATTCTTTTGAAATATTGTGCTTCAAATCCATTTGATCTGTCTACACCGTCCCACCTCCATCCTGGCCTAATGTCAAAACGATTTTCTGGAGCTGGCCCTAAATAAACTTTTCTAATTTTCTTGTGCTTGATTTTTTCTTCCGTCGTCTTTTTTTCAGCCAAAATTCTTGCCATTGGATCTTCTTCCTTGAGCTGATCCTTCAAATGCTCATTTAATGAAGCGTCCTGTGCATAAATAGGTTTGTATGCTTCAGATTTAGATTTATCCAGCTCATCCTGCATTTCTTGCCATTCTTCTTTCTGCTTTAGGCCTTTAGCCCAGGAAATTTCATTTTGAGTTATCTTTTTTGTTTGCTTTTTTTTCTTTTTCATGAGCTCAGCATATTCCTCAAACGAGATAATTTTCTTAGTTTCTGGATGTCTGTAAACGGTAGTTTCAGTCTCCCCTCCAGTAAGCCTTCGACTTAGCTGTTGATGAATAACGTCACTGCTGGGTGCAGTCGTTGAGTGTTTATCATTGGATGGAATGGTGCTGCTAGTTGTTAAGGGTTTTCTCAAAGGTGACAGGTCATCATCACTATCGTGACGTCGTTTGCTAACAGTAGATATTTCAACATTGGACATATTTTTTGAATGGTGCACATTTCGAACTGGTGATAAGTCTTCATCGCTATCGTGCCTGTTCTTTTTTTCTGTGACAACATTTGGTTTCACAGCATTCCTTGGTGGTGATAAATCCTCATCATCACTGTCATGTCTCTTAGTAATTGTTGTTGCTGGTTGTCGTGGTGGAGATAAATCCTCGTCGCTGTCATGCCTCAGCTTTGACTTAGCTGAATAATTATGATGAGCAATATTTGATGATTGTACACCCATTGGTTTTCGTGGTGGTGATAAATCCTCATCTTCGTCATCACTATCATGCCTCCGACGAGATTCATTTATATTTTCAGTTATATCTTCCTTCTTATTTTTCACAGGTGATAAATCATCATCAGAATCATTTCGTTTACGTTTTAATAGTTCCGTTTTCTTTGAATGATCATCCACTCGTTCACGAATATTATTATTATTTTCAATCACGACTGGTTGTAACTCATCATCCTCTTCATCACCATAATTTCCCATGCTTGATCCGCCATAGGACTTGGGTATAATAATCTTTCCTTCGTTTCCTCCTCGTTCTAGTCTCCGAGAAGATGTTTGCGCCGTAGAACCCGAAAGATACTTGGCAAGATAAGCCTTATCCGAAACGGGCATTTTTTTTTTGAACCCGAATGAATGGAAAACCTTACCACAGTGAGGAAAACAATGAATTTAATTTTCAATGGAAATCAAGTTACAGAAATTCTCTGACTGTTACAGGATTGTAGTGCCAGCTGAGAGTCAACCGAGTTAGCTTGGGCATATTTTGTGAAATGCGTTCTTGTTGTGTTAATGCTTCTTCTCCTTGCTTGCTAATTTGATTGTCATGCACACTGAGAGAGGTGAGATTTTTAAAATGTTTTGCATGGGAAATCAAGATGGCTCCTTCATTACCAATCTCGTTGAAATCTAATATCAATTCTAAAATGTTCAGAAAATTAATACTCTCTGTCATGAATTGCACTCCCTTTGCAGTAATATTATTTTTGGCTAAATTGAGAGAGGTGAGACGTGGATGATGTCTATAATCACATTGTGAAATAATTTTCACACCTTCATCACCAATATTATTTCCATCTAAATTCAACATGGTAATATTTTCAATTACATTCCTTCTATTTTCTGTAATAGTGAAAAGTGGACGAATGTGTTCATACCCAGTTACACTGGAAATCGTCTTTCGAATATTCAAATTGGTTATGTTGTGCATGTATTCGCTATTTGCTAAAAGATGCATGATTTCTGAAGACAAGGCACCATAGTTATTACTCAAATCGAGAATGGAAAGTCTACTCATTTGTGAACGCAAAGAGATGGCGACCACAGACTCTGATCCAATATTATTTCCATGTAAATTCAATGCTGTGAGTTGTCTCATTGAAGGACTTTGGGAAAGCGTGAGAATTGCCAAATCTTGAATGCCATTTCCATTCAATGCTAGACGTCGTAAGTTGTTGAGTGTTGTGCTGGATGCAATATGGAAAACTCCTTGATTTCCGCAATTGGTGTAACTCAGTGAGAGATCTGTCAGCTGATTAAGAAATTCACTCGATGCAATGAAGGAAGTGCCTTCGCAACCTATATCTGTGTGTGACATGCGCAAACAAGTCAAATTTTTCATATACTGACTCGATGCAATAAATTGTGCTCCCTGAGCAGTGATCTTGTTGTTTCCACCCACTCTTAATGAAGTTAAATGACTCATCAACTCACTATTCGCTATGGATTTAATTCCATCATTTCGAAGAAAATTGTTAGAAATATCCAATTCTCTCAAATTGCTCATGTATTTGCTTGTTGCAATTTGGGAAGCTCCAAAATCATCAATACCACTTCTTTTGCAATTCAGTAAAGTGAGGTGTTGTAAGTTTTCACTGTTTACAATCGACTGTATGTCAAGTGCTTCTTGACGAATACTACTCATGCTAAGTGACGTTAAATGTTTTAAACAAGAATTCTGTGCTGTAAGCAATAGAGTAAATTCCTGTAAATAGACGTCTGTGCCAAAAAATGGTGCTGAAACCTTCAATTCCAACAAGTTCTTCATCTTTTCACTGCTGAATATTTGATGTAATGAAGTTATGGGAACGGAACAATCATTCAATTTTAGAACTCTCAAATTACTCATAAAGTCGCTCTGTGAAATTGCTGTCAAATTTAATTCTGAACCTGGGTCAGTAAATTGCAAATTTAGATAGGTCAGTTTGCTCAAGTATGTGCACTTTGCAATGCGTTTCAAGCCCCTGTGCTTAAACTTGTTATAACTCAAATTGAGTGATGTTAAATTGCTTATAAATTCACATTTCATAATGGACTTTAACCCTTTCTTACCAACTATACAGCCTTCCAAGTTGAGTTCTGTGAGATTTGAAAGAAGCAAGGGCTGAATATTCTGTCTTTTGGTTCGGAAAATTAAATCGAACTTGTTTCTCGATATTTTACACTTTGAAAAATCCAAACTTATACTTCTTCCTGTAATGGAAGCACAATACCATTGTTTACAAACTTTCATAAAAACTCCTCCAATAAATTCATAATTACAATCATCAATAAAATCTAAAATTTGAAGTAAAATTTCATTGGGAAAAATTGAACAATTAAGTGTGCTCTGGTTTTGAGAAATGTTTAGAGTACGGTTGAACATTGTGTTTTTTACATTCGGATCACTGTCCACTGGCTCTTTCGTTCCGTGTTCGCTCGATGTCGGAGAGGCTTTCCAAGAGGATATAAACTTTTTGATGAAAGGCATTTTTTTACCTTGAAATGTGAACTTCAACATTGAGTTCTTCTTAAGAAACAAACAAACTTAAGAAAACATCACTGAACGTGTTTTGTGCGCTGTTTGTTACAGTGGTGTTCCTTAATTTTGTAACGAATTGGAAGAACAATGGGAAGGTAATTGTTTTGTTTATTATAATCGTTCATGAAATGCATTTTTCACTCGAAAAACAAGTCTGTTTCAAAAAGTATTAAGGTTGATGAAAGGGATTTTGTTGCTGTTGTTGTTGTTGTTGCGTGTTTTGAAAGGAAAAGAATTGCTGAACTTGAGTATTGCCTAGTGATGTGGTTGTTTGATTAGATGATGACTGTTGTTGTTGAGGAAATGATTCATATTGTGAAAAGTGAGATTGATAAGATGTTGAATCAAACTGTGGCGCTTGTTGTTGAGGTGGTTGTTGTTGCTGAGTACTCTCCATGTAGGTATTAAAAATGTTGAATTGAGTACTAGGTTGTGACAATTGTTGTTGTTGAGAAAATTGTGAGGAAAAATCTGTCGTGTTTTTTCGTTGAAGCATACTCATCAAAAGTGCACTCGAATAATCTTGTGCATCAACAACTCCCTGGCCACCACTACTACTAGCGGCAGTAGACGATGAAAATACATTTTGAGAAGCAATATTCATGGTTGAGGGCGAAATGAGTTGTTGAAGTGTGAAATTTGGATCTGCCACTGTTGGCGATCGTTGATAATATTGAGTGCTGGATTGTGGTGGTTGAACTGCTTGGAAATATTGAGTGCTGACCACATTGCCCGACGAGGAAAATTGTTGTTGTTGCTGTTGTTGCATGGGTTGTTGCAATGACATGGATGGTTGAGGTTGTTGAAGCACAGGAGTGGGAGGTGCACTCATTTTTCGTTTCTTTCTCGAAGTATCGAGTGTCGTGACAGATTGGCTTGTCACAGCAGAAGGAGCCAACATTTGACCTAAATTAAATGATTGAGCACTGGTTTGTGAAATTTGAGTCGTAGTGGGCGTCATGGTAGTGGTGGTGCTTTGATCAAACATGTTGGTATTCGTTCCAAAATTATATTGATTGGCATTTCCCATTAAAGAGGTCATAAATCCTTGTGTAACATTGGATGTAAATTGAGGTGTCATTCCACTCATCATTTGATAACCTGACGAAGTTTGTGGCATCATGAAACCTTGTTGTGAACTAGTCATTGTTTGTTGTTGAGATAGTTGTTGTTGCTGTGAAATCTCAGTCACTTCTGGTCTCTTTTTCCTTTTCAGTTGTGTGGTTGAGGACGATACTGAGCTCGCTGCTGATGGAGTCACAGGTGAGATTTGTTGATAACTAGTAGTAGGATAATTTTGTACATGTTGTTGAGGAGAGGGTGTTTGCATTTGTGGAACATCCTGAACCACTACATTCAATTTACTTTGTTGCGCCCTTCTCTGAGGTTGTTTTCCAACATGTACCACAGATCTCATTTGTCCAATCATTGATCCAGTATTCATATTTCGAACATGAGTGTTTGTAATGACTCGTTGATGAGAAGACGTCGAAGAAGAGATGGACATGTTACTACTTTGAGTTGCTGAAGTGGTTGTTTCTGCATCGTCGTCAGATTCTCCGCCAGCATGTGAACCCTCTGCTGCCTCACTACCTCCACTGCTTGATTGAAGAACAGATTTTGGATCGTTCTTAATGGCAACAATTTGTTTTTCGATTTTCATAATGTCATTTCTTAATTGCTCAATTCGAGAGGAGAGTTGATGCTTTTTAATGGGATCGAGAAGAATGCCAGGTGAGTCTTGCTTTTCTAGCTTTTCCAAAATGATTCTCTTTTCATTGATCTTGCTCTTGTATCTGTTAGGTTGATGCGGCATGAATAAATGTCATGCATGACAAGTGACATTCGTAGGTAAAAGTAGGATGTTGTATGAGTAAGTGCCGAAATGATTCGACATTGTTATTATTGTATAACATTGCCATCAGTACATGAACACATTTCAATGATTACATGATCTCTCTCACACATGTGTACACATACAACTATCAAATACTTACGATTGAATTTTTCTATAAGGCCATCGTGGTATCCCAATTCCTAATGTGATGATCATGGTCAGCATGTACAAATGTCGACATTGAGAATATTCCGATCATCATGATGAATCAATTTCACACAAGAAAGGGAATTTGAAAATGAATGAATTCAATTTTGATTCCACATGTGTGTCAATTGAGTCAATGAATAATCACATGTGCATGACGATAGATGTTATTTTACATTTTCAAATGTTCCAATATATAAATATTGTATACAAAAGTTGACATAATGTCAATCAACAAATAAAGCCTTCAACAACATACCTCTACAAATTCGTTTGAGCTGAGTGAGGGAAATATTCAACATGGCTGCAACATTCTTGATCGGTGTTTCAAAGTAAGGCTGTAATTGAGTTATAGTAAACGTAACAGATGGAGTTGATTTTGCTGTGGATGATGATGCCGTAGGTGTTGTAGGCGATGATGCAATCATATTCTCTTGTTGTTGTTGTTGTTGAGAGAGTTGTTGTTGCTGTTGCATTACGTTTGTGGATGGTCGAGTACTGGTTGTAGAGGTGGTTGTTGTTGTTCCTAACCCAGATGAAGGCTGTTGAAAGTGAGAGATTGTTTGTTGTTGTTGTTGTTGAGGAAGTTGATGAAGGGATGAACCCAAAGAAGAAGTTGTAGTAGTAGTACCTTGTGCCATTCCATAGAGTTGGCTCAGTAGTAGGGAATTATCACCACTAAATAGTTCATTGGTGCTACTTCCAAGAGGATGAGATCTCTCTAACGATTGTTGTTGTTGAGTGGTTGTTGGAGAGGCTGTTGTCGTTGTTGTTTGAAAAGGATGATCCTCCTCTTCACCCAATAATAACATGGAAGAGAATGGAATGATTGGAGGATTCATTCTACTACTACTCGTTGTATCCCCTCCTTGATGCAGTTGTTGCTGTTCCATCATGCCATGATGATAGTGAGCAGCAAATTCATCCTCCATGATCATGGAATAAGAAGATGCATTGGATGGTTCATGATGATACTGCTGCTGTTGTTGTTGCTGAGTCGCTGCTGCTGTTGCAAACAACATGTTATTGATATTCTCTGTTGTGGAATGGGATGAAAAGAAGCCTTCTTGTTGCAACTGTCCTGTTGTTGGTAATAAATTGCTTGGCGAATGATGATGATGACCAAGAATGGGAGAAAGAAAAGAGAATGAGGAAGAACTTGCTGATTCGGATTCGTACAAGGATGAAGCTGTTGTTGTTGTCGTAGTCGTCGTTGCGGTTGTTCTTGGTTGTGCACCAGTGCTTGTTGTTGTCGTAGAAGCAGGAATAGGAGGAGTCGTCGTTGTTGTTGTTGTCGTACTGAGATTTGCTTGAGAGTGTTGGTCTTTCTGTTGTGACATTGGAAGAGAGAGACACTCACAATATCGTTGTAGTTAATTTGTGAGTAATAAAAGTAGTAGAATTGTTGTTGTCGTGATTATTGTAATTGTTGTAATATTTAGATTTAATTGGTTTGAACTGTTATTGAATGGATGTAATAATGATGACGACGAATTCATGAAGAGTGCAACATTCGAACAAGTTTCGTCGTGTTCATAGGGTTGCCTTCGCTTGCGAGAGAATGCTGATGCTGTTGATGTAATTGTTGTTCTTGCAATTATTATAATAATTCTCTCTCGAGAGATTTCACCAAAAAACACAGTACCAACTCCTCTCGATTCAACTTGTATGGTGGAAAATTTCAACGCACTTGAGGTGTTGTTTTGGTACTTTTTTATGCGTTGGGAAGCTACAGGTGTGCGAGATGTGTTGACAATTGTCAGTGCGACAGTACAAGTGTGTTTTTTTACAAATGCCAAAATCTGGAGTGTTTTTGATTCTTGCGAACTGCGAAAGAGGAGTGGACCACACAAGAAGAATGCACAACCAATTTGATAATACTTGTTGGCTGAATATTTGGATACAGTTATATTGTAAACAAATCCAAGGGAAAATACTACTCAAGAAGTGATGCACGTGTGCAATGGTTGCACCAATATTCTAATACTGGACAACAATTTCCAAGATGAGAAGTAAATAACGGAAACAATTGGTTATGTCAGTTTGGAATGTTTGTTGAAAGAGAGAACGAGAGCATTCAGAGAGAGACACTACTGAATTCAATGTATTGAAAATTGGACAAGTGAATCCAACTCGGGTAACTTGGGTAGGTCAAAGGAAATTCGGTGCTGTTGGTTTTGACTCCAATTTTTTTAGAGATGGCAATGGAATGTCAAACTGTCAAAAATAAATCGGACCAGCGGATGAGAAATGGTGCGATATTGCAAAGTAAGGCCTTATCTAGTCAATAAGGTCACCCGTTAGATATTTAATTAGCAGGTCGCTCGATTCGTGATTTTTTATTAAACATGGACTCTCTTTGCGAATCATGAGACGTGTGAATGTCATTCGAGGAAAGACGACATTCATAGAAGTACATGTTTCGTTTGATTTAGATGGTAAGCAAAGACTTCTAATGTATTCTCAAAAGTAATGCCTTACTGGTCTCGCTTATAGCTTTGAAGAATTGAATTTAGGAAGATTGGAGAAATGGATCTTGCCCTCATTTGACTCGTGTTGCCTCAGAATGTCATGAAGGAATACAATGCATGATGGAGATCTCATTCATGGTGTTTGGTATGGAGAAGGTTGTATTAAAAAATTCTAAAATAGATTGATTTGGTCTAGCGGTTGACAGCAAGGGTGGATGACCGTTTATTAATTGTAAAAGGTTGAAAAATTGTAAAAGATATTGAGGTTGGTGTAAAAGTATCAAGGAATAAGAGGATAGGAATGATCCATGTCATGAATTTCATAAGAAAACAGTGTTTGGTTCAGCTCGACTATATTCACACTAAAATCATGAATTTCACAGAAAAAGGAAATTGATCACAAACGATGCACAGAGCTCTTAAAACATTGTTGTAATCTCTTATTTTGGTAGTGTTCAGGACTTTGTGGGATTTTTACATTGTGAGTTATTCATGATGAGCGAGATTTAAAAATCATATTGTGAATGAGTCCATTAGTTATGAATGAATCATATTTCTTTATGATACAACTTTTTCAAACAACAGATTCGAATCTGTCAACATGTCGCTTAGAAAATTTCTTCTTCAGAAAGAAGTTCTTCTGAAGGTTGTTGCTCTTCGACAGCATTCACAGTATTTGATGTGTTGCTGTTGTCACTACTTGAAATTTCTTCTGTTGGAGTTGGAGTTGTTGTTGTTTCCATTGGAGTAGAAGTCTCCTCAACTTCACTTGTAGTCGGAGCTGTCATGACTGTTTCAGAACTTGACACATTACTCAACATTTCCGTACTTGTTAAAAATTGTTCCTTTGGAATGATAAAACGTTGAAAATGTTGTTTAGCAAGTAGACATGATCCACTACTTTGGAATCGATACGAATGCATGGAATCTCCCTCCACTGCAATTCGATACAAGAATTCATTTTCCTCAAAAAGTTCAATCATGGTATTAAATGCATGTGTAAAAGTAGAATCCACTCCAATATGTTGTTCATGATGAGAAGGACTGCTTCCAACATGTTGATGTTGAACGAGATATGAAACAAGATAATCTTCCATTGAGGTTCTAGAAACTTTCTTGGTGACATTTGCTTTTCCTAAACAATCCACTTTGTAAGCTAAATTTTCGAGATAATCTTTGGAAATGATTGAAATTTGATAGCTCAATAATCCAGTGCTGTCATTTCGAATGCAGAGTTGACCGTTTTCGTGAATGGTATAATTGAATTCAGCGTTGGGAGATTGATAGCAACTTTCAATTCGGAAAGTACTACAGATGGCATGAGGAGGACATTGTCTACATGGATACCATGAAGAAGATGAACTACCTGTGTGCATGGTTGGAAATGTTTTAAGCAATAACAAAATGGCATTTGACAGGTCAAGGATGAAATTTTCCAACATGATGCAAAAATATCATATTCACATATTTAAATATCCGTTCAAATATATCAAATATTCCATCGGTAAACGAAAAAACTCATCAACAATACTTACAAAATGGTCGATACGACGATGCCATCCACACTCCAAACAAAGCCACGAACACCACAAACAACATGACCACTAATTGGTGGCTTGCCGAGTCGATCAAGTTCCTTTCTGTTTTAGCTCCATCGGCTTGCAAGTGTGAAATCAACTTGCTCAATTCCAATACAGTTGTTTCATGAGAAGTGTATGCGATTTCGCTCTCAGACAAACGTCGTGCAAATTTGGGAGTTTCATGTTTGGGTGTTGGTGGAGCATTAATATCGAGAATGATGGGTCGTTGTCCTTGTTGTGAAGTCTCATCATCATGTAGTTCTAATAATTCATCGACAAAGGATAATTCTTGATCGGGTATTTGAGAAGTGGAAGTGGATGCCCATGATGATGAGGATGGGGGAATTTCAAAAGAAGGATTGTTGATCAGCGGTTGTTGTTGTTGCCTTTTCACAAAAGTAGCTGGCTGTCGTTTGGTTGGAGTTTTGAAGGGATCAAGTCTTGACATGGTGATGGGCTGATGTTGTTGATGATGGAAATTATTGAATGTAATTAGGATGATGGTGTGGAGAGGATTTGATGATGGTTTGGTGTGATGATGGCGTGAAACGTTTTAAAAGTGATGGAATTTTTTTGGCTTAACGCTTGGAAAGTGACAAGCTGACAGCGACGCTTGCTTGTCCAAAAATCAAATACTACTAAACTTTAAAGGTTGGTGTTTACAAGTAATGTTGTTCTCATTTAAGGTTGATGTTCTACAACAACAAGTAATGCAATTATTACCGCTTCACCAAATTAACAACACTCTTTGCTGGGGCAACCCCTTTTGGAGGAATGACAGACTTGCTTCCACTCAGGGCCTTTTTGGTTTGTTGTTTCGCCAAATAATTGACAGGGCTGTTGGTATAGGAGCGAGGAAGAGATGGTGTTTTGGAATGCATGGAAATTGGAGAGGAACCTGTGGGCGTTTCTGATTCAGGCTTCTTGTACAGCTCAAAGGGAGCCATTAGCAATTGCTCATGTGCAAAGAAAGAGCCACCCAAGACTCTCTTCAACTCGTCAAAACCATTTGCTACGTTGAGCTCCCATTCCTCTCTGAACATATCCAACTCATTTTGCTTTTCACTAAACTCCACATAATTTGCAAGGACACGTTGCCGTTCATTGTCTTCAATATCTTTCAATCTCTTATTTCCAATGATAACCAATCTCTTCATTTCAAGTTCACTCAAAACAACCTTCAAATAGGGTGGTTTGGGTTTTTCAATAATTTCTCCGTTTTCGTCTCGAATGGACGAAGGATCAATGGAGGCTGCACCACCACTAAGAGCGCTCTTGGCTTGTAAAATGTACATGAGTTGTTGAACTCTTCTTTCGTATTGTTGTAACTTATTCTTATAAATTTTCTGTGCTGTAATGTACTCTTTTCTTCGTTGTTTAAGGTCACTAGAAATGATTTCTTTCTTAATTTCTAGAGGCATTCTCAAGAGTCGGAATCTGAATTTATCTTCACGTTCCATGTTATCAATAGGATCATCAAGAGTTGGAGTTACAGCAAGCTTGCTCTCTTCTCGAAGCAGCATGGGGCTTGAAAGCTGTGAAGAGGGTCTACGATTAAGAGGTATAACACCATTCGGAGGAAGCTTCTTCTTTTTAGGTGGTTCAACAACTTCGCCTTTCAATGGAATTCCACGAAGCATTTTGGCTTCGACGATAGAATACTGCAGTACTTGTATCATTATTTGCATTTGCTTAATTTGGTGCCACTTTCGCAAAAAGCGTTGCACCTTGATCACTTTGCTCCAAAACAAATGAACTTGTCTGACGATTTGGAAAGACATGTTGGTCTCTCTGAGGAATGACTTGATAATCATTGTGGATTCCTTCTTTTTCTTTACACCAATCCAAAGACGGTAGAATATCCAGTGCCTTGAATTTGGTACAAATAAATGTAACGTTCGTTCACGAAGAATACAAGGTATTGTAAGATAAATTTTCATAACAAAGTATCATATAGTTGTATGATAAATTTTCGAAATGATCAATCTCAACAATCAGTACATACTTTTTAAAATCATCCCAGGCTTGCTTCCATTTTTGACTTCTTTTAGCCCAAATTACTGGCATCAAACTGGTGTAGGAAATCTTTTTAACCCTCTTGAATTTTTCTTCCTCTTTCCTTAAATATCGTCTTCTCAGGAGCTCTCTTGCAAAAATTAAAAATCTTGACAACAAACACACAAAGAACGACCATTTGGAGTACAATTCTGCGTCTTTGGCCTTATTTTCATTTTCTTGTCTGTTGTACTCAGCCAGTAACCTTCTCTTTTCATCCTTTAGGGCAAGATTTTCTTTTCTATCTTGGAATTCTTTCGTTAATTTTTCTTTCTTTTCTTGAGCTTGTGCAATCTTGTCGTTTCGTTTTTTAAACTACGAAATTGATTGGTACCACCATTGTTTCAAAAGGAATCGACTCTTAATACTTACTGCCTCTTTTAATTGTTGCATTCTGGTTTCTTTGAAATTTTCTGGTACCTTCTTATTTCTGTTCACATGAATCATTTGCATCTTTTTATCTTGTTCTGCTTCCTTTGTTTGTTTTTCGTATAGATAAATATCCTTCTCTAACCTTTCAAGCTCATCAGGATTATGATACAAAATTTTAAGTCTCTCGTCAACTTGTTTCCTTACACTTGCATTTTTCTTTTGCTTTCTCTTAATTTGATCTTTCTTCTTCTTATTTTCTTTTTTTCGTCATAAGAGTTACATGTTTGAAAGAATTAGACACAATTTTAGAATTCCTCCGTTAATTCAACAACAATTAAGTGTTCTTACTTACCTAAATCCATTTCTTGCTTTTCCTCATCACACTTCATGGATAGAATCATGTTCTGAATGTCATCATAAATATCATTTTCTCTTAAATTTCTTCTGGGCTGAGTTCCAAGGTCCATGGCTTGTTTAAATTGTTGGTCGCTACCAAGATTTGTTTTTTGTAAATAATCCCAACAAGACTCTACGAGCTGATTATGAGAAAGAGTAAATGATGAAAGTTCGGGTGCAAACAACTCTTCTTCTAAACTGTCATAGTCAACTTCATACTCATTATTGTCCATACAGTTCATACTTCTTCGCATGGCGGTACCGGCTGAAAGTAAGCGACGTGTTCCTCGTTTTGCTGACGGTGGTTTTCCTCCACGTACATTGGGAAACCTCAGATCAACCATGCCATACTCGCCAGTATTAAATATGGCCTTCTCAGTTTTTGGGGTTTCAATCCTCAAATCTTTTTCATACGATAATGATATACTTTCGGGTGTTTTTGAACTTCTTAACGAGGGTAGACCCTTCAGATCCTTCTTGTTCGGTATTGTAATGTCGAGTTGTGATGATGGTCTCGAATGCACATCTGGAAGTGAGGACAAATCAAGTCTTGACGAGCTTGTTGATGAGCTTCTCAAGTGTTGATGATCAGCTGCACTAGACATTCTGCTGTACAATAGTCTTGTTGTTGTTGTGTCCTGTCTCGAGAATCAAATATATGTATTCGGGAATTATAATTCTTGTCTTGTTGATGATCCCGAGCCGGGGAGGGAGAAGGGTTGTTTCAAAGCTTTTTTTTTTGGCGCTATCACGTCTACAGAGCGAGATATCTACCGTTGTGTTTTTAAAGCCTTCATTCAACGATCATGGACCTCTCTCAAAGCACCAACAAAAAATGGATGTTAGAATCGTGGACGAGGAGAGAAGAATTAATGTGTCGACCTCTTCGATTTTCATCAATCATGATCAAATTGGTAACATCATGATGACGAATAATAATAGTAATCATCAGCAACATCAACATTACCAGAATAGTAATAATAATAATCAGCATATGATTGGAGGAATCGGTACAAGTAATTTAAATGGACTAAGTGCAAATAATGGTGGAATGAAGGCAGGAGTTGTTCTACGGACCAGAGTGGAGCTTCCGCAATTTGATTTCCATGGACTGCCTCAAATCCCACCCTCGTCGAGTTATGCTAAGAGATTGAGTGATATCAAGCAATATGGGCCCAATACTTTTGTTTTGAATAAAACAGAAAAACCTCCGTCGGCAGGAACCCGAGGCGAAATGGTCTATCAATACACTACGGAAAGTATTGCAAAGAGACAATTAATACAAGAGAGGGAACAAATAACGTTGCCAAATATTCGATCACGGGAATCAACAAAATCAGCTCAGTCCTTGGGAAAACCAGTTCAACGCCTTAATCGACAAATGGTGGTAGGTTTTAACGCAGTCGTAATGTATGGATAAGCAGGAGTCGCTCAATACTATCCTATTGTTCGTCTCTAATGTCTATCGAATATTATTATTATTCATGCCTGAAATGAATGTTACGTATTGTGGTTTACAGATAAGATTAGCTCATGCGGAGACGGAAGAGGAAGTTTTGGAATGTCTTGCATCAGATAAGGACCTGGAGGGAGTGCAGCAAGAAGACATGGAGGTATTCAGAAATTTATATTTTCTTGATGTGTCTGGAAATTATATTCCTTTTGAGCAGTTGGCTTCCTTGCCCTCTTTGAAGAATTTAAATATTGGCTGTAATGCCCTTTCAGGAATTTCTATACCCCAACATGTGGATAATGCATTTTCAAAATTAGAGGTAGGTGTTTCCATTGCTATGCATAATTTATAAGAGATGAATATGGAATTGTTTTCATGCTTCACTTTTGATTTGAATAGATTTTAAATCTTTCGTATAATACTTTTTCAGATCCCTATTTGTTCAATGAGCTGGGAAAATTGAAACAGTTACGAAAACTTGACTTGAGCGGAAATAACTTACAAGGGCTCCCAAATGATCTCTCACAATTTAGCCTCACTGAAATTATTCTGGAAGATAATGTGCTGGATTTTTCTGTATTCTACTCTTTGAGCTCAATGCCAAGGTAGGTATTGTTGTTTTGTTGTAGAGGCTCTACATACTGATATTCATCATTTCTCCACTAAAAATATGTGCATATGAATCATTGAACGCTTTCACATCCATGTAGTCTGGTTGAAATCTCTCTCAACAAGAATAATATTGAAAAAATTCCAAAAATTAGAAAAGAAATATTTCCAAACCTCCTTCGCCTTCGATTGGAAGAAAACCAAATTACTACACACGAAGATTTGTATGTTAACGAGTTTTCCTGTCTAGAAACTTTGTATATTAGTTCAAACCCTATTTCTAACAGAAGCAAGGACCTAGAGAGAGCTAGATATACCTGCAATAAGCGAAATATCCGGATAATAATTTCAGGATTAATTATGCCTTCAGAAAAACTGCCTGTCACCAAATTCTACAAGTTAAACTCCATGATCAATGTAAATAGTATTAACAAGAAAAGTCAACCACCTGCGACCAGAGAGAAGGAAATGGATACCACAAAGGAAGAAGATACTGAAAGTTCGTTCTTCATCACAGCTGTCCCAAGGCTAGATCTGAAGGCTGTTGCTGAAAAGGAGCCTACCTCAGAAAAAATTCTAACTCCAACAAGTCCTTTCCGATCTCCTACCACAAAACTCTTTACAACTCAGTCTGCTTCTGAAATCAAGAAAATTACGGAATCCTATGACAGAATGAATGATATTGGTAAGAAAGTCAAGGTCACCTACGATGTCAAAGATCTAAGAAAGAGTTCCCGAATGCCAGCTGATAGGTATGAATACAATAAGGATTGGTTCGATTTGGATGTGGCCCTTAATAATGTGGATGAATCGCTAGATGAAGAAATTAAGAAAAACGCCTCAATGATTTCCCAAGAAAAGCAAAAGCTAGCCCTCTATAATGACAGTGTTGACCTCTACAAAACCAATCTAACGGACAAAAAGAATACATATCGTGCTCTCAAATTTGCAATTGAAAATCCCATTAAATTGCCATTCGCCGCTACTAGAGAGAGTACGAGTGATGCCACCAAGACTTCACTCGATGTGAGTGCTTTGAAGAGTTTGTATAGCTAATATGGAGTATATTCATGAATGGGAGATATAACCACAAATATTTGGTCCTTTTGAGAATGAGGCATGATGGTTTCGCTTGGAATCTTTTTTGCAATGAAATGGCTATAGCAGGCACAATAAAAAGGCGCAAGGTCACCCTCTGGATCAGATTATCTTGATTCATCTTCTTTGGTAATTGCTGGCATTTGTGAAAAGTCTTGCCCTGTCGTGTCAAGATTTCTTCGTTTCTCTTCATTAAAAATATTTGAAGGAATTCCTTCGATAGACTTTCTCAATTTTTCAATCTCTTCTTCGGAAGAAATCAAATTTTTGACCTTCTCGGCCTCTATTCCTTCAAATATTGAAAAATTAATTGGTTTTAAATATTGCTTCAAGACTTGATTAAATATTGGAGCGACAGGATCTGTCAAAATTGATGTTAAAAAAGAAATCATTCTTCCTTTTTGTTCCTTCTTATAATCAATATATAATTTTCTCTTTTTTTCAATATTTTCCATTGCTTTTTTTCGTACATATTCGGCAAGAAGAGGATCATCACTCTTGGTGAATGGGAATTTTTCATCATCATCACTTTGCAAACTTTTTGTGGATGATACTTCATCCTGATCTAAAGCATTGCTGTTCTCGGATTCAGTCGTGATTGACGATGAATTTAAAGATTGGTGATCATCTTCATTGGACTGGACGTCCTCTGGACTCATTTTTTACTTGCGTCTGTTATTAAAAGACCTCAATGAGAAGGCTGAGAAGAGAGTATGAAGAATTCTGAGAGTGGGACAAGAGTGAGAACAAGTTTGCTTTGAGCCTGCAAGTTCAAATGAATTTCCAATCCCAACCAGAAAAAATGCAACAAACACTACCTGCTTTATCACCATCCTCTCTTTTAGATAGTGAAATTACAGAATTGATGCGGAAATCCTTTTTCACCATCATCAGAGGAGAACGAGTTCCGAATACTGATTTTTTACAATTATACAACTCCATTCATGTACTGCTTCACAATGTGGATATTAGCAAGAAAGATCACTCAGCTATTCATCGGGATTTATTTGGGTTGGTGCGTGAGCAAGTTTTTAAATCAATTACAGAGAGTGATGTAATGAAACAAGTGATCATGACATTCAATGATAATTTCGATGTTAATACAGATACCAAGTCTAAAAGCATAATTGATCTTTGGAGCAAATCAATCAAAACAGTTGATCACTTTATTCAGAGATTATTCAAAGGAAGGCAATATTTTCAAAATTGTTGCCCTTTGAGCTTGGTTTTAGCCAGTCATGTTTTTGAAGAAATGTGTTGTGAAGTTGCTCTGGACATGTCTGAAGAAGGAAACTCACAACACTGCTCCAGAACTTGTTCCAATAATCATGAGCACTCTTTCAACTTGACTCATCTAGAACAATTGAAGTCAACACTTCAAGAATACTATCAGGAACAATCAAAAAAGAGTGAAGAGCTATTCAAGTCGTTCAAAACTCTGACACAACAACCAATCCCAAGACACAAATTTACCAGATCAAAAAATTTGATTCATGACGTACAGGGTGATATGGGTATCAAATTTGCCGAAATTGATGGAAGCAAGTTAACCCGAACAGACATTCCTCTCTCAAAGGAGTGCAATCTTGTTGAAGAATCCATTGCTTTTTATATTGATGATGTGTTGACAAGTGAGGAATGCGAGCAAATTATTGAAAAATCTGAAACACAATATGGATACAGAACATTGGAGCATGAATTCTTGAAATACGAAAGAGACAATGACCGTGCTCTCATTTCCTTCCCATATTTTGCTGACCTGCTGTGGAAGAGGATTAAGCCAGTTCTTGAAAAAGATCCACATGTGTGGAGCGAGTTGAGACCTTTCGGTTGGCACAATGAAGGAAAATGGCAACCCTCATTCATTAACACATGCATGAGATGCTGTCGATACACAGGCCCATGCGTTGGCTTTATTCCTCACAGGGATGGCAACTTTGTTGCGAGCATGGACCAAAGATCCAAATTCACTATTATTGTAAGTACTGCATGCAGATGTTGTTATTCATGTCACGATTACGGATATTAACAACAACAATGACATGAATTTCTGTAATAATTTTAACCTGTCATGTATGAACGTGTGTAATTATCGACCCGCATGATACAGATCTACCTCAATGATGACTTTCCAGATGGAACCACTGATTTTCTGCGAGCTCACCAACCTGCCACCATGGGTGAGCTTGTTCGAGAGGAATTAGAACGAGGTTACACCTCCGAATTCAGTCTCAAACCCAAGAAAGGTCGAGTACTCTTATTCGATCATGTTCTTCTTCATCAAGGAGCTCCTATCCCAAGCGGCTTTCTCAAATACATCATTCGAACAGACCTTGTGTTCACTCGTGTCGAAAATCCAACTCCAGATCTTTCATACCTTCAAGATGAATATTATTGGAAAATGCTGTACTATTACAAAATTGCAGCCAATTATGAGTGTCATGGATTTGTTGATGTATCCTCTGAATTATACGAAAGAGCACTTTCCTTGCGAATGCACTATCCAAGAAAAGGGACACACATTCCAAGTGTAAAGAATTTGCCATCTCTTTCATCGAAAGGCTCCTCTGGTACGAATGATCATCACTGATGTAGAGTAGACATTTTACATTCGAGGTGCAGCAAGGATGAACATTACCTGGCATCCAAGTCATGTTGAATGCAGTGATACAAAGTAATGAGTGGACGCATTGGATGCATGGAAAAGATTCGTTGTCAATGAAGACCGCCCTTCAACACAAATTTCCTTTTTCAAACCCAATAACCAACATGTAGTGAAGCGCAATAAACAGCACTGTGTTTGGATGAGTCCTCAACGATCACTTTCGTTTGAACGTTTGGAATGCGAGGAGTCCACAACGTCATCATGCCAAATGTCATCGCAAATCTCCAACAAAAATTTGCGCTCTTTAAACTCCAATAAAAATGATTGCGGAGAGAACAACACCTTCTTCGCCATCTCCACCATCATCATCACCATTAAATCATCCTGGTTTTAGAGTCAATCCAAAAGAAACAAAATCTTTGACATCTGACTTGAGCCGAACGAGTAATAATAATTTTGAAACAACATTTCAAACACTAGACCATCAACAAGATTTTCTCGATTCTTTCCGCGATGATGATGATGAACTCAATTCTTCATTAGACATTGACTCCTCTCTTCTTCTTTCCAACATTTACATCAACACTTCCAAACCTATGAATCATCATAACAAACCAATTTCCAATAACAAGAAGAACAATAACTTTCAAAATTCAGCCAATTTCGAACACAACCACTCCTTCACTCTCGATGATGGTAACAATCACCATCCGATCACTTGCAAACTTACTCCCAATAATTCATCAACTTCTTCAATGACAAGTACAACGACCATGTCAACAACAACAACAACAGCAGAAACTCCTGTCACGGCTACCACAACCATGACTCATGATTCTTCCTCGTCTCAATTATTGATCATGAACGCTTCGAATATATTTGAAGAAAACGCATCCGATGCCTTGTTGTCTGTAGTTACAACAAAAACGAGTAATTCTTCATTATTTTCTTCAGCAACGGATTCATCATGTTCATTAACTACAAGTGGTCACGTGCCACTAGTTTTGAATATGGAGGAGGAGGAACCTTTTGAAGATGTTTTTGATGTTGTAGAACATGATGAATTGGATGTCATTGGAGGAGAAGCAATTCTCGAAGTGGATGATGAATTACAGAAATCAAGTAAGAAAACACATCAAAGTACATCAACGAATCAGTATGTGGATCGAAATCATTGTCGCTGTGACGAGAATGTTATGAACGATGATGATGATTTGAAACGAAAAAATATCATGATAACGAATCATGGAATAACAACGATGGAAGATGTCAAACCACACAATACAATGGACAATGACGATGATGATTTTGGATTGAAACCTTTGAATTTATCAAATTCTAAATGGAAATCACAAAATTTACACACCACTACAAATATCTCATCCCAAAAAGCCAATGTCACGAATCCAACCCAACAACATGTGGTCATTGAAGAAGAAATTGAAGAAGATTGTGACGAATTTGAGGACTATGATGAACATGAGGAAGAAGAACATGATCTATTAGTGAATACCTCCTCCACCAACACCAACACCACTACTACTGCAACCACATTGAAACAACAAGATCTTTCATTACTTCCGTTCCGATCCCAGAAAAATTCAAAAACCTTCTCAGCTGCTCCATCTTCTTCTAATGTATCAACACCCCAGTACTCTCATCCAAGTGCCTCATCGGCAACAACTCCTTTCAAAGCAACACCAAAATCTGCCTTTCATTTAAGAAATACTAGTGTGACGAGTGACATGACTGTCTATTCAAGCATGTATGATGATTCTTTGGATCCATCTCTGATACAGAAATATTATGATGATTTTGATGATGATGATTATTTTGATTTGGAACCTCAAAAGTTAACAATTACTTCGAGTAAGCACAATTTTAATTTGAATGAGTTTGAAGAACCTTCTTTTGAAGATGGTCTCGAAGATATTCAGGATGACTTGTCACCGTTTATCATTCAAGTGAACACCAATATTAAACGACAAGTGAACAAAATTGGAGGTGAAGAGACTCGTCCTGAAGTGATTGGAAGTTCGCACTCGGGACGAAATCCAGTCTACACGATGGATCATGACGACGATGAGAAAATACCGAGTACTATTTTTGGTCGAATCAAAATTCCAAGAAAGAGTGGAGAAGCTAAAGCTCAACAAGCACTTTACAAAATGTTGGCCTCCAAAGAAGGAAGAACTCGAGCAGTTTCTGATGTCACAAGTTTCATACCAAAAATTGCTGCATCGATATCGAACTCGACAAGATCTGCCATCACACCTCCTACGAATTCAAATCTAGAAGATACTCTGTATCTATTTTCTGTAAATAATGATCCACAATTGAACAATAGTGAACATTTTCGAATTCGAAAGGAGAGCGTCAAGCTTGTAGAAAACTTGGGATTGGATGGACAAATTTCTGAATCACATTTCAGACAGTCTGACTTGACACTCGAAAAGCAACGAATCAATTTTTTGCATTTATATTCACCCATGCATCGAGAGAAGATTCGAACAGAAGTATCACTCGTTCTTCAATCACTGTTTAGAGGTTATGTTGCTCGAAAAAAGCTCATCAAAGGTCTTGTTTATATGGAATATATTTGTACAGCTGCGTTGGGTCATGCTTGGAGAATGAAATTGAAAAAGTTGAAAATGGAACGAGACTTGTTAAAACCTCAACGAACAGTGGTGGATGATGTGAAATCAACTATAGAATACTCTCCTGTCAAAGGAGATGAAAAGGTGAATTTACAATCACAGAGAGTAGTCACACCAACAATGACCAAAAGCATTTCTTCTCCCAACAGTAGCAAATCTTCGAGTGTTCCATTGCAAGCAGCAGTGTCTCCAATAAGTGTCAAGTCAGCCGACTCTCAAGTGGTTCCAATGATGGTTGACAGCTCTTCCATGTCTCACTATTCCAAAAATGTAGATAAGATCATTCAATTTCAAGCATTGTGTAGAGGATATACGAAAAAGCTTTCCACACTGATACGAAATCTCAAATTAGAGAAGCGACGTCATTTATTAACGAAGAGTCATCCACTCATTCGACATGTCTATATTGCCTATTTAGAGCTCCTTGTTGGAAAATTAGATCTTCAGAAAGATGTAAACGATAAGCAGAAATTGATGGAAATTGACAATCCTTCCACCACGAACATTATTATGAAAAAACACAAACTATTTCCTCGATTTCTTGAAAATATTTATCAATTAGTTTCATGTAACACAAAGGTAAGTGTGACCTTCAAATTTTAGTCAATTAACATCAATTAATATCCGTTCATATTGTTATTTTCACATGAACAGAACAAGTATCGCATCATGAGAAGATCCCTTCGAGACGTCCTACTCGAGAGTAATCATCCAGACTGTAAAGAACTTGTAGATATTTATGACAAACAAAAATACAATCTAAATCAAATAGGAAACGTTACTCATGAACTCGACAGTGAAAGTTTTGAAATGAAAGTTTTTGTGGAATTTTTACTCGATCAAGGAAATGTGCTCCCGAAAATACTCGCTCAAATACTTCTCTCAGATCAAGTCTATGAAATGAATCGACATTTATTTGATAATTCATTCATTTCAAAGCAAAAATTCAAACACACGATTCTATTAGTTCATGAACAGAAACCCATTCATTTCTCAAACCATTCCAAACAGATTTATACTGAAAAATCACCCATGACTAGTGATGTGAATGCCGTGGACATTGCCTTCTTGTGTGAAGAATTGAGTAGGGTATTCTTTGATTTCAAGTACACACCTGCACTCTTTGAAAAGAGACATTATGTGTTTCATTCCACCGTGTGTGAATTGTTGGAATTATTCAGGGGAGGAGGCAGAGAACCCATTGGCCACTTGAGAAGCAACAGTCTGTATGACAGCAGTGATCATGATTTCAACACCATACTGAACAAGATTATTTTCAATCGATTTATTCCAACTCTATATTCCATGTTTTCAATGGAGTTAAAAACATTGGAAACAAGTAGAAGTTCAAGCAAGAACCCAACTCAAACCATATGGGATTTAATAGTGAACATTCAGCAGCAACAACAGATGCAAAATGCGAATACCCATAACAATCCTCCTGTTATTTCAGCATTGGAGACAACAATTCAAAATGTGAATGACACGTTCAAACATCAATTAGAATTTCTCAAAAAGAAAAAGTCTTTCGCACCCGTTGAATTGTCAAAGATGAAATTCAAATCATTGATTTGTTATGGCCTATCACACAAGATATTAGACAAGATTTTAACACAAATTTTGTGCTCTCAGAGTCCTGTTCTTGTTCATCATGTGAAAACAAACTCATTACTCCTCTCTGTGCCAGTTCAGAATAGTATCATTTCTGGAATTGTCTCTCTTCAAGATGCTCACACATTCAATTTTTCATTGACAGAACCACTTTTTGCACCTTAAATAAAAGATATTACCGTTATTGCACTGTGCAGTGAAAACTTTACAAAAACCGTTACATGAATTTTAAAAAAATTAAAATTTTTAACCGTTGTGAATTCAAAATATTTAAAAATTTAGCGTTGGTCATGAACATTGTTCAAAAAAAAACAACACAACAACATCCACACACAACAATAACCAACAAATGGCAAGAACCAAGCAAACCGCTAGAAAATCCACAGGTGGTAAAGCTCCACGTAAGCAATTGGCCTCGAAAGCTGCCAGAAAATCTGCCAAACAACCATCCACAGGAGGTTTGAAGAAGCCACACAGATACAAGCCAGGTACCGTCGCTTTGAGAGAAATTAGAAAGTATCAAAAGAGCACAGAATTGTTGATCCGTAAATTACCCTTCCAACGATTGGTCAGAGAAATTGCTCAAGACTACAAGTCTGATTTGAGATTCCAATCCAACGCTGTTTTGGCTTTGCAAGAAGCTTCGGAGGCTTATTTGGTCAGTTTGTTTGAAGATACCAACTTGTGTGCCATCCACGCCAAGAGAGTTACAATCATGCCAAAGGATATGCAGTTGGCTAGAAGAATTAGAGGTGAGAGAACCTAAATGAACCACACACTCGCACACCATTCTTTCATGTACATAGAGATACAAATCGTTGAGGTGAGTCCTTGTTTTTACTAACCCCTTTTATTTTGAATGACAATATTCTTCATGTGCCACGTGTTTGTTGGCACTGGCATTGATGGCAAACAATGTAAATGTTTTGGTGCGATTGAATTTTGTAACCCACTGAAGTGGAATCACATCCCACTATTCTAGAATCCTAAGCCTGTAATAACTTATTAAACCATAACATTACATAACATTAGTGTTAGTATGTTGTCCATCCTGTTGTTTCATACCCACATATGACCCCTTGAAGCGAATAGCCCTCTACTCCAAATTTCTTGAAAATTATCTCCAGTTTATTAAGGCTTCAATTTTGTTCTATTTCAAAACCAAATCATTGGAAATCATTCCATCGGAACAAATTAACTTGAGTTTCCATCGTTCTTTTATTGTATTCATCAAACATCATCACAACAAATCATCACAAAAAAATGGCTTCTGGTGCTTTGTTGCTCATAGAAGGCGATAACCCTGATACCTGCAAAGAGTTCAATCAAATTGTTTTTGTTCCCGTGCTAATGTATGACAATAACTGGAAGATTCATGTTCTCTTTCCCAGAATCAATGAAGAATCTATAGACAACTTCGAAATATCCTTCAGAAAATTGACTAAAAACCAGGTCAAAAGCAAAGCAACATGTATCATTGAATACCCCCCAAAACCAAAACCGAAATTCAGTTTATTTGGTCCTCATAAAATTGAAATTGTTGATCACAAAATAAGTCGTCACGAGATAATTACCAACAACGAGACATTTTGTTATACTAAATATGAGTTGACACTACAGCCGTCAGAGCACATTATGCAATCAGAATTCTCTTCTGAAAACAGGAAAATATTTGATGTTTCATTGAAAACAAACAGAGATGACCATTTCGTTCGAAAAATAGCGGTCGAATTTTATCGGGATTTATGTTGCTTTACAGCGGTACAGTGTCTACAAACAACTTTCACACATTTTGAATCGAATTTGTATGCCGTCACAACAGCGTCTGAAGATAGTTTCAAAAAAATAGCCCTATACTCAAAAATGTTTGAAAACCGATATTCTCCACAAAGTGAGTTTGTATCACGTGTCTTTAATTACAAGGTTGATATGAAATTGTTGGAACAAATCAAAGATACAAACACAGAAAGAATTGTAGAATTATTAAGCGAAGACCCGGCCTTTATTTTATACACTTTGTGTTTTGATTCATCTTATACTGAAGAAGAAAAACAAGTAACACAAGAATACCTGTCCAAAATATATAAGGTCCAACCGAACGCAAGGAATTGGATTATACCGTTTGAATCAATTCAGTCATTACCCTTATATCCAAAACTGTTGTTAGCAAGAAAGAAAAGTGGATTCGATGCCATTTTTGGTACGGCAAGCCGTTTGCTTTCAACTGGCCTTTTTGTTCCAACAAAAATTACCAAAGATGAGTTGATAGAGGCTTCAATGTTGTTTTACTTCAAAACAAAATCATTGGAAATCATTCCATAAAAACAACTTCACCAATACACTTTATTGTGTTTTGGTGTGTCTAAATACTAAGTCTATCCTTTATTTAAGAGCCACTACTGCTATGATGGAAATGATTGTAAAAATTAATCCAACGGATCGCAACACATTAGTGATACTTTCCACCTGATACACAACTGGTATAAATAATGCACAAAGGAAACGTAAATCTTCTTCCCTTTCTGTTAGCATTTCCTTATTGCTCAGATTGAATTCTACACGAGCCTTATTAAATTTGATCCCAAAAATTCAAGCAAAATGTTAAACGACTCATTAGTGTGAAACCCAAACAAATCCTCATTCAACAAAAAATGTCTGGTTTCAACTTTAACCCGAAACCAACAACGAACTCAAACTCTTCTGATCCCAAAAGCTCGCCATTTCTTACGTTCGGATCATCACCATTTAACTTCAACCTACCATCCTCCAATACGCCACCAAGTGGAGCGTCATCGTCCGATGAGAAAAAAACCTTCTTCACTTTAAATTCATCAAACAACTCTACAGATCATTTCCCCGAAATTCATAAAGAAATTGAACGGTTATCGAAATTAATTCAATCAGCAGAATCGTCAAACAAGTCAAACAGTGAAGAATTACAGAAATTGAAAAAAGAAAATGAAAAGCTAAAGGAAGAAATTGAAATGTCTAAAAGCGCTCTCTCAAAATCAAAACTACTTCCAGATGATTTGCAAGTAGTAACATTGGATACCATTCGACAAATTAAATTGAATTTAATAGAATCGCAAAAACTGGTTTTAGAGCGAGAAATGGAATTAGTTGAGTCGGACAACTTTTGTTCTTGTTGCTTGGCCTCAAAGAAGACTGTTGTTTTTCTACCATGTTGTCATTTATGTACTTGCGAGAAATGTTCTTTGAAATTAACTGCGTGCCCACTTTGTCGGAAAAACATTGAAAAGTCAATTTACACACATAATTGAATTGGACATTGAGCTACCATGACCGCAAGAGTTGAAAGTTTGTGAAACAATCAGTTCAACAACAAGTTGCTATCGTCTTTAAATTTCATGTATCTTGTACAGTTATACACCATGATTAAACTTGTAAATAAGGATATGCATAATTGGACATAATTGTGTTGCTTCTTCATTGGATTCACCCTCATTGAAATCATTGAAAAAAATTATTTTGTCATCTTTATCTGGACTCGCCATCCATTAAAAACATTACTTTTGAAAAAAAGTTCAATGCTTTGGTTCTAGTAATTGAACAAAAATCACACAATATTCGGAAAGAATTGAAAGAGATTTTAATATTTCATCCTTGTGCTACCGAAGAGAATAGATATTAAATTCTCCAAACCAAACCAACAAAATATCATCTCAATTAGGACCATTCATCATCATATCTGTATGAAATCATTCTTTCGGAAATTACTACTTGCCCATAACATCAGTTTGCAACGTTCACCTTCCAATAATTTATTCTTTGATTCAAAGCTTTGTTCATCCAAGACTCTTCTGGTTCATCCATCCGAAAAAACCGTTTACCCCACTTCTTGTTCAGCAACAACAACCTCTTCCACAGCATTCTTTCATCACGGAAATTGTTCTTCGTTATTGCGAGATTATTCATCATCCAGGAGTGCAAGTAGTAGCAACGAGGACCACAAAAACATCATGCTATCGTCATCATCAATGAATACAGATCAACAAAACAAATCTACCACTTCCCTTGTGGATGAAATGGCACAACTCGATAAAAACTATGAAAATGCTTTGAAAATTTTGGATTCTCTCATTGCAAGGAAAGTAACTTCCGATGTTGGAGGTCAGGAACAAAATCTTGAAATTACAACCAATTGCTTAAAGAGGATTGGCGTTGACATCACAAAACTACCCATGATTCATGTAGCAGGTACGAAAGGAAAGGGAAGTACCTGTGCATTTTGTGAAACTATTTTACGAAAGAATGGATTGAAAACTGGGCTTTTCACATCGCCTCACTTGATTGATATTCGGGAACGTATTCGTATCAATGGGGCTCCAGTGTCAACTGAATTATTTGGATCTGCATTTTGGGAGTGTTATGACAAGCTCTGTCAATCGTCACTTGGAGGTGAGAAAGACCTCATCGCTAAAACAACCTATTTTCGATTATTGGTTGTCCTTGCATTTAAGATTTTCGTTGATGCAGGTGTGGATGTGGCTATTATTGAAGTTGGAATAGGAGGACGATATGACGCTACAAATATTATTCATCCTGTTGTGTGTGGAATTAGTTCAATTGGGTATGACCACATGGAAATTTTAGGAAATAGCCTTTATGAAATTGCCATGCAAAAAGCAGGTATCATGAAAAAACATGTTCCATGTATTACATATCCTCAGAGAGAGGAAGCTATGGATGCCTTTGTCAAGTCGTCACAGGTATCAGGGTCTCCGCTCTACATGTGTCCATCGATTGAGGACTATGAGCGGGTTTTGAGCGAGGATGGAAAAATTCAAAGATTAGAATTAGGATTGAAAGGAGAACATCAACGATGGAATGCATCATTGGCCATAGCTTTAGCATTTGCATTTATGGAACGAACAAATAGGCATGAAAAATTGGAAATTCCTTCCTTTTCACCTCTTGAAGAGAGTATTGTGATTGAGAAATTTAAAAACAAATTGAGAGGAGAAGATTTGTCGTCGTCTCAATCGTCTTCCAAGTCATCAAAAAGTCTTTCAAACATTCCATCCTCTCTCTTGAATTCCAACATGTCACACATTCATAACACTCAACATGTAGAGACGTTTTTACCGTTCCACCTCCCAGAGGCCTACATCAATGGGTTGAGAGAATGCAAGTGGCCTGGTAGATGTCAGGTACTCTCTTTCCCAGGTCTCAGTTTTTATATTGATGGAGCCCACACCGATGAAAGCTTGGATTTGTGTCGAAAATGGTTTGTGAGTTGCATGGAAAAGAATCAAGTGAGTCAAGAACTCGACGATCATTACTATTTTTCAAGTGACAATGAAGAAAATGCATTATTGACAACAGAACGACGAAAGCAAGCCCAAAATGCGGCTACCACCAGTACTCATAAGAAAGTACTTGTTTTCAATTATACAGGACCAAGAGATCCCAAAAAGTTGCTGACACCTCTCTCGAAATCTAGCGATTTATTTGACTATGTCATCTTTTGCCCAACAGACTCTGTGAAAAACAGTCTTAACAAGCATCATACAAGCATTTCAAAACAAGAAGAAGAAAAATTGAATCTGTTAAGACAAACTTGGATTGATTTGACAAACAAAAGTGATAACATTCTTCTTTTCCACTCCATCAATGAAGTACTAGAGTTTTTATGGGACATGAAATCCGAGAAGGTTTCAGTTTTGGCCACAGGTTCCATTTATTTAATTGGAGATTTCAGTAGAAAATTACACAAGATTTACAAAGCCATCTCGAAACGTGACAACAAGTAATATTCACTCTCACATCAAGATGCAATGATGGTCCTATTGCGTCTCGTGTTATGTTGAATATTTTTATACATTTTGAAAACAATGATTAATAACACACTAAGAAAATTCTCAACCAAATATTAAGATCTACTCCTTTTCAATTTCCATTCCAAACACAAAGTCTACGCCACAACAAGAGGAGCAGCTTTTTGAAGAATGTTGAAAAAGAAATTTGACCATGTTTATGACCTCCATGCATGAGCTTTCTTAGGAATTGCCAATTTCTTCTTCTTGATGTGGAATCATTCCTCTGAAGAATAGACTCTGAATATATTTCCAAACCTTTCCAATCCACTCTAATGGTTTCAAGTCAAACTCATTGCTCTTCAAAAGCTCTTCATAGGTCATGTCATATTCAAACCATGAGAAGAACCAACATGTCAGCCAGTTCAGAGGATTCGAGGACGATCTCTTTTTTTCTTTACACACATTGTTTTCCAATGAAGTGGAGTGTTCTTCTTCATTCATACTCTGCAGCTTCATGGCTTTGACTTGACAATACAAGTGTAATTGATAATGATACAACATGCACAATAGGACAGTGAGAAGACAAGCAACAACCACATCTGCTGTGTAATGTTCTTTTGACCACACAATACAAAACAATCCCATAATGCAACCTGAAATCAGGACACACACCACAACAATTCTCATTCCAAGCCATATCCTTCTTCCAATTCTCGAACTAGATGACTGGAACGAATAAGTTGTTGAAGAATAATACAGGACAAAGAAGGTACACAATGTCACAGCACAGGTATGACCTGAAAACATGTAATCTCCACAAGTGTAACCAATCACGGTGGTTTCTTGTTCATTCTTCGAAGCACTTGTCCCAAATAATCTTTCCTTAAGTGGCATTTGTTGTAAGGTATGACATTTTGTGACATCATTGGCATTGGGAATGCTCAAGATTGTACTCGACATGACAATGATTCTTAATATCAGCAGTACACCATCCAACAAGAGAAATCTAGCTAATATATTGAATCTATGAGTTCGATTGAAACACGACAACAAAACCATGAGAAATGCCAAAACTGCCGTAATACATTCTGTGATTTTAAAAGCTTCTGGAAAAGGAGATGAAATTCGATCTAGGAGGATATCATGGAGTGGAGTTTGTGTTAAATCAACTGAAGGAACCAAAATATGCATGGTTATGAAACGAGTCAGAAAGGATGATGTGAAAAAGAAGGTACATGCAAACACGAAACGAATGAGTGGAGGAAACAAAAACGAATATTTGGAACAAGACGAATGAGCGGAGGACCTTGGACTCGAATTCATGTTGTTGGATTCATTGCTTATGGAGATGGATTGAATGAAATTTCTCTGATTGAGAGTGAAGGACGGCGAATTGTGTAGGGAAACATCTGGTTGTAAGATTTGAATGGTAAAATGGGTGTCTTCAGAATGTTGTGCATGTTCATTCACCTCCGTTTTGCTCAAGAGAGTGTCAAAGGAACGAGGACTGTCATTGCAGTCAATGGATGGAATGGAGTGCTCATGCAGTGGTGGAAGCAAATGAGGCAGGAATGTGTTGTGCTCTGACATGTTGTTGTTAGACTTTACTCTTCAACGTGAACGGATGTCAAAAATTTGTGAATGATGCTATCAGCCACTAAACAAACGCTACACTGTTTTTTTTGAAAACAGCAATTCACGTTTGGAATATAAGAAGAAGTAGAGCATGTGAATCTATCCCAATATTTGAGAAGCAATTGGAGCAAGCACTGTAATAGAAAATCTGTTCGCTTATTAAGGAAAGTAGGTGAATGACATAATGACAGAATTAACGGACAAAATGTTTGGGTTGGCCGGTTTTTAGACTGGATACAACAAACGAGAATTAATTTTATCAGTAGTATCCATTAACAACGTTACGTTGTAATGTTAAGGAATAGACATGGAAATTTACAACCTCGAATGACTGGAAATTGGTTTCGTTTTCATGAACCCATTGCCAAATTCCACGTTGTTCATCAACAATATTCTAGACGAAAGAGCAGTTGCGAACGTTTCGAATTGCGTGTCGGACAGACTTACCACAAGCGAGCTATCACCTGTCCACAACAGAATTATTCTACCTATGGGTCATTTCTATGGTAATCGTGTAACGTATTTGGAAATGAAAAATAGTACTGAACATCATTGAAAAAGACTGGGGTCTAATGTTTACCAAGAATCAATTAGTCATGAATTTGAATCAGTCATGAGCTCAAAATACGAGCTTTCTTATGAATTGTCAATTTCTTCTTCTTCTTGATGCGGAATCATTCCTCTGAACAATAGACTCTGAATATATTTCCAAACCTTTCCAATCCATTCCAATGGTTTCAAGTCAAATTCATTGCTCTTCAAAATGTCATTGTAATTCATGTCATATTCAAACCATGAGAAGAACCAAAAGGTCATCCAGTTCAGAGGATTCGTAAACAGAGTTTTGTCCGTTACAGAAGACGTGGATTGTTCAACTGGTATCTGCTGCATAGATGATGATGAAGTCATTCCAATATTTCGTTGTTTCATAGCCTTGACTTGACAATACAAGTGTAATTGATAATGATACACCATGCACAATAGGACAGTGAGAAGACAAGCAACAACCACATCTGCTGTGTAATGTTCTTTTGACCACACAATACAAAACAATCCCATGATACAACTTGAAACGAGAACAACCACAACCATGAATCTCATTCCAAACCAAATTCTTCTTCCAATTCTCGAATTGTTGTCATCATTCGATGTCGAATGGAAAGAATAATTTGTTGAAGAATAATACAGGACAAAGAAGGTACACAATGTCACAGCACAGGTATGTCCAGAAAACATGTAATCTCCACAAGTGTAACCAATCATGGTGGTTTCTTGTTCATTTCGTGTATTGCTCCTCCCAAACATTCGTTCTTTGAGTGACATTTGTTGTAAGGTTTGGCATTTTGTGACATCATTGGCATTGGGTATGCTCAATATTGTACTAGACATGGATATAATTCTCAGAATTAACAAAATACCATCCAACAAGAGAAATCTAGCCAATATATTGAATCTATGAGTTCGGTTGAAACACGACAACAAAACCATGAGCAAAGCAAGTACCGCCGTAATACATTCTGTGATTTTAAAAGCTTCTGGAAAAGGAGATGAAATTCGATCTAGGAGGATATCATGGAGTGGAGGTTGTGTTAAATCAACTGAGGGAACCAAAATGTACATGGTTATGAAACGAGTCAGAAAGGATGATGTGAAAAAGAAGGTACATGCAAAGACGAATCGAACGATGGGATAGAATTGCGTGATGCTCCTGATGGAAAATAAATGAGAATTAAGAGGAGTAGGCTGGTAGTGGAGGTAATTCAATTCCACACTACTCGTTGTCGTGGTCGTCGTCGTGCAACGGGAATGGTAAGTTGTACTACAAGTTGTTGAAGAAAACGTTCTTTGTCCAATAGTGCTGCTGCATGGTGAGCAAGGAAGTGATGCATCTGGTTGCAAGACTTGAATGACAAAATTCGTGTCTTTTGAGTGAGTTTCTCCATTCGCGTCGTCCATGCTACAACATGATGTCGAATTTGGAATGGTGTTGTAGAGCATGGTACCTGTGGACTCTTCATGTGAAGGTATTTGCTGGTCCTGCAGAAGCCAAGGAGGAAGAGGAGATGAGGATGGGCTTGGCATGATTGGTCTTGTAGTAGTTGGGTATGTGTGAGTGAAATGATTGAACAGGGGTTGTACGACAATATTCTTCAACAAGAGTGTGTGAAATGTCAAAAATTTGAAAGGATACAAAGAAGAAGAAGGTCTTTGGAGAGAGTGAATTTAGAGTTTTTTTGTATCCTTTAAAAGAAGAGACACAGCAAACGCAACGATCACGATACTCTAATTTGATCTTGCTTGGTACAAAGAGATCATTAGTTATGAGGGTTGCATGAATGACGATGCGCATTGTTGGGATTCGGATGAATTGGCGTTAAAAATCGGAGCAAGCGCTGTAGTAAGGAAAGAAGGCGGGTATGAGAGTGAATATATAATACATATTTTATTATACGAAATGAAAAATTAAGCGACACAAGAGTGGCCATAGAGGATCACGTCTTGCTGTGAAATGGAGTCTTACCATATAAAGAAGTGGAAAATGAAGCTTTTGGAACTTTGGTTAACAAAACATAATCGAATACTATCTTGTCAGCATTCTTTCCGTTTTGGTGAAGGTATTCGATGGCCAACGCACTTTCCATCTACCCATGCTCATAATCTGGCGACATAATGGATTTAATTTTCATTATCAACGTATATTAATATTTCAAAGAAAACAACCAAGTAGTGTGTCGTTGAACGTGATTAGTGAACAACAAAATGCTCCTGTGTGTGTGAAAATTTGTCAATTTGGCTGTGTTGAAAAGGAGAGTGTTCTCCAACAACCTTGAACGACTTGGCGCTTAATCCATCTAAAATTTGAAATTCAAACGATGACGATAACGTTGAGAACAAAAAAAATGCTTTCTTCACAACTTTTATCCACGACAAGTGGAACAAAGTGAGCTATGGCCTAATCCGCAATCATGTTCTTTATGCCCACCAAATCAACCTCATTCATAATGAAGAAATCAGAAATGAAGTATCTAATAACCTCCAGAAACTTAAAAACAGATACAACATCATTAACCCAAACATCCACAAAATCATCATCAAAGAAATTGCAAAATGCAACAACACTATATGGAATAACAGAAATGAATGGCTTCACAATCACTACACATGGAATCAACAACTATCAAGGTATACAAACATTATCTAATGCTGCCAATTGGCAGGAGTTTCACTACAAACATGTTGTCAAGACAACTCTGTTGTAATAAACTTTCTTTCTTAAAAAAAAAAAAAAATGCTTTCTTCACAACCTTCATCCATGTTGACGGCTCAGCCTCATCATCAGCTTGCTCTTGTTTCCGATATGAAACAATTTTTACTTGGAAAGGTTGGAAAGTTAGGAAGCGATGAGGAATATATTGTATCAAATGGTAGCAATAACAGTCATCATTGGGAAGGAAAATCGTTTTCGGAATTGGTTAAAATTATTCTTGATCATGTTTCATTATTTTCTGATTCCGATATCCAGAGATTGGTGATTCCATATATTATCTTGTATAAAAAGAAGAAGAAGGAAACAAGTCTTGTGGAACGTTTTTGTTATTTGGTGGAGGCTATTTGTTCTCATCGGCATTTTCCGATTATTATTTCTAATTTATTAATACCCTTGTTGAGTGAGAGGGATTTTTATGAATATTGCTTGAAAGATGGTTTTGAGGGATCGAAATTAAGTACAAGTAATATTGAGCATGAATCGTTGGTGAAAGTGTTAACAACACTGCACGAGAAGGTTACCACTTTGTACTATGCCAATGATAGTGGAAACTTGACACAAAATAATAATAATGAAGAGTCAAAGAAAAATAGTTTGATTGTAGAGTTACTTGATCAAGCATCTCAGACAACTGTGTTTAGAGAAAATGAATGGAAAAAAGAGAATGTTTATGCACGTACGAACTCCTCTCTATGGAGGCTCCCTACATTTTTTAAATCAGAGTTGTATATCAAACACATCATTCTCTCATTAGACTTTACCGCAACACACAACGGAAGGTTTCAAGAAGGAAATTCTAACAGTTTGAACATTAGCACTCAATCATCTTTGCACTCGTATAATATTACGCTTTTATCTGACTTGATTACTCAATTCAACAAGAGGGGGTACATGTCCATTTGTTGTGACATACTCACGGATTGGTATTGGCAATGTCATAGCTGTCTCTCATCATTTTTCTCAGCAATGGAGCAGAAAAATAATATGCATGCATTGATTAAGGAATTTGTGTTAAAAATTCTCTCAAATGACGTTTCTAAAGAAGATTATGACCACTTTGTAAATTTCATATCTGCAATGATGACTTCCTCCATTGTATGGTATGATTGCATGACAAATTCCATGATTCTCAAGTACACTTTTGCAGAGTTGGTTGTAAATAGAAATAGATACATTTTTGTGAAATTATTAATGGATGTAGCTTTGAAAACAGCTGAGACCTGTAAGGACAAACCTTTATCAACTGTAACGGATTTTATAAGCGCAACATGGAAGACTCACTTTTTCAGCATGCAATCCAATGTTGAACAGCAACTATGTAAGTGTGTTAACAATTGATTACAGAACTAGCTAATATTTGAACCCTGACATACACCTCCAATGTATTTAATGCATTTCTATGACAATATAGTTGTATCGTATTGTCTAGCTGGATTAATCTCAATAATGACCAAACAAGAATTTGAAAATTCAGAGACTCTCAGAAATTGTATTGAGGGCATACAGCAACGACTACATTCCTCAAATTTTCATATAAGAAGGAGTTGTGCAGTAAGTATTTAGTTTTTCATTGCGGTTGAATTGGCTTTTCCTGTTGTTAGTTGATCTCACTTCAAATGAGCAAGACCATCAATCCAAAACAGAGTCCATTGGTGCTTTTTGACGATTTGAAAGATTGTCTCAATGAATTTCACAGCCATCTTTCTCAGTCTATTTCAGCAAACGCAGCCTCTTCGATTCGAAAGCAACATCCGTCTGAAGGTTTGTCCATGACAACTGGCGTGAATGCTCTAAACAACAAAAAGCAAGCAAAAATGTCATCCAACAAGAGGGAAAAGAAAGCATTCAATCCTAATGCATTACTCATTGATGACGATGACGAGTCGTCAGAAGATGAGCAAGCCGACAATGAAGAACTTTCTGATTCTACCTCTGTTGAATCATTGCAATCTCTAGAAATGTCAGATGACGAGGGAGGTGGAAATGATGAAATGAACCCATACAAACCATACTATGTGAGAGATTTAATCGATTTTCTATTTGCCAACGATCAAGACAAGGACCAAATGTTGAAAATTGAAGCAGCTCTCAAGTTTGCAGTTCCTGTCATTGAAAAGACAGATCCAAAGATACTTCAACTCAATGCTGTACATCTTTGTACGGCCTTATTGACTTGTAGTGAAACTCATATTCATAACTACTTTACTTATCGAATGGATGCCATGGTTTCATTGTTAACAAAGAGTTGCATGTCCATTGTGGATTTACAATACGACAAACAAGATCAGAGATTCATTGACTTTGAAGATGAGACTGTGCTATTGTTCCTCACAACCAAGTTTTGGTCCAATCAAGTCACTCAAGCGCAACGAATTGATATTTTAACAGTACTCGTTAAAGCGGCCATCAATTTATCCAATAATAATTCATTGGTCAGTCCTCAAGATTTGAATTCATCACAACTGAGAAAGGAAGCACTGGATCAAAAGTCCTCGCAAGAACAGAGCACATCATCTCTCCCTCCACCACAATATCCTCCCAATACCAAAAGATGGGGCTCTGCTCTCAACCCTTCGAAAAGAAAGCAAATAGAGACACGGCCCAATTACTTTTTGCTGCACGCCAATCGATTTTACTACATGCTCTTGAGAACCAAGTCAAAAGTTTCAGAGACTATTCACATCATGTTTGGAGAGGATAATTTAGTGCTCTCCAAAATTGTACATACATTGGGGGTTTTCTTGTTTTGCTGTGGAACCAATCCAGCACCTCTCGTAGCTCAACAATTAGGAAAGAATACTCTGGAATTTTTATGGACCTTGATTTTGCATTGCAAGGATGTTTCCACTTCAAATAATCTAAGATTGAGCGTGCTAGGAACATTGAATACAGCCATTTCATGTTGCACGTCTACCATTTTGCTTGAGGAGCTACTGGTGGATATTCATCAAGTGTTTGATTGGCTCTTAAACACAAGCGACAATGACAGTCACTTGGAATGTAGGGAAATGGCCAAAATGGTCCTATCAACTCTATCATCCAAAATGAAGATTTAGAAGGTCAATACCATTCTAGTGCAGAACTACATGCACACCCTTATTGCTTTTTCTTTCTCAACTCACTCAACTGATTGCTTAACATGGTTGTAAGCTCAAATTGATTCAGTAGGACTGACTTGATATTTCCAATGGCTTCTCGAGATGCTACTTTTTTCTTTGTTTCTGGAATTTTTCTCAAATCCTTTTTCACTTTCAACACTCGGTATGGGTTCTCTGTGGCATATAATACTGCTTCCTCCTCATGATGGCTACTTTCACTTTGCTCTGGACTCGTTGATGAGCTTCCTTCTCGGCAGCTTCCTCGTGACAAGCTTCTCCTGTTTTCAGTCCGAATTAATTTTTCTACTTCCTCTGCCTTTCAACACACCAATGAACATTTCCAACATGATACACAGCAGCCTCTACTTACAATGATATTTTCCATTTCTTCTTCAATGGTTGGAGTCTTTTCTTCGACAATATTTATGGTTGACATACTCAGTGAATTTGCTCCAGAGCGAGACATGAATAATGACGGATTACTTCTCATGGCATGCTCTTTTTGCTTTTTATAATAAGATCCATCAAATATTTCCTTCATAGAAGGTTTCATTCGAATTTTTGGACTTCTAGGTTTAGACTCCATTGGAAGCACTTCTGGCGATTTTGAATGTTGTTGTGACTTGTATTCTTCTCCTCCCTGAATAAAGCTGAATCGTTCATCCATCACCTCGTCCGGTAATGAGGAATTTAAAATTGTTTGCTTTTCATTGTCATCATTAATATTCAAAAAAGCCAACAAATTCCAAAACATTCTCTCATCCAAATACTTTTCCGCAGCATTAAATGTTTCATCCTCTTCGATCATTGAATTCATCTTTAATCATTAATTTTCAATAGAAAAGAATGAATCGATTTTTAGAAAGGCGCGCTTAAGTGATAACAATTTTTCGTAAAGTTTTTTTGCGGGAATTTTAAAAAAACTGATCCCGCCTCTCGAAAAATCAAACGTCCAAAATTTGCAACAACTCATCACAACAAAAAAAATATTTTAACACCAACACATAACCATCCATCCGCAAAATCACACAATGCCCAAGTTAACCCAAGAACAACTCTCTGATGCTCAAGATGCCTTCAACCTCTACGACAGAGATGGAGACGGAAAAATTACTTTGGCTGATCTCGGCACTTTGTTACGTTGTTGTGGAAAGAATCCAACCAATGCTGAAGTTGAGAATATTAAAGGAGAGGCTGATCCATCAGGAACAGGTTCATTCACTTTTGAAACATTGAAAACTCTTTTAGAAAAGTATACATTCAAGGCTGATAATGAACAAGATGTAAAGGATTGTTTCCGTATCTTTGATAAAGACGGAACTGGATTTGTACCAGTCTCTGAATTGAGACATGTTTTGACGACTTTGGGAGAGAAATTATCAGCAGCTGAAGTTGATGATTTGCTCCGTGATGCCGAAGTGGATGATAACGGTAATCTTAACTATGCTACTTTTGTTCATATGCTCATGCCAAGCAAGAATTAGGTTGTTGTGATTCCCAATAACAAGATATTGCCATCAATATATTCTCTCTCAAGAAGAGAGCCTCTCTTTTCCAAACGTTTTATATTTATATTCCCTTCCGTTCCCTTTTAGGTTTGCTGCAATGGATGATCAATAATTTGATGATGATGATTACATTTGTTTGCAATCATAAAAGTTGCAGTGTTTGTGTGTGATAAAGTTACTTAAATTTCAAATAATAGAAATGTTCTATTGTCAAGTCTCTTGAGAGCAAACATGAACGATCGGAATTAATGTTCTTGATGCCTATGTGTCCAATGATCATGGGATCATCACGATACCATGACGTGATTATTCGAAATAGGTCTAACAACTAATAATCGTTATTATTAGTATTAATAAAACTCTTAAAAAATGTCTGCAACTGCTTCTTCATCCTCGCATCGGAATCATGAGGGTGATGATTCAGTTCGGGAATCTACTCATCCGAGCTCATCGTCATTGGCAACCACTAGTACTCTGCCCAAAACAATACCATTTCCATACTTGATCTGCTTTGAAAATACATATTATTGGAGGGCTGCTTTTAATCATATCATTGGAAAATTGTACATTTCATTTGATTTTCTGTATTTTGAAGGACATGAATCGACCATGCTGATTCATGGAAAGCCATTGGCAAATGCATCTTCTCCTGTAAATATTGTAAAAACTGAAAAAAACAGACCTGTCTCAGTCGTTGTATTATTTGAAAATATTCATTCGGTGGAACGTGAAAATTATTTATTGAATCCTTGTTTATGTGTGAAAACTAATTTAAATCATGGAGAGAAGGTATGTGTGACAAGTTGAAAATCCAAATCTTGATTCATTCAAAATTTATATTCCGACTTCCTCATGGTCATCAATAGCATTACTTCTACAAGTTGGAAAGTATTACGAACTGTATTTCAATAATTGAACATGCAAGTCAAATGTCACTCTCATGCCAACTTCGAAACAAATTAATCGCTTTGAAAGAAGAGAGACCTGAAGTCAAATCCCATTCAAAACCCACAAAACAAAAACCTACCAAAAAGAAACAAACATCCACTTCTGATGAAGAACTTTCCACTCGAGACAAAATTGAACGTGAAAAAGATGAAATGATCTTGCTGGCCAAACGTACCAAGAGTATCAATCAGGATTCTCTTCAACTGCTATCTTCTCAGCAAAACGACCTGAAAGAAACTAAAGAAAAATATTTAGAACCAATGAATACATACAATGCTCTTGGAAGTCGATTGTTGACAGGAATGTCATGGGGTGGATTTTTCAAAAATTTGTGGAGTTATTCGAATTGGAAAAAAATAGAGAAACAAGCTCTTGTGTTTCAACAGGAAACCCCTGAAAAACAAAGAAGCTTAGATTTTGATGCGCATGCGTTTGAAATTTTGATACGAAAAGGAGATGAAAAACATTGTAAGTAACTTTACTGAAAGTCAAATTCGAGTGCAATTTCATCATCATTCACATGAATTCATTCAGATACTCCAAGCATTGCTGTAATGCGATCGAAAGTAATGGAAATTATTGACGATAGACAAAGCAGATACATTCAAGAATCAATCGAGTTTTCCAATTTGAGTGGATTAGAAGTTCGAACTCCTTTTATTCTCACTTTAATTTTTAAATCCACGAATATCACTCTCACAATATTATCTGTATTTACACCTTTCATTATTGATCATATCAAGAGCTGTAACAAGACAATTATTCCAATGGATGAAACTGGTTGTTTTCATTCTTCAAAATTTGATTTATTTTCCTTGTATTCGAAAAATTCTATTCAACTTGTACAAATATCCACTGATTTGCTTCGAGATTATTTCCCCAAAGATTTGGAGGACGAAACAAATAAGAAAGACGCAAAATTAGATTATTTGTTCGACATTGTAAATGACATTCACTCCATGGCGAGTGTTACAAATAATGTGTTAACAGAGTCTGGCCAATTTTTGGAAGATTTTGTTACGGATGTACAAGGAGTGACGAGTGATGTAAACAAGAACACCAAAGTGATCGATAAGAAATTAGAGTCTTCATGGTTTTAGTTTCCAAACACTGAAAAGATTGCCAACAAATATATATTTGTTCTACATTAAGCCACGCCAACGAGACTCCCTGTTCACTGAAAACCAAATCACTAAATTTATTTCTCGCTTAATTTTGGATTGGCCTGTGTCTGACACAACAAACAATCGAGAGCTGTTTTAAATCCAACCAGGTAGTGATGAGAAAACATGAATCGTGACAGCACAATTCTTCCAAATTGATACATATCTACTCTCTGAATCGTGTAATTAAGGTTGTTCGAAATTATACTTGGTGTTTGAGAGTGAATAAAGTTTTTCATGTCCAACAAATGATCCTCACTCACCAATGATCCGTTTTCATTGCTTTCTTCATAGCTCTTTCTTACAGTTTGATAAATTGTTTTCACAGTTGAAAAAATTGAAGAGACGACACCTGTTTCTTCCTTTGCTTCTTTGACTTTCTTTTCAGAAAATAATTGGTCGTTAAACATTTCGAAGAGAGTCTCTGTCACATCCTTATTTCTTTGTTTCTCTGAATCTGGAATAATGAAATAGAGTGAGCCAGGAGGATAGAGAGTATGTATTTGCTCATTGACTGCATTCATCTCTTCTAGTAATTCAATGGCCTCATTCGTCAGTTGTTTGGTGACTGCTTCGGCAGTAGAGAGTATTTGCTCCCCATTTTGGGAATCTGTGGCTGTGCTTTGCTCCTTATTACTGTTGGAATCTATGATAGTACTAGTTATTGTTGCGGTTGAAACAGGTACATCCACAGTTGGTAATTGTTCAACAGAAAGATTTGCTTTTGAAGATGAAGTAATAAGAGTCTTTTTTGTTTGAAATAAAGGAGAAAATCCCCATTCCACGAGATAGCTGTCCATGGTAACAGCAACATTGGCGATCTTGGAATGCTCATCAAAGAATTTCTTTAACTTTTCTTCCCAATTAGTTTCATTAACTTCAAGACGTAATTTTTCGACTGTATCAAGTTGGAAAAAACAGTAATTGTGTAGCAATATGTGGTCATTATCAAGAAGCACTCTGATAGATCAACGTACCTTGACCCAAACTAATTCTTGGAACAATGTCACCGGCAATGATATAACTTGTGACAAAACTACGACACCAATTTGAGAGATTTTCTGAAAAAATAGCACTTGGAGCGTAGGTGATAGCTTCAATATCAGGTAGGTGAGGAGGTTCTCGTTCTTGTGACAAGGAATGATTACATTTCAAAGATGCAAAATGTTCCTTATAGCGCCTGAAAAATGTTTCTCGTAATAGAATAGCGACTAGTAAATCGTGGCAAGTATTTAAATGTTGTAGAATTCATTGCCAGGTAATTGTTGTTCAGGAGACAAATTAACAAGTAATGAATAAGTGTCTTAATGTTTTCAATACTTACGGACAGCTGCCAATCCTCCTCCTAATGAATGTCCAACTGTAATGATTCTATACGATTTGTAGGTACTCGAATGGTTAAATATATTTTTCAGTAAAAAGTCTTGAATTTTTGACAAGATCCATCGAGCAGTGTTAATATACCCTGCATGAACTTTTCCATGAATCATTTGCTCATTATCATCTGACTCACAAAAATCTTCAGAATTATTATTTTCCAAATCAAAGCTCATGTCTGCAGTGTCAATTAAGTGATTTTTCTTTTCAGGGTTTCTCTTGTAGTCGCCATAGAATCGGTGGACTTTCAAGTCAGAATTTTCAGCACTCAAATTTGTGAAAATATCTGCCAATTGTGAAGTTCCTCGAATGGCAATGACTACTGCCTTTAAATCGTGATCCATCTTTACAAAGAAAGCCTGTTGATTGGCTTCGCTAATATTTACATAAAATAATAAATTAGTTTCATATCTTAATGATTCCAAATATTTGAGAGAGTTTTTGGTATATTTTGGTTGTGGTGATGAACTGGAGGAAAACCATCCTTGATTCAAACTTTCATAACCTTCAAGAAGAGCTTTTTGAACTTTTCCTCTCTCCGATTCATTAGCGACATTGTAGTATGCCAAATTTGCATAATACATCATTCTTTTGGCAAATATTAACTGTTCTGTCAATGAGTGATGATCATGATGTTTAGAATCAATATTCGAATGTTCGTGCCACCACTTGTATTCTTCATCTGTTTCTTCTTCATCGGAGCGGTTATAAAGCATTGGATTTCTCATCTCCTCTCCAATGACATCACTCTTTGAATGCTCGTTGGCCAAACAACTCAATCCGAACACAATATCACCAATCGTTAAGTGTTTATAACTCGGAAAACTATCTTTCAAACACGTTGCTGTTGCTGTAATCATTTCCTTGTAAGAAGAATGTTTGGAGTGAGCCTTTCCTTCTGAGAGGTTCGGAACTCCATGCTTCAAATAATTTGCATCATGATGATCGGAGAGAGAAGATTGATGATGTTGTTGTTCTTCCTTGTGGTTGTTGTTGCTCACAGTATGACTCATCTTTGGAAGAATTTTAATCTCCTTCTTTCGGAAGCAATCTTGTGAGGGAAACGGTTGTTTCAATATTTTTTTTTAAGGGTTCTAATTGTTATATTCGAATTTCCTTTTTAATAACATTTCCACTTCTTTAATATTAATTATTAAATTATGATCATTCTCTCTCTGTAAAGAAATACCAAGCAATTCCTAATAACAGACCAACGAGTACTACAATTGCTGAGATGATTTTTTTCAACAGTCTGTTTCGAGCTTGTCTCAGTTGTTCGTTCACAAAACTTGTGGCTTGATTGGAAATTTCAATGCATGGACATATTTGTCTTGCAGGTCCTGAATCGATGAATTTGTTGGTTGTTCCATGGGAGGTTTGTTATTCTCATTTTGATCATTGGTAGTTATTGAATTTTTGGTAAGAAATTCATTCAAAGCAGATGATGATTCCTTCTTGATGGACTGGACGGTTTGTTTTGGATTTGAAATTAAGGAGGAAGAAATATTTTGAAAGGAATCGTACAATTGACTCCAATTCTTATTCAAGTCATCCATTGGATTCTTGTCATGATCCTGATGGTTGGAAGGAATGTCTTTTTGATGATTAGCATTCGTCTGATGCGATTCTTCTTTCTTTTCAAATTGACCCAATTGACTCTGATGATCAAAATGAAAGGATCTAAATGTCACGGCACCATGATATTGAAAGATGGTCAATGGTTGAAAATTTAATGGTGTGAAACGGTGTGAATGATTCACTGGGATGGCCAACCTTCGAAACTGTTTTTGATGTTTCAGCAGACGGTTCAAGAGTGAGGATGTTTTGTACATTCTTTTGGATGATATTGTTCAATCAAAATTCGTTCTAAACCGCTTGTTGCATTCTCGTTTTATATTGTTCAACCCAAGTTCATCTCATCCTTGTTGCATTCTTTTTGTGTTCCTAAAAGTACAAGTGACGCGCCAAAATCTTTTCTCACATCTACAGCAACCTGTCAAATGTCCAACCCTGTCGCCATCAAGTCACATTAGCTCATATCACTCATACAATGCCCTCTCTCCACTCTAACTACCATTCCTAGTATGAAAAAAAACATCATGAAGCAATCCTCTCGCATCAGAATTCATTCCTTGTGGTGTTGTATTCTCCTCATAACCTTCCTTCTCTTCTGTTGTTTCCTTTCCATGACATGGGCTCAACGTACCGATCCAGTCAGAGACGAAAGAGAATTGAGAAGAGGTATTCGAGATGTCACAGTTGAAACTCGACAAGAAAGAAGACAAGTTGACATCAATTCTCGCTCTGCAGATAGAACTCAAGCTTCAGGCAATGCAAATGCTGGAAAATCTTCTACTACTAATCGAAATGACATCCGAAACGAACGGAATGAAGAGGATGAAGAGAGGGAGTCCGCCAAAAGAAATAAGGCCAATTCAAGGAATGAACTCTCTCGAAGCAATTCCAACACCAATGTCAATTCAAACAGACCAACCACAGCTGGTGGAAGGACAAGTAACACTTCAACGAATGGAAATCGAGTGAATCGAGGCGCCAATACTCTCACCTATGATGAAACCTTCTCCAATATTTCCTTATTAAGAGAAAAGAGAAGAAAAATGAGAGCGAAACGAAGATTTGAACGAGAGAATCGAAGAATGAAAGAAGCACAAAATGGCATGGCTTCTAAAAAACCCTCTCCAAAGCAACTTAGAAAAGAACGATTGAGATTGGCTCGTGAAAAGAAACGTCTGGCTAGAGAGGAAGAACGTGGCGTGCGAGCGGGACTTGAACCAGTGAGCAATTCCGAGTTGGAACGACTTGCAAAACAAGCTCGAAAGAAAAAGTTGGCCAAGAGGAGAAGAAATAAGAGAACACATGTTTCAGTGTCTCATAAGAAGAAAAAGAATGGATCAATTGTCATTGTCATTAAAAGTAAATAAATGTTGAAGTACATGTCTGTAAAGGCAAATAATAACGTGGTTGCTAAGAATATAATTATGAAGAAGATTGAGGGAGACATTATTTAGTTATTTACACTTTTTTTTATTAGCCAATTTGGAGAAAACCAATGTTTGTAGTTAGAACTAGGTTTAATTAGCAGTTAGAGTTTGAAGTGTGATGGTATCACAACCTCATATTTCCGGTGTGTTGTTTGTATGCACTAACAATGTGACATGCAGCAACCCCAGACGACCTCAATTCATCCGCTTTCTATGCAAATGAGGCAGGTTCAACACAAAGTGCAACTCCTCTCGATGACGCACCGGCCGTAACAACCCATAATCATTATAAACTTTATGCTCGAATTCAATGGAGTCTATCGAATCCTTAGTTAGATCCAATTGGGTGTTATGCTGGTGCTCCGCCTGCGCTTTGAAATGTTCTAAAACTCCCTCAATAGAATCCAGAGGACATGTAGATGATTTTTCTTGGTCTGCAGACACTACAACATTGGGTTGACCAATTGATTGCATTCTCATTCGTGGCGTTTTTTGTTTTTCAACCAAAACTCCAGAGGGATGCATGTTGTTGGTAGAGATGGGGCTGGGAAGAGAGGAATGATGTTGTTGAGTACTGATGAGAGGAGAGTTGGGTAAACCGCAAGGAGTGCATGGTGTACCAGGAGAGCAAGGAACTCCATGATTTTGATGTTGAGAGGACTTGTCCAGGGATAATTGCTTCTTCTTTAATTTGAAGGCAGCAGGACTCATCAATTCCTCTGAGGATTCAGAAATTGAATTTAAAGAATGGCCAATGGTGGTTGGGTTGATTAATTTCTTGATTTGTTGTAACATTTTGTTTGTAGTAGAGGACAAGGAAGGGTACGATTCGGAAATACAAAAACTTCAAATAATAAAAACTGATAATAAATAAAAGATCGGAGAATGATCAAAATTTTCAGGAGAGAATGGTGTTTGTCTGTATGACGTCAATGATTGAGGCTCTTGTGGTTGCTACAAGTTGTTGATCAATAAGTATGTGCTCGTCTTCAAACAACAAGTCGAATGTACGCTTTTTTTTTCAAGCAAAGGAAGTTTGGCTCGAATTGTAAAAGTAACCGTTCTTGTAAAAACCAAGTTGGTTGTATGTAAAAATATCTCGTTGAGATGCGATTCAACAAGCAGATTTTTGTGTTATTGGAGAGTTGATCGACCGTAGAGAAAGAGCCTTTTCGTTGCAATGTACTTGTCGAAATAGATTGCAAGAATTAACGTTTTGATATTTTGTTTTTCAAAGATAATAACGACAAGGAGAGCGAGTTGAGTTTTTAATCATCAAATTGGCTTTGTGTTGATATAAGCGCTAATACGTTGCCAATTATCTCAATTCAGTACCACTTCAAGCGTTAACTCTTCTCCATGAAGATGATGAGGCTTGGTAGATTTAAGGAAAAGGGGTAACAAATATACAGTTGAATCGGCTCTTGAAGAGAAAAGGTTGAATTGCCCGATAACTGGCAAAGACCATCATGGGAAGGGAGATGACAAATGCAGAGTTTGGGGGTTAGTGCGGATCACTGTATTCGCACAATGCAGATCAACAAAAGGTTTTGTGTGATGTTGTATGACAAATTGCAAAACAGTTGTATGTGAGGTAATCTCTTCTTGGATCTGCTGAATTCACCTGTGATTGGCTGTGGTGCAGTTTCTACGCTCAACGTTGAACATGTTGGTTAAATTGGCAATGATACAAGCAGATTCATGCATTGATTTTGAATGCATTTTGGCAGCCGAGGAGGATACTGGCGTTTTTCGAAAAAGAGCAAGAATTGTCCTTGTCATTCACCTAATTTAAACATTTGTTGTTACGACTCATGTGCTAGAGATATTGATGACACTGACACGATAAATAGCCAAGTTTAGGGCTGGGAACAACCTAGAATCGTCTATTAAGGTTGCAACATGTAGAGTTTGTGATTTATTTAACATTAAAAGTCTTTCGTTCTACGAGTTGAATTTTTGACCTTTGGTGTTCGAAGAGTTAGATAATTGAAAACAAAAACAACAATAAATTCTGTTTAATTGCTGAAATGTTGACGACACTTCGTTTTTGAACAGTTGGTTTACACAGTTCTTTTTGAGAAATACTACAGGTTTTTCAGATCTTTGTTTCATCTCAGCCAACAACCCAAACATTGTTAAACTTAAGACCAATTTAACGAACCTTGATTTTGTACACTTAAAACAAACCTGTTTTTTTCGAGAGAAAAAATGCCTCCTCGATTAAAGGATTCCGATGATGAAAAAGACACACAAAATCAACAGCAGTACCAAGACAAAAATGATCATCGCATCACATTCCGATGCTGCTATTTCACCAATTGTTGGATGAATTTTGTTCCTTCTTTGTTTCATCAAAAACACAGAAAAAGCCATTCGGAGAGAAATAATAACACATTATTCTTCTTTCTATTATTTATGTTGGTAGCAGCAGTGTTATCATCATCTGTCTCATTATTTATACAACGTCATCAAGACAATATTCATTATCACTTGCGGGAAAATTTTAGAAAAGATTTTTATGTTCATGCACAGGGATATTTGCCGAGTGTGGACACGGTACAACAAGCACTAACAGTTGAAACAATGAGAAGTGACGCTGTTAGCTTCGTCCTTTGCAATAACAGTTTTACACCATTTAATTTAACCTTTTATGTTGGAAAACTACACAATCAAATCACCAATAGCCCTAATGACGAAGTATGTGGACTCACAGATCCATGCTCGTCCATGAATGAAGTCTTTGACCAGTTTTCCTCTCTATTATTGAAGGACATGGAGACGTATGCATGTTTATATTACCATATGACCATTGTAGTTCTCAATGACCTTACAGACACCAGTTCACAATCTACTTCAAATTGTAAGAACACTGTTCCTGAAGTGAAGAAAAGTCACAACAGGGTTAGAGTTGACTTGACAGTGACAAGCGTTAATCACGAAAATCCAAGTACTATCACTTGCTTCTATGAGGAGGATGGAGAACGATTGGAATTCATTACAGACATATCGGCAATAGTATTTCTCTATTTATATCATATCAAGATGAAAAATATATATTTGAACCCGCTTACCGTTCAACATGCAACAATTATCAACAGTAATGTAGACATAGCTCGGGCATTGGATTCTGCTGTTATTGAAAACTCAGATTTTTTAGAGAGTAGAATACTTATTGCTACAAAAACTTCTGCTTCATTGCGAAATATAAAATTGTCCGGAGGATTAATGATTAATCAGTGCTCTCAAATACTCATAGTTAATCTAACATGCTATGAAGATGACAATGCTAAGCGATATGGTTATTTGGAAATATCAACAGTTGATGATTTTCTTATGAGGGACTCAAATTTATTGTTTGGGCTTAGAGGACATGCCAATTTCGATTCAGTTATATCCATTGCCATAATAGATAGCAATTTCGAATATGTTTCAACATCGCCGTCTCGAACAAATGAAAGCCTTGAATATGTGATATCAGTTGAATTGGTGTTCCGCCTCAACATTTTGGGATGTACATTCTCAAAAAGAAATGATGGACAAGGATGGTTGAAAGTTGTATCAGGTGGAGTTATCTATTTTTCACATCTACACGTAGCAAACAATACATGTGATGTGGAAGGCCTTTTCTTATTGAATATTTGCCAATCCATTCGGATTTCTGATTCTTCATTTCTGAACAATGTTGCAAATATGGCAGGTGCACTTTATATTATTGCTGTTAAGGATTTAAGCATTGTAGACTCGTCATTCGATAATAACTATGCCGTTGCTGACACAGGAGCAGTTGGCATAACCCAAGCCTTTAATTCTCGAATTAAAGGATGTAAGTTTCGCAACAACACGGCCAATAACGGCAGCGGAGGTGCCTTATCATTGAAGTATTCTGAAATGTTCATCTCACACACGACTTTTGTCAGAAATAGAGCTACTATTTCAGGAGGAGCGATATATTCATACTCTTCTTGGTTGACAGCAGTGGAATTTTGCACATTTGAAGAAAACACGGCTCAGTATCAAGTCTATGATGAATCTTGTTTTGATACATCAAGTAACCCCCATGGAAGTGGAGGAGCAATCGCTATGTATTATAGCACCTCAGACACGTTTATGGAAACGTCATTTGTGGGTAACAAGGCATCAAGAGGAGGAGCCGTCTTTATATCCAATGACATAAGGTTTATAGCGATCAAGTTTGAGAATAATTTTGCTTCCATTTCTGGTGGTGCATTGTTCGTCACCAATAAGGCATCTATGACAATGAGAAACGTTTCCATGTTGGAAAACATAGCCACAATTTATGGTCCAGATAGTTCAACCCCAATAGCATATTTTTCTGAAATTGTAGAGACAATTCCACCAACATCATCGAGTGACATAATCTCCATTTATCCTGGACAGATCTTCATTGTGAAATTTATGAAAATGTATGATCGATACAACAATTATATTAAGAGTGTCAAAGAATGCCCCACTCTATCACTCTCTGACAATAGATTTCTATTGGAATCTAACTTTACTCAGTTAGACAGTAATGTAATAACATTGACCATCACGATTGATCCAAGTATTGACATTGGATTGAACAACTATGGAATATCAAACACACTTAACATTGGATTCATCGAAAGTGACACTCATAACTTGACAATCCTTCTTACCTCTTGCCCAACAGATTACGTCATTAAGAATGGAAAATGTGCTCCAGGATTCCCTTTTAGCCAGGTTATCCCAGGGATCATTATTGGATCGTTGTTATTTATGCTTATCGGTATTATTCTTGGCTCATTTTTGTGCTCACTTTGTGGATTTGGAGCATGGAGAGCATTTAAAAAGGTTAGAAGTATTTACGCTAGACAAAGGTCAGAAAAAGAAATTGAAGAAAAATTATTGACCTACGATGTTTCATATGGATCATTGAATTCTGAAATCCATATCTCAAAAACGTCAAACTATATTATTCCAGCAAACGACTTGAAATTCGAAAAGAAAATTGGAGAGGGTGCAAGTGGAAGGTAAGGCTTTCTTATTTACATTTGTTTGATCGATGTTTTATCAAATTGCTCATACTATGTCAGTGTGTATCAGGCCAAGTACAACATGATCGATGTGGCTGTGAAATCAATTATACGAACAGAGGAGACGGACGAGATTTTTGAAAAAGAGGTTATGTTATTGGTCCAATTACGCCATCCCAATATTATTAGTTTTTATGGAATTTGCATATCAGAGACTCAAATGTATATTGTTGTTGAGTTAGGAAAGAATGGAAGTCTGGAACAATTGATAACTAACATGAAAAAAGGAAAGATCAAGAAGACATTGAAGGAAAAGCTCAAAATACTGATCGGTGTTGCTAATGGCATGAAGTACCTACATGGACTGAATCCTCAATACTTAATTCATAGAGATTTGAAACCAGCGAATATTGTGCTTGATCAATCGAATGTTCCAAAAGTAAGTATTCCGTTTGTGACCACTCTTCATCAACATTGGTTGACTCAAAGGTGTGTGACTTTGGGTAAGTGTAGATATGTGAAACAACATGACGTTCATAATGAACATTCATTCATTCATTCACATCATTGCATCGTTACAGTTTGAGTCGTACTGTGTCGAGCTCTCCAACCAAGTCGTTAACAACAAATATTGGAACTCTAATTTACATGTAAGTTTGTTTTCAATACTTGCAGAAATGTATTTCTTAATACTTTCGTCGAACATACTGCCGTGAATAGGTGTCCTGTAAGTTTTTAATTCTATATTTTTACTCAATTATATTTATCAACTTTATGTTACTAGGAATTGATTTTGGAAGACGATTCTGAACCGCTACATCAACTCTCACGAGAAAATGCCACAAAAATTGACGTCTATTCATATGCTATCATCATGTATGAATTATTCTATGAAGAGACAGCGTATTGGAATGAGAACTCTGAGAAAATTAATTATTTCAATCATTTGATTAATGAGCAAAAGAAAGTGAAATCGCTTAATCTTCTCTTTTATGTTGCCAATCATGATAAGAGACCCTTCATACCATTCCTCAATTATGACGAAATGAAAATTTGGTGTGATAAATTCATGTCCAATGATGATACTACCAATGACGAACTTTTAATTGCAGTAGACAGTTACATGAAGTTGATGAAATCATGTTGGGCTTCTAATCCTAGCGATAGACCTTCGTTTGAAAGAATTATTCAAAAGCTGACTGATATTTACAACATGGATTTCTAGAAGTAGCTTTGGAGCATTCAAATTTGATGACAGAGGCAAATTAGGTCCAAATAGTTCATGTTGAGAGACTGTTACTGGTATTTCATATCTCTGACTGGAGCTCCAATTTGTCTCAATGCTATCAAATAGCAGACATCAAGCAGAGATATCCAATTATTGAATTATCTACAACATTGTCGACCAATATCACGAAACAAAAAGTCGTAATTGAAACCCATCATTGACAATCCGTCAAATTGACATGCAGTTGTTGATATCAACACGCTGCACAACTAATAACAACATCCCAACATCATCACTTTGACCAAAATGACATCAAATTTTACATCATTAGCTCCTTCAAACGAAACCGTTCTTGCATGTCATCCTCTCCTTCTCGCTCAAGGATTTACTTCGGAAAAGGGACTCTGTGACGACGCTCCCTCCTCGTACGTCATTTCATCCATTCAACTCTTTGTTCATAGTATACTATGCATGGTCTCTCTCATTGGATTGATTTATAAGGTTCGGAAAATACAACAAACAGACAAGAGATCTTTCAACTCAACTGTCCACGTGGAGCACACACCATCCTCTCCACCCAGTGCACTGACTACAACTACTACGACCACCACATGTAGCAATGTGAATTATCTTACCGTTGCAAGAAATCCTACACTCATGACTACTGGAACCATCATGTCGTTTCTTTTTGTCATGATCATGCAACTACGTATTTTGATTGGTCGAAAGCGATTTCCATGCTTTTTATACATGTTGGCCTATCACTTTGCAGCCCCTTCCATGTCGACTACTATTGTGCTGCGAACCATAAGAGTGGCCATGTTGGGACTCTTGAATCAGTTGAAGGTGAAAATTGGACAACGTGAATTGGAGAAATATTTCAATAGCAAGGATAGAAATACGATCGAAATTGTCATGCCATTTGTCAACGACGAAGCTCAACAAGAATTAGAAATTAACAGTGTTGTGAACACCAGCACAAGTGTTACTCATCAAGGTCATGTTGGATCTGATGAAGATCACGAATTTGAAAATATTGATCTATCGGATCCTCCTCAAATTTTGAATGGAATGGTCATTGACACCAACTCATGCCCAAATTATCACACTTCACCCAATTCTTCACCTTCCTCTTCATATCCTCTTTCTCGCATGAATTCAAGCACAACATTCAGTATGGAAAGAAAATCTCAGAATACAGACTCTTTTTTTCGAAATGTGAGCAATGTTCAAGTAGTGACGAATGATAATAAGGTTATATGTACCTCCAAAAGTGAGAACAACCTCCTTTCAATGAAGTTACCTACCTACGAGACAATTGCATTGAAAATGTATACCTTTCTCACCTCTACCAAGTTTGTAATCCTATTCTATACGGCTACTTTTTTCATTCATCTTGTTCTTTATCTCACCATTGGAAGTATTGATTATTACTATTGGACGACACATGAAAGCAAGCAAGATCAGGCCTCAATAGAAAATATTCACAATGCATGGGTATTGGATAGCTTTATATTCTCAACCAGTGGATGTGGAAGTGATACATATAATTTGTACCTATTCATTGCGGAAGTAGTCGTTTATTTGATTTTGGTTTTATCAGTGTCAACATTTGTCTTGTTTGTGAAGAGAGATGTGTGGAAGTTGAAGATGGAAGTATTTGCCATCTTCTTAAATTGGGCTATTTTAGGATTAATTTATTGTGCACCTTTGCTTCTAAGCGAAGTGTCAAAGTTGTAAGTGTGTGAATTGATCATGTAACATGTTTGTGATAGAATCACTCGCTTAAATAACATACATTTGTGACATGCATTTGACCACGATGCTACATCCCAATTGTAACATACATTTGACGAATGACACAGAGTGGACTATTACTTTCCATGGGCCTTTTTCATGTTCTTGGCAGGAATGATTGATACATTCATATCTGTGACAATTCCTGTATTTTTCTTGCAACGTGAAAACAAGTCCTCTCATGGCAAAGCCACAACCCATACAACTCCAACTGGAAATGCTGAAATCCCAACAAGCGCCACTAATGAAATTGCCAGGTGTTTGCAACACCCAGAAATTTATCCCCTCTTTCTGTCATTTGGTGAACGCTCCTATGCACCTGAAGACATTTTGTGCTACAATTTGATTGAACAATTCAAAAAGTCATCCCAGAGAAATCGCAAGAAGATTATTTGCACCCTCTGTGACACGTATCTTAAATATGCTGCACCTTTACAACTAAACCTATCGAACCAAGACTTGGAAAAGCTTGCTCCTGTCTTTGAAATGCAACAGAAAATTCTGGAAGAGAACAAGCAACGAGCACGTTTCTCAATGAGTACTCTTTCCAGAGGAATTGAAATTCCTTCCAATTTCTTGAACAACCTGCAATTAATGTCTGAGAGAAATCTCTTGGACTTGTATGAGAGATTTTATGAAGAGCACCAAAAGGTATTGAAGGACAAGTTAGGTATTTGCAAACTTTGAGAAAAACTCGTTGGTGCAGTGTCCTCATCCACGATCATAGTCTCTGCTGTATGAGAGAGAGCAAATTTGAACCTTGTAATTCAAGCCATCATGAAGCGTTCGAGATTAATCTCTCATGAGACTAAAATTGTACAACAATGTTTAAGGAAATGTAAAAGCAGTACACGACCTTAATTTGTTTGTAAAACATTTTACATTGTTGATCGTTGATAAGGCATCGAGTTCCATATCGGAACATAGCTGCTGAGGGAAGTAAAATAGAACGGCTCATGTTACCTCCCTTCACTGAATTCAAAGTTGATTTACTCAGTAAGAGTTAATTCCTCTGCTATTGATGTACGTGATATTGATTGGTTAAAGAGAGATGTCTTCCAATTCGTTCTTTCAACCAGGTGATGATCAAACGTGATTAAAAGGAAGGTGCGATTTTAGGCTCTTTGATATCAAAATAGTGATTGTATCCAGCGCTTTCCCATTGATTGGCGGAAGACTGTTTAATTCAACAGAGGGCTGCCTCACAACTCATGGTGGGCTCATGAATTGGAATCCACCAATGGCATTGCTCGACAATTTTAAATGCAGATTTTTTGCTTTTGCGCAACATTTAACGCTCATTGTAACGAGTGTGCACACAAACAAACCAACCAAAAAAGAAAAAAAAGCAATTTGCTTGTTGCTGTTTGGAGAGATTAGTGTGTGCCGTTCCGTGCTGTTGCTTGTTGTGTTATCAATTTATATATTGATTGATTCCGTTATCATCACCGAAACATGTTGGACTTTCAAAACTATAGAAACCAAACTGGATTTATTACTGGTACCAGTTATGTACCAACCAAGGTGAATAACAACTTGTTTGTTGCAGGTGGATCATCCGGTGCTTCAAACAAGATGGTGAGACCCGTAGTGTGTCCTTGCAAGTCATCATCGGGGGTGGAAGTTGGAAAGCTGTTGGATATGGCTCTCTTGAAACGACAAAACCTAATGATGAACAAGCAAACCACCATAACATCTGCAACAACAACTTCGACTCAATTCTAATAGCACACGTATAACGACTCCTTCTAACGATAGGCTGGATGAAATGGTGCACTTGAAGAGTGTGTTACTCTTTCGGTAAAGATATCTCCACTCTCGTGGATGGACGTATAATACTCGAGAGAACACACTTGATGATTGTCAATGCCATGCAGCATGATGAACACGATTTGGAAGTTTACCGTTTCCCATTATGTTCATTCAAGGAACAATGGTAAAAGTTGCAGAACACACAGTTGCTTGGCTCGTTTGTTGCAAATCTTTGATCTTACCCAAGTGCACTTTTCATCCTAATACTATACTGAACACTTGTGTGGTGCATGGTCGTTTGTAGAGAGATAGAAGCTACAACATTTGCTTTTCACTCTTTGTCACGTCCGTGTACACACTCACGATTCACACGACGCGAGGTTCATTCACTCTCAAACTCCAATTTTGCATACGGCTTTTTCATAATCACTACATTTGTGATTTCAAACCAATAGAAAACAATAAAATTCATAAACAATATTAAATTCTTTCTGTAACTGGGAAAATCATCTCAGTGCCGATTCAACTAAGAAAAATCTCACGAACAAAAAAATGTCTTCATCATCAAACTCACTCAATTGCTTTCAAAGTGTTCCGGAGGGGTTTCACAGCGCTGTCGATGACTTGAATCGAGTGCATCCCGATATTATCAATGAAATGGCTCACAAGACAGTCATGTTTATTCTTGGAAAAGGATTGGGATGTTATGTGGATGATTACCAGGGTTGGATTTCCGATGTGAATAATCAAGCCTTGTCGAGCAAGCAAATTGAAAATGTGATAAATCTTCTCTTGTATATATTCCGTACTGCTCGGCAATTTAGAGTAGCTCTTGCAGATTTTCCAAAATTATTGAGATCAAACACACAAATTCAAGTGAACAAAATCAAAGTCATGTGTCCCGAATATGAAATTTTATTGGAACAAACAAAATTAAGGGAAGACAATGATACATCATCTACCACTGAATCCACTCAACAAGATAAAAAGTTTTTAGATGATTTTGAATTGCCTCGATTGAAACATTTGGATTGGAAATTGAGTATTGCAACGGCGTCGAGTTCATGCGAGAATTTACAGAGCGCAAAAGTGACTCTTACAATGCTCATGACCAATAGTCAGAGAAAAACAATTGATCTAACGTTGAGTGAATTTAAGAGAATGTATTCAGAATTTTCAGATATGGCTGGTCTTATTGATTCATTGTAAATGTTGTATCAAACAACTCGCACCCACTGACCGAAGAAAGAATGGCAGTCTTGTTGAAATAAATTTACCCAATGTGCTTTTATTTCCTTGTGGCATTGATTGGAATGTTGGTGTCATTGATTATGGCGACTTTGTTAACATTGATTAGTTAGTGGCTACAAAATTTCTGTTTAGTAGGAATACGGTTTGTTAGGAACAACTCTGTCACATAACAACAGGGTTTCTTGAATTTCTCTCAACTTGCCAATGTCGTGATCTAAATTTTCCAAAGCATCTTCATCTAAGGTGCTCATGTCGCTTAATTTACACAAATTTTCAATGGACGCAAGGTAATTGGCTTCTAGCCGTTTGAGCACTAATTGTTCGTGTTGAATGCCATGAGACTTAATTTTTAACACGGATTTTGAGTACAGATTGGCAATGTCTGTCAATGATCGGTAATAAATGTCATCATCTTCTGTTTGCAGCCATTTACGTGCGGGCTTTTTCGTACTATTGATATTTAAAATCACTGGATGATGTTTCAGATGAGTCATTAGCTCGCTATAGTTATTCCATTTGTGGTACAACTCTTGTTTGAATGCAAGAGATGGATATTTTGAGAAATTTTTGGAAACTTCTTCGTGTTGTGGTTGTTGTGGTTCAGATGGTTGTGAGGATGAATGATTTTGTTGTGAAACGCCCAGGCTTAAATTAATAACTATGTTGGCATCGACAGGTTTCAGACATTTCAACATTAATGCAAGAGCTTGATCGAGAGCCATTTTCGATGAGCTAATTTTCTGCTCAATGGTCGATATTTTGTCATTGTCGCTTTGAGGCTCGTATTCTGTCATTAAATGATACAATCGTAATGTTACAAATGATGAAGTAATTCCAAGATATGGAATTTTCTCTTCTTCGTTTTGAGGAGAGCTTGTAATCCCTAAATTAGATTTTGAGTTTTGGAGTAAGAGTTCAGATTCGGGCTCCGTCTTTCCATTTTTCTGCAGGTGGTCCTTGTAAATACGTTCTGCCTCTTTCAAAACCTCATCATCAATTAATAAATCTCCCTTTGATAAATTGAGATCTTTTTGTGTACTATTATTACTAGACGGAGTGGCAAGAATGGGTTTAGTAATCTTTTCAATTGCGGTATGGTCAATCAAATAACATGTTGCATCCAATACTAGGCATAGAATAAATACATGATCATGCAATTCATAATTTTTCGTTGTTTGATTCAATTGAATGAGTCCACATTGATCTAACAATTGAATACGATCCTTATTTGTTTCATTGTACGATACAATGGTAACAGTGTTTTTTCGCTTCTTTTTGGCAGGTTCTCCTCTAGATGAGCTTGATTGAGAGCTACTGGTACCGCTATTGTTGTTGTTGTTACTTGTTGTGGTCGTAGTGGTTGTAGATTTAGAAGCTTTTGAATAAACGAGTCCATTTGGATCATCATCCAATTCATTTCCTTCCAATGATCCCAATGATGAAAAGAATTTTCTCTCCAAAGCCTTACTCAAATACCTTCCATTCAATTTGATCAAAATTAATTTTGCTTTCATTTGTGCTGGATCGGATGCTTCTGTAGTGGAATTAAAGAAAAAGTGTTGTTCATCCCGATCATCCATCACGCAACAACTACCTTCAAAGATGATAAAAGCATCTTCCATCACATGAGAATAATGGTGTTGCAAAAAATTTGAAAATTCCATACAATAGCTATTATTGTTTTTGGCTTTATACGGATGGGAGCGAACAAATTCTTCATAGTGCTGATTGAGTTGAGAGAATGGACACATGAAAGGAAGGGCACTGAAGAATTCGTGTCGGTTCATTTTTTTTTAACAGTTCCAACAAATTTTCGAATGGATTTTTAATTATTTACATTGGCAAGAGCTCTTTGTCAAACTTGCACACAATCATTTCATAATAATAATGTTCTTTTCTATATGGAACAACCGTGGTTATTTCTTATTACGCTTCACATTTGGTGTTTCTGCTGGAATGGTGCACTCATGACAGGCACTACTCGAACCTTCTTTTGAAGAAGAATTAAGGTCAGGGAACAATAATTTTCTCTTACTTGAACCGGCTCCAATAACGTATTCAGATCCTCTGGCTCCCAAATAAAAATTGGTTGCCCATGCACCAACTAATGGAATCTTTTCACGAGCTTTCCTGTTACACCAATTTCCCAATGGAATAATAGGTCGAACAATGAAACCAAATTTGTAAGCCATTTTAGACATGTCATAATACCAGGCCGCTGTTTTCACTTCTTCTCCTTCACTAATAATTTTCCATGCATTTTCAAAGGTTCGAGTGGGATATCTCTGATCACCAATCATTGAGAGAGTTCTAATAAGGAGTCTCCAGAATATTGGAGGATAATCATTGTCGTCAGCACCACCAGTCTCCATTAATTTTGCCTTCTTTTCAGCAACCTCAACAAATTTGTCAATAATTTTTCCAGCCATAATTTTTCTCAGGTTAACTGTAACCTCTGTCACTCGTTCAAAATTGGTAATTTCGCATGTTTGAATGCTATCTGCAAGCTCTTTCAACCCCCAATGTAAAAGAAGAGATTTGTGCTTGATATTACATTCATCCTTTTTCGCACACGTGAAATGAAAGTATACATGTTGGTTCATAGAGCCTCCTTTCTCATTCAAAATCCCACTTTCATAAAGAAGCTTTTTAAAAGTTGTATTTCGTTGAAAATCATCTCTAATGACGCTTAGATGAGCTTCTTGTTCAAGATGCAACTTGTCATATGCAGTCTTATATGCTTGCTGCGCAGCATTGTCAACGTTTTGCATATCATTGTAATATTCCTGATAACGCACAATCTCATCTTTGACAAGAGAGAGTTTTGTTTGGTGTTCGATTTTCTGCTTATTGAGTTGATATCGATTAATTTCAATCTCGTTTCGTTCATGACAATATTGATTCTTAAGTTGTAATTTTTGTGCATAGAGTTCTAATTTTCCATTCAAGCGAGGAGGTATGGTTTGAGCTTCTTGAGAAGTACTCCTTTTAAATACTCCAGAAAAAATTCCAAATAGAGAACTAAACGAATATGTTGCCTTCACAGTTGGAGTGGAGTTGTTTGATTCTTGCACTGTTGAAGTGTTTTCGTGCAAGAGATTCAAAGGAGGAGCCGATGGTTGTCGATCGTTCTGTAAAGCCCATGTCTTTGAATGTTCATTGAATTCTGTCGATTTAAGTTGTTGTAATTCTCTTTCAGCTGTTTCAATGAGTTGTGCTACTTTTTTGAATTTTTCATCCAACAATTTTTCCTCCATCTCTATAGATTTTAAGGATTTTTCCGCGTCCTCTTGATCTGCCTTTGCAAGCTCCAATGCTGATTTGACCTCAGCCAACTGTTGATGATACTCGACTAACTTGTACCGATCTGCCTCACGCTCAATTTGTTGACAAAACTTTTGATATTCGTCATCATATTCATCGATAAAGTTCACAACTACATGTATGGGAAGAATAGGCTCCTTGCCTGCAGGAAGTTTCGTTGTTTTCATCTGATGGATCAACTCTGTACGCAATTTAGCAGCTTCTTTCAACACGAGTAGCTCTCTCTCAATACAGTGTTGTGAGTTTTGTTTGACGTTTTGGACTTGCAATACAACCACAATCATGTTCGGCCTGTGATGTAGAATATCTTGTCGTGTTTGTTGAAAGGCGTCATCAGTTTCATTTAACTTCTTTTCGAATACTCCTCTCGAATCTATAAGGTTCAAGCCGTCGTGACACAAAGAGCTTGAATCGATACGATAATTATACTTCTCCACAGTACCAACTCCATATTTCTTGTCTAGCTCTTTATGATTCTTCGTTACAGGCTGTTGGGTTGGGTTAATGATGGATATCAACTGGCTGATAATACTTGTTTTTCCAGATTGTGGATTTCCCAAAAACACAGCACTTCTCTTATTTCCTAACTCACTGATAAAAACAAGCTCCTTGTTGAGTTGCACGAAATCTTGTTCTGTGAATACTTCGGCTTTAGGGTTCAAAGCTTGGTTGAGTTCGCGCCGTTCGTTTTCAGGTAAGTAAAACTTGACAATGTTTGAAAAGGGATTCGAGTTCATGGTTGTGGTGTAGTAGTTGTATGTTTTTTTTTTGTTTGACAAAAGAATGCCCAATGTTGCAGCAGTGTTAAATAGGTTCCAGTTGCTTGGACGTCTTGTAGACGTCAGTACTGTGCCAAAGGCTATAAAAGTCACAACAACATTCTTGCAGACGTCAGTAACTGATAAGCCAAAACAGCCAAAGACCAGATCGGTAGTTTGTCCAAGACGTCACGCTCACAAAAAAATGTCTCCACCCTCCATTCCAGAGTTGTGGCGTGGCTCCATCCTTTCCAAAGTATACGAAGACATTCGTGCAAGATTAAAAATCTACTTTCCATACGCTCTATACGCAAACAAACTTTGTTACAAATGTCCAATCTGTGAAGTGTCAACTACCAAGAAAGACAAACAGAAAAGGATCATGGATCATTTTCTTACCGCTCATTTGAGCGTGAATGAACAATGCAAGGAGTTTTCTTCAATGGTTTTTGATATCATTCAATGCTGCAATGAGGAAAATGAGAAGCATAGACATGTCAGATTTAAGCAGCTTTGCGAAAGGATGAAAGAGTCCAAAACAGTAACAGTCACTCCAACACAACAGTTACAGATGGATCAACTTGGGTACATGAGTTCAGATGATAATTTTCTTGCGGTAAATGTATCGACACAAAGTCAACACTCATCCATCGGCACTCCAAATCTAAACCTACCCACACATGCCAGTGATTCAGCACACTTTTTGCAAAATGGTGTTCTTCATGAACAATTCTCTACTTTTGTCCAATACAATGACATTAGCATCACAGACATCAACAATCGATTAGCAGTGATTGAACATTATCTTAATTGTACTTTACCTTTTCAACTGCAAGAGGAAATTCAACGCCTTATTAATGCTACACTTGATGTTCGTGCAGGTCAGGTCCACAACACGACCTCTCAACAAGAGGAAGAACAGCCAGTAATGAAGGAGGGTTTGGACGATGAATTTTCATCTTCGAATGGTATGGAATTTAACCTTGAATAAGATATGTCCAAATTGTTAGACTTCTAACTGTATTCTGTGTACATAATTTCCTTTAAACATATCTTTTTATGAATTTCTTTCGTTTTCTATAGGATCGTTTTTTAAACTCCAACAAAATTGGCGCTTCCACTTGTCACGAGTTCATTCATTTTGACTTTGAATTTTCAACGTTTGCAAAAGGTTGTTAGTTTTCTCCACTTTTTGTCAAAGCCTCCACAAACAAGCATTAAATGTTCGCTCCAATTTCCAAACTCGTGAGCATCCTCATGTTTTGGCACAAAACAGCAATTAGGATATTGTGTCACATCCATACATAAAATTCGTTCTCCAATCGAAAACTGAGAGACAGGCTTAAATGAAATGGTATCCCAGAATCGAATCGTTCCATCAAATCCACTAGATATAATAAATCTTCCACACGAAGGCTCATACATGATCGTGTTCATTAATTTGTAACTTGCAGGTATAGAATAGTATGGCTCTTGCCTAAAATGATCCGAGTTTGGATCTGTTTGTTTTGCTCCAGAATTTAAGCTATGCTTGACATATCTCAAATCCCATACGTCAATTAGCCCGTCTAAACCTCCAGTCACTAAATTCACTCCATTGTATGGGTTGAATGAACAATTAAGCACATCCTTGACATGATGCAGTAAATTGCATACTAATAAACCAGTTCTCAAATCCCATAACTTGACAACACCATTAAAATCTGTAGTACACAAAATTCCACCATCTGGATGATGATCTACTGCATACACTGGGCAGTAATGGCCTTCTTGAATATAGAGTGGCTGATAAGTGGACAAGTCCCACATACACCAAGTGTGGTCAGAGCTTGTGCTCACAAATTGTTGTCCATTGGGGTGAATGGAGAGCCTATTAATGACAGCAGTGTGAATGTCTCCAGCTTTGAGGTTCTCTCGTTTCAGAGCAGGCTCTTCAGAAGATGCAGAATTGTGATCGGTCATGTCATTAGACTCTGATTCCACAACGTTAAAAACTTGTGCTGGTTTTTCTGACTCATCTTCCATATTCCACAATTTGATGATTCGGTCAGCCGACGAGCTTAGAACGAATTCATTTCTCACTTGAAGACATGTCACTCTCTCGTCATGAGCATTGGTATAGGATCTAATTAAGGAACAGCTGTAGGATTCATCTTCATCCTGTAAGGGCATTTCTGGTTCTTTTTCATCAGTCTCATCCGTGATTGGCTCCTCTTCCTTAAAACATGGATTTGCAACTTGCCAAACTTTCATGTCACCAGACCAAGCTCCTGTTATGCATTTTCCAAAATCGTGACCTAGTATTTTAATTTGTGAAATCGGCCGTGAATCTCCAATCACAGAGGACACCATAGATAATCGCTTTTGAACATTGTCCATGAGTCTGTTTTTTCGATCGACCAATTGTGCAGCAATTCCTGGTTTTGAGGTATGTTGTCCCATTTTATCTTTTTTCACAACATCCACAAACTCACGAATTGTCTCCAATCGTTGCTGTGCTGATTGTAATGAATACATGGCAATGCTTTCTCGTACACTTGCAAGATTTGTATTTGATGCTTCAAAAGTAAAATATTGTTGAGTAATATCTTCTTTTTCTTCCAACTCATCGACCATTTCCTCTTGCTCTTCTTGTAATTGATTTTTCGCCAAAGTTGAAATTAAATCTTGTCGTCCTTTGGCTATTAATTCTCTTTGGAAATCAGCCATTAATTCCGATCCATGTCCAGTGTAATCTTCACGTTCATCCATTCTTCGTTCGTCCTCATTCCGTTCCTCTTCCTCTCTAAGCCTCTGAATGACCACCAGTCGCTTCAATCGTTCTCTTCGTTCGGGAGGTCCTTCTCCGAACATGGTTATGGGCTCTCCCATCTCTCTCAACTTGATTCTCACATCCCGATCCAATGTAGGTATTTTGAATTCTGCATTAAAATTCGGAGAGAGTAAGACCAGTTGAATGCGTTGTTCATCCGGAAGAAATTGGTGCTGAGAGGGGGCAAGCATTTTTTTTTTGTTTTGAAAAATTCACCCCAACTTCAAGAAGAAAAAAACTCGCCAAAAGTCTTCACGACCACATGTGTTCTTTTACAAAGAGTCATCAGTGTTGAGATCTGAATGGAATGAAACGGCCATGTCGCACAACTTGGTAGTGACTGGTCTCCGCAACAAATTCGTGAAACGTTTTGTATGAACTGTGCTCACCTTAACATTGTTGTACACCACCACATGCCAAAGACCTTTCTCCTGAATCTTGTCCTCACATTCTGGACATGCACCTTCTTCACGGCAAGCAAAAACAATTTTAGAAAGGGCTGCGAGGGCCTTTCCTGCCAAATCAGCTTTTTCATTTTGTAGCACAATGTCACACAGCACCTCAATGCAATGGCTCTGCTGTTCAATCATATAAACAATCTGACTATTGTTGCCTCTATTCATTGCATGTACAAATACCCAAATTGCTTGTTTTTTTAATTCTGTCTCTGTTGAATTCTCAATCATTCGAATTATTTCAAGCATAATATTGGCTTTGATGACATCCTGTACGTGATCCTCATTAACACAAGTAATATTTGAAAGAACCCAACATGTTTTTTTCTGAATCCAGACGAGAGAGTCTGAAAGCAATGTACGAAGAGGAGCCAACGCTCCACTGTCAATAATTACTTGTGTGAAATGAGAGGCATCTCCAGCAGCAATGTTTCCAATGGCTTGCAACGCTTGCACAACCACATCTTTGGATGGATGCGACAACAGTCCAGCCAATTTTGTCACAGCAGTGGTCTGAACCACTCTCTCAACATATTCGATAGGACCGAATGGATTACATAAACAAGCAAGTGCCACACAAGCATTAGCCACTACTTCCTCATCTGTATGATACAATAAACGAACCAACATTGGAATGGCACTGGAAATCACCTCTAACGAAGGAACTGGTTGGCATCTACATAAATTACACAGCAAAAAAGAACATGTCCTGATCAAGCCTAAATGATTGACATGATTCTCCATGCATTTCAATAGCGGTTCTAAAACTCTCTCACGCAACACACAATCACGTGCTCGTAGACCATCTCCTGCAATATTTCCCAATGTCCATATGGCATGTTCTTGAACCTCTTCATTGGAGCTTGAAATTAATCGTATTAACCAAGGTAAAGCTCCTAATTCTAAAATATATTGAACATGTTCCGAAGTACCATCCGTAACACAGATGAGAGCCCAAGCAGCTTCCGATTGAAGTTGAGGCTCATCATCATGTTGAAGAAATTCTACAAATTTTGAAATGGCTCCCAACTCGATGAGGTCATCCACTGGAACAAGTTCGTCATTGAGCAGTGTTGTAAAATAGATCAAGGCTTCGTATCGGAGTTGGTCATTGCAAGAGAAGAGAGCAGAATATCGATCAGCAATGAGTGTTGGATCGCAACAAGATTCCGACATGGTTGTCAATGAGCAAATGTCAAATATTTTTTTTTAAGATTCTAATTTTGGTATTTGTGTGAACTCTGGTCTATTCAAACATTTCAGTGAGAGTAAACTATCTTGAACATGTTTGGTTTTCTACTAATCGTTGAGGGTCAACAATGTGTTCGCAAATTTTCAAGCAAAGTACTTTATGTAACCTCTAAACGTGAAAATGTCAAATTTCACATTTTTCACTTTCCTAGTTGCACGATTTTTAATTCCTCCTCTTTCACGCTCTTCAATCATCCATTCCTTACAGGATCCTACATTTCATTGACTGCCATTGGGTCAATCTATCATTAAAGCAAGGAAAACAAATATACTGACTATGTGGATAAGAAGCATGTGTGTCCTTTCACGAAAAGTCAATGCTTTACAATGCCAGGTGTGAAAGGCATTAACACTTCAAGTCCAAACCACACTTCAAATCTGAGAGAAGTTGTTATTGATTTATTTTCATGATGAAGAGGGTCTTCAATCGCTTCAAACGAATTCGACTCTCCTCCACAACAAGGTGGCACTTCAAATTTGGAATCTGACGAAGAAGGAATGGATGAAGTATTGTCCAATGATGACGAAGACTACGAAGACATTTGAATGGATGGAGGAACTATTCGTCTCCCAGTGTTCACTTTGACATTAAATGTTGTCTGCGTATGGTTTTAATAATCATTTTTTATCTTAAGTGCCAGTGTATTGTATTAAAGGTCACAATCTTCTCCAATCTATTGCCATTTCCATTTCAAAAAACTAAGATAGGTGTTTCAAATGTCAGAAGGAAGGATTAGTGTTGTTTTGCCAGAATGACTTTAGTGCAGCGTACGGGTCAGTGCCATTCCTTATCTGATAAACAATGGTCTTGAAATTAAGTTCATCGAACTGCCGCCAAAAATTTCTTGCTTCTCTTGCTTTGTCAAATTCATTTCTAGAAACGGAATGAAATTTTTTGCTAGAAGCCCAATAACAAAATGTCTTCAATAACGATTCACAATCATATTTTGTTTTGTAAGATTTGAAACCATGAGGATGAACAATACATTCTAAATATTCATCTGCGCAAAATGAAACTGTTCCGGCAAACTGTGTCATTTCGTCAGCTTTACATGCAAAGCCCCAATCAATAAATATTAATTTTCCATCATTTCCATTCTTCATAATGTTATCAGGTCTAATATCTCTGTGGCAAATTCCCCTTGAATGAACCTTTTGCAATAAGTCTATTAAGTCCAAACATTCTTGTTTGGTTGGGGTATCTGTATCTTCTATGCAATTAAATTTTTCCATTTGTAAAACTCCTTCACATAGTTTTTCTACTTGAGGGACATCAATATTATAGCTTTTGAGAGTATTCAACGTTTGATATTCGTTCTCAAACAAATTAGTATAAACGGGCGTTTTACATATTTTAGCAACCCTTTCATCAGGTACTTCAAAAACCAAAGAAGTATAGCCATCCGAAAGGAAGGATGTTAAATTGATTACTGTTGACGGATAAAACCCAATACTATCCACCTTGTCAATGGAAGTATTAAGTAAAGAATAAAGTGTTTGAAGACCAAGAGTTGCCATATTATTGGTGGGTTTGAAATCTATCGGTTTTGAATGTTGAAATGTAACAATATCATCATTGATCTCAGCTTTTAGGAATATAATTGATGTGTAATTTGTAATGAATCCGTAATTACATTTTCTGTAATGTTTTTGAGCAATGAGAAGTGTTTGTAAATATGAAATCATTTGGCCCAGACTGCTTGGTTTTTCGATACTTTTACCACGAGCTTTGATGTCACCAACAATATTTGCAATTTTAGTTAGTAATGAGTGATTAGATGTTTCTAGTAAGGTATAATTTTTGTAGTAGAAAGTGAAATCTGGTGCTTGAGATGTGCTGCTATCAAGTTGAGCTGATAAATATTGTTTTTGGCTTGTGTCAATTACCTTCAAATCATTTTGTGCCATTTTTTCGAGGATTGTGCTCATTGTGTTATGGACCTCACTCTCCGCTGAACTGTTTATAGGTGTGAAAAGGTTTAATATATCATCATTAACCTGGCTATGGGTAATCCAGTTCTTGAGTTCCATTTCATCGACAACAGTAATGTGGTGTTGGTTTTTTTCTGAATTATAAATACTAGCATATGAGTGAGTTGATAGGTTGGATGTAGATTTGTGAGTTAATTGTAATTGTTTAGTTTTTTCTTGTTCACGTTTTGTTTTTTCTACCTCCTGCTTTGTTTTTTCTTTTTCTGTTTCTATTTCGCGTTTTGTTTTTTCTTCCTCCTGTTTTGTTTTTTCTTCCTCCTGTTTTGTTTTTTCTTTTTCTGTTTCTATTTCACGTTTTGTTTTTTCTTTTTCTGTTTCTAGTTTACGTTTTGTTTTTTCTTCCTCCTGTTTTGTTTTTTCTTTCTCCAGCAATAGTTGATATTTCATTTTCTTTAGTTTGTGTGAGGTAGAATTCTCATTCTCTTTTCGTTTTTTTGGGGATGAAGATGATGCTGAAGGTGATGTTGGTGATAATGCTGACGATGATGATTCTGGTGAAGATGATGATTCCGGTGAAGGCGATGATAGCGGTTCGGACATTGTTGAGTATTAAATTTTTTTTTCAAGGTATTTTTAGCTGCTTGCTGAGTGTGGCATGGCTGTTATGGGAAGGCATTTCATTCAACAATTTTTAAAACCTTGAATACACATTGATTTCATCATAAAACGAAAGAATTTATAAAATCTAGTTTTCAGCGGAAAACAAAGTAAAACGAAAGCGGTTTCGTCTGTTTTCCACGAACGGAATGGCCTCTCCTCGGCTCGGAAATGTTGCAAGGCACTTTGAGAGCCACTCCTTGAACCCTGTCGTCATTTAACAGTGCACGAGTGATTTGTTTCACACTGGCTGCGGATTTGTCAGGGCCCTCCCTATCCATGACATGGCTTTTAGAAATCCCTCTTCCATGCAACATGTTTATCAAAAACAATTCTATCAACATTCCTTCAAATATGAAGATGCATTGCAAGGTCTTCAATTAGTGTTATTATTGGTCGATAAAAGTGGATCTTTGACTTTGGTGAAGATACTACTGGTCAAGGAAGATTGAATGGCATGATTCACCTTCAACAATGGACTCGATTTGATTTATAAGAAGTTCTTTCTGATCCAACTGGAAATCGAGTCAATGTCTTGTTTATTCGACATGGAGATGACATTTAGGCAATTCTGGAAACATTTGGATGATTGTGACACGATTGGACAAAATGTAGATACGAAGAGTGATAACGCAGTTAAGAATGTGCTTTTGAATGCTTTTTATGAACGTTAAGACTATCAGTTCTACCATTTTATATGAGTAAACAGAATTCTTCTAACGTATCATGTTTTCTGCCATGAGCTCTCGACCATAACTCATACACACTGCAAGTCGTGTTAAAATTGATTTTCAGCCTGCTGAAATCTCTGGAGGTAACAGCTGCTTGAGAAGATCAAGATTTGACAACTACAGATCTACTCTTGATCTGTATTTAATTTGTTGATGCCCAAATAAATGTTATTGAGGTTAAGAGTTGAAAATTCATCCATGGACAGAGAAGTTTGTCAATCTTTGGTTAAACGAAAATGTTTAATTTTCATCATGATTCAACAATTCAAACAAGGTAATGGATGTTCTAATTTTTCTATTGGGGACAATAGTGCTGGCAGTTGATTTGGTTTTTGGAGTTTCTATAGCGCCTATGGTTGGAAGCGATGGAGTTGAATGTAGCAAATGGTCATTTCGTGCTTGTGGTTGAATGGGAGCAGAGATTGAGCTTGCTTGATATTGGGTTCGAATGGTCATTCCTGAAAGATTGGCCTCACTGCGACATGAAATAATGTCACTTGTCGTCCTAACTTTTGGGTGTTCGTGATGACGATATTTTGGAAGTGAACTGTTAGCACTTGGAATACTTTCCATATCTTCTCGATAACAAACATCTAAATGACATGCATATTGAGGTTTCTTTTGAAATCGACGGGATGTCGACTTGACCATCTGCTTTTGATTCATTCTTTGAAGATTTTGTATTCTTCTCTGAAGGCTTAATCCCATCGGTTGAGAGTATTCAACAGAAGGTAATCGCTGTCTTTGATTCATTGGATGCCTTTGAGTTGAGACGGAGGTTACCTCTTGTGCATGCATTTTCTGAGAAGAATGAGAGACATTGGATTTGTGCACGACATGTGGCACATGTGGTGTGTTTGGTTGTAATAACGCAGGAAGTGGCATGATGCTTCTTCGAGAAGAGAGTGGGACAGTAATTGGCATGTTGAAATGTTGAGATAAATCCACAGAACCATCAAAAGGATCTTTGGTAGAGTTACTTTCATCGTCTGTGTAATAGGAAATCATGGAGAGAGGTTTATGCCTTTTACCAATCTTGTGGTTGCTTTGATTGGGTACAAACGTGACATGGCAGAATTTCATTGTACTAGTATTGCAACGCGAAAACTATGTTTTTTTTTGTATAGGCCATGAATCACGTGGTTTGTGCATGGTTTAAAAGGTGCCGTTCATGAATGAGGGTTGACCCCATCCTGAAATGGAGATTGAATAATGGTGGCAAGAATCCATGCAAACGTAAAATGGGCCTCTCGAAGGTACTGTCACTATGGTCAAAATCATGCGGATCTTGCTAAAAAAAAGGCAATAGCAAAGTTGGATTCTTTTTTACAAAATACCAAAAGAGACAGAAGGCCGAAGGTTGCAAGATTTCGAATTTATTTAACCATGACACAATCGTTTTAGTGTGACACCACAACCCAAAAAGTAGAAATGTCATCTAACGATGTTATGGTGATGTCTTGCATGCTTCATTATTTGGATGTCTCATTCTTGAGCTCTTTATAAAAATTAAGAAGTGCTTTCCATTTTAATTGCACAAGCGTGACCATGGATTATCTCTGAAAATGCTGCCTTTATTCGTGCATTTACAGTTCATCCATTGAATATAGAACCCACACTCAGGCGTTAAGGAGCTCTTGAATAGAGATGGAGGTTCTCACTTTCTTCGTTGTTGTTGCAGTTTCAGAATGTTGTGTTGTGCAAGAGTTGCTGGGCGGCAAATGAGGTATATGAGGTATGGTCGAGCGTTTGTGATGAGCATCCTTCTTGTGTGTATGCACTTGAGTTGTGACCTCTCGTGGTTGGTTGTTATTATTGTACAGTTGAACAAAGTATGCAGTGCTGAACTGCTCAATACTTCGTTGGGAGGAGCATATTTGTGAAGAACTCTTGCATGATGTCTTTTTTTGAATACCTTTTGGCTTGACCTCATCTTGGGTCGTTGGTTGTGGTTTTGCCCTTCTGCTCGTTGTTGGTGAGAACTGTTTGGTATGAATTCGAATATTTGGAATTGCATGTATATTGAAATGTTTGGACATATCGACCGAGCCATCGAAAGGATTTGTAGTTGTGGATTCACATCCATGTTCGTTTGAAGTGTCCGAAGTGGAGCAATATGAAATCATGGTGAGGTTCTTGCTCTCCATGTTGGCCCTTGCGTTTTCCAAAGGAAACCCGTTGTTTGCATGATGCTGTGGCACGAAGGAGACAATGGTAATTTTCATTGTTTGGGGTTTGATTGAAGATAATTGTTTTTTCAAAATTATCTGTGTTTCGAAAGATAATTTCAATAATTGTCCTTTAGGAGAGGGAGTATAAAATTGATAGCCATGTGCACGATTTCAATGGGTCACTGCCTATTTTGTTCGTCATGGTTACAGATTTGAATGGTGTCCTAAATTTCGAATCAAACTTGTGTAAAAAAAGAAACGTGTCCAACCATTCTTGTGGCAAGGGTTATTTGTTTGCATCTCGCGAGTTGTTGATACCATTTTCGTATTCGCCTCGTTGAGAAAAAAGTAATAAATAATCTTGACCTCTTTAGAATTGGCATGTCATTCACTATTGAAGAAATCCAGAGACTGGATCCGCGGAAAGAGTTAGAGCATAAAATTTAAAGTCGCCAAACTCTGTCTTCGCAAAATTGTCATTAACTGATGCATTAATTCTTGTTTCAAAATTTAACCACGATTGTTGGGCCCAACTGCTGCGGCAGTCTGTCTAAATCCCAAGATGGCTACCTCTCACAACACATCACACGACGAAACATCTCTCGCATCTCTTACTAATACTGATACTTGCAAGAAGGCTCCTCCTCGTTACAGTATTTTTTTCAAACCCTTTTTGCAATAACCGAAAAACTGTAAATTTGACGGACCCTCACCGTTTGTATCATCATCATCATGGCAACTACAACTATGGGAGCTCCTGCTGGCTCATCATCGGGAAACACACTCTCATCGCTTTCAACCTTGAGCAAGGCAAGGAAAAAGGGGTTGGAATTTAATGAGGTAAAAGGTGGGTTTAAAGCTCATGGAGGGAATCATAATAATTTAATGAATGAATGGACGATCATCATCATGATATGTTGTTATCAATTTCTATTTGAATTATTTGGAATATGAATATTGAATATTGAATATCACTTGTTATTATTTCCGAAATTGAAATTTATATCTGCAACAACAATTCCAGTTTGTCGAGGCTATCAAAACAAAATGGGAACAATTGATACAAACACAGCAAACGTTGGAGGAAGTATAATGATCAATCAAATTAAGAAAAATCACACAGTAAATATGATGTCAATGAAAAAGAGGGTTGACAATGACTTACCGTGGTCCTACAAATATTCCAAGAATTTCAATGTTGCTCGGGTGAGCCCTCCCAAAAAGATCAAATCATTGGCTCCTCTGAAAGAAATTCGAAGTTCCCCTACCAACAAACAACCTCATTCAGCACGAGAATACACATCCAAAGGAAGCAAATTAGATTTAAAGTAAGTTGTGGAGATATGTTCCAAGTCCAACAAACATGGATCTCATGGATGTCACTCGTCTTAATTATTACCAACCTTTTCTATAATATAATTAACAATCATAATCAGTAAGGACCATAAAATTGATCCAACTCAAGATATTGAGGATCCAGAGGATCAAGAAATATATGAAAAATTTTTAGACATGCTGAGGAGAAGAAAAACCATTGAGCTCGCACGAAGAATTGCTTCCTCTGTATTTTTAGAGGCAGAGGAACAAATGCTTCTGAATGCCTACAGTGGAGTGCCACAGTATGTGGAAGGTTTCATCTCAACTACTTGCAGTTCTGATCCATCTAAAGAAGAAGAGGTTGATGAAAATTTTGGAGAAGTTGAGGAAGCATCTTTCAACTCTGAATCCCACGAAGAAGTTCAGAATGGTAATATTCATTCCCACACTCCAATCGAAGAAAATTCCAAAGATGAATAAGCGTTGGCAACCGTGTGACCATGTCGCAAACGCGCATCCATCCTGTTAAATAATCATATCATACGTTCACCAGTAAATGAATACTATTTGGACCTAATCATCCGAAGAGACATTATTAAAATCCCAATCCAGATATCTCCAAAACTCATAAAAAAATATTAAGGCTCATCAACAAAGACCATCATTCATTGTCTTTCATATTGTGCCAAGGACATCAACAACAAACATCGGTAACGTTAAAGACGTTCTTCACCCATTCTCATCATCATTATACAGAAAATTGTTGTTGAAAACAAAAGAATGATCATCCATGATGACCATCAAAACCACAACAACTCCGAGCAACAACAGCAATAATAACTCGTATAAACGCAACTATGCACAGGGAGTATTTAGGAGCTCTGGAAGTAGTCAAGACTTGTTTAAAGACTCGTCAAAATGTAGCGTAACTCTTCCTGCAATTTCTTCACCAGCTTCCAAGCGCCTTAGTACAAGCACAGCTGCAGCCTCTACAAGAAACAAACGTGCTAGTATTGGAAATAGTGCGGCAACGAGTGGTACTATTTCCAATAATGTTTGTTCTTATAGCGTTGCATATAACAGCAGTGCCCAATCATCCCGAACCACCAGCAGAGGGAGTAGAGAGGATTCAACTCCATCAAGTGGAAGGAACAGTGAGGAATTGAATGGTGCCGAACTAGATCAAGAAACAGTGTTGCAACTCGATGACGATACGCTTCAATTCATTTCTCTCATGAAAAGGGATATGACTGTTCTTCATAAAAAACTGAATGATTTCAAGGGAGACGAGAGGGGGCAACGAATGACCTTGGATGACTTTTCCAATATGTCACAATGTATTTTCCATCATGATTGCTTCAAAACAAAATATTACCTGTTGGAGATGTTTCTTGAGAAAATTGTCGAAATGCAATATCATCTTCTGCAAAAAACTGATCGGGTAAGTTGAAAACAATCAATGATTTCTATGAATTTCTTGGTGCTCATCATTTACATAGCTCATCCCAGTTTCTAAACGATTCAAAGTGAACAACAACAATCCAAGTATTTCTTCGAAATTGCAAAAATTCATAGAAGTGGCTGATAGAATTGTGGATGTCGTTGATCAGTCCAGAAATTCTTTCAAAGTTCAAACTCTTCAAAAAGAAACTCAGACTGGCACTGTTGAACTCATTCACAAAAAATCCAATTCAGATTCTCTTCTGACGTCTTCAGTTGACTCGAACGGCATGGCTAATGAGAAAGAATTATTGAGAAAACAAAAGCATGAATTGGAAGAGCAAACTTCAAGTTTGAGCACAAGTGTTTCCAATCTAACAGAAAAGTTAATGCAAACAATGTTGGAAAAATCATCACTCGAAGAAAAGTTAAAAACCATGTCCTTGAAATATGAGTCGACAATTTCCAATCTCAACTCTCAAATTGAAAGTCTTAAAACAAGTATTGCATCCATGTCTACTGAAAAATCATCTTTGGCAGAAAAATTAAATACTCAACAAGTTGCTTTAAATGAAACAGTGAGTGACTTGAACCTGCAAATACGGAAAGGAATGGAACGTATTCAGTACTTGGAAGAAACTATCAGTGGGAAGGATAAGGAATTGGAAATTCTCAGAAAAGAAACTGAGCTCATGAGAAAAGATGACCATCTTCAGGAGAAGTATTCCAATCTTGTAAAGTATAACACACAGCTAGAAATAGACTACAAAGAGCTAATGGAAGAATGTAACCTTGTGAAAGAATCATCCTCCAAAAATGAGGCTCTCTATGAGAATGCAATGGAAACTCTTCACGAAATGCAAGAATCACAAAAGCGCCTCACCCAAGAATTGTCATTGAAAAATGACACTAAAAAGCTTCAATACAAGCTCGAGATGGCAGAAAAAATAGCCATGCAAAAGGAATTTCAGTATGAAGAGTTGGTTAAGGAGTATCAAATTCTTTCGATCGAGCTCGGCATCCATCAAAAGCAAAATGAAAATCTTAAAGATCAGATTAAAGTCATGCAAAAAGAGAACCAACGTCTAAGTAAGCAAGATCAAATAGAAAGTGATTCAAAGCAAGAAATTGCCCTTGCCAGAAAGGAGTGTGATGACAAGGTAAAATCATTGAATGAAAAAATCAAGGAGCTGCAATTTAACCATGTCATGCAGTTGCAATCTCTCAATGACACGTTCATACAGGAACGAAAAATGATGCAAAGAAAGGCTGACAAATTCAAACAGAGATGTGATTTGTTAGAGGCCAGACTTAATGAGCTAGAGCAGCAAAAATAGTGGAAAATATCTGAATAGAGAGAATCCAACTTAGAATTCTGCAAGTCTTTCTTTCCATGTTGAATCACTGGAAAGAAAGGTAATAGAACGTGGTGACTCATACTCCTCATTGTCAGGAATGATGGAATTATTCGCACCATTACAATGCTGTTCATTCGACCCAGCATTTTCAAAAAGGATAATCAGCATGTGGCACTTGGAGGAATCTAGCAAGACATCTCGTATATAGGAATGATGAGGTTGTTTCATCATGTCGTTGTCTTCAAGCAACCGATTTCCCCACTCAATTAGAGAAATACCATTTGTGAAAATGTGAGGCAAATCTAATCTGTCAAATCTATCCAATCGATATAGATCAATGTGATGTATTGTTCTATATAAAGGAAAAGAGGCAGAAGAGAACATTATTTCACAAAATAATATATCGTCATGCATGACATAGTTGATGATCATTTTTAGCAAAAATAATGACAAAATCATCATTATTAAAATAAAGTGTGAAGCATTTTCCAACACCTACTCATAATTTCCACTAATCTTATTTTCATAAATATTATCCAATAAAAAAGTAGGCGAGGGCACATTTAAATTCATGTCCTTTTCCAACACCCGAATGATATGCCTTGCAAAAACGCTTTTTCCACTTCCCATATCTCCAGTTAACAGCACAACATCAGTGTTTTGTAACAATTTAGAAAATTGTTCCGCTAATTTTCGGGTTTCTTCAATATTCTCCACTTGAAATGTTTTGTCAATCCATGACGATTCATGTGATTTTGAATTATTTAAAGACGAATCCTTGTTAGTGTCAAGGTCATTTCGAATCGGGCAAGTTGTTGTAAAATAATTTCTACACGAAACTGCTCGGAAATGAAACGGAAAATTCTCTTGAATCCGATGTAGCGTTTGCTTGGCAACCGTTACTGACACTCCTTGTGATGAAACATGGGAGCACATAAAACGATGAGTGAGTCTACGCAAGCAAATTCTTTGCAAAGTAACAAATTTTTGCATTTTTTTTGTGTCAAAGCCTTAAATTGTTTTGTGTGAAAATTTGTGGTATTAATTATTATTTGTCATCTTTTCTATATGGTACAAATGTATGTGATTCATGAGAGTCCTTTTAACGTTTCTGTCTCACGAATACATTTTTAAAAACACAACAATTTCTATTGTCCTCACTCGCACAACATGAACTATTTCGTGGTAGAACCTCCACCACAACACGTAGTTCTTGAAGAGGACGACAAACCTGGCTTGGAGAGTTGTTGTTGTTTACGATCTCGTGAAGAGTGTCTGACCGTGAGTCCATTCGCACCTCCCGAATGACTGGTTCCTCCATAATAATTTTCATCTTGTTCATTCTCATCACCCTCTCCATTCACGTGATCATCATTGTCCCTCTCTCGTAGAGGCATCTTTCGTGCCAACGTTTCAAACACTTCTCTGACATTAATATTTTCTTTGGCAGAGGTTTCCATAAAGATTAAACCATTATCTTCGGCATAGGATTGAGCAAAGGAGTAGTCGACTTGTCGTTTATCTTCTTGTAGATCGACCTTATTTCCTGCGAGTGCAATAACCATATTTGTTTGACTTTGTCGTTGTAATTCCTTGACCCAATATTTGGCTCTATGAAAAGACTCCATGTTGGTAATGTCGTAGACGACAATGGCACATTCTGATCCTCTATAATACATGGGAGCGAGAGATTTGTATCGTTCTTGTCCGGCTCTGTGTTATGAGAATATTATTTGAAAAATTAAGGAAATTGTAATCATTGTAATGTGATACAGTGGTCATCACGTGTATAAAGTGAAATGAATTTCGATTTAGCTTACATACGTATCCCATACTTCAAATTTAATCACTCGATCTCCAACAGTAATAAACTGAGTTGAGAAGGCTGCTCCTATTGTACTTTCCTGATATTGAAAAAAGCAATTCTTATCTAACCGAATCACGAGGGACGTTTTGCCTATATGGTTGATAAAGGAGTATGTACATATATTTATGGTGAATATAATATTAATATTTGGAATATTATCATGAAAATCCGTTTGAAATCAAATCCGAGAAACACCAAAAGATCATCACACCTACCCACAGAGCTTTCTCCGAGTACAACGAGTTTAAACTTGTCTGCTTTTCTGAGTGCTTCATCATCGAGAGAGGAAGTATTCGTTGCGCTGCTGCTGCTTTTCGTTGTTGAGTGCATTGAGCGGTTGTTTCTTGCCACTTGCTTTTTTAAACTTGAATGACAGCGTGTGATCTTTAAAATTAGATTGCAACCGAAGAATACTGTAACGAGGCTCATAGGCTCACACACAGACAGATTTGAGAAATTTAGCGAGTGGACCCTTAAATCATTCTTTTAAATTGCGGACTGGCTCACAATTAATGAGAAAGCTGTTGAAGGATTTCATGTAAAATGAATTTCTGAAAAATGTCTCAAACAGGATCAAGCAATTTCTCACAACCTTGCAATCCAATGCTCATCTTTTCGGAATGGTACTCACAGGCACAACACACGCATCAACAACTATTGCACCTGCTACAAGAACAATTCACTTCTGTTTCAAAAACCCAGCATTCATCACACACGAATTCGTCTTTGAAAGAAAGTTTCATATCTTTACCTTCCATCCTTCAACTTCCTCCCGAACCGGCAACCATGATTGTGGCTACTGTCAATCCACAAACCATGCAGCCTTCCACTCGGAATGTCTTTTTAAAATCTTTCAATATTGAGAGAGGAGAATTTGTGTTTTGTACCAATTTTCAATCTAGAAAAGCGAACGAGATGTTGCAAAACGATGGAAAAATTGCACTCAATTTCTATTGGAATTATCATCATTACAATAATAATAAGAACGGTAATAGTAATTCTCAAACTAATCATTCGGAACGAGAAGATGATGATGCTGTAGAAATTTCTTCATCACCACACTTCTCAGATCGTGTGTCAGTAGCACTCAACGGAAGATCACGACAAGTTCGTATTGAAGGAATTGGTTCTCTATGTTCCGATGAGGAATCTGACGAGTATTTCAATTCTCGTCCTTTGGAGTCCAGAATTGCCTCGAGTGTGAGTCAACAATCAAAGATCATCACAGGTGGAAGGAAACAACTCTTGAAAGAATTTGAAAATGCTCAACATGAGCTTTCGAGTGAATTAAGGCGACCTTCTCATTGGGGTGGAATAAGGTAAGTGTGTACAGCTTGCACAACGATGAGTTTACGACTTTGAATTTCCAACGTGTGACAAATGATGCTTCATTGGAATCAAATTCATTGATTTTTTCATTTCCAAATCATTTCAATTTTTAACTCGATTATCTTTCGAATTGATCCTAATAATTATTATTATTTAAATATTCAGAGTTAGGGCGTATTCTATTGAATTTTGGGAAAGTGGAGATCATCGTTTGGCACATCGAGTGAAATATCATCGAAAAGGATGGCCATCCACTCATACAACAAACCCAACAGAATGCTCAGGCAACACATTATCTTCTCAAGAGAGTGTAACCTCAAAACCATTTAATGCTTGTTACAGCACAAATGACCATCCAGTAGAAGCAACCCAACAACAAGACGAAACATTATTACAGTTGGAATGGGAGTTAGAGCCTCAGATATTGTATCCTTGAACCTACACAGGGTTCACCATCAACACAGCAGAATTTACGAGGGAAATAATAATGCTCACTCACGAACGACAACTCCTATTGGTCCTTCTTTTTTTGACTCTATGCCAGAATGTAACAAACTAACAAACATGTAGCATGTCAACTCAAATAATCACAGATTTTCTCTGGTATCAACCAAGAAGTGTTTCTCGAACACGAGAATGATTTTCGCGTGTCACCTCCATTAAAATTTCTCCTCCGAGTAACACTCGCATTGAAAATCTTTGAGCGTGTGTTGTATGCCCAGCTGAAGTAATTCTCTCCAAGAAAGAAAGAGAATGATTAGTGTTCTAAACGGTCATGGCTGTGGTGAACATGTTGATGGTGAGTAGATTGATGATGATCTAATTGCGAACTGGACATGATGATCACTTGATAGTATTGAGTGTTGTTGATGCTGCTGAATGCCCTCGAGTCACTACCCCAATCACAATCATGAAAAGGAAGAACATGGCAGAACCATCTTCACCATTTCCATGCCAAGGGCAGCAACAGCAGCATGATGAAGATCTTTTTGACGACGACAAGGTCATGATGATTCGCGAAGTTGAGTTCGAAAAAGAAAAGCCTCTTGTTGTTACGCAGAGTTCTTTCGATTATATTTCAACTTGTGGTATTACTACTACTACGAATACGGAAGGCAACAACAACAAGCAGCACAGTCTGAACACTTCAGAGAATAGCAGCAACAATAGAGAGAATCCATCAGAACAACAACGAGTTCATGTTGAGGAATTTTCAACTTGTCCGATGATGAATGGTCCTTTATTACAACAAGAAACAACAATAACCACCCTACCGACAACACCAGACTATAATGAGAGTGTCGTTCAAATCCTTTCATCCTATCCTAGGGATGGTTCTCTGGGGTATGGTTGGGTCAAGCCTAACGCATCTTCATCATCGTCCTATAGGAGCAGTCAATACTTTTCCTCTTCGGTGCCTTCGTTTCCGACTTCTCCGATACCGCCACCAACAACAACATCCTTCGGCTCGACTTCTCCAATGAATATGACCAGTACTATTACTACTACAAGTACAAACAACTCTGTACCATTATCATCCTCCACCTCGTTCATCATGACAAATTCGACCACAAGTTCCATGATGGGCATTTCTGCATCCTCTCAGAAACAAGACGAGGTCGAACAACAATCTCTGCAACACCAATGGCGTCTGTGGACTGCCTTACAGACTCATCTCCGTCAAATCTCACTCGGTAAACCTCATACAGCACGACTCATTTCGACTTTGGCAGAGTTGGCTCGATTAGACGAAATCGAAGAAGAATTGGCCAAAAGTTTGCCCATCACGAGTAGTGTCTTTGAAAGTAGTTGCAGCAACAAAACTGCATGCAAGGTTAAACCCTTATTTACCTCACTCGATGATTGGAAAGCCATTGAGAGAGAATTTTCTGATATTTTAAATTTGGCACTACCATCGACAAGTGGCATTCGAGGCGACAGTAACAATCAAGAGGATGTAATGGATGAACAATTGAAGACAGAACTGAACCGTCTCTTGATGGATTTTGAAGAATTTCTTTGCTTGCTACCTCCCATGACACAATGTTTATGTGACCGCTCACAATTGCATTGCTGCATTTGTGGTCATTCGAATTATGGATTTGCAAGAGATTTAATTTTACGACAAGCGGTCGAGAATGGCCATTTTGATCAAAATAATGACCTTGGCCACCAGAATGACAACTCCCAAAAGCAACGAGGCTCCACCGAGACACTCGTGTTTCCAAGTTTCACCTCAACTCTCAAAGGTAAAAAGGTCATTGCAGAAAAGAAGAAGGAAATGAAAATGGACTTGTTAAAAAAGCAACAACAAAGGCCTGAAAATCTAAATTCCATGATCATGCCTCAATTCTTTTTGCATCCATCTTCAATATTAAGCACTTTTACTCGAGGTGGAAATTTTGGTCTCACTGATTCGGGCGCAGCGGCCACTACGACAGCACCAGAGAGCGGTATTTTGTCATTAATGAATCCGATTCTTAGCATTCCTTCAACATTTTGTTGTGGTGTCACCTTTGAAGTATTCTTTCGGGTATTCACAGAGAGGGGTCATTCCAAACTTGAGGACTATTCTACCATTCCTGAATTGCTAAAAATTAAGAGAGATTGGTTTTGTGAGAAACAAGAGACTGCAGAAAAGGACGATGAGTCCTATAAACAAGGTTGCTACAAGGCATTGATGTCACGAGGTCTTGGCAAGCACGTGAATACCATATTCGAAGCTAAGAAAGGTGATTTTATTCAATTTTGGAGAGTGAATGGAACTGGTCATAGTGTGATATTCGTGGGCCTGAAAGAGGGCGAAACAAAGTTTGAATATTGGTCCTCTCAACGCTCCACCAATGGAGTTGGATTTAATACGGAAACCTTGTCCGGCGTTGAACGATTTCACATTGTGAGATTGGTGTAGAGAGGGCAACATCAATGTTGTGACGATTTGTAAACATTTCTCTAGAGATTTGCTTGTTTCTGATGGACGGTTCCTTGTATTTGTAGGAAAGATTGTATCAATGAGTTGTCCTAATGTCTGTGACAATAGAAGGTTGGACCATAATCTTGACATTGCAGACCAAGAAATCTTGAAAAAATAAGGTCAACAGGGTTTATTTGGAATGTTGACAAAGTGAGATCAAGACAAAAAGTTTTAATTTATTTATTTTCCATTTAAGGCAAACAACAAAATTTTTATTATTCCGGCAAAAGCTTCAAAATAACGCAAACATCATTTAAGAAAACAACAAGGCATATTATTTTCTCTTTGTGATCAACAGAATACAAAACATTCATCACAATTCGTCAACAATTGCGAACGATTACATTAACATGTACTTTGAAAATTATTTGCTCAACGTTGCAGGTATATTTGTAGCGTTTCTACTCGTTCTCGTCACCATTGCTGTTCTTCATCACTACCACAAGAATCGATACATTTTATATTTTCAAAAACGTCCGCACAAGAAGTGTGTGTTTGTAAGCGATGATGAACAAAAGAGATTACATCCAGGAGGTAAATTGCCTCATCGAATTGTTTTTCCCTTGCAAGAATTGTTGGATGATCAGAAAAAGAATAGCAAATCATTGGCTGCCACTCGTCAAGCTGCACATTTTCTTCACAATACTCATGCGAACACTAAATTGGTAACAAAAACAGGTCTCTTAGGATGGCTTTGGAGAAACATGCCTTCCATTCCGTACTTGAGTGTATGGATTCAATGGTGTGAAGACCCCATCTTGTTCTTGGAAAAGGCCTCTGAGTTATATGGTCCTGTTTTCACAATTTCTTCCTATTTTAAGGAATGGACATTTATGGTTGGAGAAGGAACCAACAAGTTTTTCTTCGATGCTAAACAGTTGGATGAACAAGCTGCTCGAGATTATCTGTACAAACCCTTAATTATGAATGGTGCTGCTGTGGCATCGACTTCTTCAAACGCTTCGTTCAAAATTGAAACTGTACCTCCCAAGACTTCTCATGCAACAACCTCTTCTTCTTCCTCATCAATGACAACAACTACTCCAACTCGAGAAGAGATTTGGAATCAAGATTGGCTCTACAAATCAAAAACATTCATGAAAGAAGGTTTCACCAATAAGAATGCTCTTGTGAAATATTTGGAAAACATTAAGAGAGAAGTGAGAAGTTTGCTCTTCCATCAACAACACATTAATTTGAAATTTGTCGATCGTAATGAGAAAACTGCCATTGCCGAGATGGAATTACCAACACCAAAGATTTTACACAAGCATTCGGATTCGTTCTTTCCTGATTCCTCCAGTTCGTCCTCGTCCTCGTCGGGAGCAGGCAGTAATCAAGGAAGTCAACAACCTTTAGAAGTTGTGGTTGTGAATGATTTATTTTCACAAATGTCCAAATTTGTGGTGAGAAGTTTGATGAGAAGTGTGTTGGGTTCTTCCTTTGTCAAGAGACATGGAGATGAAGTGACCGACAACATTGTCTTTCTCGAAACTCAAATTCATAATCCATTTGTCACTCTGTATTACAATCATTTGAGATCGAACTTGTTGGAATATGTTTGGATGCCCAGTGTTATTGAACAAATCGAAACCAAGAAGAAGAGAGTTCATTATTTGATCAGTAGTGAAATTGAAAGACGTGTGAAAATGATGGAATTTGAAAATCTTGAAGAAGTGCCCTATACTCAGCAACAACAACACGCTTTTTCACATCAATCTCTACCAGCTTCTCAACCTTCTCTGCAACGAAACGTTTCATCGAAAGAAGACACCACCAATCTTCATTACTGTTACATTGATTTCATTCTTGAAAGAAATGGAAGTGATAAATATGGTGGTCTTCATGCAACCACATCGATCTATGCCAATCATATCATGTGCTTGTTAGTGGAATCCATGAGCAGTGTGGCAGCATTAGGATGGACCATTGCTCATGTCGCCAGCGATTCCACACTTCAAGATCGATTACGAATGGAAGTTAACCTATTTAAGGAAAAACTCGAAAAGGAATCGAGTCAGTTCATTCGATCCATGTGGAGTGAAGCCACAAGCTCAGTCAGGCCTCTATTGCCACACTTTTCACCCACTACAATTTCCATGGCCACTCCACAACATTTAGAAGCTTTCACACAACCAGCCACTAATTTATCCACTGAAGAATTTGACACCATATCAGGTCAGGACAACAACTCGTTAGAAAATTCAGAAGGTGTGAGTACCATCACAGATACAAGTCTTACCAATAGTGCTGGAGGAGGTGGAGGTTTACGAGAAGAAGATGTCGAAGAACTTCGAAAACAAAGCATGTTAGAAGATGGAGGATTATCTTCAACAGCCGACGACACTCAATCGCATCACACTTCGACGGATACCAATCCACCCGATAGTATTCCTTCCTTGTCCATTCCATCGTCACCAGGGCCTCTCTCAATGAGAGCTACCAGCTCGACGGAAGAAATGTTTCGAGTACAACAGCAACAACCCACACAACGTTTTACAAGAGCTGTTCCCTTATTGGGAAATCCTCCATTTACGACCTCACCGGTTGATCATACTCCTACAGGAGATGGTGGAGGAGAAGATCAATCCTCGTTGAAAGAACCTTCTGTGAATACCGATTCTGGTGGTCCTTCGAATGTGAATAATACCATTGTCACAACTCCTACGGCACCAAAACCAAGTGGATTGGCAAAAAGAAGACCATCCTTTACCTTATTGTCAGGAGGTGCTCTTTCAACAAGCTCACCTACGAAACCGACAGAAACAACAACCTCAATATTGCCACCTTCTCCAATTCATACCAATACGTTTGCTTCGAGTAGTGAACGGAATCCAGTCTTGGGACGAGGAGGTACTTCTTCGAATGTCAGCACTAGTAATACTAGTGGAAGTGAACTTTCTAGTCACATGAGTAGTAATTATAATATGCGACTTGTGGAATCGATTTTACAATCGAATGCATGTGAAGATCCTTTGAAATTACTGGATTCGTGTTTGAAAGAAGCGGCTCGAATCTATTCGTTGAAATTATTTACGAAACAAACTCTAGAAGGAATGAATTTTCATAATTTGACCATTCCAGCCAATCATTTGGTGTGTGTTTCACCCTTCTTTGTGCATCGAGATGAAGAGGTTTATCCCTATGATGCAAATACCTATCGACCAGATCGTTTCAATTTGGGAGAGGTTGGAAATTTACGTCAGTTAGCGGAGGAAGATCATGCCTTTATTGGATTGAAAGGATTTGCTGGTTCGAATTTCACCATGCTTTCGAGTAAGCTCTTTTTGATGGAATTATTGTCAAATTATCAAGTAGAAACACCTCAGTTGTTTGCATCAGATTTCAAAGGATTTGGATCGGTGGCAATGCCCACTCAACCAATAGCTTTGATTTTAAACCCACTGTCTTGAATGTTTGGTTTAAATATTATTAAAGATTGCAATTCATAAAAAGGTTGTAAAGTTTTCATTTGAAACAGTTTTCCTCATTGAAGAAGATATTCAAATAAGAATTTGATTGTCAATTCAGTTGTCAACTGAAAATTCAATCATTACTCAATTTACTTGAAAATATGAATACTGCAGTGATCAGTGTCACAAACAAATAGCTCTCCTGTTAGCTCATTAATACACATTCCTTCAGGATAACTCAATAGATCCTTGCCGTACGTTCTTCGTTTTTGTCCATCTGGAGAAAAAATTCGAAGTTCAAGGCCATAGCACGAACTCACAATTATATTCCTTGTTGCTCTATCAATCACTAAATGATAAGGATAGGGTGTTTCATTTTCTCTTTCAACACTTTCTTCGACTAAAATTTTAACAAATTTCCAAGTGTTATCAATTTTTCTACAAAGAATCAATCGATCAAAGGGATAACCCTCTCCCAATACTACTTCATTGTGTGAAAGAGCATCAATTCCTGTCGCACGTAAAATTGTGTCTGGCAATGTCATGGTTTGCAATAATTCTCCATTCAGCAAGCTTAATACATAGACACGATTGTTATCACCAGTCACTAAAACCTCTTGTCCTACAATTGTCATTCCTACCAAAGCTGAACATTTCGTGGATGTCCATAAAGGTGTAACAGATTCAAATGATTCCGTCAAGAGTTGATTCAAATCATACTTCATTACACAAGATTTCCTAAAGCACAACAAGGCATCTTGATGAAGACCATTATAATTTCTGTCCAATTCAATTGCATTTGTTTGAATAGGAAGAATCTTTTTCAATGATTTACAATTTTCCAAATCGACAATGATCGTATTTTGATTGTTATAATCACTCACAATGATACATTGATGATGGTGTGAAATTTTAATCCCCACTGGAGCATCCATTGTGTATTCCTTTTCAGAGTCTTTGACATCAGCAATACCATCAAACATCCTTGATTGATCATTACATTTGAAAATATTTAGTTCAGAGCGAACGGAAAATTTCTTGATCGTGTTCACGAGTTTGAAAGTTGTGATGGAGAAGGGCAGGATGGGTGTTTTACCACGTCTCATCTTGTCTCGGAATTTTGAAAATAATTCCAAATGAGTGAAAGGTTGAATTTCTATCGGAGGTGAGGTTGATGATGCTATGGAAGAATTTGAGAAAAAATCCAACAATTCCAATCGAGTGAGTGAGTTCCATTCCGAATTCTCAAAAGTGTTTTGTTTCATTTTTTTTTGTGTCTAAACAATTACAATTTCTGACTGGTGAAAAAAAGGTTCAGGTGACAGTTGAACTAGTTCAATATCTGCATTCTTATCTCAAATCAATTACCTCCAATTTCATGAAACACAATACGATCAGATATCATCACGGCGATCCAAAATATTTTGGTCCATGATTGTATAAATCATCACCAACTAGTCTACTTGAATATTTGTATTCTATCGTTATTAACATCTACAATGTAGAGTAAACCTGTTTGTTCATCAAGGCATATTCCTGTTGGGTTTTTAAACTCATTTGGACCTGTTCCAAAGGAACCGAAACGTTTCACAAACACTCCATCTTCAGTGAAAACTCCAACTCCATGTGAAGAGCGATCACAAACAATAATGTGATGTGATGCATGGTCAATTGTCAATCCATATACTTTTTTCACAGAGCCTTTTCCAAATAAGCATTGAAATGTCCATTGATTAACCTGTTGAGAATGGCGTTTGATTTTTTGCATGCATTCTGAAGCCTGAGCAATGAACAATTCTGTTTGTGTATCATTGACAGCAATTCCACAAAATCCACTAGGTTTCAGATAGAGTTGGTCTATTTTATACAACAACTCTCCAGTGGATGCCATTAACACAGCAATATAAGGTTCAGGATCTATTGCTACAAAAATAACATTCTTTGACACGTGATCAACATGGCTTGAACATGCAATGCCACAAGCAGAATCATTATATTCTTCTCTAATCCAAATCTTGTCATTGGCATTTTGGCATTTCATTATTTTCGTTAAATCATGTTTAAAAATACCATACACGCTTGTATACACCAAGGCATCATTTGAAACTCCATCATAATTTCTTTCAATATCAAAATAGGAAAAGTATGTGGCAGCCGATGAAAATGAAAATAATTTCTGATGAGTGGTCAAATCAAAGCAATGAAAATATGGAGCTTCTAATGCAATGATACAATGGCAAGAGTATGAAATCCGAACATCAACCACACCCGATACTTGAATAGAAGCTACATGATCAAAATTCAATGAGAATGGAACCTTCTTTTTAATGTTATTTCTTTTCATCTTGATGAAAAACTTTGAAAAGATATCACTCCAATCATGATTGAAAAGCTCACTCCGATGGATTGGATTGGTTCCGATCGCTTCATGCCCAAGTTCATGAAGAACAAGTCTCACGGGTTCTTCATCATCGTTGTTCATTTTTTTGTGGTTGAAAGTTCATTGCTATTTGAAGAATGGAGCCACTGAATCGTTAATGAAGCTCCCTTAATACAATGTAAATGAAGAGACTCTAAAAGATCTAGACCACAGCTTGGTTTTCAAATGCCTTAAACTTTCTCTTTGAGATTTGTTTTTGTATTTTGGAAGAAGTAATTATTGTAAAAAATGTCCAATTTGAGAAAGATAGCAAAGAATATGGGTCTTTCGGAAGAAGAGTGGAGAAGAGCCTCACGAATACAACAACAACGACATGGCTCGGATAAGATCATGCATGAGAATCATGAGTCCATGGTCCTTAATTCCGAGGTGTCAGTATCATTAGGCTCAGAACAATTCGTATCATCGGAAGCAAAAGATCAATATATGAGATTTCTCGATTATTCTCCTGAAACGAAACGAGTTTTGGAAACTTTTGAATTAGATACCAACATGAGTACCAATCCACATGTCAAACAATATTTTAAAACCGATAAAGAAGGGAATTGTAAATTGAGTATACAACCACAATTTTTGCAAAGGGTGGAGTAAGTGTTGATTTGTTGGAAATACATTTAGACAATATCATTTGATATAATCATCCATAAAACAAATCCTTTGATTCAATGATTTTCAAAATAGACAAGTGGATGAAATTGAGGGAGTTTTAATTTCATTTCATCCAGGGTTTTTCTGTATTGACATTGTTTGTTCGTCTTTGAATGTTGGAGTTGTGGATAGAGCTTTTGAAAAAGACATTCAAACTGGTTGGATTCGAGTCGTTGTCAATGACGAATTTGGAAAGGACGTTCCTTCAAACTCCTCTGAAGATGAAGAAGAAATGAGTGGAGAAGGACTTTGAAAAAACACACACTTGATAAGTAAATTACTAACCTTACCATCATTACTTGACTATTTTCCAATCTCTCCAACTGTAACAACTTTGAGATGAATGAAATGAACTTGTGCGTTCTTCAGAGTTCATTACCAAGAGGTAAAATCTCTCTACAGTTTTTCACCTTTAAAAAAAAGTTCTTAAATCCGTTCTTTGAAATTAATTTCAATATCTCTAAGTACCATCAATCTATCTAGAAATGTCGTTACCTTCTTGCCCAGTTCCTCCTCCAATATTGATTGCTGAAGATAATATTCAGAGAAAGCATCAATCCAAGAATTGTACCGAAGTAGTGTTTGAAGGAGAAGGTGGAGGTTGTATTCAAGGCTCTGCCGATCTTCCGAGGAATGGTACCGATTCATTCCATGATCTTTCATCGGAATGGATCAAGTCTATTCTATGCGATATTAATGGAGATTATTTCAAAAGTATTGATGCTGAGGATCATCCCAATCATTCCTTATTATTGGATGATGCCAATGCTTATCAAGCATTCAGAGATGAGATCCGATTCAAACCTACGGCTGATCATCATACCAATCAGCTGCCACAAATATACCCCGAAGGAGGTATTGTATTGAAGGGTGGTTATGGTTCTGATCCCAATTTGATCCTTAGTTGTAATCCTAGTTTGTTCAATTTAGGATGTTTCTCGTTATTGCTAAGAGTTTTTGTTACTAAAGAATCGAGATCAATTGCAACCATGGGACAGTCGTATCGTTGGTTTGGCTTAACTCCAACTCATGTGACTCTGAATAATCAGGATCAAAAGTTTGAAATTTATGGAGTTAAATTAAACCAGTGGAATGAAATCTTTGTCTCCTTCAATAATCCACAGCCAGAGTACGAGAATGAGGAATTGAAGAACTCCAACACGGCAAAAGAAATTCTGTTGATTGTCAATGGAAGAGAAATGTCCATCCCATTGTCGTGTGACATGTCCATAGCGACAGCAAATGAGAGAGTGAGAGCTTTTGACAAGGAATTGTCATTTGTCAATTATTCAAACGGCGCTAGCTTGATTGGGCTTGTCTCGAGTGTAGTTCTACTCAACAAATCATGTCAACATTTGGAGGAACTTAAATCAGTGGGTAAGAAGTTGCTTGAGAAACACAAGAAGCCATCCAAGACTTTCTCAGAAGCTTTAGACTCGGTCTCAAAGGTGAAGGTTGTGCATCCAGATCACGTTGAATCCGTTGCTCAATTCGATGCTGCCATCACAGAGAATCGTCTTGTGGTGGTCGATTTCTTTGCGACATGGTGCTGCCCTTGCAAGGGAATTGCTCCTTTCTTTGCAAGTCTTGCAGGGAAATATCAAAATGCGAAGTTCCTTAAAGTAGATGTCGATCAAGTTCCGGATCTTTCCAGTAGATTCGAAGTCAACTGTATGCCAACCTTCTTATTCTTGCGGGATGGAGAATCAGCTGTGACACGTTTAGAAGGAGCCAATGAAAAGGAGCTGGAAAACAAAGTGATCGAACTCGTTTCCAAAATTTAGATAATGAAGATCGCTCAATAAATGAAAAACAACGCTTCACCCTTCAGAGTCGTTAGGAAAGAGTCGATCGATCATGCTGCGTCTAAGACAAGCATCAAAAATAATAAAAATCATTTAATGGAAAGAAAACACTACAGGAGGAGAGTCAGCTTCAATTAGCTCAGTATTATTCAGGAATTGTATTTGGAGGTAATGTTTTTAACATGCTCGTCCGTTGGTCTCATCAAAAGGTATTGTCAAGCCTAACAGTTCATTAAATGCCAAAATTTATTCATGAATCTCTTCAGCTGTATCAACATTGCTTACAAGGACGTTAAACAGAGACGAATGAGAAGCATGTAAATATTTGCTTTGGTTGGTGTCAATCTTCTTCTTCAACATCTCTCGCTTCACTTGAGGCAATAAGAACGATCGTACCAAATCCTTAATGTGACCTTCCTCTGGTGTTACAACATTTCTTTCTCGTTGTGCTTGCTCTGACAAACGTTCGCGTAGGACATCTTGGTGAGCTTGTCTTTCTGCAAGTTTCACCGAGCATGAATTGAAAAGTTCTTGCAAGAACGTCGACACAGTATCATTGTGAATTTGAATGGTTTCCGCTTGAAGCTGTTCTCTTCTATGACGCTCTTCTTCCTCTGCTTGCCTTCTTTTAGATTCCTCTTGCTCCCGTTGACTTCGTTCCTTTTCTGCAAATTCTACCAATTGCTTCACTCGTTTCAACTCTTCTTGTCTTATGAGCTCTTTTGACAAGAAATCAAGTGCATTACTGATCAGCTTGCCTTGTAAATTTTCCATGACAATTTCTCGAGTTTGGTCCATGTTTTGTCGTCTCTTTTGTTCCTTGAAAACTTGTGACTTGGCCTTTTCTCGTTCCTTTTGTTTAATTTCCTCCACAGCTTGAAGCTCTTTGATGAGCTCAATGCTACGCTCTTTGCCTTCGTAAAATTCTTCTTGGGCGGACCGACCTCTGAGTAATTTCTGAATAAATACAACTGCATTTTCAATGTCATCAGCCACAACGTCTGTCTCCGCTTCTTCGAAGATTTCCAATGTTGGTGTCGGAGGCCTAACAATACGCGGTGTTGATTTGTACATGTCTTTGACTTGTTTCACTCTATCTTGAACATCATTCACAGTCTTGGACTTTTCTAGATCATGAATGGCTAGTTGTAAATGTTCCTTCACCACCTTCTCAACCCGATCCACATTTGAAATAGTTTTGGAAGGTTCAACAATGACAGATCCTGTCTTGTCCTTGATTGGAAGAGCCTTATCCATGTACTTGCTCTCTTTAATGAGGAATTTGTTCACTTGATTCATTTGAACCTCTTCCACACCAAGAGGATCAGTGAGAAGAGCAGGTCTAATCTCATAGGCAATTGTGTTAAGGGCTGAGACTTGACCGTCTCTTAATAATGGTGCATAGGTTTTGGAGGCAGGGAAAGCGTATTCAAACAAAATGTCTCGCCTCTCCAATTTGTTCTCTGGATTGTCATACTTTTTGATCGTTCTTCGAATGTGTTTACGCTTCTTCTTTTCAAGCTGTTTCAGCTTCTCTTCAGCGTCTTGTTTGATTTTCTGAATTCGTTTCTCGAGTTTGGATGCACTTTTCATTTCTCGTATTTGTTCGCGAACTTCGAGCTTTGCCCTCACGTGCTCAATTTGTCGATCTTGCATTTGAGCAATTTCTTCCTCTCTCTCCTTCCATTCAATCATTTCCAATTCTTTTAACATTTGCACTCGCCTCTTAAACTCGTCTTCCCCCACGTTGGGCCCAATATTCTTGATCTGATCCTCTACTTGTTTTCTTCGTCGTGTTCTGTCTACAATTTTTATGTGATCTTCAGTAATTTGGCCTCCTTGTCTGCCGTCCTCAAAAAATAGAGAATCCATTTTCATGTAATCGGGAAGATCTTTTTCGTGAATTGTTGCATGATCCTTCTCGATTCCACCATTCTCAGCCATTTTATTCTTGGAACGTGACTTTACCTCTGGAAAATAAGGCATGGTTTGAGCCTCACTTTCTCTGTATATGGATTGAGTGCCGACCTCTCGAGTTTGTGGCATTCCACGAGTAAGGTCTTCATCATTGTCCTCGTCACCAAAACTTCCATCGTTCAACATGGAATTTTCGTTTTTGAGTGGTTTTTCTGTAATGTAGACTGTATGTTTTTCATTCATGGGCATGCTCAAAAATTCCTCCTCTCTCATGGGACCAATCACTGGCCTATGAAAGAATTTATAACGATCTGGGCCCGATATCGTACTCTCAATATGAGGTTCATTTCGTCCACTCTTTACAAATGATTTGGGAGGGAAATAATTCGGATTGTAGTTGTGGGAAGCTCCGAAACGAAATCCGTACGCTGGATGTAAACCATTATTGGGTCCAGTAAACATGTTATCATAATTAATCACTCGTTCCAATTTGAAAGGATTTGATGATTGTTGTTTGACGGCATCTCTGTACAATTCTCTCTGATCGGTTGGTGTAAAGGTGGATGTTTTTTTGGTTTGGAGAGTCTGGCTCGAGCCACCTCCTCCGTTCTGCTGCTTGAGCATTGTCAATAAATTATTGTTTGTTCTGTACTATGATTACTACAAGTCCAACAAGAATATTCAATTATAATCCTACTAAAAAACTTGATCCAAGACTTGAGAGACTTTCAATGATCATGAATTTTTTTTAAAATGTTGCATTCAACGGCTGTACTTGTTCTTGGCGGGAAAGTCTTTTACTTTCCACTTGTACAAGCGAGATGAGTGGCCGACGAATACATGCGAGCTAGGGCTGCCTTGTATCAAAACCACAACATGTCTTCTCTCAACAATGGTATAAGCATCTCCAATAATTAGTAATTAATTTGGATGGATTGGTCGGTTTGAACGGAAAGAGTCTTCCGAGAGCTATGGACATTCAATTTGAAAAAAAAATGTTATCCTCATCAACCTCTCCGAAACACTTGCATCAAGAACAACACCATCATTTCGGAATCAAAACGAACCTAACCCTAACAACAGCAATAACAACATCCAATATAGGTTTACAACATCTCGATCATTCATCGCTCGGATTGATCTTTTCCTTTCTTCCATTGAATCAATTGGCCTTTCTGAGTGAATCGGGATTGGATCTTGTATGTAAGAGGTTTTTCCGAGTTTTGCATGGTGATGAGGGTGTGTTGTTGAACTTTTGGAGAAGGGTGTACATGAGGGAATATGAAAAATCGAGTTTGTGTCCATCGTTTTCATACCGTGAGCTGGCGCATTATGTGACAAGCGACAATTCCAGAGATGCTGTGAATTTTCCGAATGATCCATCCGTCATGACCACAGTAGTTCATGATGAGAATATTAAGGAATCAATGTCTCCTACAACCCTTGATAATTCGGAATACTCATTGAGCTGGAACCTTTCTCAATCACACTGGACCAGTGATCATCATGAGGACTCAAGTCAAGTATTTCGATGGCTTCTTGTCAACCTCATTCGTTCACGAGATCGAGTGCAAAGCGGAGGTGTGGAAATGAGAGAAAACTTTTCACTCGTGACACCACTCTTAAGCTTGGAAAGTAGATGTGTTCCTACATGTTTCTCAGTGTGCAATGTTTTGAATCGATGTGTGGAATTCATTGGAATTGGAACGTTTGATTACAAACTTCAACTCTATGTGAGAGATTATGGTCAAGAATTTTTGCAAGGCTTCCATCGAAAGCAGACACGCTTTTCAAAAAAGACCACAAACTCTCTGAGTGTCACTAACGAGCCAATGAATCAACCAATGGACGCAGACAACGAAGATCTTCTTGAAGAGGACGAAAGTGAGGAGGTTATATCTGCCTCTTCATTGGTTGGCTCTGATAGCAAGTACCACTTGGTGGATAAAACCATTTCTGCTCATTATGACGAAATTACTTGCATTCGATTTCTTAATTCTCAATATTTTTCTCACACACCTCGCTATTATCATGATGACAATAGTGTGCATAATAATCCTATCAATGCTAAAAGTAGTGCCTCAATAGCTCAATCCTCATTACTCATGATTACTGGTTCTAAGGACAAGACGATTAAGGTTTGGAAAATTGAATTTCCAAAAGCACCACAACAGTCGTCATCACTCGATTTCTCAAAGAATTTCCATATTGAATGCATGGCAACACTCTCCGCACACACCGATTGGATCCGTGATGTGATTCCCATGAGTAAGCATCCTGATAAGCTTGTATCCATATCTAGAGACAAGTCCATTAAAATTTGGTCTCTCCACACCATGCAATTGAAACACAGTATTCAACCCAACAATTTGGTATGGTGCATGGCAGATCATGTAGATAAGGGGCTCTTAATCACGGCCTCCACGAGTGGTGAATTGATCTTTTATGATGTTCACTCGGGCAGTGTGGTACATCGCATGAAACCACACAGCGATCTCATCACCAAGATTTTGTACGTTCCAGCACTTCCTGTGACTTACTCTCATGACAATGAATACAGGACATGGAACTCTCCAAAACTCCCATCTATACCCTTAATTATTACATGCTCCTATGACAAGTCCATTTCTGTGATGAATGCGAACAATTTTGAAAGACTTGTACGCATTGATGAAGCTCATTCGACTCCAATATTTTCCATTTCCATGCATGGCCAACGACTCACATCAAGCTCTGTGGACGGTTGTGTGAAAAATTGGATACTCTCCATTTCCAACTCATCTTCAGCAACAGGTACCATTGTGGACTTACAGGCCAGTATGGAACAATCTCTCATTGGTTACAGATTGCCACACGAGTTGAATCGAGCAAGTAATATTTTTGACATGAACAAGAATCGACAAGTGAAAGTTGTGTCGTCTGTTCGATCCAATACTACCGAAGATATTATAATTTCGAATAGTGACTCACATAATTTTTTATGTGTATGGACATCCAAGCATCATCAGGACAACTCGTCACAACTCATTCGGTATCCTCTGCCAGATGTTGTTCTCAATCCAAAAAATCACTATTCCATTCAACAATTATTGAAAGTGTTGCCTTCCGAAATTATTGTCAAGGACTTTACAATTTGTGGAAATCGGATTATTTGCTTGCTTGAATTTTTACCCATAGATCCATCCAATTCCTCTACGAATACGGGTGGTGCTCTTGCCAATAGTGTATTTATGCAAAAAAGAGGATGTATTTGCATGTGGCAATTGTAACATCATGATAATATTGAATGAAATGATCTTCATTAAATTTCAATCTTATCGGACGATGGCTTTGTGAAGTTTGAGTGAAATTTGTGAAGCAACGCATTTTTTAATTTTTTAAAACAAAAAAAAATTCAAGTCGACTTCTTTTGCGTATCCTTTTGGTGCAAAGACTTGATCCAACAAGACATCTAGAACAAAACACAATTCTGTGGATACAAAGTAGTAGATACTCTTCAAAAACCATTCAATCCGAAAGAGTATTATCATTTTGCCGTTCCTACGAATCAACAACAACACTCTATTTATTAAATATATTTTCATCATAATAACAACACCATATTAAAGAATGATGATGCACGATGACAATCTCCATCATCCACACAATATGGATGATATGGAGGGAGAGTATGGCGATGATGATCAAATGGATTATGGAGATCAAAATCATCAAGGCTACATGGGAGGCGGAGGTATGGAAGATGAACAACAGCCCTACTTTAGTGAAGATGATGAAATCAAGCATCAAGAAGATGTTTGGCCAGTCATTACCGCCTTCTTTGACCAAAAGGGAGGACTTGTAAGACAACAACTTGACTCCTTCAACGCCTTTATTCAACAAACCATTCAGGAATTAGTCGATGGTACACCCGAGATTATTCTTGCAAGTAATCAGAGTGTAAAGTTTGGACAAAAGAGAGATTCTCAACAAAATCAACCACAATTCAAGTATCATATCAAGTTTGGACAAATTTACCTCTCAAGACCAACCCTCGATACAACAAAATCTGAACAGTCAACATCCGACACCTACTCATCGATTTATCCTAATGACGCTCGTCTCAGAAACTTGACGTATTCAAGTCCATTGTATGTAGATATCAAAGAGAAGAAGATTTCACTCCGTCCAGGTTCTAGTGCCACACTGTATCAGGCAAATAATTTAGAAGAGGACAATGAAGATTTCACAGTGAGGGTCAAGGATTATGAAAAAGTACCAATAGGCTCTATTCCCATCATGCTTAGAAGTGTGTATTGTATGTTAAGTGAAGTTCAAGACGTAACAGACGTGGGCGAATGTCCATTCGACTCTGGTGGTTACTTTATTATCAACGGAGGTGAAAAAGTAATTATTGCGCAAGAGCGTATGGCAACCAACCATGTCTATGTTTTCAAAAAGGCCATGAGCAAGTTCAGTTATGTAGCAGAGATTCGTTCGTCACAAGAAGGAGGTTACAGAGCACCAAGTGGCTTCTTCATTAAGATGGAACCTAAGCACGGAAGTAGAAAGGGAGGTATTGGAGGACTCATTCACGCCACCATTCCATACATTAGGCAAGATATTCCAATTGTCATTTTGTTTAGAGCTTTGGGTTGTGTGGCTGACAAGGAAATTATCAAACATATTATCTATAATTTAAATGATGGACAAATGATGGAATTGCTTCGACCTTCTCTCGAAGAAGCTGTTGCTATTCAATCCGACACTGTTGCTCTCGACTACATTGGTAAGAGAGGTAATACAGTTGGTACTGTCCAAGAAAAGCGTATTAATCATGCTGAGGAAATTTTGCAAAAAGAAATGCTTCCACACGTCGGTATTGGTGACACCTCCTATGACCGTAAGGCTTACTTTATTGGATACATGGTTCACCGTTTATTATTGGGAGCACTAGGAAGAAGACCACTCGATGATCGTGATCACTATGGTAACAAACGTTTGGAATTGGCTGGAGGACTTTTACAAGGTCTATTCTTGCAATTGTTTAAGAAAGTTGTCAAAGAGGTCGAGTCTCAATTGAAGAAGACCATGTTGAGATCAACTGATATTGATGTTGCATCTGTTGTCAATAAGAGAACTATTACTAAGGGTTTGCAATATTCTCTCGCTACCGGAAACTGGGGTGTACAAGGTTCCAGAGACATTCGTGCTGGTGTTGCTCAAGTGCTCAATCGTTTGACCTATACTTCCACATTGTCTCACTTGCGTCGATTGAACACTCCAATCGAGAGATCTGGAAAGCAAGCAGCTCCTAGACAATTGCACAATACTCAATGGGGTGTTATTTGTCCAGCTGAAACTCCAGAAGGAGGTGCTTGTGGTTTGGTGAAGAATCTTGCCATGATGTCTTACATTACAGTCGGTGCTGACAAGTCAACTATTTCTAAAATGTTGGACGAGTTGGGTATTCACAAATTGCACGAATTGGATGAGTCAGACTTGAACAAGTACACTAAGGTATTTTTGAACGGTGTGTGGATGGGTGTTCACCCTACTCCAGATGACTTGGTCAAATACATGAGAGACTTAAGACGAAATGGTACTATACACATGGAAGTGAGTATTGTTCGTGATGTGAGAGAAAAGGAAGTTCGAATTTGGTGTGACAGCGGTCGTTGTGCTCGACCATTGTTCATTGTTGATCGTGAGAATACCACTCTCTACATTAAGAACCACCACGTTCAATCTCTTCGTGAACAGAATATGACTTGGGACAACCTGCTCGAACAAGGTCTCGTTGAACTCGTCGATACAGAGGAGGAAGAGTCCATCATGATTGCCATGGATTTTAGAGAATTGTTGGACTTTAGAACCCAAGCTCAAGAAGGAAAATCTAAGAAAATTAGTCAGCTCACGTACACACATGCTGAAATTCACCCAAGTATGATTCTCGGTATTCTCGGATCGATTATTCCATTCCCTGACCATAACCAATCCCCTCGTAACACGTATCAATCTGCGATGGGTAAGCAAGCCATGGGTGTCTATATCACCAACTTCCAACAACGTATGGACACTTTGGCTCACGTGTTGTATTATCCCCAAAGACCTCTCGTCACTACTCAACCTATGGAATATTTACGTTTCGGTGAATTGCCTGCTGGTCAAAACGCTGTAGTTGCCATTGCCACCTACTCTGGTTACAACCAAGAAGACTCTGTCATTATGAACCAAAGTGCCATTGACCGTGGTTTGTTCCGTTCTGTCTTTTATCGTACCTACAGTGACCACGAACGAAGAAAGGGAACGATTGTTGTTGAAAATATTGAAAAACCAAAACGTGATACCACTGCTGGTATGAAAACAAGTACCTACGACAAGTTGGAAGATGACGGTATCATTGCTCCAGGTACTAGAGTTTCTGGTTCTGATGTCATTATTGGTAAAACTGTGCCAATTCCAGAAGAGTCATCCAAACAAAAGACCAGTCGTCAAACTAGGCTTGACATGAGTACACCATTGAGAAGCAATGAAAATGGTATTGTAGACACTGTCATTGTAACCACAGACTCTGAGGGATTCAAGTTTGTTAAAGTTAAAGTCAGAGTGGTAAGAATTCCACAAATCGGTGACAAGTTCTCCTCTCGTCACGGTCAAAAAGGTACCTGTGGTATTACATACAGACAAGAAGATTTACCTTTCACCCGAGAAGGTATTGTGCCTGACATTATTGTCAACCCGCATGCCATTCCTTCTCGTATGACCATTGGTCAGCTCATTGAATGTTTGTTGGGTAAAGTCAGCTCCTTGTCTGCAAGTGAAGGTGATGCCACTCCTTTCACAGACGCCAACGTGAATTTCTTCTCTGAAATGCTTCACTCCTATGGTTATCAGAAACGTGCCAACGAAGTCATGTTCAATGGCCACACAGGTAGAAAGCTGGAAGCTCAAATCTTTATTGGACCAACCTATTACCAACGTTTGAAGCACATGGTCGACGATAAGATTCACTCTCGTGCAAGAGGTCCACTCCAAAATTTAACAAGACAACCCGTGGAAGGACGTGCTAGAGATGGTGGTCTTCGTTTCGGAGAAATGGAACGTGACTGTATGATTTCACACGGATCTGCTGCATGGTTGAAAGAACGTCTGTTCCAAGTTTCTGATGAATATCGAGTTCACATTTGCAATGTTTGCGGTATGATGGCAACAGCAAATCTCAAACAGTCCATTTTCAAGTGTGATGCTTGTGACAACAAGACCAACTTTTCACAAGTCTTCATACCTTATGCGTTCAAGTTAATGATTCAAGAATTGATGGCAATGAATTTGGCTGTAAGAATTATCACAACAACAGAATAAAAGTGTAAAGTTCCTTCTTGTTAAACAAGTGATATCATTCTTGAGCAACGATCATGATGTTCAAAATTACAAAAAAATGACAAGACGAACAGCACGCACCCGAACCAACAAGTCGTATCGTGTTGAAGAACCTCTCCCAGTTGAGGAACCAGAAGATTTTCTTCATTTCTTAGATCAACAAGCTCACCAACTATTACAAACTTTTCAAGTCTCGGAACAAACCGATTCGTCCCATTCATCATCATCATCCAATAATATTTTAATTCTTGATGAAGATACCATATCTGAAGAGTTTCATGTCATTTCAAATTTACCATCATGGAAACATTTAAATACGTATCAATTTTCAAGATATTATTTTGTATATCAACCACACGACATGTTCAGCAATCATATTTTTAAATGCCAAACGTTGAAAGGCCACGTCGAAGGCTTGAATGATCCGATTGGTAACATTTTATTGGGAGGAGAGGATATCGATTTTAGTCCAATTGTTTCAACTTGTAGTTTGAATCGATTGTTTGTCTCTACAAAGTTCAGTGAAAATGGAAATGAGGCTTATTTTACGCGATTGAAGGATTTGAATGTGATGGATCAATTGTGTGAAGAAGATCATGTGGTGGACATGTGTTTTGGAAGTGTTCATACATTGTTATGCACGAGAAGAGGAAGAGTTTTTGGATTTGGAAAGTAGGTGGAATTATTGTTTAATGATTGAAAGAGCTCAAAAATTTTTTTACAAACTATGATGGACATGCATGTATTCGTTTTTACATGGATGAATCTCTTGAATTTATTTCAAATTCTACTACTAATATTTTAGCAATCAATTTGGTCAATTAGGGCTTGGTAATGAAATGTACATTACTAAACCAAGAGAAATTATCATGTTGGATGAACATGAAAAACAAGTGAGCGTTCGCCATATTTATGCATGTCACAACACATCGTTTTTTGTTTGTCAAAATAACAAGCTCTACTGGACTGGAAATTCCAGGCAAAAAACCGTTCAACAAGCCAATACTAAATTCTCTTCTAAAATCAAACAAATTAGTGGAACGGATCAAACGATTGCTATTGTGTGTGAGAATGGAGATTTTTATTTGAGTCCAACAGCATTTGGTTCCTTTGAGTTGCATTCTTTACCATACAAGGTATTGCAATGTGCAACATTTAGCGACAAGATTGTCATTTTGACAGACAACCATCAACTGTTTTCTGTAGATCCAGCTTATGAAATTTTGACACGAATTAGACTTGAATTACCGCTCTTTGAACATGTCGAGAGTGTTCGAGCATCGCGCAGCCATTGCTTCTTCTTGACTTCTAATCGAGAAATTTATTGTGCCAAGTCGAGTTTGCAACCTGTTCGACTGATTATGGCCCCACCTCTTCCGCCACATTTCAAATGGTTTTTATCCACTCAAAATTCAAGTGATTTTTTTTGTGTGTTTGTGAAAAAGTATTCACATTTGAAGAGACAGAATTGGTTTTTTGGAAATTTATTAGCCTCCATTAGGCAAAACAATCCAGTTCATAATTATTGTGACATTTTGATCGAGAGTTTTTAACTACACTGAGCAAATGGTTCATAGTCGCGACATTTCAAAATTTAATCAATTGATAGCATTTTCGTTCTTATTTATTGAAGCAACAATTAAAATTTAATCAGTTGATGGTATTTTCAACATGTCTGAACTAATTTCCATTATAATATCTGTGCCCTTGTAGGGTGGTAAATCAACTCCAAATTTTTTCAACAGTTGAGGAGGCATGAATCGCCCTCCAATGAAATGTCTTCCCCTAAAGTTCAATGAACATAATTTTGGAGAAGGCAATGACACTAAAATGTCACATCTTAAACCAAGTTTTAAATTTTCATCAACATCTATGATATCAATTTCCCATCCGCTTGGAATGTCAATGCAAACAATTGGAATTGATGAATATTCTGGTTTTTTGACAGTTTCAATCACTGTTTTGAAAGGCTCTCGAATTCCTGATTTACCAGAAAAAGAATAACCAAAAATGGCATCCAAAATAAAAGTAAAATCTGTCAAGGAATAATTCTGTAACAATTCATTCAAGCTGAAATAAATTGAAATTCCCAAAGTTGTGCATTGCAAAATGAGTCTCTTAAATAAATCTTTTTCTGCAGATTCTTTTTTTGGATACAAAATGACTGGTTCATATCCAAAATGTTTTAAATGGCGAGCAGCTACTAAACCATCACCTCCATTATTTTGTGGTCCACAAATAACTATAAATCGTGAACATACCAATTTTCATTTCATCGGAAACAGATCCATTTTAAAATCATCAACGAGTGGTTTTAACAACAATAAAAACTCTTACCTAAAAATTTGGGTGAAAAGTGAGAAAGAGGAAAAGCTTGAACACATGAATGAGCCACTGACATGCCTATTTGGAAATCATGATCATTCCATTCGGAATTTTCCAAAAGTTCATAAAGTTGGTTTAAAAACCCGATGATCAACATGATGAATATTAATTGAAAAAGTTGTAGTTTCAAAAAGAAAGATCTTCTCATATTTACCTGCCATTTCCATCAATTGATCATTTGAAAATCCATATTCCTCTCCCATGAGAGCCACATCAATGAGGCGAGACTCTTCAGCATTGAGTAATTTGATCATTTTTTGTTTTGTGAAAATGGTCGAGTTGGGATGGACTTGCTGTGAAAACAATACTATTGATGAGAAATAGTTCAGAGATGATTTCTCGGCAATCAGTAGAGAGAAGATGCATGAACGAAGATTCACAATCGAGTCTGTGCCACACAGACATTTTCTCAAACTGAGAGTTCAAAATTGTTCTTTTCAGTGTTGGAATGACAGCGCTTCTCGGGCTTATTGAAAAGACTCTTTGGCATGTCATGTTTAATAAATAGATTTATATTCATTCCGTATTATTATTTAGTTTGCTTAATCAACCAATCCACAACATCGGTAATATTGGTCTTGTGTAAAGCAGAAATTGGAATGACAGCCCAAGGATTCTTCTTATTGTCAATATAATCCAAATTCATGTGTTTGACAATGTCGTCCTTTGTAAATCTTCGTTCAATATCAATCTTGTTCAAAACAATCAACACTGGCTTTCCTTCCAAATCTTTGTTTTCTAACAGTTTGTGAAGTTCTCGTTTTGCTTCTGGAACCTTGTCAATATCGGCACCATCAACAACAAATATCACAACTTGACAACTGCCAGAATGTTGGACCCACTGTTTCAATGTAATTGTTATTTTGCATCATTATTGAATCAGAGAAGTACGATGTTTTTGAATCATGATCATCAAAAATCAAAATCATTTTAGAGTGGAAACCTACCAAATTTCTAAATCTCTCTTGACCACCGAGGTCCATCACTGTCATCCAGTCATGTCGTCGTGACACGCCACAAATTGTGCAACAGTTCAAAATCAGTGACACGATTGAACGGAGTGGAATGAGGCAACCATCATGGACAATGATGATAACAACCCATCATGATGATTTTAACAATATGTAATATATAATCATATCCACAGAAAATCATTGAAAATATGATCACATGTCATCATGCTACTATTACTACTCGAACGGCTCAACACACTCACCTTTCATTGTAACGTTTCCTTTCTTTACATGTCTAACATTGACACCCACTGTTGGTAATGTATCACCTGGTTCATTATCACTGATAACATTCAACAAGGTGGTCTTTCCGCTGTTGGCCAGTCCGACCATCAAAATTTCTAATTGTTTGCCGTTAAACAATTCCCACAATTTGGAAAATAGAGCACCCATGATGATGATGATTAAAACAAAATATAGTACGTTTAAAATTTGATTGGATGATGAATTTCAACAAGGTTTGTATGTTCAACTTGGAACAGATCAGAATAATAATTGATAAAAACAATCTTTTCAAATTCCGATGATGCCAATGATGATGGGTTAATAAAATGACTGAAAAGAGTTCTGAGCTCTACTACTATTACTGAGAGAGTAAAATTTTGTTGTAATGGGAGAGAGTGTTGATTCCGTCGTCCACAAAATCAGGTTCAACCCGTAAAGAATTTTTTTTCAGTGACCTGGTCTGTTGCCTTTGTTTTTTGTCAACTGTCGCTTCATTTCTAAAATGGTGATCAACTGGAAAGGAGAATCTTTTGGTGAGAGAAAGAGATCAAAGTGCAAAGGATTGATTTCAACCAATGCATTCCTTCATTACATATTTTTTCAAAAAACAATTTCAACGAAAGTAAGGCTCAAATAATTCTTTAAAAAAAAATATTAAGAACAAGTGTTGTTCATCTTTGGTCCTGTTTCGCTTAGTCGCAATCCCGAATTTGATTTTTATGGATTAGTTGTAGGCGTTTTGAACAAGATACATAATAGAGCTAATTTGAAAGGATCGTCTTTGAAAGTTACTCAAAATGAATAGTTGTGGTAGTAGAAAAGCCTTAACCGTTTTTAGCGTGGTATTTGAAAAGCATGATGATTGTTTCAAGTTTTCAGATACTTATTCAGAGTGTGTTGGTATCTATGCAGATGAAAGAGAAGCATATATATTTGCCATCAGACAAATGCTGAAAGAATCCGTGATTGAGGAAGATGGAGAAGAATTTTCAAGTACCATGAAGCACCACTTGAGATTCGCACTCAATGACTCTTGCAATAATGACAGTTTGAATAGAGTACATGTTGATGCAATGGAAGATGATGGTAAAGAGAATTTTCCCAACACGGAGGATACTCAAAAGCATCTATGCCTGCTTCTTGATAAAACTCTCTCCATTGCAAGGAGCCCAAATAACGCTTCATCTCGAACAGCCACAACACCTGTTGCACACATGAATGTCTTGAACTCGCTCATGTACAAGTTAGCCCGTAGTGAGCGCTTGAATTTCTATTGCCTCACGAGTGATGAATTGAAACAATTGCATCAACATGTACTCGAGAAGCAAACGACTCAATTATGTCCTTGTTTTTCAAAAAAGCCTTCGTACAGAATTTACAAAGTGTTCCGTTCTGTACTTAATGAACAAGTGGCTCCTTTCATTCGAAAATTTGAGCCTTTGAAATTTTCTCCTAAGAGTTTTCAAATTCTCTCTGATATTCAGGTGAAATGCACTAACGACAATGCATGAACTTTTCAATGGCGAATTTCCAGGTATGAGCAAGCCTAGCATGCATTGAATAACCTCTACCAGGAATTTTCTGAAGTATTTCCGTTCCTCTACATTTTAATCCAAGCAGGAGGAAGTTGAACATTTGAATTCAGGAATGACTTGTAGAATGGCTCAACAATGTACTTGTGTAAATTATCATTTTCGTTGGATGAGTCTGAACCATTATTGTCTAAAGATACTGAGCTATGATGTAAAATATTATCGGTTTCTTGCATGAGCATGTAGTGACATTGACATTGAAAGTCTCCGCTCGAATGCTTTGGATTCTTTGGGCAGTACAGAAATAGATTTGGTAAATACCAAGCACCGTGCTCCTTCTGTTTAGTGAGATACATTCTCAACAAGTCACGTATTTGCATGATGATGGTGTCTCCAGTGGGAAGGTTTCCTCCCAGCTTTGGATGTTTGAACGTCACCGAGAGAGGAACTTGAATACCCAAATTTCGTACTCCCATTTCTTTGCAATCATCCATAATTTTCGAATATCCATTCATGATTTGTTCGTATTCTTGTTCATTAGTATTTTCAATGCTATTATTGATACTTCCATTAATACTACTACGCGAAGAAGAGTAATCGGTCTGTGAAACGAGGTGGAATATCAAATTTGCATAACTCAAATTAGAATGTTTGGTAATGAAATAATCTCCAAGTTTGGGAGTTGTTTCATAATCCTTTGAATTTTCATTGCCGCTTCCGATACTACTGCTAGCACCAGTTCTCTCTTGAATATTGTTCCTCACTTGCCTTATTTGCTCGTCAAATGATGGAAAATGAAAATCTGGACCTTGTGCATGATTGGCCTCAAACCGTATTCTCTCCATATCTCGCATGGCCCAAGTCAAGGTTGGAGTGTGTTGCTTGTTTGTCGTCACATGTGACGAGGACGTTACATCCTGATGCAATGTTTCACCCACACTCTCTACGGTAGAACTCTTTTGAATGCAACAATTCACAACAAGTGCACTCAGCCTTGACTGATACAAATTATATGTTTGTCTCGCTTTGAACAGAATATAATCCTCTTCGCAGTCACGTTCCTCCTCATCCTTTTTAAAATTCCTACAAATACAGTCACTCATGTCAGCCGTGTAAATAATGAAAACTCTTCCACATAAGCGTCTTGTGCCGTCTCCTTTAAACAACTCAGAGTCTGCATCGTCCTCAATGAACACATACGAATCATCATAGGGACTATACAAGTCGTCATTCTCCAAATATATTCTCTCAATCTTTTTGTAAATAGAAATGCAATGGAATCTCTCAGTTTGAATGAGCCGAGGAATGTCAGTGAGAGTTCTTCCATCTCTGAATATGCGTTTCATCATTCTTTTGATTTCATTGAGCTTTTTTCGTGTGGCTTCTTGTTCTGAGGACGTTGTGGCATTACCAGGTGGTCGAGCTTCCATCATCGAGATGGGTTGTGGACTATCAATGGCATCAAACGTCTCCAAAACAGTCCATGGATCTTGTGTGGTGGAGTTAGTTTTTGGTGAATGTTTCTTTTTCTTAGCTCGAATCGAGAATTTTCGAATGAACGACGATAAATTTCCAAATTTGTTGGATGCATTCTGAATAGAATACTTGTCTCCCTGTAATTCATTTCTCAATAATAATTCAAATTGTTTTCCACGAGGTTCCATCAATCGAAAGGCTGGGAATAGTAAATCGTCCTTACTTTTCACGAGATTGGCCTTTGTTTTGGATCGATTCGTGAAAGCATCTTCCTTATCTAGATCAGAAACAAATGTCCAAAAAGTAATGACCATTTCCTTGTACAACTCTCGTAATTCTTCATTCCATTTTTCTTCCAATTCTTCTAATTGCTTCATGTGCTCCAAGACCATGACTTGTAATTGATCATTTCTTTCCATAGTCATTTTCTGTTCCATTCCATCTCGATGACTGATTGTGAATTTTGATAATGTTCACACAAGTGACATTCAAAAAGTGTCATTTTGTCATAATTTGGGTCACCATTCATAAGAAGAAGAAAAATAATATTGATAATTATTTTCAATGCTCACAACCTCTTAACACTACGTACACTTTCTGAATTTCACTAATTTCAGTTTCTCTTCCCTTAATTTTATCTTGATAGGCACATCTCAAATCATTTGCAATTTTCACCAAATAAATCTGATTCACATAACTCGAATGAAAAAGTCGATAAAATTTGGAAATGTCTTGAATCGGTAATATTGAAATTTCTTGATCAATGTTGAGAATATTGGATTCATTGAAAGAAGAATATTCGTCCGTGTTCGATTTGAGTTGATGATCGATCGGATCGTCCCCAACGACTTGCCAATCATCTTCATCATCTTCATAATAAAATTCATCTACAATTTGATCATTCCTTGTCGTTTGACGTTCCCGAATTAATTCCAATAATTGAAAAGTGATACTCTCTTTTAAATAGAGAGGTAATTTATATTCATTGCAACATGTTTGTTCCACAAAGTCGTACAGAGAAATGTGGGAATACCATTTCAAATGAAGAGCGTGAACAATGTGGCCACGTTCCGAATATCGGTATGAAATTTCCATGTATTGTTGTTGCTCTTCCTCGTCATTGATGAAAATGGGGAAGGTGGATCGAATGAGTTCCTCTTCATCGGCCAATTCGGATGTCATTGTGAATGTCAATGTTGAAGATTTTTTTAATAAAATCACAATTTATTGTTATTATTTAAAACTGTACAATTAATCTTTGAATAAATTAAAAGTTTTGATAGATAGATATTAGTCAAATGATACAAATGTCCAATAGGTGGTATAGGATTTATTTAAAGCTTGGAAACTCTATGAGTCGTTGATTTTAATCTAAAAACAACATCATAGAGTGTGAATTTTTAATTCCACAGAAAAAGAAATGACAGCTTACAATCCTAGTTTCTTCTTCAATGATGCATCAATAGCATCCATGAATTCCTTGGTGTTGAGATATTGGCTACGGTTGACACTGTTGTTGTGCATGAATGTGATCCGAAAGTAGTTGGTTTGTGTATTTCACAAATTTGTGAAAAATCATTCAGCAGATGCAGAACATATTTAAAGGCAATATTCGTGTTAAAATCACAAATCATCGAACAACACCAAAAACTTACTTGTTTCCGTGAATACAGATAGCCAAATCCTTGGTCATCTTTCCTTCTCTAATAGTGTCAATAGTAGCAGCCTCCAAAGAGTCACAGAACTTGGCCAAAGCATCGTTATTGTCCAACTTGGCACGATGAGCCAAACCACGAGTCCAAGCAAAGATGGAAGCAACTGGATTGGTTGAGGTCTCTTCACCCTTTTGGTGTTGTCTGTAGTGTCTGGTGACAGTACCGTGAGCAGCCTCGGATTCAACAGTCTTACCATCTGGGCACAACAAAACAGAGGTCATCAAACCCAATGAACCATATCCTTGAGCAACAATGTCGGATTGAACATCTCCGTCATAGTTCTTACATGCCCAAATGAATCCACCATTGCTCTTCAAAGTTTGAGCAACCATGTCATCAATAAGACGATGTTCATACCAAATGCCCAATTCAGTGAATTTGGTCTTGAATTCCTTTTCATAAATTTCTTGGAAGATGTCCTTGAAACGACCATCGTAGGCCTTCAAGATGGTATTCTTTGTGGACAAGTATAATGGCCACTTCTTATCAACAGCCAAGTTGAAGCATGAATAAGCAAAATCACGGATGGATTCATCAGTATTGTACATTCCCATAGCAACACCAGCACCTTCAAAGTCAAAGACAGTGTATCTCTTTTGTTCACCACCATTCTTTGGAGTGAAAACAAGTTCCATCTTACCTGGCTCACCAACAACCAAATCAGTGGCCTTGTATTGATCACCATGAGCATGACGACCAATGACGATTGGCTTGGTCCAACCAGGAACCAATCTTGGAATGTTTTCTATAACGATTGGTTCTCTAAAGACAGTACCACCCAAAATGTTACGAATCGTTCCGTTTGGTGATTTCCACATCTTCTTTAATTTGAATTCTTCAACACGTTGTTCATCAGGAGTGATGGTTGCACACTTGATACCAACATTGTACTTTTTAATGGCATGAGCAGCTTCTTCAGTGATCTTATCACTGGTTTCATCTCTCTTTTCAATACCCAAATCGTAATACTTGATATCGAGTTCAAGGTATGGAAGGATGAGCTTTTCCTTGATCCAGGCCCAGATGATACGGGTCATTTCATCTCCGTCCAATTCAACGACTGGATTTGCAACTTTAATCTTTTGGAATGAAGCCATGATGGTTGAGTTTCTAGTAGAGAAGGATCTCACTTGATGATTCAATAATGATGATGGTGTTGTGGTCGTAGCAGAGGAACGAGTCTGATGATGAGCAACAACGTTTGAAGTGTTCAACAACAAGGCTGCTGTGGTGTTGTGTGGAAATTTTTTGCAAAGAGAAAATCCCGATACAGCGGTTTTCAGCATTTTTTGATCGTCAGAAATTGAGCGAGGATTTGTAAAGGAAAAAAATTCGGAGGTTGTAACGTTGCTTAGTGAGTACACGATGGAGTGCGATCATCATCATCTCCATGATCAGAATTGATTGGTTTTATGTTGATTTGAGAAACACAAGTTTTTAGGAATGGATAGCATAGCAAGGAGGATGCTTGGATTGTTCTCCTGGATGTGTTCATATCAGCCAAGGCTCGAGAACAGGAATATTTGATCAGATCGTGCGTATGGAAAGAATCTCATCCGCGAAAAGGAATCCAATTCGCGAATTGTTGTTTTTTGAAATCTCAAATCATGAAACCACCACTTGTCACGAAACTGTAAATTCAGCTTGGTCATTATTTGCCTTGCCATCTGTATGTGGGTGGTTCAAAAATAAGGTCATGTCTAAGGTAATACTACTCGAACTTGTGGCATGATGAGCAACTATCAACAATCAACTGCTTGCTTTAGGGGTGGCAATTAATCTGGTTCTATTTTGAGTACTCTAATAATTTTGAAAGTCTCAAACACACTTCACTAAATTCAGGCCTTTCTGAATAATTGGCATTCCAACAAGATGTCATGATTGAAACGAATTCTTGTGTCACGTCACACAAAATATCCAACGATGTTTGTAATGTGTTGGTTTGGTCTATCAAATACACGGAAATCCATTCTCTCATTTCTTCATGGTTTCGAAAAGGTATCACTGGTCTCTCACCTTTCAATACTTTTACAATGACATTAAACCTCGAAACATCGTCACCTTGTTCAATAAATTTGTAAAGCTTTTCACAGGCCGAGTTCAGATATGGAGTCTCTTCAAAGAATAATTCCCACATGATGATTGCAAAACTATAGACGTCTACCTTGTGATTGTAGTTGGAATTTCCTTCAATCATTTCCTGTACGATTGGATGGACACATCAGAAATATGGCGAGTATTACGAAAATCATTTGAACAATGAATAACGTCTTTCCCTGTAGCCATCAATAACTTACATTAGCCATATAGGACAATGTTCCAATATTCGTGGTTGCTGAATTGGAATCTGTCAATGCCTTACTTAAACCAAAATCACAAATCTTTGCTGTGAAATGATTGTCAATCAAAATATTTCCAGGTTTCAAATCTCTATGAATAATTCCCTTTGGTTTCAGTGTATGTAAATAATTCATTCCTTTTGCAACTCCAAACAAAATATCAATTTTCTGAAATAGAGTCATCTTTTCAAATCCATGTTTCAAATTGTAGATTAATCGATCGAGACTTCCTCTCTCCACATACTCCACAACCATATACTTTTTGCTTCCTGCAAGAATCACTCCAAAAAATTGTACAATATTCGGATGTCGAATGCTTCCAATAGAGATGCTTCTCGTTCGAATTCTTCATCTTCACTAGAAGCGTCGAGAGGTTCATCACTATGTTTGAGAGTTTTCAATGCAACCTTAGTTCCGTTCCAACTTGCCAAATACACGGTACCATTTGCACCGTCTGCAATTCGTTTCATAATTTCGATTTCGTCAATGGAAATGATCCATTGTGAATATTCTCGTGCATGGTGAGAGGTGTGAGAGGAGACGCTTTTTTTTGAGGAACTTCCATTGTTCGATTGGGATGAATCCTGCTTGTCACCGTCGTGATGATTCACAACTAATGGTGATTTTTCACCAAGTGAGTGATAAGGTGTTATGGAATTGCTGAGAGCAGATTCATGATCGTCATGTCCTTCCATTAACACGACTCGTTTTTCCAAAAGTTTTGACTCATGAGCTTTTCAGCTTTCTCCTTCTTCTCCAATCGTTTCAGTTTGGAAATGATGTTTCTAATTAAACGAAACAATGCATACAGAGCAAGAAGAAATAATGAGAATAATAGAATGGAGGTAATTGAGGCTACAGCAATGATGGTTTCATAGGGTATATACGGCTCATCCACACAAATCCATGCATCATCTAACACGTCTTGTTTGACAAGACTTTTTCCTTGAGGACATGGTTCAATGTGAACAATTGTATCAATCCTTGTATTGGTGTCAAGATAAATCGATGGAAATACTTGTCGAACATTTGGTGTGAAAATGGCAACGGTCAATGATGAGAGTGCCAGAGAATTATTGGGGTTCTTGTCATAATTGAGCAATGCATTTTTAGATTCGTCCAATTGATAGCTTATCGGATTTTCCAAGAATTTCACTCTCTCAGATACGTTATTCCATACCGTTATTTCAATACTAGAAACTAATTGTCCAGGATACAGATATAATTCAGGAACTTGATTATTTCGAAAACTGGAGCTATTACCAGATGCGTACTGAATAGACACATCGAATCGAATGGAATGTAATGACTCTGCCAAATCATTTCCATAAGACATTCCCTCGTTTTGATTGAAGATGACGTCTTTCCAGTTAATGGGTGATTGTATGGGTGAGTGAAAATAGATACATCCTCCTGAATAGTATGCAATATTGGACAAGCAATTAAATGCAATACTAAGGGTGCACTGTTAAACGTTCCAGAACCAATTAAACAGCACCCCTTTGGATCTCGCAACGTTTTGAATGAATTCCACACTAAATAATGAAAGAAGACCCGTCTCAACATGAATGGCTCCTCCATTAAAAGCACTGTTGTTTCTCAATACAGAGGATTGAATGTGAAGCAAGTAAAAAACGACTTGAAGAGCTCCTCCTTTGCATTCCTCAGTCGTACAAAAATTGTTCTCAAAAGTGGATGAATAAATTTGAAAGGAAGACGTCAGGCCAGGTACAGGTTCATATAGGTTTGATTTCACAGTCATACATGGCCTACGTTATTTGTGAAATTTAAATCATACGCTCGAATACCTTGTGCTTCTCGAATATAAAAAAGTGGAGCTCTATTGTTGTAACTCGTGACAGCATCAAGAAGTAATCCTGAAGTAGTTTCGACACTAATAATATACTTGTTAGAATTGTCCAATGCTTCCAAATCGGTAAATGTACATTTTCTAGCGAAATAAATGTGACGCCATGAAATTTAAAGCTTGCCTTATCTCTTGCTGTAACTCTTGAATATTTTGTTTCGTATGAAATAGGTGCTGGATAATATTAGTGCCATAGAATTGTACATCTTCAAAATAGTGCTGTTAAATTCATAATAATAAAAGTGGAATTGATGATTCGGCAATAGCTGATGCTGAAATCAATATTCAACTGTCTTAGTGCCAATATCCTATCATCAACTGTAAATTGAAAATTATCAATTTTGCAATAGGTCAATGATATTTTTAGATGAATTTTAGAGGACATGCTCGAGTTTGAAACGTCACAGCTTTTGATTTCAATTCCAACGCTTGTTTTGAACAGAAATGGTTGAATTTTTGATCGAGCTAAGAGAGATGGTAATGGTTTTTAGAAAGTGGTGTGATTGTTGTCACATCTTCATCTAAAATACGGACATGATTCAACTCCACACCTGTCACATCCAAGTTTAAGATTGTTGATACATCAACCATAGATCCATTCTGAATAATTTAATTCCAAAAATCACCAAATTTGCTGCACCTAAATGTTTGTTCAATTTCTGATAATTACAATCCAATGTGATGATTTGTTGTAAATTCAGAGATGTGATCGTCACTGTCGAAATATCCATCACATCAATTAGACATTGTTCACTTCCATACGTCACATTGCCATCACTGTCGTTCATCATTTTTAACAACACCTTTGTAAAACTAGTATTTCTTTGAGCAAATTGAAGAGCCTCCGCCAACGAGGCACAGGCGTTCGAATATTTGTACAATTATTCATGTTATAATATTGAAATTTTTGAAATTGAACATCCTAGATGGCAGGGTTGAATGTAAAGTACAAGTGTTTCATCATCCACTGCACAACATGATTTAAAATCTTTTCCGAAGGTGTTGTTGTTTCCGTCATCATTTCGGAGCGATTGAAAACGAAATGGCCATGTCCAAAGAAGAAGCACCATGGACCAAAGAGTCTCCCTTCTCATCATGATGGAAAGACTCGGCAGAATCACCTGTAGCAAAAGAATGATAGAAAGGCATAAAACATGAGTATTGAACGAGTGCTTCTTCGGCAGCTCGGAAAACATTTTTTTTGGGGCGAGAGTTGCCTTCTCTTCCTTGTGACACTTTGAAAATAAAAGATGAAACTCCAACATCAAACAAGAAGACTGTGGCGCATCAAGATTCAATGTATGACAATTTCTTTCAATTCAACAAATTCACAAAAATGTCAGATTGAATAAGGAAATTTCAAATAAGGAAATATTCAATCTGACATTTAACCTTCATTTACTTTCTGCTATTTCAAAATCATGGACATGTTCTTTGAAATCCATTTGCAACGAACATTAGTTTAACAATTTTCCAAACCACTACTCCCCGATCCCACACTCTCTCAATCCAATTTTCATAACGACATGAAATTTTGTAATCTTTAACGTTCAAAGATTGCATCCTCATCCGTTTAAGAGTTTTTCATCCTTTTTTAAAAAATGAATAGCCTTCTTTCAACGTTACTACTGCACGTTGGTAATAATCCTCATCAACAACAACAGCCTCTCATGAACACAACCACCATCGTGATGGAATCTCTCGTACAAGCCTTGATGCAATGGCCAACCAAAGTGTTGGAAAACGGAAGTAGTGTCATGATGAAAACGACCAAAACCATGATGAATTATACAGATGCATGGTTGGGAGGTGCCGTGTCAATGAGTACTCTCTCGGATTCAGGTGTCATCTCATCATCATCGCGTTCGTTATCGTTTCAGGTATTGGAACCAAATTTCATGCATGAATTATTGGTACGTCCACTCAATGAAGTCATTAGAAATATTTCCAATTCATTGGGAGTGGATCAATCGGCAGCTACATACATGTTCTTTCTGATTGCCATGAATTTTCCGTTAGCGTTGGTGTTGAGAATGACTCGATTTGGAATGATGAGAGCTGTGTTGGGAGCATGGATTGGACTTGTTTACACATTCTATACGTTTGGAGTACATACTTTGCATTCGATAGCTGTGCCATTGATGGTATATCTATGGCTGTATGTGACTGTTGGCATGAGTGACCGAGTGGTCAAGTATTTGAGACGCAGCCGAGCTCGATTGGCAGTTCCACTGGTGGCTGTGGTGTTCTCATTCGGATACTTGCTTGTGTGTCACTATCATCGAATGTTAACGGATTATTTAGGATGGAAATTGGACTTTACAGGACTGCAAATGCTCATTACTTTGAAGACCACTGCTGTGGCATGGAATGTATATGATGGTATACTCGTTCATGATCCTGATTCCAAGGAAGGAAAAGGTGTTACCAATCCATACCATAGAACTAACAGATTGGAACGAATGCCATCACTCATGGAATATTTTGGTTTCTTATTCTTCTTTATTCCTGTCTTGTCTGGTCCAATCTACGAAATGAGTGACTATTTGAGATTTATTTATGGCGAGTATGAAGCACATGATATTTCATTTATCAGAGATTTGAATAATAGCACAAGAGAGAAAAAATCCACCAATTCCTTGGTTATTAGTGTTGAAAAAGATTATTCTCGCTCTAGTCAATATGGTTCTCGTTTTGCAAACAGCATCCTATTTTGGAAGAGAGCAACTCGAAGATGTCATTTATGAAAGAGGAGATCGTCCAAGAGAGCTTTTAGGAAGTTCTCTCTTGTACAAATTTCTGTTTTCATTTGCATGTATGAACTCTATCAAATTTAAATATGTTGTGGGATGGTGCTGGAGCGAAGCTGCATTACTCATTACAGGTTTTGGATATCAAAGACATTACAAGTCTGGTGAATTTTCTTTTGCTGGTGCTGAGGCAGTCGATTACTTTGATCATTTCCTTGCATCCAATCTTCGAGATGTGACAACTACTTGGAATGTTTCTGTTTCAAAATGGTTGAGAAATTATGTATATACCCGAGTTGGAGAAAAACCTGGTACTTTGGCAACTGTTATTACATTTATTGTGAGCGCCATTTGGCATGGTATGTTTTTCTTTCAAAATTTCACATCATTCGATGACTTTGTTGTACCTTTTATGTGGCTATTTTATATATACACTCATTGACACTATGAATCTATGTCATCTTCTGATTGGGAATGACACCATTGACACGACAATTATAACGCATTACACTCGCACAACAGGAGTCTATGCAGGATATGCCATCATGTGGATTCATTACGCACTGGCCATGAGTTTGATTGGACGTTTGGCTCACAAAAAGATGAGACCCTATTTTTTGAACGATGTTGAACATCTCTTCTCTGCAAAGAATAGTCGTGTCATGTCCTACACCTACAAGATACTGTCATTCATTGCAACTGGTATTTTCACATCCTACATTTTACCACCATTCTTGTTATTGTCTTGGGGTAATTCCATTCAATTCTTTAGATCCATGCAATGGTGTGGTCATATGGCATTCTTTCCAATATATGTCATTTTAACCATGATACCTAGTCGTCATGGTCATCACTCTGAGAGGCATGGTCACAAAAGCGTTGACTCTGTAAGCACGAAAAAGAATCAATAATTGTCTGGACCACGTGTGTGGTGTCTCTGATTTTGATTATTTTTTGTACGTTTTGCAATACAAGTGTCTGACTT